AAGAGATAATCGCTATAGTTATCTACCCTCCCGTTAATCCTAATGCCTAACCTAAAAAGGCTTAATCTAAAAGCCACGAAAACGGCTCTAGAGCTACGAAAATAGCTCCTAATTAACTAAAAAACAAGGAATCTCCTAATCGTCGTATCCTAAACCTAATGACTATAAAAACGGTCGCAAAAGGTCACTCCTAAGACTAATAAGGTTACGGCTCGGGCTACTAGGTAGTCGCTACTAAATAGGAATAGCGTAGGTACGCTATAATAAAGGCACGAAAAGGGCTACCTAACTACTAATAACTAGCCTAGTACCGATTAACCTAAGATTATAGCTATAAATAGCTATAATCGGTTAATCGGCTAGCTAAAAACGATAACTAGGAAAGGAGGACTAGAAAGGCAAAGGAGGAAGACTAGAAAGGCATGGTAAGAAACGAGTAAATAGCTATAGGCTGTAATGTCTATAGGTCTAAGTCTAACTAATGAAAATATAAGTACGCGACCTATATAAATATATATCGAAAAGGCTACGTAGCCTAGATCTACCGTACTACTATAGCCTCCCTAGTTTAATTAATCCGTAAGGAGCAATTAAACTCCTAATACAATAATAGGTACGGTAGCTCTCGTTTCCTATTAATCCTAATTAACTTAATCCCGATTAACCCTAATTAACTAAAAGCTAGCTAGTTTAATTAAAGGCTAATAGGATAAGTTAGGAAGAAATAGGTCTTTAACTAGGAACGATTATAATAGTAATAAGTAGGTAGTAGGGTAGGTAACTAACTATAACCGTGCCTAACTATACCTAATCCTAAACCTGATTAATCCCGAACCTATTTAATCGCTACTAATTAGGAGCTAAGCCAGTTTAACTAACGATTAATAGGAAACGGTAGGAAAGATTAATTAATAAGAATAACTAGGCTAGCGGAGCTATAACCTATAAACTAACTTAATTAACCTATTCCTAATTAACCCTAATTAACTAAGAGCGAGCTAGGTCCATTAGGGCTACTAAGAAATAATAGGGATTAATCGGAAAATAGAAACTATAACGGATAGGTAAAATAAGCGTAGCTCCCGTAAGAAATAAAGAAACAATCCTATACGATATAACGTAATCCCGTCCTTCTCGTCCATGGCTATTACCGATCTTTTTAACTAATCCTAATCCTATAACTAACTAATATATCCTATTTATACCCGTTCCTAACTCGTTTCTAGCTATTCTCGTATAACCGTTCTTATATTCGTCCGGTAGTATCTACCGGGCTTCCTTTAATCCTCGATCCCTCCCTTATACGTAATTCTAGGGGCTCTAGCTTTTCCTACTAACTATATATCGGTAAAGGCGACAAGAGGGGTCTCTAGGCGTTATTATTCCTATGGCTATTTCTAAGCTATCTTATTTAATATCTTATCTATTTCGTATCGCGATATCGTTTATATAGGTCTTTAATCCTAATCGGTACGTCTCCGATTAGGCTTATAGCGTAGGTATAAGGTCTATCGGTATCTTCGTATAGTAATTAAGGGTATCGTAGCATCTATCGGTTAGGGAGGAGAAACCTCCCTAGGTACCGTAACTAGCTAGTAGGGATAAATAAAGGCGATCGGATCTATCGGTAAGCCTTTTATAATTAAAATAAACTAATCGGTAAAGAACGGATACCTTTAAGCGCGTGCGAGGTTATAAAAAGGGGTAGTAGCGGTAACTTAGTTAGATTAACTAAGGGAAAAACTGCTATCTAGGCACTTGAAAAACGACGGAAGCAAAACCAGGTAAAAACGGGTATAGCTCCTTTAAAAGAAATAACTAAGAAACGAAGATAGGATAGATCTATTAATCGGCGAACGAACTTTTAGGTAAGCTAATTAAAAGCTAATAGGAGGGCGTGGTTATTAAGAGATAGTCGCTATAGTTATTTACCCTCCCGTTGATCCTAATGCCTAACCTAAAAAGGCTTAATCCAAAAGCTACGAAAACGGCTCTGGAGCTACGAAAATAGCTCTTAATTAACTAAAAAACAGGGAATCTCTTAATCGTCGTATCCTAAACCTAATAACTATAAAAACGGTCGTAAAAGGTCACTCCTAAGACTAATAAGGTTACGGCTCGGGCTACTAAGTAGTTACCACTAAATAGGAGCAGCGTAGGCACGCTATAATAGAGGCACAAAAAGGGCTACCCAACTACTAACAACTAGCCTAGTACCGATTAACCCAAGATTATAGCTATAAATAACTATAATCGATTAATCGGCTAACTAAAAACGGTAGCTAGGAAAGGAGGACTGGAAAGGCAAAGGAGGAAGACTAAAAAGGCATGGCAAGAAACGAATAAATAGCTATAAGCTATGATATCTATAGGTCTAAGTCTGGCTAATGAAAATATAAGTACGCGACCCATATAAATACATATCGAAAAGGCTACGTGGCCTAGATCCACCGCACCACTACAGTACTTTCTAGTATAAGGCTAACTTATTTAGCATGGCCTAAAGTACTTCTAGGTCCGATTTACCCTCGTTATCTTTCTTAACCTTCGTATTATAGAAGGTAATAGCCGTCTAATCGTAATAATACTAGACCTTATTTTATTCCGTATTAAAATAACGTTTCATAGTAAGATATATATCGGCGAAGTACTAGTATTTAGGAACGTTATATAAGAAGTAGATAGCTATTTTCCCTAATAGGATAATAGAGAAAACGGTATGGAATTAGGTTTATCGGATTCCTATAGTATAATAAACGTTTAGAAAGAACCTAAACTTATTTTTTAAGATATTATATACTTCGCCCGTATAGTTATTTTCCTTATTCCATACCTTCTTAAAGTATCCTACGATAATTAAAGGACATAGGTCGTTCGGTATTTTTACCGGTAGAATATCGTAATAAGTTTATTACTTTTAATTTCCGACGGATATTAGTAATTATCGGGAGGGGTTAGGCCTTAGAATAAGCGGCGGCGGCGGTTTAGTTCCCGGCGTACGCGATTATTCTATCGGTAAGGAGGAACCGCGCCTTCCGGGGATTCCTTCGTTTAGGTAACCTATTAATGGTTAGCTTCCCGGATACTAGCTATATCTTAGTTCCGGGGTAATATATTAGTTTCCCCGGGAGGGTTACGTCCTTTCTCTCGCTCGGTCGTTTCCTTCTACTAACGGATATAACTAAGGGGGAAACGGTAATACCTATAGGTTATATAAATTATACGGCCTATACGGTCCGTAGCCTAGTTAAAAGCTTATTAACGGGTACGGCGGATATCCGTATAACGGATACCCTAAAGGTAGATACGGATATAAATAAAGATAAGGGGAAGGGGAAGCGAAGGGTAGTAGCTAAGGTACCTAAGGTAGTTAGAAAGATAGAGACGCCCTTAACGCCTACGGCGGAAGTACTTATTAACGAGGTACGTCTTAACGTAAACCGGGGAGATTATTAAGCGTTACCGGAACGTTAACTCGAGGGAAGGGAATCGGTTAGCTAGGTTAAGGTATTAATAAAGGATTAGGTAGCGATTCCCGTTAACTCCTAGTTAATTTTATTTATTATAGTTTCGGCGTTAGCTCGTTAAGGGATCTAAGGTAGAGAAGACTATACCTAGGCGGGGTTTCGAACTACGGATTAATTAGAATAAAAAGAGGGTTACTTCCGTATATAGCCCTTCGAAGTAAGGCAGGGGTTTATTATGCTAATAATTCGGCCGCTACCTCCCCGAATTATAAGAAAGTTAGTTTCTTTCGTATCGATTTTATTAACTCGGGATATACCGTTCCTTAGTTAGTTTCTATCGTTAGCGTTTTTTACGCTAGTACGTTAGGCTACTTAGCCTTAGCCGTTTAAAGCTTTTAGTAATTCTAGGTCGGAAGGCCTTCCGCCCGTATTAAGTCGGTAAGTTCTCGGGAATACTTCGCATTACTTCTTCTTATATAAATACCTTACCTTATTAAGGTATTCCGTAATAATAAGCGAAGGATTACGGGCATAAGTTCGAAATCCCTTATATTATAACCTCGGAATCGTTCCTAATAATCGCTTAAGGCTTCGTTTATAGTTCGAATATTAAGGGTATTAATATCTACTACCTCGAAGTCCGCGATTATTATTAACGCTTATATTACTTTCTACCGTAGGTTAGCGGTTTCTAGTACGAGTTATTACTACCTAACTACTTATAGGTCGAACTATATTATTATTACGGCTAGTCGTCCTATAATAAGCCTAAGAAGCTCCCGGAGATCTTCTACGTCCCTTAGGTCCTAGCCTTCCGGGGGTCCTCCTAGCGATTTACGTCTAAAGATAGGTACGGGGATAGGATTTTTAGGTTCGCTTAATCCCGGTTTTATTCGTTATTTACCGGCCCTTTATACTAAGGTCTCTAGTACCTTTAAGTTTAATATAGTTTCCTAGGAGTTAATAAGAGAGGGTAAGGGTTATCGTAACGTAATAATAAAGAAAGAAACGGGATAGTATCTTTTAACGGGGTCGTAAGGTAAGAGGTAATAATAAAAATCGTTAACCCGTAAAAGGTATTAAAAGAAGTTAGGTAGTAGTAAAAGGTTCTTCTTTTATTAGTATCGCTTATATTACTACGGTAATAATAATTCTTCCGGTTAAAGTAATAATAACTCTTCTAACCTTATTAATCTATATTACTAATTATCTAGTAATATTAATTAATATTAATAGGTACGTACGTAAGTAAAGTAAAGTAAATAAAGATAAGTATGAAATCTTAGGATAAAACGATATATATTATAATATCTAGCTTAGGAGTACCTATCTAAGAAGAGATAGGGAAACTATCTTTTATATATTACGCAGGTACGAAGGTACCTGCGCTATCCTTGATCGCTGAATAGGCCATTAATTATTAATAATATAAAATTACCTATTTATATATCCTTTTCCTCAGCCTTCAAAGAGGTACGTATATTTTCACCTATATAGTAAAATCGTAATAGAGCAGGACAGAGCGTGGGTAGCAAATTGCTTCGACATAGGTATATCAACTACCTAGTACATAGTACATACCTTCTATCACAAGTCCCTCCTGGTGTGGTGGGTAATATAACTCTGCTACCCATTCCAACGCGAACCAGACGAAGCGACGCAATGGAGCTCGCTGTCTTCTCTGCCAAGCCCTATGACAAAACCTTTCTTCACACCGAGCGCGCGGCCGAAATCAACGAGGGGGCCGGCATCCGCATTGTTTACCACGAATTCAGCCTCTCGCTCGAGACCGTCTCTCTCGCCTACGGTGCGGCCGCCGTCTGCGTCTTCGTCAACGACGATGTCTCCGCCCCTGTGCTCGAGGCCCTCCACGCTGGGGGCGTCCGCGCCGTCCTGCTGCGTTGCGCCGGTTTCAATCACGTCGACCTCGTTGTTGCCGCACGCCTCGGCATCTTCGTAGCTAACGTCCCCGCTTACTCCCCCGAAGCCGTCGCCGAATTTGCCGTCGCCCTCGTCCAGACCCTAAACCGCAACACGCACCGCGCCTACAACCGCGTGCGCGAGGGTAATTTTAGCCTGAACGGCTTGCTCGGTCGGACACTGTACGGCAAGACTGTCGGCGTGGTGGGTACCGGCCGCATCGGCGTTGCCTTCGCCCGCGTTATGCATGGCTTTGGCTGCCGTCTTCTCGCTTACGACCCCTACCCGAACGACGACTTCCGTCGCTACGGCGATTATACCGAGCTGGAGACTTTGCTCGCCGAAAGCGACGTTGTCAGCCTGCACTGCCCCCTGACCGAGTCGACGCGTCATATCATCAACGAGGATACACTCGGGCGCATGAAGAAGGGCGCCATGCTCGTCAACACTTCGCGCGGCGGCCTCATCCGTACGCGCGCCGTTATCGCTGCGCTTAAGAGCAAGCACCTCGGCGGTCTCGCCCTCGACGTCTACGAAGGTGAGAGCGCTTTTTTCTACAACGACCACTCCGGTACCATCATCGAGGACGATGAGCTCATGCGTCTTACTACCTTCCACAACGTCCTCGTCTGCGGTCACCAAGCCTTTTTCACTGAGGAGGCCCTGAGCGAGATCGCCGACAGCACCATCCGCAACCTCAGTGACTTCGCGCAAAATCGCCCTTGCAAATTTGCCCTTGTCCAGTCTCTCGAGGACTCGGATAAGAGCGACGCCCCACCTCTGGCCAGGCGAGACTCGATCCCTGTGCGCATCTAGAGACGCGAAATCTGTGTCCTCGCCCTACTCATAGGGTAGCAATCGAAAGTACTACTGAGGGATATCAGCGATGTGTGAGTGGTGAGAAATGGCGGGTGGAAAAAGCGGGTGAGGCACGACACTCCTCACAGGTCGATTCAACCGAATGGCGGCCGCCGCTGAAAAAGACCCTACGAATAGACTTATCTCGTGGACACAGTCTCGCGAGGGACATGAATATTTCTGCACCCCGTTCATGGCTTGTTCAAAATGCCCGCTTACGCTTACCTAGGCCGGCAGCTAGTCTCGAGCCGTGTCGATGGCAGACGCACTGCGGCCTGTTACCTCCTATACACCCCATCGATAGTATAGTCCTTCTTGGGGCCCTTGACCGTGTATCCCAACTTCCACTCCCTCAGGTTGACAGCCCTGAAATTGAACTCGTAATGCACGTCGTATAGATCCTCGACGCACAGGTGACTCGCCTTCGCCTGCCACCCTCCAGTCTTATCCTCGGCCCGTCCATCTGGACCTGGCCGGCCATCTCCGCCAGCTTCAGTACCGGGATCCACGGCAGAGGGCGCCAAGAACTCGACTTCATGGAACAAGTAGTCCGCGCGCAACGGGTCATCCGTCTGTGTGAACCAGACGCTCAGCTTATCACGTGCTTCGTCGTACCTCCAGACGTACCGCCGCGTCGCGCGGAACGACAGGGACGGGTTGTCGCGGGCCGTGAATGTGCCGTCTTCAACGTACAAGTACTCTAGGCCCCAGGCCGGCACCTGCTTCTGTGCGGTCGTACCGCTATAGTTACCTCCGGCACAGGCGCCAGCAGAGGATAAGGCAGGTGCCAATGGCTGCCCATCAGCGGTCCCGGCTCGTAATAGAAAACGTGCCGTGCCCACGAAGCGTCCGGAAGGGTGGGACGGTAGCCGTGAGACAAGGTCACGCTCGAGACGCCACTCGCCGAGAAGAGAGCGAAATACAGCCCCCGCGACGAAGCGTGCTTGATATATCCCCGCCATCGCTGTATCGTGCGTGGCGCTCAAGTTCGCCTCAATCTCTGCCTTCTGCCTTGGACTTGAGCTCTGCTTTGCGGTAGCATACCGCGCTGGTGTCAGGATATTCATCGGTTTGTCGCTAACGATAATTGGAATGACACCAAAGGGGCTAATCGGGATATCGAGCGCACGCGCGAACTCCTGCATTAGAAAAGCATAGTCGCCCATCGGAAATTGAGAGACACGGGGATCCGCGCGTAGGGCTAGCGTTCTCGCGATTGTATCATCGGACGAGAGGGCCTGTTGGAACTCGGGAGGCTGCGACGTCCGCGCCTGGGTCCACAAACGCGCGATGAAGCGTGCTTGCATTTCCATGACACCCCAATACGGTGAGCGATAGAAACCGACGAAACCCAACGTCGGCAGGGACGGGCAGTGGGTCCCGTGAAAAGCGAGGGCTACGGGAAGGTTGGGATGAGCGGGCGAGTAGGCGATGGCCTCGAGGACCGAGGGAGGGAGGAAGGATAAGGATGGGTTTGGGTCAAATCCGGTTGCAAGGACTACAGCGGCAACGTCGGATATCTCCTCATTACTTGGCGACAGGGTGGCCACGGTTCCCGCAAACGAGGACAATTTGCCCTTCCTGATTTTGATGAGGCCAAGTCGCACAAATTCCATATACCATGAGCTCATCGCCAGAAACGGCTGCTCGTGCAGTTGATCGCCATGAATTCCTAACTCGGGCGAAAATTCGGATTGATCAGACCCTAAAACAAATTGATACGTATTGTTGAGACCTGTCGCTGCATCGACGGTGATGTGTCCTTGGCTGTTTTTTAGGGGGTGTGGGCGGCTGGTCAAGTTGTATGAAGGCAGGTCGCAAGGGAGAAATGGCGGTGCAGATGCGGCGGGCTGTTTGTCCAGTCAGTAGGTATCCCTACAAATTCAGCCTACCCGATCGCAAATCCCCTCGTTAGGTTTGATTCCGTACCTTGGGAGATGTAAGGAGCGGAAAGACCCAAGACGGTCGATGAATTATGTGATGTATCGAAAGGGCCTCGTGCTCCTCAATGACTTTGGGCCCTGGTGAATTGGTAGCGGATGAGACGTCAGTCGCAATCGTTGCGGCGATCTCTACGCCAGACATCTGTCCCCCGACGACGAGGATCTTGTGCCCAGAGCGGTGTGGATTTGGTAGAAGCGTCTTGATATCACGGTATTGGCTGCTGTGAATAACAGGCACGCCCGCTTCCCGGGCTATATGGGTAGGCCATGTAGGTCGCCCGAAGAACCCGGTAGCGACGAGAAGGTAGTCAAACAAATTCGTCTCAGACCCTCCGGTGGATTCCACTTGTACCTCCCACGAGCCATCGCCCTGCAGATCAGCCCTCACAACCTTGTGGCCGAGTCGCACATCCGCACCGCCATACTCGCCTAGATAACGTTCCAGATATTGGCCTACTTGCCACGCCTTGGGAAATTCAAGAGAAGGGTCGCGCCAGGCGAGGTCGCTGAACTGGACAGAATGTTTGCTCTGGTTGGTCGTCATGAAGGGGTGCACCAGGCCCCCGACGTCGTCTTCCCGCGTAGGCCATAGGCCTCCGACTCGCGACTGCGCTTCGAACACGGTGACTTGGAAGGATCCTGGTGGTGCGTCGTGGAGTAAGGTCTTTGCAGCTACGAGACCGGACGGACCAGCGCCTTTATTGTGTGCATGGCTTTTCGTGAGAAAACAACCGTGGGGATAAGGCGGCACGGGAGGGCATTATCCTACCAACAACACACACGCGTTTAACCATACTCTCGATCCTACACAGGTAGGCCAGAGAGCGGCGCGATCCAGGCCGGATGCGAGGAGTGAGCCGTAACGGGCAGCAAGCAACCGAATCGGTATAGAAGAGCAGGTTAACGGGTGTATGATAAAAGTCGATACGGCTACCGGACTTTCCCCGTGTATCTCGTCTGGCTCTTCAGCCGACGTTAGTTAAGCTAACGTTGGGAGTAGTAGATACGAGGTGCGGACTGAGCTGTAGTACAATGAAGTTAAGTTGTTGAGGCGTTAGTCGTAACAATAGACTCTGCTTAAGAGGGTGTCTCAACGTAAGCTAGGACTGGGCGTGTACATAGTAAATGGGCTGTGCTTAATAATACCTAGAACCTTGGGGAGCATCAGGGCACGTAACACGCTCGTTCCCCTGTCTGTACATACCTACTATCTGTCACGTCACCGCGGGTCACACCCACCTTGGGCTACCTTTCTTACACAAAAAAAAGTTATCGACTTTAATTCCGAGTTTTAACGTGGTTTACTTAAAATATACAACTGAATAGCTTGAATTTTACATATACAAATATATCACAGGTTCAAAAGCTATTCGTTAGGTAAAAGGGCGTATATTGTGGTGGTACAGAGGGACACGTCCTCTCAAGGGATCAGGTAACAGGTTATGTTAAGGTAGGTAGGTTTCGCCTACTTACATCATCACCCGGCGCGGCGCAGAATAGACCGACTGTTACCCTCCTCGTCTGTTCTTTTGTTACCTATGTTGCCTGTATCTGTGCTTATAAGCCCTTCTTGCTTCGGCTAACCAACCGCGAGTATCTATCCCTGTCCAACTCGCATAACGGGCGCCGGTGCTGACGTCTGGCGCAAAGCGAAGGTTCTCGATGTGCAGGCTGACCACCACGCTTTACCGAGCTCCGGCCCTAGCTTTATGTCCGCAGTAGGAAGACAATGGCTCTAGACCTCCCCGGGTGGGCCTTTCGCGTTGTGGGCGCCGTTGAGATTCATTCGAGATGAGTTACGGTGGTGAGGGATGCTAACTGGCAGAGTTGCCCGGCTCACGGTGCGTCCAGAAAAGGGGCGGGCTGTGGAGGAGAGCGTAAGGCGGTTGCGATAGGAGCGCGGTAGAGGCAAGGTAGGTAAAGCGGGAGGATAGTAGAGACTCGATGGATTTTGGGTAGAATACCTAGGTATATGTCAATAGGCAATCGACTAGGTTAGGTGTTTGATTGTCCCTTCTGTATATTCTGTTCATCCTACGGCAATCAGACAGTGCCTTTACATATTTGACAAGGGACCCTGAGAGCGCCGAAACGATGCGGCCCTGGATAGGATTAAAACAAGACTGTATTCATGAACTCCGCCCACAGAGAGAGGGATTTCGTAGAGACACGTCCGTAATCTAGCCTGACCCCGTCGAGACCCTCGACATTTCCATGATGATCTCCTGAAGCTAGAAGCCTAATGGCGGAAGACCTCCAGGGAAACCTCCCTAAGCGTCTACCCGGCTACTACTAAGTCCGCATCCTGACATCCCCATCCCCATCCCCATCCTCACCCCCCACAGCCACGCCCGCCTCACTCCCCCTCCGTCTGCGCGGCGGCGTCTCCTCCCTGGGCTTCCTGCGCCGGGGCCTCGCGCTCCGCGACCTGCTACCCGACGGCTGGCCGATCGGCGGCCGGACGGGGCGCAGGAACCGATCGACGTGCACGGCGCCGTGCATCTCGTCGTCGCTATCCGGGTCCGGGTACGGCGTCTGAGGCGCGGCGGCAGCGTCGTCGCCGCCGCCGCCGCCCTGCGGCTCTGTCTGCCCGTGCACCACCTTCAAATGCCGCCGCAGATGGTTCCGCCGCGCGAACCCCTCCCCCGCGGGCGCCCGCGGACACTCGCGGAAAGGGCACGGGAACGTGCCCGGCGCCGACGCAGACCGCGAGCGGCAGGGCGCTCTCGAGCTAGGTTTCGCGCTTCGCGAGCGCCGAGCCGGCGAGGCGCGTTCCCCGGTGGTGCCCGCGTCCCCGCCGAAGCCGGGCGTGGTTGCGCGCAAGGGCCGCGTGGGCAGCGCCATCTCGTTCCCGGAGCCGCCGTCATCGTCATCGTCATCGTCGGAATCTGAATCCGAATACGCCGGCAGCAGCGGAGGCCGCGGCATCCCGGGCACGTAACTCGTCGTCGTCATCAGCGCCCGGGCCGGCGTCGACGCCGGCCCCTCCGAGAGCGTGTGCAGCACCGTGCGCTGCCCGAACATGTCGGCGCAGCGCCGCGCCGCGCGGTACAGCGCCGCCGCCGGGAACCCGGCTAGCGCTGCGGCGCCGAGCACGTCGTGCCAGTCGAGCCGCCCGATACGCGCCAGCAGCGTGGCGGTGGTCTGGCTGCGCCGTCGCTTCGAGAACGGGACCGAGCCCGCGTCCGACGGCGAGGGTGAGGGTGAGGGTGAGGGTGCCGGTGAAGGCGCGCGGGAGGAAGGGCGGGAGGACAGGAGGGGGTCGTCCCGGAATATGGGGATCGCCTGCTTGCGCTGTCTTGCGATGCGCACGACGTACTCACGGTCTGTCTCGCCCTCGAGGCGGGGGTACGTCTTCCGCGGGCGCCCCATCTTAGGTTTGCCCGTCTTCGCTGCCTCCTTTGGCTCTCGCCACGGTGAGCCCACCGATGTCATCCTTGCACGCGGTTTCCCGCCCCTTCCCGGCGTCGACGGCTTGCGGCCGCGCCGCGAGACGGGAGCGGAGGCCTCGGACATCGAGTCCCCCGAGTCAGACTGGTAGCCGGCGGTCGCCGCGCGTGTATTGTGCAAGATGGTAAGCGTCGCGTCGAGCTGCGCCAGGATGTGCCGCACCGAGGGGCGCAGCAGCTCGTGCGAGAGGTCGTCGTCCGTCGAGACAGCCGGGCGGAAGACCCGCTTCTTCTTTTTCTTTGGCGGCATTTTGTGGCGCTCGTCGACAGTAGCATCGGTGCCCCTGGATCTAGACCGCTTACGGCTCGACAAAACTGCAGACCCCGCGTCGTCGCCAGAGCCGGCGCCAGAGCCGGAGTCGTCGGTGTTCCCCAAGCCCTCCGCCCCGGGCCCGTCGACATCCTCCCCCCCCTCGCCTTCATTGCCATCGTCGCCGTCCAAGGGCCTAGCCCAGGGTCTGGCGTTGAAAGTCTCCTTAGCGGACCGCAGGATGGACGCCTCAATGGTGGCCTCGAGGGCCGAGCTCGGCATCTCGCGCACAGGCCGGCGGAAGGTGAAGGGCTCGTCCGGGTCGTGACTCACCACCCGGCCCATGAAGGCGGGCGGCGGGACCGTGTCCCTGCTCATCGGCCACGCCGTCCACATGCGCCCCGGCGACCAGTTGTCCCGCTCCACGGGTTTGCCCGTGGTCGCGTCGATGTCCTAGCGACGAGACGGTCAGTCATTCGCCCGTGCCGTTGATCGAAATAAGGAGATAAAAGAAAAAAAGAAAAAAGCATTTTCGCGCACCTCGTCAGGCACCGGTTCGTCGGTAGCACCTCTTTCCTCCCCGCCATCATCGGCCTTCTTACCATGGCGCCGAGATCGCTGTCCCAGAGCGAAGGCATTGTAAAGGTGTATGGCGAGGTCCTGGTCGCGAATCCCCTTGATGGCGGCCAGCGTGTCGATCTCCTCGGCGTTGTACTGCTGCCAGGTAGACGGGTTCCCGCGCCACCGATTTGGTCGCTGCTCTCGCTCTTCTTCCTCGTCCTCTCCCCTGCCGTACTCCTCCTCTTCATGCCCAGCGTCCACGTACGAGTCGTCAGAGTCGTGGATCGCGTCGTGCATGTGCTCGTCCGACAAGTCGGCGTCCACCGCGGTCGCCATCCTTGGTGTACTACCGCGTTGATGTCTTACGAGCGGGATTCAACACTAGTTGATCCGATAACACAGTAGTCGTGGCAGTAGTGGTGATAGCGGAGGTAGGAAAATTCTGTAGAGATGGTAGGTGGAAAACGGCGAATTGATAGGAGTGGCGGAGACTTCGGTTGACCTAGTACTCGCATTTTCCAATGAATTTTTTTGGGGGGGGTGTTGAGAGACTAAGAGAGACGACAACTTCTGCACTTCTTTTCTTTCCCATCCACACTGAAATCGATCCAAGCAGGTACAGTACGCGATGCTATTTTGCACCCTTCCCAAAAATAGAAATAAACCCAAATAAAAATAAAAATACGCATGCACTCTAAAACAATAGAAAAAACACACTGATTGATATTATCACAGCGCGCTACTGAAATACCTATTTTATTTATAAGCCCCTTACGCCTTTGCCCTCGTCTTCTGCTTCTCCAGTTTTCTCCTCTTCGCCCTGAGCTTCTGGTCCTCGGCGCTCTTCTTGTTGTTGCTGTACTGCATCTGCTCGAACAGCTTCCTCTTCTTCTTGCTAAGCATTCCCTTCGCCCTCTCGAGCTCTTCCGCCTCTTCTTTGGCCTGCTTCGCGAGTCGCTTTCTCGCCTCAACCTTGGCCTTGGATTGAGGGCTCGCCGTATCCCGCTTGACCGGTTTGCCCGTCAATTCCGCCTCTAGTTCCCGCTGGTACTGGAGCTCGGCTGCGAGCGCCTCATCTTCCGACTCGTCCGCATCATCCTCGCCGGCAGCATTGTCGTCGTCCGAGAAGCCCCCGAATGAGCCATTATCGCCATCGCCACCCTCTTCATCGTCAGACCGGGCAAGGTCCATCCCCTCAGCTGCACCTTCTATCCTCTTAACGGCGAGACTATCGTCCGCTTCTTCACCTTCGCCCAGTTCTTCGTCGCTATCCTCTAGCCCTTCGCCTTCTGGTTGTTGCTGCTCCAGAGGCATTGTGGGGTCGTAGGCGCCCTGGGTATTTTGTACGAATGGGCTCAGATGCGGCGGCAGCTGAGCTCCGGGGGCGTAGAGATCCGGTCGCTTCAGCTCCCCGTCGTTGATACTATCCCAAATCCACTGCGGCTGCACGTAAATCCGACCCGGCATCCTTTGGTTGGAGGCAAGCTGCTGCGATGTCTCACCTTCGTCTCCGCCGTCTTCCTTCTGCGAGGCCGCTTGGATGACAGGGCGGTCGACTATCTGATGCGTAATCGACGGGTCACGCTCGTCAGTCGTGTAGGCACCTCCGCCCAAGACGGCGTCCCAGCCGATGCGCTTACAGCCGAACGCACGGAGTATGAACTCTAGAGGCTGTCGTGGTGTTTCTCGAGATAAGTAGAAGGTAAAATTCGCAAACAGCGACTCAGTCTCCTCCCCCGAATAACTAGGCTGGGGCAAGACGTCGCCGCCAGGCGCCACCGGCTCAAATTTGTCGATCGCATCGACCGCCGTCTCCTCCTCTCCAGCCTCGACCTCGGCCTCATCGCCCTCTACATCGGCCTCTCTCATCTGCCGGATGAGCTTATTCACTTGGGCCTGGGTCTGCGGGTCGGGTCCAGTTTCTGCGTCGGCACCGCCCGTCACTTGCGCTGGCGCCTGGCTCGAAGCAGCCAGCGCATTATTGCCCTCGAGCTTGAATGCGCCCAGCTCGGCAGCCTCGTCGTCCTTGGCCTTATCGAACTTGGGAGGGTACCTCAGGCCGACAGAGGAGTATAATCGGAAATTGACAAAGCCCAGGAGAGTCATGTAGAACTCGACGAAGGTACCCATGATTCTAAAATCAATATCCCCAACCACCCTCTGGTTGAATTTATAAGGAACCAGCCACAGGACATCTTCCCCCTGGATATTCGCCTGATAATAGATGCCTTTGATGGAGAGGAAAGACTTGCGCAAGCTGCGCGACACAATTATATAATGCTGGAATTCGAAGCACAGGCGCTCGCAGCGGGCAATCATCTTGGCGGGGACGGTGGTGGTGGAGGGGAGGTTAGCGAAGAGGAAGAGCATAGAAAGACAGTCGTCGAGGTCGCGCAGCGCATCGACGAAGGTCGGGTATCGTTCCCGGATGACGTGGTCGAGCGTGTATCGCGGCTTTCCCGTCTTCTCGGGTTGGGCGGCGTTGCGCTCGAGTCGGCTCGCATCGGTCACGTCCCCGCGACCGAGCGCGCGAGAGATTTTCTTCTCGAGGACTTTCTGCTCGCGGAATTTCCGCAACAACGGCTCGTGGAGGAGATACTGTATGTCCTTGGTGTAGTAGAAGGTGGTCGAGGAGGTGGCGCTCTTCGACACCCTTTTCCTACTGCGAGGCTCCCGAGGGAAGATGCTGCCATGCGTTTCCCGGTCAGCGCTTGTTCCCCTTGGGCAGTCCCGTCTTGTGCTTCCCCCTCCGCACCGCATCCCGCGCCCCTACTTACCCTTTCCATATGCACAGCTTTCGAAAGTCGGGAAGGCTGATCTGGAGTTTCTTCACGGCTTTCGTTCGGGTGATGAAATTTTTGGCGTTTCCCGCCTCTCCCTTCTTCTTTATCCTACCCATGTCGGCGACTCGAGCAGATGCCGCCAGAAAAAGCGAACCAATCTATTTTCGCATTTACCTCTTCAGAGGGCGCAGTGAAGACGGAGACGAGAATCGCAAGCAGAAAGCCAGAATAAAAAATTAGGTTATGCGGGCGCCTTATCGGCAATCGATAGCCTAGATAAGGCGGACGAATAAAAGGGAGAGGAAAAAAACAGCTATGGTGGGTCTATGACCCACTTTTGCGTAGTCTCGTAAGCTATTGGCTCTGCCGTTTCTGACCGCTTTCCGGGGTTCTGTGCGCTAGCCTAAAATGGGCTTGGCACGTGGTAGCCAGCGGCTGTCGTTTGGGCAATGGCAAGGCGTCCGCCCATCGCGCCTGACGTTTCCCCCGACCTGCCGGACAAGGCACGGAAGGAGCCAAGCAAGACCACTCCCGTACCTGCCAAAACACCACCTTACCCTTACACATGGGCCACGCCTTCCTTCGCCTTGCCTCCTTCCCTGCGGCGGCATCGACAACCGAAACAAGCGCCGGGAAGAAATCCTGAGATACGGCATCGAAATAAAAGAATAAAATACCATAAAAAATAGCCGCCCTCCTCTCCCACGCAGCCGCCCCGTCCATTCCTCTCCATCTACCCTACCTATCTACCTACCGAATCCACGAACGCCTAGCTGTCGCTGACGATGGAATTGCACGATGCATCGCGGTAAACTGTATCCCCAGAGCACAGCCGGCCTCTACACCGCCGCCGCTCTGTTGCGGCTGACCTTGATCGCCTTGTTCCCCGCCCTGCCGGATCTGCTGACCGGCCGCGTCGAGATCTCGACGCCCGTGACGAGCTTCAAGAGGTGTAAGCAGACGAGAACGCGTCCTCCTAGCCTCCCTTTCGCTGCCCTCCCGGCGCCGTTCCGTACGTGCTACCTGCGTGTAGGGCGAATGCTTACTTGTCCGCGCAGTGCAAGAGGGCCTGTTCCTATATAACCACAATGTCTCGCCCTACGACGGCGGCGTGTTCCACCAGGCGCCTCTGCTCCTCCCGCTCTTCTCCCTCCTACCGAGCTCGTCCGCCTACCCCCTGTTCACGCACCTCGTATACGTCGCCGTTGACCTGCTGAGCGCCAATGCGCTCTACAAGATCGCCGAGTCTGGCGAGGCCGCCCTCTCCGCCTCGAGACGAAGGGACAGGCGATGGAGCGGCTACGTCGTCGCTGCCATGTAGGCCCCCTCTCGCGACACTAGGAGCCGCCAGTTGCGGTGGTGCCACGTATCCGCTACTTGCTGACAACGGAGATCCTGCCTAGCTTCCTCTTCAACCCCTTCACGATCGCGACCTGCCTCGCTCGACCGACCAACGTCTTCACCTCGTGCGCCATACTACATGCGATCGCAAAGGCCGTATCCGGCACCCCCTTTACCGCCATGCTAGCCCTCTCCTTCGCCACGTACCTCTCCATGTATCCCGTGCTCCTGCTGCCGCCGCTGATCCTGCTCGCCTACGACTGCCGGCACTTCTGGAACAAGACGTCGTCCCTGCCGCAGTTCGCGAGCGCCAACGTGGCGATCGTCGGGGTTTGCCTCTCAGCCTTGTTCCTGGGCTCCTACCTGCTCACCGGGTCCTGGGAGTTCCTCGGCTCGACCTACGGCATCCAGCTAACGCTGACCGACCTCACCCCCAACGTCGGGCTCTGGTGGTACTTCTTCATCGAAATGTTCGACAGCTTCCGCGCCTTCTTCCTCGGCGTCTTCTGGCTTCACCTGTCGTGCTACGTGGGGGGCCTGTCGATCCGCCTCCGCGCGCAGCCGCTCGCAGTCCTGACGCTCCTGCTGGGCATATTCGCCATCTTCAAGCCGTACCCGAGCATCGCCGACACGAACCTCTTTCTCGCGATGGTGCCCCTGTTCAAGCACGTGTTCCCGCTCCTCCGATATAGCTTCGTGACGGCAGCGACGGTGCTCTACTCGACTTTCCTCGGCCCCGCCTTCTACTACCTGTGGATCTACGCCGGCAGCGGCAACGCCAATTTCTTCTACGCCATCACCCTGGTCTGGAGCCTCGGGCAGAGCTTGCTGGTGAGCGACCTGACGTTCGCTGTGCTGCGCGACGAGTGGGAGGTCGAGCACCCCGAGATGGTCGGGAAGGAGATTCGGCAGATATAGGAAATCACGCCGTAGCTACTTAGCCCTGCCTTGTCGCTCGGGTGACGGCATGCGCATGATGGTAATTCCGGCTCGCGAACATGTTTTCACGTCGCGAGGGAGCTGAGCCGGGGATAAGTGGATATCAGAAGAAAAGCATATGAAGTTCATCTCGGGCTATAGGGGGCCTAGTTTAAACGGAATCAAATGAAGTCATTCACATCTAAGCTGCGTCTACGTTACCTCCCAGCAACGCGGACTTCTTACCGTAGCTACGGCGAGAGCTTAAAGCTGACCGTAATTAAGCAACAGACTCCTAACTTCTAGGTCGGCACGCCGGCTAGTTTATAATAGGTCGGCGGACCTTCTACGCATAAATCGCCACCCCTATCGGTATAAGGCGTAGCGCGCACACAGGCCACACGGCGCACCGTCCCGTGGTTCTCTATGTGTGTGCACAGTCGTCGTCGTCGTCTCTGGGGGCGCGCGTGTGTGTAGAGAGGTGCGCCCCCAGCTGCCAGCCCTACCCGTCAGCGAGAGAAAGACGGCAGGACAAGCACGAACCCTCGCCCCTCGCCCCTTGCCCCTCGCCTCCTCCCCACCAGTCGGCCACGCCGCGCGCGCGGGGATCCCGCCTGGCCCAGGTGGATTTCGTACGTGCGCTCGATCGCGCGGGACTGCACAGCGGACTAGGCGAAACGACGCGCTCGGGCGCGCTAAAAAAGAAACAAAGCAAAACCCGTACTTACGATCGGTCCGACTGTATGTGGAGACAGAGAGGGACGGGGAGAAGGAGGGGAAGAAGAAGAAGGAAAGAAGGGCGCTCGGGGCAGGGAACGAAGGGAAAAGGGGGAGTTCGGGCCAAGGCTCGAGGGCCCGGGCGGCTCAGCCGGGGCCAGCATGTGTGCCTGGTGGCGGCGGCGGACGGCGAGGCCGACAGCGTTGGCGCGCGGGGACCGTGGACGTACTAGCGAATGTGGCTGCTGAGAGACGGGGTTTAGCACTCGTGAAAGACCGCGTAGGGGCGGACGGGATGCGATGCTTGCCGCACGTACCAACCTCCCTATCTACCTGCTTGCCGTCTGTCCGCGCGCGCGCAAAGCACGGGCGCGGTTCAGCGCCCCCAGGAGACGCCACCGGGGAGCGCGATGGGCCGCCGCCGTGGAAAAGGACGTTGTGGATCGAAAGAGGCGTGCTCCGTAGCCAGACAGGCAGACAGACAGACACGGTCCAACATGCCGCGGAGAGTGCGCTTCCTGGGTCGAGCGATCTACGACATGGTAGATAGGCAGATTCGGGACGAGGTGCCCTCTTCTCTCGAGCTCAGACGCGTAGTTGTCGAGGGGAGACCCGGCTCCGGTACGTTGTGCCGTCCCCTCTTCACGTAGACGTGGGGTTGTACGTGTAGAGCAGCGGGGGGCGGTAGGCAGAGAATAGGGAGAGAATAGAGAGAGTACGTAGCCCCCTCGTGGGAGACGGGAGGATATCTCATCCCAGGCACGTCTGTTCTCTGAGAGGAGGAGAAAGCGCGCGTCAGCCGGCAGTTAGTAGAGGCCTCGGTCCGCTTAGAACTGTACATATCCCCTACACGATGTATAGGTACGGATACCCAGACATACAGGCAGATCTAACCTCGTTCGTATGTCTCTGCCTTTCAAGCCAATATCTGCCATCTATCGTCTGTCCGCCTCCCCGTCCTTATACCACCTATCCGCAACTGCATCTACTCGTCGTCTACGACATTCTCGTGCTAACCCGCCCAACAAGCTGACCACAAGTCGACCGCGCCTATCTCGGCTCCCACGTAGGCGCCGATCCTCACTCCTTCCCTCGAGAGAGTCAGAAATGAATAAAAGGGGGAGAACTTAGTCGAACGCGTGAGAAGTCAAATTTAGCTCCTTTGGGAGTGCTACTGCATCATGATCCATACGGCATCCCTCTGACCCGCGATGATATTGGGACAAGAAAAGGGGGCTTGGTCCAGGTGCATAAGACGGGACGAACGTAGTTGCGTGGACGTCGCGGCCGTAAAATAGGTCAATAAAAGACGCTGCTGCATGGCACGGTAACGGAGGATGGAGGTCGGCCACCCAAGCCCAATGTTGGTGTGGTATATGTGGTGGTATATTGGTCGGCCAAATCTCACGACGTGAGAGACCACCCACCCACCCATCCGTCCACCCTACCGCGCGTGCGTGTCTTAGGTGCTACCATCTGATATGTACTGTACTTTTTCATTGCCATGATATCGTAACCGTAACATCGTCGATCCCGTCGAATCTCGCGATTTAATGCCTATGTGTTTTTTTTTTTTGCCTCTTCGCCTTGTTGTGGGCTGCTTTGAATCAAACGTACGCATCCAAGAGCTGGTTGGCTTCGCAAGACAACTCCCAAATAGCCACCACACCCTCAACGCTTGTCTAACTAGGGGTCGGAACTCAGCCCATCAGACAAGACATACCACCCACACACACCCCATTTTCCCGAGAGGGCCGCCAGGCTCAGCCGCGAATGCCGTCGTTGCTATCGCCGTCGACGTTCGCGCCACTCCCTTACGTCGGACACGTGGGCCACCCTACCTTGGAGAGGAGGAGGGCGGGGGAGCGACCTCGGGCAACTCCCATACCGGAAGCCCATCCAGAAGCATACCCACCTCTCCGAACTTTTTGAGGCCGGTATCGTTGGCATCATTTTCTTTAATCTGTTCGAAACGATGTGTGCTCGCACCGAACGGGGATAGTGCACGAAAGAGCGCTACGACGCACAGGGCGACCACGCTCGCCACAGCTCCCCCAATGGCGACGACCACCTGCGTGGGATGACTCGCGCCATCGCCTCCGCAGCCCTCCTGGACACCACCGTCGCGCCACTTCCGCCAGCCATTGTCAACGCCGGGGACTGCCTCCAGGGATCCTGCAGCGAAGCTACTGATCAGGCCTAGTGCGCCACGAGGTGCAGGTTCCCGCCAAGGCAGATCCTGACCGTGCTCAAAGGCCTCCATCTCGCTCAAGAATCCCGCTAGGCGACTGTAGGACTTCTCTAGCGCTGTCTTGAGGATAGGATGCGGCGTGCGCACACGCATTAATTGTAGGTAACCATACGCTAAGAAGTCAAGCGACGACGGCTTATCATCCTGCAGGAAGAATTTCTTGTCCCCTCGGAGCTGGTCCATGACATGATAAAAATCCTCTGCAAAGTGCTGAAAGCGGATGGAGGCCGCATGCTCGGGCTGCATGGTGCGGCTAGGCCCTAGACGATGCCGGAGTCGGAGAAATCCGGTGGTGGTGGTCTCAGCTATACCGCTAGATGGGAGAGGTTCCTCGGCGTCGACCTCAGCAGCCAGGTGGCCGATACCTAGATGCTCAGCGGTTTGAACAGCAGCGGCACGGACGGCCGACGGTATCGTCCACGTTAGGGGGAAGGGGAGCAGGGATGAGTAGGCTGGCCGGGTAATCTCGGCCCACGCCCTAGGGGAGACGTAGAGCGACATGGCAACTAGACCAGCGCCGCGAGTTGCCAGAAACGAGGCGTAGGCTAGGGAATCGGCTTTCTGTAGCGTGGTGAGGCCGTCGTCAATGTGAAAAATGCCATGCCGAGCTAGATACGAGAGGATGTTGGCATATCCGGAAGTCCAAACGCCACTGTGGCTCAGCGCCGGGAGACGGCCTGACGAGTGGTCTGATCAGCAAGCTCCTTCTCACCGGGGGGAAAAGGATCTCGGGGAAGGGGTGGACGACGGTCACGACATGGCTTAGCTACGAGCGATTCAGACAGGACAGCAAGGGGGCGAAAAAGGGAAGAGAGGCATACAACCCGGACCGGCGGTAGCGTCGTTGCTGGCGATTAAGGACCAGTCTCCGCGAGGAACGAGCCGACGGAGACAAGCGACGGCAGCTAAGCACTCGGGATCGATCGAGTCGAGGCCAAGCGCCGGACCCCAGACATACAACTCGAGAGCCATGGCAAAGGTAAGGGGGGAAAGAATAAGAGGATGGAGGAGGAGGGGGGGGGGGGGCTAGAGGGGCGAGGGGTCGACTGGGCAGCTATGCCTAAGCTTCAAGCAGCTTCAAGCAGAAGGTTGCAGAACTCCGGCCCGGTCGCTGATCAGATCGGCAAGCAGAATCAGCTGATGACTGGCCTGCCAATGAAGAGCCGAAGCGATGTGGTATGGCCGCCGGTCCGCAACCGTCCGTACTCGTAGCGAGGTCTCAACCACACTTCTAAAGCGGCGGGACTGGAATCGGAGGGCCGACAGCGAGCGAGTCTGGCACCGGGAAGCGCCGTGTGCGGTCGCACGCTCGGATACCCGGGCTGACACCACGGAGGGCAGAGAGGATTAGGGTAGCAATGGGATGGCGACTGGCTAGCCGATTCAAGTGGGCGTCGCAGACGATCGCGTTCCGGTTGCCGCCGTGCCCTGGTTGGCTCGAAGGCTGCGAGCCTGTCGATTGATTAGGGAGGGGAGAATGCGGACGAGGCATGAATATGGGGGCGGATCCTGTCGAAGATCATCCCTAGGTCAGGTTATCGCTTGGTCTTGGGGACCGGGGCACGTGGTGATAAGCGTCGACGCTACGTAACATTCCCCTGGTCAGGCTGACGTCACGTAATCAGACCGCGATCCACAGCAAATCAATTGCGCAGCTGGCAATTGGCCAGCGCCAAATCACTAGGTACCTAGGTACCTCAGGAAAGCAATGCAAATCACTAGGAGGTGCCTGCTAGTCAAGCGCATGTACACGGTACGTATAATAGGGTAGGTACCTACCTCTCTAAGGTACCTGATCTACGCTGCGCGTACACTCCCTGCAGCTAGCCCACCAAAGTTAGGCATCCCATACGTGTACAGGTACTTTGAGAGCAGGCTTCTTCCCTTGGCCGGTACATAGTAAGGTTGCCCATCAATTTCCCACCTGGAATTGACCAGTGTAATTGCTGGCTGGCTTTGTGGGTCGATTCGCGGCCTACCATGGATGTGTGTCAGGCACATGCATGCCGTGTGTGTGCAGTAGGTACCTAGGTACTTAGGGCTAACGTCGGTTAAAAAACTGGTCCCATCTGGTGCTCTTTTAGTTGGGTAGTAGATGCTATTCCCATCATCCCCTTTAATGCTCTCCGGTCCTGGCAACGTTCCCATGTTCTCCTCGCTTCCGCTCGGCTTTTTTTTTTTCGCTCTCTCTCTGCTATAAGAATCCCGTGGGCATCAATTTTTTTTTTCTCGCCTCCCCCTGACGATCCAGACAGTGGCAAATACGGGAGGATCGGTGCCTGTTCGCACGTACGTACGTAGGCGTGATGAAACGTCGAAGGGCGCCTATCTGCTACACTAGCTCATCGCGAAATAACACGACGGCCGGCTTCGCAGGAGCTAAGGAAGAAAGGGAGGGCAAATAATCCATCCCAGCGAAAAGCCGAGTCTTGTATACCGCCAATCTGCGCGTGGTGCATGGGTCGAGACGGCAGAGCCAACTTGACGTTGCACGCCCGGGTTGCTATAAAAAAAAAACGTGGCCGGTAATTACACCAGGGAACCTAATGCATGCAGCCTGCGTAGATTGGGTAGTCCTACATGCGATAGCATGCCGCTAGGCTAACTATCGTGAACCTGTGATGACCTGGGACAGGCGGGTGAAGCCATTCTGCTACGTGGGAGACTTGACAGCCAAGAACCGTCCGATGTTGCCGACCCAAATCGGATGGCGCCAGGGGGATTTTCGCGACGGGAGCTTCTCGGAGTTCTCGGAGGTTTACGTGCTTTTTTTTCCTTTTTTTTTTCCTGCCTCTGATGATCTCTGTTTCCTGCACTACGACGACGGCAACGATGTCGACGTTGATGTCGCAAGGGCCGGGAGGATGGCAAGGCGCGCGATAAACGTGTGGAATCAACCAACGTCTTCTTAGCAGGCGCAGCACGCCGAGCCTCGTGTCTCCGTGCCGCGCCGGAAGACGAGCCACATCACAATAGTGACCTACCTAACCCAGGCCACCGCATGCGTGCAATATCGACACGACGGGAGTAGAAAAAGTCCCAGGCGGTCTGTTTTGCGCGGAATCGACTACGTGGAAGCATCACGCGGGGTATTTCCACAACACCCTTCTTCTGTGGGGGGCAGGGTTTGGGGGTGTCTAACTGAAATGTCCTTGCGCCCGCCCTGACGCATTACCGTGGGATGGGATGAGATGGGATGGACGCCTGAGGAGCAGCATGGGATATTCCTGCACAGTGCGCGTAGACAAGAGAAGAAAAATGTGGTGGAAGAGGAGGGCGGCGTCGCTCGTGGAGACTCTGCCCCACCGCTCTGCGCTGCTCCGTCGCAGCCACGGAGATACGGACTACCCGGCCGATTCTTCCCCAGGTGGTAGGCATGTATGAGTATGGGTTGTTGGTTTCGTTGCCTGTACGCAGATCGCGCATAGCTCGCCCATCGAGGCTTGTCCTAAAACGCTCCTCGCCCCGTCCATTGCTTGCATGCAGCGCTGCATATCAGATGCCTTTAGGGGTTAGGTTTGTTGCGTTAGCGAAGACGTTCCCGTCAGCGTTGGTGGAATGTATGCGCAGGTATGACGAGTGTATCCATGTCTCGCCAGCTGGGCTACGCAGGCTGCCTGTGCTGCTTACATCTTCGTGATGGGAGGGCTCGTGGAGAGAGACAATAGAGGACGACAACGCACGCAGGCCACGCCCCTGTTAACATGGGGTCCTGGCGAGTCACGACCTGTTGGTAGTTGGAATCCCCTCGATTTGTAATAACTCAATCGTCCCCCGAGGCCTTAATCGCAACTCAATGTGCCGGCTGGGTCCATCGAGGTGCCTCAGGTGCCGCTCCTTTCCCGCAACTTTCCGTGCTCCGGCATCTGGAGGGCCGAGCACCTCATGTGGTTGGTGGTGTTGGCTTCGCGTGGTGAATTACTCCTGGGGCGGGCGACTCGACCTCCTCCGTCTCACAGGTATGCCTTATCCACAAGCACCGAATCGAGGTGCGGAGTCACGATGTAAGGGAGAGAGTATGCGATGAACACAAGTTGCGACAATCCACTCAACCACTCCCCCCCTTCCCCTCCTCCTCCCTCACCTGCTTCCGAGCGAGCGAGCCGTAGCGCAGCGCATAAGGCCGCGGTGTCTCGAGAAGTGTCTGACCCGGAGTCCTGGGTATTGTGCGCGAATTCGCTTCCTGGTTCGATAGATAAGCCCGGAACTAGTCCACTTAGTCCTTCTTCACCGACTTTGCATTCCCTTGCTTCCAACGCTACTGTGACGAGAGATGAGCATATGACTTACATGACTTCGGATTAGCCAGCGTGGGGCAGACCTACGATCGCCAAGGGTTAAAATCAATCACTTAGGTATCAAGCCAGGTTGAGCGACTGCACGTGGTCCTCGATTGAGACCTGAGACCTGGGACAGGGGAAATAGGAGACGAGAGAGGCCAGACTTCGTCACCGAAGCCAAAAAAAAAGGCACATGTCACTTAGAGAAATAGACCACACAATGGCATGCAACGTTAACATCTGTTTCCAAGACGATTGTCGTTGAGACAGTTTGGATTGATTACAAGTCGATTAACTGATACATTGCGTAAGGACTTCTTGTTCGTGCATCTCATTCCAATGGGTCCGACTGCTGGGCGCAGATTCCCCCCCCCCTTCGGTTTGTCATTCATGGTCTTTCCCAGCCACCTCAACCCCCTTTCCCGTCGCAAGCAAAAACCCATTCCCGTATCCATGAATGCCACCTCCTTCTTTCCCGTGGGGTATCCGGCGCACGCCTTAGCCATTTCTTCGCACTAGACGCCATTGCAATGCAAACGAGAAAACAGAACCATCTATAGGTACAGTGGACGACGATGACTTAGGGAGGGAATAGAGAGAGAGGAAAAGTACAGAGGCGAAAGAAGGAGGGACACCAGCGGCATCAGGTGCCCACACTCGAGATCCTCCCCTCCCCCGCGGGTAAACGTCATTGAATAGTCGCGTATTAAAATGTGGTCGCGTATAGCTCGTCAAATAATACAGATCGTGCGCGACAAGGCGCAGATCAGAAAAAGGTAAGTTCGACAGTGGGCGTTCGTGTGCGTGTGTTGAGATGCGCTATGCTGCGCTGTGTAGGTGTGCGCTGTTGCGGAGCCAGCTCTCATCGCGTGCGCGAAGCATTGTTGCTAATGCGGCTGCGGTTTGGAGGCGAGTCGCGAAAAAGAAGCAGAGCTAGGTGATGTTGCGGTTGACCGTTTCCGACATGTGACGATGCTCGCGCGAGGCTTTGACGATGTTGACACGGATCGAGCTGCAGCGTGCCGTACATTTAATGTCGCTGCAGGGTTCGTGCATGTGCCCGCCGACGAGGGAAGGTGTTGAGAGCTGCCAGGGGTCGCCGAGAGAGATAGAGAGGGAGAGAGAGGCAGAGTCGCAGGCATTATTTAAGCATGCGTGAAATGCAACAGTGCTGCAGACGAAGCCTGCCACCGCTTACATAGCCGAATGGGCCTTTTTAGATGAAGAGGATGCCGAGAGCGAGAGGGGAAATAAAGGGCACAATAGGAAGTGAATAGGACTGAAGGAGTCCTTCCCGTAGATTCGTCGCCTGATGATCGTCCGTTTCCACCTGCATGCCTCAATGCCCGTCCCCCGTACCGCCGGAAGCTGTCGAGAATGTCCCTTCGTGTGCTGGTTAAATCCGCGGTAGATGGTGTCCTAATAGACAAGTCCGTTGGCTCGGAAGAGCCATCGTCCAGCGCCGCGAAGCCTAGCCACTCTTGGGCAGAGGGGGGAGCGGCCGGCTGGGTGGGGGACCGGGGCAGGGCGGGAGCTGAGAAGGCCGCTGCGAGGGCAGGTCGAACACTGAGGTAGAGGCCATCGTGATGGTAGTTGTGAGTTGCTGGTTAACAGTTGGTTGGAGTTGAGGTTGTTGAGTTGGGGTGGAGGCGAGTGCTAGGATGCAGGAGGAAGTCTTCTGGGGGTGGATGGGAAGATATAACTTGGATGGGAGCAAGAGCTGTTGTCTTCAACTGTGGTCTTCTACTGTCTGATGGACTGGGGAATCGATCGAGACCCTGGAAGGATGGGGAGAGCTCGCCTTATGTAGGTAGATACTCCTGTTATGAACTGAGGTTTTGTCTCTTTGAGATGAGCGAGAGAACTATTCCGAGGCCATCATACCCGATATCACCTAGCTCGCCGCATTTAACGGAATACACCGCTAGACTACGTAGGCACAGTAAGATTACCGTACGGATCAGGCATGGAGGTACCTGTCTAGCCATGTAGCCGGCTTCACGAGCGAGCGACAAAAATAATAATCGTAGGTAATAAATCCCTTCCCTCCCCCCCCCCTTCTCCCTCTCGCCCTCCCACCCCAGCCCTGGCCACTACTATACCAGGGCCACAGTGACGCAGCCCGAAAATGTGAACAGGGGAGGGTGAGGACAGGGGCAAGATGGACTTCGACCCACTTGGCTGGGGTGAGGGAGGTATGGGTATGCATGTCGTGTATCCTCCTCCATACTATGTAGAAGAAGAAAATGAAACAAGCATAGGCCCCTCACCACCCTGTCACTTCAGCATGTGCTACATACGCCGAGCGTCCCCCTGGTCGAGACATATGGCCCAATGTACAGTACATGGCGCGCATAGTCGATTGATTGCACATGAAATTGGGGACTGCCCGAAATAGCTGGTCGCACAATGCCAGGCCTGGAGAAGGCTGGTCGGCAGAGCTCGACACCATTGGATTACGGAGTGCCGCTCAATCTGTTCATGTTGACCTGATCCCGGCGGCCGAGGACGAGGGCGACAAAAGCGAGGCTTTGAACGAGCTAGCCCGTCGCTAGGCTTCACGACCATTAGTCGTCCTTGTTGCGAGCAAGGACTACGTTCGGAACTAGAGGGCCTCGGTTGCGGTAATATGAGCAAATGACGACTAATAACTCTCCACTGCTTCGAAGAAGACTCGTAGAACATTGCAAGTTCCCGCTATGTTGTCGTCGGCTCCACACATGCCGGGAAGAGAATCATGAGAATTTTTGTGTGGGATATTGTGTTGGGGATAGATTTCGATCCGTGCGAAAGCTTTTTTTTTTTCTCTCGCTCGGTCTCGCTTTTCGATCAGGGGAAAGTGGGCTACTACTACTCATTACCACTTTACCGTCGGCCTGCCCATCGAATGATGGGATGGCGTACGGCGTTGCGGTGAAAAGAAAAAGGGTATTTGAAAATGTAGCGACCACCGTTGAAAACCAGTAAGTGCCATACCACTAAATTTTATGGAAGAAATCGAAGTAAATAATCAATACCACGAGTCGGGTTGGTTTAATTCCCTCGTGTTGGCGTCAGTTGCTGAGTCTACTATTGCACATACTAATAGCTACAACATACGAATGCTAATTACCCTGACCCACCCCAAGCACTGAAAGAAAAAAAAAAAAACCCCTAGGCTGAAGTGTCAACCGTTCCAAATTCAAGAGGCGAGTCATGATGCGCGCGCACGCCGGGCAGGGAAGCGACACAGCTTCGTCTCGATGGAGCTGAGGAGGCCGCTTTGATACCCTACCCAGGCAAATGCTTCGGCGACGATATTAGACGGTGAATCTTACAAGCGACCAGGCACCGCCGCGTTGAGAACGAGATTTCATTCGACGAATGCCGAGGATCTGTGCTCAGGCTGCTTGGGTACCTGGCAAGGTCAGTGAGATGAGAATCTCATCATCTATCAACATGCGAGCGGAAGGTCAGCTGGCCAGCACAACCCTGTGAAGTCTCTCTAGGCGCTCTAGGGAAGCTGGTCAGAACCCCTGCGCTCCCCAGCCCTAACTGCTGTCGTCTAAATGGCTTCTTGTGCTAAGACTCATTCGGCTCGTCACCCTTACGTAGGTTATTCCACGTCCTGACTTCGCGCTTTGATGCGTAAACTGGAGAAACTGCAAAAGATCCGATCGTCGCGACCGATGCCGTAGGCGATCTCTCCCTCTCTTTCACCCCGCCCCCCCCTCTCTTTCTCCGGGCGTCGCGAAGGGAGAACAATAACACCCCGGTGATATACGTAGATGGCGGAACGAGATCGCCGGTCGACGGACTAACATACGGATGTGCTTCGATAGTGTCTAGATTTGCTTCTTCTGGGTTGCTGACAGCCGATAAGTCGACGGCTGAAGCTGGCAACGGCCGAAAAGGAGATGGATTGAGACTAATATAAGCGTCTATTATACCTATCGGCCTTCCGATTTTGACGGACAATAGCATTCTCATGAAGCTGAACGCGAACGCCACAACGACGGCCGTACCGACGAAAGTAGCCGAGCCATCCGCTTCGCACAATATTGAATTGATGCCATCACCGTTATTATCCTCCATCACGATCCGCAACGCTATAGATTCGCAGCCCGGAGTTAGCAGCTGGACTTACCCTGCCTCAGGCGCCTCGGCTGGTTCCTCGGCGCTTATAAGAAAAGGACGAAAAATTTCGCGCCGAGGAGGATACGAGGACGCCTACCATAAGTGACTACGTGGCACCTATTCGTCGAAATGTCATGACATCTCTACGCTAACAACAATGGGATCCTCACCCCGTGTGTACGGGGTTGAGTTCGTTCAGACTGCAGGTTGGGCCGACATGCCCATTCGGAAGTTTTGGATCAAGCCCAAGACCGTGAGTCACGATGTGTTAAGACATGGTCGCAGGCATGTCGCCGTTAGAGGACAGGTCATTTGCCGACAGGAGGAAGCCTACATGACCTCAACGGCCAGGGTATCGTGGATATTTTCGAAGAGCGCACAAAGTTGGGGAATATGAAGGGAAATATCATAATAGTAATAATAACTGCGATAGTGACCGTAATAATGCGTAGGATCATGAGCCAATGTTGACGACCCATGGAGCTGATGAGAAATCCTTCAACTTCTTGTCCGAAAGCATACACCTACGCAGAAACCGAACAAGTAGCCTAACTTGCTCGCCGTGCGTGCCCTAAAGCCCGCCCGTCAGCGCGCTTGCATACGGCCCCTGGCGTCTAGGTCTTTAGTCGTAAAAACCTATGTGTCCGGCGGCACCCAGAATTTCAAAAACCTCACCGCTCATCGGGATTTGCAGTACATGTGTATTCACACACGAGACAAGTGTGCGTATGCCGGTAATCTACCGCCAACGTGATTCTCACGAGGCAGAAGTATTGGAGATGCCACGGTCCAGTTGATACACGACATACGCGATACAACCCAAGACCATCAGCATAGCGGCGCCTGTGCTATGTAAACCGGCAATAATAATACCCTTAACAGTGGCAGCAGAATAGCAGCCGTACTACATATCATGCCGTACCCGTCAGTCTTAAAATAGAAATCAGTCGGAGCTAACTACAATACATATATACGTACATATGCACAGGAATATTGCCATGCGTTATGTAGCACTGCGAGCAGGCGGAATCTGATGGATACCACTCTAACATAATCGATACATACATAGCAGCCTTCTTTGCACAATGAGAACACTGCGAATGTGCATGTTCGTATTGTGCATACGGCTCATGTAAGGGCTGTTGAGAAAGGGGGGGGGGGGGATGAAAAAATAATAAAACGAGCCTGGCCGACAGGGATTAGAGCTAACCCCCCTGAAGCCTGAAGCCGAGGGAGTTCTGGGCGTCCTACGTCCTGTCTGAGACCAAGCTTGTTCCCTAGTAGGGGAGGCCGGCAGTGGAACTCGTCGCTCTCGCCTGGCACACAATTTCCAACCAAGTGAGGGCACTCGGCAATACGGAGCGAGACGAGCTCTGAACCCACTCGCAAGAGTCAAGGGGTGAGACCTGATCGGTCAAGCCAAGAACACCTGTTTGATTGGAGTGGAATCCAATTTGGCAGAGATTTTCACTTTCGCCAGCCTTCTAGAAGCATTCTCTGGATGCCTTGGCACAAGTCTCCTTTTTTTCCTCTTCGACGTGACCTCACAAGCGGGAACCTATCACCTATGATCCTGGAAGGGGAGGTATTTCCCCAATATCGAAGCCTGTATATTAAGCGGAGACGTTTCATCATTATGCTCATCGCAGAAGCTCGGTTGACAAGCCCGGATGAATACGGAGATACTGTAGGAATATGATTCGTCTAGGCCGCAAGATGCGATAAGTGATCATAATCAGGCCTGAGCGCGGAGGGGAAGAGAGGGAGACCGAGATACGCCCTAGCTCTTGGCACACGATCGATCGCCGTAGCCGATTCGGGGCATCTGTCTCGCCAGGGTCACCAGAGCGTAGAAAGTAAGGTCGCATATCGCTCGCGGTGGCTTGCCCACAGTGGCTGTCATCTGACGGCTTTGTATGCACGCTTGTCGAATCCTTCACTCGATTCGGTAGTTTCTTGCATGCCAGGCAAGCTGGACTTACCAAGGCACTGGGTCTGGAGGCCTTATTCACCTGGTTGTGGTGCCTCGCTGAGTCGTCCTTTTGAACATCCCGGTCCCGTTGGCGTTCTATTCCCTACTAGGTATTACGTATACGGACGTATTCGTCGACGAGCTCGATACAACACATCCATACGTATATCCATCTCCGATGACCGACCCGAGCCCTCCCCGCGATCCTTTGCGTCGGCATCTGGAAAAGACTGGCCGGCAGGCCATGTATCCGCGGAAGCGCTGGGAGTGTTGGGCTACGAGCGGTACGTCGCAGTTCGCTTCGGACTGATAACTTCCTACAATGCTCTTACGCGAGACGACCCAGGCGACGCGTGTCTCCTCTCTATCGAAAGAGCATGTCTGATACACAACGAATGTTCGTGGCGAATGCTCGGGACCAGGTCTCGTCAGCTTATCAGCGCGGGGAGGGCATGCTCCTGTCCATCGCTGTCGCTTATTTGCGCGGGTGCCCTGTTTCTAAATGAGCGAACCCTTGAAGAATGTCAGCCACAGTCGAAGACATCTAACCTATTACTGACCCTGGCTCCTTCGGATTGCTAAGCGTCCAGCTGGGTCAACGTGAAGTGGGTATCGCAGCCCTACAGCACACGAGATGGGTGAATCCCACAGGCAACGAAAGAGCCAAGCCGCAAAGTAGTTCCCTCGCGAACGAGGCTGAGGACGGTATGCTACGACGGAGCAACCTATCTACCCTGTGCATGTGGGAGATATAGGTAGCGTGGATAAGGGAGGGGAGAATGCGGGTGTGTTGCAGATATGCATGTCGACTCTAGTTGCAGATGGCTGGTTGTCTTGTTCGTAGGAAGTCTACCTGCGTAGTGAGTTGACAGAGGTTTCTGGTTGATCATATCTCCTCTTCACAGAGAGCCCTAGCTGCCGTTACTTTTCAGTTGGTAATACAGTCACAGGGTCGATCTACGCCAGTCTCGCTGCGGACAGCCAAATACTCGGCGTTTCGTGGCTCTGATCGCTGCTCAGCTCCCCTCCCTCACCGCCACATCCTCGCAAACGGAACAGGGTCACCAGGCATCGAAATCCTGGGGGAGGCGTCAAACAACATCCCATATCCGGGCACTTCCCGCTAAGCGTCGGTTAAAATGACGAACGCAACGGGTTACGAGCGGGCGGGATCTGCTGCGGGATATCACGGATCACCTCACTCGCCGTAGAGGAGTGAGTCAATAACGCTGCGCGCGTATTATACCTCCGCGCACACCACCTCCCAGCCGTCTCCTCCGGAGCTGGCCTCGCTGATTGACCAATGGAAAGGTGACGACGTCCTGACCCTGAAACATCTACAGGTCGTCAAAGGCCGCGATTCATCCGTGCCAGGAGAGAACAGGCCACCGTGCAGCTGTCTCTCCCCGCGATATCACATTCCCTCCCACGTGGGGACAGGGGCGGGTTGGGCTGGGCTCTGACCCCTGGGCGCGTCGGCCATCTCCTTGTTCCCAACAGTGGCCCGAGCTGGTCGAGGGGGATGTGCGAATTCGTGACGAACGACACGACGTGGTCTGATCATCGGTCACGATGGGAGTGCGAGCAGCAGCCCGTAAAGGGAGGCTTCAGCCACACGCATACAATACATACCTAGGTGGTAGGTACTGGGTGTGCCCATGTCCGTGTCCGTGTCCGTACGCATATTCCTACATACACGAGAAGAAGGTCAATGCTACGCTACGACGTATATACCTCTACCACTACACCGTCGGCATTCAGCATACCCATCGTACTCATATGAAGCTGATCTTCCTATGTGGTACGCGACAGCCCTGGCAAATGACGGCCTCCCGCACCTGAATCGTCGCAGGGAGACTCGTAGATGTTTGTGCGCAACACCCCGGTGAGATCTGACAATCACTTGCGGTCTGCGAAACCCGACGATAGGCAGCGGCAGTCGTATCGCTGTAGTTGATGTGCCAGCTCATTATTATGGCTTCTTGTGTCTTCCCCTTTCCTCTTCTCCTTGGCCAAGTTATTGGCCTCTCTAAGCAGGCTGCCGCACGATGCCAAGCGGAGAATTGCGTACGCGTTCCTGAATCATCTTCCAAGCCTCTTCCGTGCTACGCTCCGGAACAGTAGCGAGTATTGGGCAATCCGAGCATACCCCTCTCCCCTTTCCTTCGCCTGTCTCGGCGGCGTTGCATCGCCTAATCCTTGTTTATATTATTCCATATATATACCTACACGTACATGCTACATACACGTATGTATGTGTATATGAACCATCCCAGGGCTGTGGGGGATGTGCGAGCCTGCTCGATCGATTATCGTGATGTGGCGCCAACCCCATCCGAGACTCTGCCACCGCCCCCATCTGCTCTGGGTGGGTAGGTACCTACAGGAGATCGACGGCGATAGGTACCGGTACCATTGCTGGCTGGTTCAAAGTTGTATGAAGTCATTAGCCGTGTCGAGCACGGTCATACATGTCCATCTACCTGATGGATGGTGGCTTTTCTCATTCTCGTGTGCATCGTCATCGCATTCCCCTGGACACGCCTTCGCATCTTGGCTACGCGCCAACCGCTTTTGTTCTGGTCACGCGGCCACTAAATCGGCCCAGGGTGGGAGCCCAAGAGCGGATGAACGGGAGTGTTCGGGCTGGCCATCGACAAGCATCGCTGATCGTCAGTCTGACAGGCACAATCAACTGTCGACCACCCCGTCAATCTGTTGTTACTGACGAACCCTCCATTACGAAACTCGCGAAATGGTGGGTAGCACTCTGACGGCCCATCAAGGAGGGGGTTATCATACAACAGTAGCCGTGGGGGCTACCCAACAATATGCAGTATGGGCGTACGCAATCACATATTCACAGACGCTATCGTCGCGGAGCAATACGTGTACAGAAATATAGGTAGGTATACCTAATTGGAGGTGGATCGCAAAGCGCCGAAGAAGCCGCTGTCGTATTCAGCGATCAATGACACGGTCCGAAGCCAGGATCGGCGCGGACCCCAAACCTCACCCTCTCTGTCGCCCTCACCATATCTCTCTTCCATCATACGACGGCGAGGCAGGAGGGGCGGTGACCTCCTCGGTGTCGTATCGCATCAGGGCCATCTATACGCGACAAGACGGACACAATGCATGGTATGTCTACGCATCTAGGCACGCCTGGGTATGTGTGCACTTCATGCTGCTGCTCATGAGTCAGATATGCGAAAGCCCCCCGATGCCGCCTCCAGCTCGCTGAGGGGAATCCGATGCTCTGGATTGCCAAGCGTCCCGATCTGCAATCTTGCAACACACGTGTCCTTGGGAGCACAGTCCCAATGGTAGGCGCGGGCTTTGGTAGGATAGGATCAGGCCCTGGCGCCCGAAAATGCAGCCTGATAAGGTCGACGAGGTGATGGCAATGGTCGATGACGACGGCCTAACCACCCCTCCTCTTCCTCAGCTCCTCGGTCCCGATTCCTCCAATGGCACGCTGTCCCAGGAGCATATTCTCCCGCATCCCTTGTCCGCAATCCAATGGCAAGGGTCCCCGCGTCGATATGAGCCACGGCGTGTCACACCAGTCAGGGCAAAGAGGGGAAAAGAGGCACGGAAATTTAAAAGATGACGGAGGGGGTGGTTGGCTGGGACTGGCCGGACGAGCTGAAGTCGGGAGGAGAGATGAGGGGAGGGAGATGGCTAGTGGAAAGCGGTACGGCACGACGCCGTTGGTGGTGATGTGTATAGTGATACCTACCCGCTTAGAGCACATCACCTGAGACTCGCAAGTCAATACTATGTAGACAGACATAGCTCAGCTCACGGACGTACGGAGTAAACTCGCCAGCCTATCTACCTACCGTTTCATCTATCTGTCGGGATTGCGCAACCCTCAGAGAATGATAAAAAGACCGACGGAGCCGACCCGCTTTGGCCTGGGTTAAAATCTGATGTTGTCAGCTGACGGATACCATCGTGGTAAACGATATTATAGACTCCGGACCTTACCCTGCTCAGGCGGATCCGAGAGTCAATAGTATCCGAACACCAAGTAATACCGAGAACAGCGGACATGTAGTCAGAGGAGCACCAACTCTCATCCCCCGTCAATTCCGAGTAACCCAACTCGGCGGACGCTACCCTATGGTTGGGCGACTAGGGTATAGGAGGAGGCAGAGGAGGAGGAGAAGATGGATGTACTGTACATCTACACATAACTGACTGACTGGCATGGAGTTACAGCTAGGCTGAGCAGGGCCCTACGGTTGAGAATAGAGAGAGAGAGGGAGAGGGACGCTGGCGAATCATCTGACCCGTCCCGGAGCCACTTACACGTATCAACCTACGAAGCGAGAGGATATCCTGTCAGCATTCTAAACGCTGTGCCCTCGAAATACTTACATAGTGGGTAGATGAACGACGATGGATCGGGTGCGGCAGTTCGTCCTCACGCATGGTACGTCCACACGCACTCGTTCACTCACACGCACGCACGCACACTCACGCACACCCACACCCACTCACGTCCGCACACCACACACATGCATCATGTACTTACTGCGTCCCGCTGTCGAATAAGTCCGACAGCGTGACAAATCGACGGGGAAACAAACATCTTAGACGTAGCGGTCATAACTATAATATGACCGTAATCACGGCAAACCAAGAAATCTGACGCATAAGCGTCTGTATACACAGACACACCCACCTACGTAGGCGACAGCTGCATAAATACCTTAAGTAGGCGGGTATAACCCAGCCGTATACACCTACCTATGTAAACATAGAGAAGAGTATATGTATGTGTGCCTGCTATAACGAGGCATAATATAGGTACCTAGGGCGAGCCCGCCGTTTCTCCCGCATGCAGTCTCCGCCCAGGGCAGCGGCATCGTATTGGGCTATGGGATAACCCGATGCGCGGGAACCTACGCAGCACCCACGAGGTCGGAGCCGGTGTGTTGCCTGCTGCTGCGTCACCGCGGTCTGTGCTGCGCTGCGCTGGTTCGCTGGCCTGTTGGTATCTGCCTGGGTTGTATGTGGGCGACGCGACCGGGGCTGGGTAAAGGGGGTTGCGAGAGAGACAGGGGGAGGAAGACCGGGGGGGAGAGGGAGCAGGCAGAGCGGGCGCCACACACCCACATAATACCGTGCAAGAACACCCTATAGCACACACACACACATATATACCCCGGACCGCGCGGAGCCAGGCAGACGAATAACGAGCATGCCTACACGGCGCAGTAGGCAAGCGAGGCAAGACAACGCTCCGTGCCTCGGCACGACACGACACGGAACACTCGGTATCCGTCGTGAAACTGGAGGCAGCAGCAGCAGCAGCAGTGCCTCGCAGCAAGGCCTAACCAACCCGCCACCGCAGCAGCCTTTCCGGGTGTGGTGGAGGGAGGGCGGCCGAGCCAGGCCGAGGTTGATATGTGACAGGAAGGAGGTCGAAAGACCAGGAGCTTCGGCCGAGGCTGGCGCGGCGTCCGCGGCGGCGTCGGCGTCGGGTCCATGACCAAAAGCAAGCCTGCCTGGCCTGGGTTACCCGCGGAGGTACGTCCCATGTTGGCAGTGATAGCCGCGGGGGGGGGGGGGGGGGGGGGGAGGCGGAGCCGTTGCAGGTGTATAGAGCCGTATCGTTACATGCCGTGCCGCAGCATTAGTAAGAGATGTCTATATATATAAAACACATGTAGGATATCCCCTATTCAACTAATAGAAGCAGTTAACTATCTAACGTACAAGTTAGCTGTGTAAGTATGTATGCGTTTGCACACACCTGCGCACTCGTACACGTATACGTATGTATGTAGGCGTATGTACGTATGTGGGTATATATAGAAACCGGCCGAGCACAATTGGAACGTCTATATACCTGCCTACCTAGGTAGGTATTTGCCGGCCGGTATAGGGGTTATTATATCTCGCGTTGGTGGCATGCCCGCCTCTCTCGCTACGACTCCCGCTCTTGGCTCTTACACGCATACGGGGGGAGAGGGCTTCGGCCTGCATCCAACGCCCACATGTCCGCGCGCGCGCGCAGGGCAGACGCCGTGGCGTGAGCTTCGCCAGCGCACGTACGCACGCACGCTCGCTCGCTCCCAACCACGTCGGCGCGCGCAAGGCCGGGAGAAGCCGCTGCTATTAATACCCGCCTGCCTGCCTGCCTGCCTCCCGTGCCACGATCGCCCTGCCTACCCTCTCGATGCGGCAGCTCACCTGCGTCTCGCTTCGTCGCTCGGCGGTCCTCGGCTCGTGCTGCGGTCCGGTCGGAAACCCCCTACCCACCCGCCTTGCCTGTCTGTCTGTCGACTGTCCACGTAATACGGGCTCTGCAGCGAGAGCCGGCATGAACCGCCCCCATATTGCCCGCCTGCTCGCGAGCTAGCGAGAGCGGCCTTTTCTGTTTTGGGGGGTATCCTCCCGTCAGCACCATGACAGCTCCGATGCTCCGGCTGGGCGGGCGAGTTATTACCTGGTATTAGGGCTGATCGGGGGGGGGGGTAGGAATTCGGAAAAGAGTTTAGGCGTAGCTACGTGTAGGCTCGCGGAGCTTGACGGACCTACGTCTTGTTCTTGACTCCGCTGTGTATTTTCTTTTGTTCTCTCTCTGCTATCGCTGACTACGGATACGTGTATGTCTTCTTACCGGTACTGCTGCGGTTGCTGTGTGTATTTCTTTACGCTTGTTTCTTCTGATAACTCGCCCACTGCGTGACATCCGCCGAACACGCGTACGCCCAGGGAACGGACTTTGGTTTCGGTGAGTGGGATGGAAATAGATAGACAAACGAGTTGGGATTGGCACATGTATATGTATCACATCCCCGGCATTCTTATTCGAGGACTCAGGTTTCTGTCTCTCCGGCTCAAGTCCTAGATGACTTTAGGGGCTGATCGCTCCGGTTGAGTACCCAATACGTTATTCCCGTCGGGGAAAAGTCCTTGACATGATTCCCCCCTTCCCCCCCCTCTTCGGAACTACTTGTGGGAAAGACGTAGGAAGTGAATTGCTTGCGGCAGGTTGAAGCGAGCTTATTCCTAGCTCGTTGAGATATAGCGCCTCCGTCACCACGGCGTTATTAGCATCCTGCGCAGGGATGTGTATGGATGGCGCTGGCACCTTATCATCATCGCCTGCCAGTGTGAGATCTATTCTTGTGCGGACACGTTACGGTACAGGGGCTGGTTCTCTGAGAGGCGGAATGCTGTATGGATTCGCTTGTTATGCTCCAGCCTTGTCTGAACTAACGAAGACGGCTAATACTATGTAATAGTACACCATATAGTTCAGGTGCTAACAGTATCCTTCCTTATGGACGCATATACTAATATATATATACCTACGTTAAATTTCTGTGACTTTGTGTAGATCGTGCTCAAAACGCTACGCTTGTGCTGGGAGCTTGTCGATCGTGAATATAGATCCGCGTATCCTGCACTGCCCAGGAGAGTGCCCTAGGTCGGATCCCATCGAGGGAGGTTCGGGGGCTAAAACGACGTGACCGGGTTTCTTTGGCGGTGAGTTGTATTATCGTCCATTGAGGGATGCTCTTCAAACCATTGTACTGCCTCAGCTTTTGCACTCTACTTCATCACTTTAGGTAACGAACGAAAAGGTAGGTACCAATACATAGAATCGTCCCCGGAGAGAATAGAGGGAACTGTTTTCGGGCCTATAGTGAGAGACAGGAGGTTTCTGCGGTACGGCAGTCCAGTGCCAGCCACTTTTTAGGGTGGTAGTCTGTGCTAGAAGACACAAGTTGAGAGACGAGGCGAGGCGAGGCGAGACGAGACCAGGCCTTTAGCCAAGATGTTACAGGAGACATGCAGCCATAGCCACGCTGGGAACTTCTGCGTTAGCCGCATAGTCTCTACGCCCATCACACACAGACTACAGAGAGATTGGTTAGCCGGCCAGGAAGGCTGCGAAGTTGCGTTTCGATAATCCAGCCTCGCGACGAAATATATTGATATTGTCTTACATCTGCTGTATGCGAAGAGCGAAATTCGGGCGAGCGGTGTGGGATGAGATTCTCAAAAGGCGGTAAGGTTTCTAGCAATTAAACCGTGAACCTCAATATACAGGCATCATGCATCGAAAACATGCTCGCCCCCGAGGTAGCCGGTCCGTTTCGCGAGCCGTCGATTGGCCTCGCCTTGGACGCGCGACCTTGCTCTCAACCCTCACCAAGCGAGAAGTGTGTGGTATCTCGAATGATCCGTCCCAGAGACGATCTCATGCACATGGAGAGACGACCCTTGGAAGGATATGCGCTCGCATGTGCCTAGTAAGCAGGACGCATCAAGTTTGATGAAAGGCTACCATATTCTCACAGACGACTAAATCCTACGGGCCACGTGGGCGAGGTTTAGTTATTGGGTGACGTGCGTCGATGCTACCACGGATCCGTCGCGGTATAGTGGCGCTCAAGAAATCTCAGCGCCGGCGGGTACTTGTGTGGAGATGATGAAGCTCTCCATCATGGCTTGGCCGCCCCCAGGTTTCGTCGCATGGCTACCGCTCGTCGCGGGTGTCCCTAGCCTACCACCTCGTCCCGCCGGTTGGGGGCCGGCGGCTTCACGACGCTTGACAACGAGGCAGAGCACGCGGCCGTAGATAGAAAATCCCTCGTATGAGATATCCATGGCCAGTTTCTTTTTGTCATCGTCGCTTTCCTCGCTATTACCATCTTCCCCGCTGGCCGCTACCGCTCTGCGGCGTTTTGCCGGTGGCGGCCTCGTGCTCGGGTCATCCTCTGGGCTCTGCTGCTGCACGAACAGGCCACTGTCGTCCGCCCCCTCAGAGTCTCCCTGGCTGTCCGATACGACCTCGACTGCGTTATTTCCGCCAGCGGCCGCATTAGGATCTGTGTCTACTTCTGCTTCTGTGCTCCTGCGTGGGCGCTTGGGCGGCCTGCCGCTGCTACTATACGCTGTCTCATCTACCGTTGGGATGGCGGCCAGGGTTGCTGCAGCGTCGTCGTCGTCGTCGTCGCTTTCCTCGCGTAGCACTGCGGTCATATCGGCCGTGACATCAACATCGACAGGGGCATCGCTAGTCGCGCCCATCAAACGGGTCGAGTTGGAAGTCAGCTTAGTCTGCGTCGTGTCGTGGAAGTACTTGTGCTTCGTAAGCAGCGCATGACGGGTGCTTGTCTCGGTGAGGAATATCGACACCTCGAAGTCGTCTACGATTGGTCGTGTACTACTGCATCAATACCTGTTTCTTTCTCTGGCCCTTCTCTCTCTCTCTTGTGAACCGCCGCCTCTTATCTGCTCGAGGGTAGCACAAAAGAATAAGAATGAAACAAAAAGAAAACAAGAATGCAACGTACGTGCAATGTCAGGACGGCGGTATTCGTAGATCTGGGATGATGGCAGGAATCGAGGATGGGAGGTGGGGTGGTTATGGTAAACGGGACCTACCTTCGACTACTACATCCTTGATGCCCTTCTTCTTGGTGCTTCGCTTTCGGCTGCGTTCTCGTTCTTCGCGGAGCTTGGGGAGCACGAATGGGCGGACGCTCTCGATGATCTTCGGCAGGACGGGCTTTCTCGGGTTGAGGAGCCAGGTGTGAACGAGGGCAGGGTTGTCGAGGTAGATTCGGCATTCGATAACAGAGTATTTAGTTATGCGGAGGTACCGGCGGATTGGTGCCATGACGGAGGCGAGCGCCAGGCATCTCGCGACCTGCGAGTTGCGAGTTGTGAGGTGAAGCTTTACCAGAGCCGAGAGTCACGACGCGCCGGGAGTTGGCGTATTGGTGTCGTTGCTCTGCCGCTGGATTAGGTAAGCATAGTAGGTCCCTGCGTGTGGCTGAGCAGGCCCTCATTCCATTGGACGCGCCACATGCTACTGGCCTTAACGCAATAGACTTATCGATAGCATATCGATAATCAAATTGATGCTGCTCTTATCGGGAATGTCTTCATTTTTTTGCAGTGCGATTAGACCCTCTCCGACCTCACCCTCCGTTGTCACGACTGCCAACAACTACCGATCATGGTCTTCTGGCTGCCATGTCGAAATCGTGGTCGGCGACGCTGAGGTTGCCGAAATCCTCTTTTCCGTAGGTCAATTGCTTCGGTAACCGCATACTCACGCTGATCGATTGGTCGCATTTGGCCAGCCCGAGGTCTCCCCTCCAACTGCGAGACCAGTACATCCAACGATGCGCCGATGGCCTGTATGAATGGCAGAGGCAGAACAGGCCCTCTGATGACACTTTCGTCATCCACGACGGCCCGCCGTATGCAAATGGCAATCTTCACGTCGGCCATGCCTTGAATAAAATCTTGAAAGATATGATACTGAGGTTGAAAGTACAGCAAGGTTAGTAGCATTCGCTACGGCGCGGACGAGGCCAATTGTTGAGATGCGATGTGAAGCTCGTGCTTAGCTACCCGTAGGCCGACGGGTGGAATACATCCCGGGATGGGATTGCCATGGACTTCCCATCGAGCTTAAGGCTCTCGAAAAATCCCAGGGGGCCAAGCTTACACCAGTCGAGATCCGCAAGTCTGCTCGAAACTTGGCGTCGGGTACTGTACTTAAGCAGATGAAGAGCTTCCAATCGTACGGGGTCATGGCCGACTGGGGCCGCAGGTGGACGACGATGGATGCAGCATTCGAGCTCCGTCAGCTGCGTTTATTCCAGCAAATGGTAAAGAAGGGTCTAATCTACCGTCGGTTCAAGCCCGTGTACTGGTCGCCCTCTTCCAAGACTGCCTTGGCTGAGGCGGAATTGGAATACAAGGATGACCATGTTTCGAACGCCGCTTGGGTCAAATTCGCCATCACGGATGAATGGAAATTGCTCCCCCAGTTTGAGCCACTGCTCGACAAGATCCAGGGACGGCTGTATGCTGTGATATGGACTACGACGCCGTGGACGTTACCCGCCAATTCGGCTATCGCTGTCCATGATGATATGGAGTACTGTTTCGTCCGCTGGGGTTCTGATATGCTGCTAGTCGCGCAGAGTCGTCTTGACACGCTGCTCTCCAAGATTGGGGCAGGAGAGAACGGCTACGAGGTTATTGGGACAGTTTGCGGTAGAGATTTGGCCGGTCTAAAGTACGTAAACAGGCTTAGGGGCAAGACTGGCTCGCCACAGCCGATCATACACGCGGACTTTGTGACATCGGACTCAGGGTCCGGCCTTGTCCACTTAGCGCCTGGCCACGGGTTCGATGACTACGAAGTTTGTCGGCAACTTGACATACCGGTAGTGGCTGTCATAGATGACCACGGAAAATTTACTGAACTCGCACTCCCAGATTCGCCTGAGACATTGCAGTCGGCCCCTTCTGTAAACGAAGGCGGCGGTAAGCACGTCCTCAACCTTCTCGAGTCTCATGGCGACGTTCTGCTAGGCGAAGAACACCGGCACAAGTACCCTTACGATTGGCGCACCAAACAGCCAGTGGTTATTCGGGCTACCGAACAATGGTTTGCCGATGTTGCATCTATCAAACAAGAAGCGCTTGAGTCCCTGAATGACGTTCGTTTTATTCCGGACTCTGGCAGGAAACGGCTCGAGAGTTTCATTCAAGGTCGGAGCGAATGGTGTATATCGCGACAGCGCGTTTGGGGCGTCCCCATACCTGCTTTATACGATGATGCTGGCGCAGCCTTAGTAAGTGAAGAAGTCGTCGAGCATATCATTTCGGTTATCCAAGAACGAGGTACCCATGCCTGGTGGTCGGATGCCCCTGACGATCCCGCCTGGTTTCCACCTTCGCTCCAAGGGACATACCGACGGGGGACCGATACGATGGACGTATGGTTTGATAGCGGTAGCAGCTGGTCGATGATGCCGGGACGCGCGGATGTCTATCTTGAAGGGTCTGACCAGCATCGTGGCTGGTTTCAGTCCAGTCTCCTCACCCGGATCGCAGCCGGATCGCAGACCGACTCAAGCTTCGTCAAAGGCGCACCTTTTAAGCAGCTGATTACTCACGGGTTCACCCTAGATCAGGATGGCAAGAAGATGTCGAAATCGCTGGGAAACATCATAGAGCCACAACAAGTCATGGATGGCACGCTTCTACCTCCGATGAAACAGAAGAAGGCAGCGGCAAACCAAGGACCGCCCAGGAGTGACGCTCTCGGTCCTGACGCTCTAAGGTTGTGGGCAGCGAGCAGCGACTACACTCGAGACGTAGTCATCGGAGTTCCCGTGCTCGCGGCAATCCACACGGCGCTGATGAAGTACCGCACGACTGTAAAGATGCTTCTAGGCTCGATGCACGAATCTGCCCGGACAGCGCCGCTAAGCGTGACGGATCATATTGCTATCATACACTTACAAGATACGATGCGTGAAGTTGGTGAGGCATTCGGAAACTACGAATTCTACAGGGGAGTTGCAGCTTTAAATAGATGGGTTACGGTCAACTTGTCGGCTTTCTATCTCGAGGCGTTGAAAGATCGACTGTATTGCGGAGACGGGGGTGGCGTCCTGGAACCTATATTGACCGGTTTTCTCAGGATGCTGGCCCCAGTTACGCCCTTGTTAGTCGAAGAGGCGTGGGATCACCGCCCCGAGTGGATGAAACACGATCAGTGCGTTTGTTCTTCCTTTCTTGAGTATATAGTCACACCCTCACTCTACCGCAACCGACTAACAATGAGCGAATTATGCAGGTCACTGACTCATCCGCTCCACCAGCTTTACGGCGATCCCGTAATCGATCCTACGCGCCTGACGCGAGACCTGTCGTCTCTCCGGAATGATATACCAATCCTGATGTCCGTCCACGCGGCAATCAAGTCGGGTCTCGAGGCCGCAAGAGGCGACAAGGCCATAGGGTCGTCTCTGCAGAGTTCGGTCATCCTCGATGTCTCGGATGCCCCGACCAAGGATATTCTTGCGACGTACGCAGATGAGCTCGAAGCCATGTTCGTCGTCTCTTCCGTCGAGATTAATGCCGACCAGCCGGTCAGCCCGGAGTGGTCCTACGTGCGGGACCTTGAGGTCGGCGGTGCTGTAAGGGGGAAGGCCGTGGTCTTGCCGCCTAAGCAGGCCAAGTGCCCCCGCTGTTGGCGTTATGTTGCTCCCGCCCAGGATACGCTATGCCATAGGTGCGAGGATGCCGTTTCTGCGTAACAGATTAGCGAGCTGGTGGCGGCTCCAGGACTGTACAATAGGCGGCATAGTCTTTAGAGATTTATATCCAATATACAAATATGTAAGCACGAATGAAATGAACGCCGACCCCCCTTAGAAACGAGCAACGGGCCGAGAATCGGCAACGAGTCCAGTAATCAGCAAGTTATCTGCCATATAGTCTTTACGCCAGTCTTGATTTTTAGATTTCTTAAAACCTTGCTAGAGCTTCTTCTCAGTAGATTAGAAAGGTGAATGTCGACGCACGTGTCCTAGCCTATTTGTTTACTGTCGCAAACGGGACCTTGTATTCAAATGCAACGAGGGTGGCAAAGATTGAAGGCATTATTGGGAGTTTGATAATGCCGCGGTCGACAGGAGCTGAAGATGGCCATAAACTGCTCAATAAATCCTACTAGGATGTGTCTCGAGTCATGCCTTGGCAGATTTCCGGTGTTGCCTGCGGATCTCCTCTTATCCACAGCGAAAAGCGCCACGCATAATAGATGGAGATCGACGTGTAAGAGGGGCCCGGATGCGCGCGCACAACGGCGAGTTCGAGATTGTAGATGATGGTTGGGAATAGTGACTGAGGGAAGTGTGGGAGAAAAAAGGGCCGAGGGAATGGGAAGTATATGTTGGATCTAGTCCACCCCTTTATTTTGGTGGGATGAGGAACGGCGATGTAAAAGTAAAAGCCGGCATATATTGGGACTTCCCTCTAAGTATTACTCTTGACACCTCCATGGTTAGATGCAGACGGTATCCCAGCAAGCTGTGGGATAGCCGATGTTGTTCTCTTCTTCTGAGGGGGCAATATCTTCTATTGTCGCTCTATCCATACGCTTCGCAAGCGCCTGGCTCAAAATATTAAACAATAGATGATCTGCTATACGCATCCTCCCTCTTATAGCGACGACATAAGTTTCGTCCTAACGTTCATGTTAATGAGTAACAACTCTCAATAGGTATGCCAATAAGTAGATAGGTAGGTTAATGAACGAGTCTCTTGAATGATTTAGTGGTCATTCCATTTTAATTTGGCATATTGGATACGCGTCTATTGTGTGCCATACTTGTCCGCCGGCGTAGCACCCTAATGAGGGAAGATATAATGTACCTAGGTAATCCCGAGACCTTGAACCCGATGAGATGCAAAATTCCCTTCCTAAACTGTTGTGGTGTGAGTAAAAGAGGGAAAAAGTAAGGATAATTAAAATAAGAATGAGCCTCCCTTCCCGCCGTGATACATCTTCAGCGCCGATAATAAGAATAATGACAGCAAAGTTAAAAACAGAAGATGAGGGAAAGGGAGGAGAAACTAGAGAGATCCCATACGCAAACACGCAACGACGAAGAAAATCGCCTCCATCTCCTACAATTTCACAGTTATATCCTCCTATAATTCCGAACAATGGTGACTGTCTAGACATCATCTACCTCTGCGTTATAGTTATCAGACACGGGCCGCACTGCTATGGCGATGGCGCAGAGCAGTACGCAGGCGCCCCAGAACACACAAATCGGGGAATAGAGACAGTATCGAACGGAAATCAATCATCGAGTTCCTGCTTTTGGTCCAAAAATAAGGGGTATCTAGCATACCAACGAGGCTGTTGGAACTAACACGAGAGTAACACGTCCCATAAGTAAGGTCCAGAGGACTCACACAAACCCCCCTCCCACCCCCTCCCGCGCGTCCTATCAACCCATGGAACAACAGACCTACGGGAGGAAAAAAGGAGAGAAAAGCGCCGCACACTCCCCATTCGATCCGCGAACCCTGAAATCAAACCCCGATAACCTAAGACACCTCTTGACCTCCCTTAGTAGCATGGCACGATTTGCGCCAATTATCACTGTCCTCAAGGCGACCGCCTTCGGTAATCCGGCCGTTGCGTAGCTGGTTATCTTAGTTCAGTCTCGGGCTCTTTCTCCTAGAGATGCTCTGCGAAAAGATCTCTGGGCCACCCCCAGGTATGACCGACGATAGAAGCGGCAGGTTCTCCCGTCCCTCCGCATTCACCGTCCTCCTCCCCGATTTTGACCGTGTGGTCCTGCTCTTCTTAAGCAACGGCATCGCCTGATCGCCGTCTGCGTCTGCAGCCGTGTCCTCCGTCACACCCGGGCCGAGGCTAGCGCTAAATCCGTGGACTGCGATATTAGTACGGGTGTCGAAGTAGAGTGTGCCTGTCGTGTTAAGATTTGGGTGTACCTCACGCAGACTCATGGAAAGTGGGTTATGGTCCCGGTCCGAGAGTGGGAATGAATTGTCCGAGGCGAGACGCCTCGAGGGCGAGCGGTTCTCTGCCAGGGCAGGGTCCGCATCGGCAAAGACCTTAGCCCTGCTGGGTGTCGCGGTGCTGTTCAGCTTCCTCAGAAGTGTTTCGTGCGCTTCTGTTTGCGGGAGCTCCGTAGGATACTCGTAGTTCCTCTTCTGTGGCGTTTCTCCTGTGGGTAGGTACTCTTGTAGGATTGTGCCTCTGATATCCTCTCGAAGATCCGACAGGGGCTGGCAGAGAGTCGTGGGCAGGGGCTCCAAGCATGTCTGAGCGTCTGTAATATCCGCGTCCATCTCCGAGCCGAGGTCCTGTACTCTCGAATAGGTGGCTCGGAAATGGTCGGCGATGTTCGCATACGAGCCTTCCACCGTGCTTGATAGGCTTTGCATTGAACTTGAGGTTCGGTTGTGGTGTAACGTGTTTTGCGAATGGGCACGAGTGACGAAGTCGTCCAACGACGTCATCTGCTCGTCGAGGTCCCTCATCTGTTCGTCGACAACCCGCACGGTTTCAGCGTGTACGGATTTGGTCGTGTCTTGAATCGAGGTGCTATGCTTATTTGCGACCTGCGGCGTGGTTAGCGGGGGGATGGGGAGAGGGAAGGGAAAATAGAGCGAGGGGATCTCACAGTCCAATCATCCTTCAGTTTCGTCTTCAAGGTCTCTCGTGAGTTGGCCACTTCGTCGAGGAGCTGGGCTTCTCGTTGATTCCAACCATCTAGCGCCTGAGAATATTGCGCCATGCCGCCTTCCAAGGCGGTGCTGTTCTCCTGCAACCTCTCTTGGATCGAAGCCGCCTTGCTGGCTAGGCGTGACTCCTGAAGTTCTGCTTGGGAGTGTATGAGAGCAGAGATCTGTGACAACAGCTTTTTCCGTTCCTCCGCAGCCTGTCGCCGTTCCTCGTTCACGACTTGTTGCACTTGTACCGAGATGGAGGCGTTCGACTGGATAATCTCCTGGCCTGCGCGCTGCAGCTGCTCTCTGAGATCTTCGGACTCTTGCTTCTGTGATGCGATATGCTTCAATAGCTCCTCAAAAATTGACTTAAAGTCCCTGCCCAGCGACGCGTAGGATGAGTGCAGCTGGGTATGAAACGTACCCAGTTCGCTAAGGACATCTTCCGCTATTCTCTCCGCTGCCGTTGCGATGGTCTGCAAGCTCTCGCCTACTCTCTCCTTGATGTGGTCGCGAACTTCTCGGATCTCCTCGAGTACTTCGTCCATCTCGTCCTTCGACTGTTGCCTCTGTTCCGCAAGATCTCTCTTGGATTGAGCGAAGAGCTCTAGGTTCTGGTCGAGGAATGACTGCGTGACTGAGAGCTTCCCGAGTTCCCCTTGGACGAAGGAATGCATTCGCTCTGAAATGCTCCTCATGTGTTGCTGCTGTTCGGTTCGAAACTCCTCAACGCGGCTCTCGACGAGCGAAGTTACATCTGACACCTGGTCTTGGGCTGACCTCCAGTTGGTACGGTTCAACGATTGTAGATCCGACTTTCTCCTGTTCTTGGCGTGTAAACCTCCGACGTCCTTGACGGTCTTCTGGATGGTGGTGATGAGTTCTCCGCCAATGGCTTGAATCTGTGCCTCCGTTTTCTGGTGTGCTTTCCGCAGGTGAGTTTCCTCGGCGAGAGACTTGCGGGCGGCGGCGAGCACGAGCTCGGTTTGATCGAGAACGTCTTTCGTCTCGTCCAGCTGCGACTTGGTCGTTTCATGGTCCTTTTTCAAACCCATAAGGTTCGTGGTTAGGGAAAGGAGCTCCTGACCCTTGTTGCGCAGGTTAGATTCGAGTGTCTCGATCTTGGCAGCCTGCTCCTCGTTCTGGATTCTACGAGATTCGCTCTCGACTGTCATCTCCTCGTAACTATCATTTGGTAGGTAAACACCGTTACGTTGGCGCGTCGCGATCAGTTCGCTTTTGAGTCGTTCGATCTCGTGTGTAAACTCTCTGAGTAGGGTCTTCTTATTGATGGGCTGATTGACTTGAGGCTTGTTACGGATATTCTTTGCTCTGAAAGCATAGTCGAGAGTCGATATCGTCTCCTCGAGGTTGCTCTTCGCGGGTGAAATGGTGGCGATAATGCATGTTTTTGTGCGACCACCCAGGGAGTCTTGGAGTAGCCGGGTGAGCTTTGACTCTCGGTAGGGAATGTGTGAACTATGGTCGACGAGGGCATTGATAACCCGCCCTAGAGTGAGCAAACTCTTGTTGATCAGGCCGGCTTCTGCCGCCCTTTTGTTCTCGGCTCCAGAGCGCTGGATGTTCTCGCTACCGGCAAGATCTACCAGGTTCAGCTTTCCGGCGCTGACATAGTCCTCCCCATCCTCTCCTGCCCGCTTAACGCACGCCGTGATAGTGAATATCGTGTGGCTTCGACTACTCAGATCGTTGCACTTGGTCGCAGCCACCTGCCGCTTCAGACTACCGTCTCGGAGGAGCTTGATACCTTCTGCCGCATTCTTAATATACGACTCTTCCATGCCTTGAACAACCGTGGTTGCGTGGCCCTTCCGGGAGGCATCGTCGTAAATCTTCAACTTGGTGCTCTCCTCGGCAGAGATCAGGTCTCGCAGTTCCTCGTTGTACAGCTCGATGAAGGAGCATTTGACCAAGCTCTCCGTGTCTTCCGTATCGAGCCTGTTGAAAAGCGAGTGTAGGACGCGGGGGATGATTCCGGCCGAATCGGAAAGGAGGCCGAGGGTGTCGGTCATATCCCCCGACATGGTGTATGTCTTGCCAGTGCCGGTCTGGCCGTAGGCGAATATCGTACAATTGTACCCCCCCAGCATCTAGCACGTTCTGGTTAGCAGGCGCCTTACTGCCAGTCTGGAGGCAGGCGGCATACCTCTTCTAATATGGGCTTGACAACGTCATCGTAGATCATGCTCTGGTCGGCCGCTTGCGAAAAGACGCGGTCGAAGTTGTAGGTTTTGTTGCTCAGGGCGTTGGGCCCCATGGAGAGGCCGACAGATTTGCCTTTAGCGCCCTCCGTGTAGAGAACAACGGCGCTATTTTCCCGGACCTCTCGCTCGTTGCGACCACGGCATCGTACAACAACGTTAATGTTTGTCTCTTCGCCGGTCTCCATCTCGAATTCGCGCTCTTTGCGCTTGGTCCCGGTAGTGGCAACCGATACCATCGACTCCGCCGGCGAAGGCGCAGCGGTACGGTCGATCCTCGCGGCCGCGGCAGCATGATGGACGGGATGGCGAAGGGCCGATACCCTGTTCGGCGGGGGTCGAACGCCAGCGCGTCCAGCGACACCAGACCGAGTGTTGGGAATAGTAGGGGGCCTCTCGCCCCTTCGAGAGCGGCCCTGCATCTCTCCTGGCGCGGTGCGGCGAAGCTAAGAGGAATACTATAAGCTGCTGCTGCGGAGGATAATAACAGATAATCGAGTTGTACGGCGAGGGAGAATCAAGTAAATAGCGCGTGCGGAAGCAATGGTCGAAAGGATAGCCAGGATGTCGGGGAGAGATATTGACGCACGTGTAACTGCGCGGTGAGGAGTATGAGAGGGGAAGAGGTGGGATGGACGTGTGTATACGTGTAAGTGGGAATGAGGGCGGTTAGGGTAGCGGAAGGGTGGGAAGTTGGCGATGGACGGATAATGGGGGGACTGTGGATAGGCCGAAGACGACGGCGACGCGCTGGGCACAGCCGGAGAGGATGCAAGGCTACTGCTAAGGCACTGTTCCTGGCGGGTGCGCCCGTGCCCGCGCCTGCCACCTGCCTATGTTCCTCGTGGATCCACTGAAAAAAATATCAATAGAAGGCGCACCCGGTCGCCCTGGTAACGGGCCCTTCCTTGCTAACCTAAGCCGATAAGCCGATAAAAGATAAGAGATTGGTACCTTGCCTGTGTTCTTATCACCGCGGGGTTCAGGTCGCGCGACGGATGTTTTGCTCTGCATCCGGTAGAGGTGTCTATGTACCGATACCTCCCTCAAGAGGTACCTACACTTATCTAGGTACCTACACCCAGGTATCTCTCGATGCCTAAGGTACCTACTGTGTATAGTGCGGGTTCGCTGTGATGTAGGTGGCCGGTCTAGGTACCTCTAGGTAGGTACCTAAGGTAGAAAGCAACCGATTCGCAGTACCTGGAAGCGACAGAGGTGGAAGTGCTGGCCGGGCTACAGTACTAGGTACAAGTACGTACACCTAAGTTTACGCATGTTATCTAAGGTACCTACCTGAGGTGTATAGTAGGGTGGGGTACACACAACGTATACACTGGAGGTAGGTACCTCGTAAGTACACATATAAGGGGTCACATTAGGAGGTACCGACCCTGGGTACTTCCACTTCCTCCCCATGCATGTGCGCAGTCCGCGTCAAATGACGTCCCTGCACATCTGACGCAAAACCAACCGGCGCCTCCAGCAGATCAGATCAATCCGCCCTGCTTCTTCATCGTCCTTCTTCTTCTGCTCTCCACTTGCTACCATCCAGCGGCCTGGAGATGACGACGGCGGCCTAGACGATCCATCGTCCTACACATGCCCTCAACTGCACACAAAAAATATCCGGCAGCGTCTTCGTTGTCTGCTGTTGCGCTTTATGGATCCAGCCGGCTTGCGTTGACCCATACCAGAGCCTTAGCCCGACCCTCTATTGGAACGGCAGCTAGACGGATCCCCGTCCAGCTTGGCTACCATGTCTTTGTTTACGGCTGCTCTCGTCCCCGGCTACGGCCTGGGTTTTCTTGGTAAGCGTCGAATTCCCGATGACGATGGGTATATCCCGAGGGGGGGGGGGCTCGGTGGATGCTGCTGTTGTGCTGTTTGCTGACTCTCCCCGGCCCTCAGTGCTCGGGGCTTCGCTCCACGACATCTTGACGCGGCTCAAGGCCGAACCGCCGCGGTTTCCCAAGCTTGATCTCGCCTACTCCCCGAGAAATCCCGTTACCGAGCCCATCATTCTCACTCTTCCGGCAAACGGCGTACGGCTGCGCTTCGACGGCCCCGAGCAGCGCCTCCGCCTCATCGAGATTATCGATTTCAGCAAGAACCGCATCACCTACCAAGACAAGGACATCGCGAAACCGGCTAATACCCAGGGGACCGCCGGCTCCCCTAGGCAGGGCGCGGATGTTGCCACTGGTCCGGCATTTAAGAATGTCTACCACCGCCTATTCGGCCCGACGTACGCCGGAGAGTACATCCCTCCGTCGGCACCGCGAAACGGCAATGCCGTGGGAACGTACATTCTGTCTTATCCTGGTGTGGCATTTAGCTTCCCCTTGCCGCCATCCGCCTACTTTCCAGATAAGGATGTAGTATCACTGTTATCTTCGCCGGCCAGCCAGACGGCCGGCTCCGTTGCCGTATTCAACGGGAAGTCCTGGGCTCACGCGCGCGAGACCCTGTGGACGGAGGTGCTTCCTAGCGTGAAACCGACTGCGAGCAAGAGTAGGGAGGTCGTTCCTGACGAGGTCTCGTTGGTCAAGATCCACGGTGGTGGCAAGCTGCAGCTGTTCAAGAAGTGGACAAGTGCTTCGATATGGATCAACTTGGGAGAGACTACTCCTCAAGAGCTAGTAGCCGAGCTGGGCCCCCCTGACGCCATATATCGGAAGAATGACCAGAGGATGTACATTCACAAGACGCGCACTGCGAGCCACAGCAGGTCAAGATCTACCGGCGGGGATTACCGACGCCCCGAAGACCTCACCGACACCGACCAATCCTCGGCGCATACGGGCACGGATGATTCTGAAGACGAGGCCGTCGAGGACGACTTCGTCGGCAACGTATCAGGAGAATGTTTTTACAACTACTTCTACCTAGGATTCGACATACTGATATCGCCGCCCCAACCCTCTTCGCGGGCGCCGCCATCGCAGGCAGCCGCATTGGGCGGAGACCCGGCGGCGGGGGAGAACCTGTTCAAGACCGGAATAACGGACCGCTTAGTGGCCACAAAGATGGTCCTCCACGCCAACGTCCCCGGCTCCTACCCGTTCAACCGCCATCGTCGTTGCCGCTGGGAGATATCGTATCTCGCAGCCGACAACCCCGATCGCGTCCCCAATTCCGAGACGCCGTTCGACGAGGTCGAGGAACGGTTGCGGGAAGAGTGGAGGGCCACGTACCCGTCAGCCGAAGACGGCAAGAGGCGCCAACGGGGGATGGTGCTGAATCGGGGGTGGGGCGACAGTCCGGGTAGCAGTTGCGAGTTTCTTGGGGGCTGGGAAGACAGCAGCGGAGGAGTCTCTGCGAAGAAGTTTGACGGGAACGAGGACTCCACTACCACTTTATACGGATTCCCAGGGTTGGTTTTGGAAGTTCTCAAGAACGGTTTCGTAAGTGCGGTCACGGTCTACTAAGTGGAATCGGAGGGGCGAGGTCTCGGGAGTTTTTGCTGTCGGTTTCTTATTGGTTTGCATCGGGTAGCTTTTAGATTCCAGGCATCGATAGGCTCTTTAATCCAACGTGGCATTTTCACCGCGGTTTCGGGGCGGCTTGGTGTGCCAACCTCTGAGCCATTCCCTTACTACAGTTGGTTCCGCGAGGAACAATGGCTTTCCCCATGTGTCGTGTAGGGCACGTGTTGTGCTGACAAGTTCGTGAGCCACACCTGACTCTCAATGTAGAATTTTATCTGCTTCTGGCCAGACAAAGAAAAACGTCGTGTACGGGCTTCGGCCCTTCGGCTTCGCCCCCCCTCTTTAGCATTCCGCCTACCACCCAAGAAAGGATTCTCCGTTGCATCTCTGACTGACATATTATCTCGTGGGGGTCCCAAGAGGAAATCGGTAAACCGGAGGGAAGACCCAATGGTGCGGTATTTGTCTTCGAGTGTGTACGACCGACTCTAGGGTGACACTATTGGTTTTCTCGAAAGCGTGAGATGATTCCTCGATGTGTTAGTGGGTGGCTACTGGCCTCGGTACCGTACACAGGATTAGTTTGGAGTACCAGAGTCTTTCTGCCTCGTCACGAAGAGTCGCATCCAGTGTGTAGCGTCTCCCGATGGAACAGGTCCGATTAGCCAAACCGGGAATATCCATTGCTTTTCCTGCGTAGCTGGATTCCCCCAACCTCTTGGGAACCCCCTGCGCGTTGCCGACGCTGCATCATTTGTATCACGGTATGATGCGATTCTCCCCCCATTACCTCAAAGGTTACAAGGCCCAGTGCCTCTGGAAATGTCGGACGTGCTGCCTTGCAAAGGGGTATATGTGTTATTGGTCATCAGCATGTATAACCATGGCCCCAGAGCACAATTCGGCCCTATACGATCGTGGACTCGACACCCGAAGCTCCAATCTCTTTAGGACTGTAAGGGGGGGTACCGCTACTTCCCCTACGCAAGGGATTGAACGACGCGAAAGGCAACAAAGAACATACTAATATAAAATACGAATCCCGTCGTTGAAGGTTGCCTCCTTAGTGAGTGGGCCGGTGCTGCCGCGGTTTAAACCTCGGTGGATGGGCGGCTTAGTGGTGGCATTGCTAGCCACCGACGCTAGACATGCATACATTTTGGGACATACTGCAAGATCCATTGAGAAAAGGAGCTAGAGAGGCGTTATAAGTGGCGTTTTCAGGGCTGATAATGACCCTCTAAAAGCAACAGCATCTTTGTACCGGCGTCAAAATAGAATATGTAGAAGTGCGTAGCATCGCAGAAACGCTACAAATCCTTGATGGATCAAGTTCTAGGCAAGGGTACAGTATGCCGGGGGTTAGTCGGTATTATTTTCATGGGTTACCTCATAGTCTTGGATGAGTTGTCTGGCAAGTGGCCAAGGAGCCACCTATATCGAGCAGCGATGGAAATGGAGCTCTCGGTCAGACCACCAGATTTTCGTCGCCGTGGGAATCGAACCCACTCCCGTGAGGGAACCATACGATCTTCGGACTCGTGTCCATGCCTCTCGGCCATCAAGAGCAGTCCTTTCGAACTTCAAGAAGCATCCTTTCTGAACATCGAGTATCGTCCTTTCGAATGTCAATGACCTTTCGGTCACCAAGAGTTGCCATTGCGGACATCAGGAAGTAGGATAACCTGGACTTTCATCCATGAAGACCCGAACTCGGCTCTTCAGTTATCAAACGATGGTCACGAGTGGCGTATCGTGAGAAGAGAAAGAATTGGCTTGTGCGAGACAGACTCTACTTGGCCTCAGCTGTGGTGGGCTTGGGCTTCGCACGGTCCAGCGATGCCTTGACTTTGGGTTGCCTTGAGGCGATCTCCCCTTTCCGCGGCAGTCGATCATCACCAAGGAATGGTAATTCCTGAACAGCTGTTGGTCTAATAATACAAGAAACAAACAACGGGTGGCAGCAAGGCTGGGGAATCTTACCACGAGCCATTCCGCGTTGACAGCTGTCGTGGGCTCGAGATACTGCCTTTCTCGCGTCGTATGGAAGTTGGGCTGAACGATCCATTCGTAATTGCTGCCGGCGAGGGGGCTTGTCGGTGATAGAAGTTCGGATACGTTCTCATGAACCGTACGATAATCATCAAGCACCACATGCCGAGGTCGAAGTTGGGTTTGGCTGCCTCAAAATTCCCTTCCTCTGATCTCTCAGAGCTATGCTCAAGGCTTTTCAGCCATTGAGAAAGTCTTTCGCCTATCAAGAAGTAGGTCCACCTAGGCGAAAGCCCTAGGGGAAGGAGACGTGCGAGATTGCACGGCCAAGGTTGACTTACCTATGTTGGCTGATAGAACGGGTCGATCGCTATGGACGGGCGATGCGAGGTGCTTCCATTGGTCGTTATAGTCCTAGCCGTAGTCCTTGTAGTTAATTTCGCCGATCTCAGAATCGGATTCGTTTTGGCTGCCATCGGCTTTACCGTCCCATTTCATGCCGCCCGAAGGAGTTGTCGCAGTGGCTGAAGAGGTGGCCTCAGCAGCAACTGAAGTGGCAGACGCAGAGGGGTTGATGGAGCTATCAGTAGTGGCAGGCGTGGAATCGGTAGCCACGTTGGAGACGTTGCTTGCGGCGCTCCCAGCCAGAGAGTTTAGGGGTCGCGTTGCTCGTGGGAATGGCGGGAGTGGATGGGGCGGTTTGGCGGACCGATCCGTCGGTTCGGGGCCTACTACGAGGTCTGCGTCAGCATTGTTGGTCATGAATCTCGTGGGATCCTTTTACTTACCAACGACTTTGAACGCTGTCGCGACTCCGATGACTCTTCCATAGACCTTCGGCTTTTTCTCTTGCAGCGCATCAAGCGCGGCCTTGTAATCGCGCGGAAAATCAAATCCGAGCATAAGCCAGCCGCCTCCATGGCCACTCTGTCTCCTGTGCTTCTTCCCATCGTCGGCGGGCGGCCAAAAGAATTAGGCTTTGTCTTAGGTTTTATCGGCCAGGGGAATGTGAGACTTGATGGCGGTCTCGTGCTCCTTTCGCGTTGTTTTTTTTTTCTTTCGAAAGTTGAGGTTGTTAATGCGCCTCCTGGTCGTCGGGGGTCCCTAATTCCCCCACGACTATCCCAACTCCGAAAGCATGCAGACCGATCAGCCTTCCTCCTCCCTCCCTCGCGCGAGGGAGAGGGGGGCTGAAAAAAAAAACCAAGGAGAAAAACAAAACAAAGAGTAGCGAAACCCAGAAAACGATAAAATACAAATGCTGCCTGCTGTGTCTGTACCTAATGGTATCTGAAGACCTCGATTTCGATTTCGTCTTCGTAATCATCGTGGTTGGAGCAACGGTGGTACCCCGCTATTGGCATTTTGACCAGCAAATATCTATTTGATTGGTCGAGAACCATCGACTTTGGCCCCTTTTGGTTATTCAGCTCCAGTTGATGCAACCACAGAGTTAGGAGTCTATTAATACCTACGTATAATTCCGGTCGCATTTCGTGGTCAACTAATCGTCAGTTGATACCTTAAAGACGCAATACCACTCTCTTCACCCAAAGTGACCGCTAGAACACAAGAAAATAGGCTTGATACTGTGATGGTTAAGAAGCAATTGCGCAAGGTGAAGACAAAAAGTTACCTACCTAGGCTAGGATCTGAGCCTGAACTCTGTGCCACAACCGGATGGCACATTTCAAATTGAGCACGTACCTAGCTGTGTATGTCCGCGCGTAGGAAGGAGGGGACAGTCCTGCTATGAACCCCTCCCCCTGATCTGGTTGGTAGGTCGATATTAACTTATAGTGTTCTATCTATTATACTTAACCCTATGGCGGGCTGGCCGTAAGCCATGCCGCGAGCTCTAAAGTTGCCATCGGGTATAGGTATCTTTGAGCAAGTGTGAGGCATGCTATTGATTAGGTAGTTAGCTCTAAGGTATCGCTGGTGCGGGATGGTGTGCAGAGAGGTTGATGGATTGAAGCCAACACCGGGAGGCCCTGCAAACTCTTACTCAGTAGGTGGTAAAGAGATTAGCTGCTCACATCTAACTCTGGATGCCTGGCTAACAAATCTGGAAGCAGACGACGGTTCTTTTGCTAGGTACCCAAACCTCCCTATATTTAAGGACCAGCATAGTATTACCCGCCTAGTCCAATATTACTCCTTTGCCTTTTCTCACAAACACTTTCGCACATTTTTAGTCTTCCACCCCCATCTTCAACCAAGGGCGACCCGCCCGCGATGGCCATACTGACACCGGCCCTGGCCCATGCGAGAGCCGCGCATGATGAAGCACGACGCATCTCGGCAGAGTTGCGCGTGGAATTCGAAGCCCTGTCTCGCGGAGTAGAGCCAGGGGTCGAGCTAGACGAGGAGGAAGGAGAGCCAGATCCTAAGGCGGCCCATCGATTGGCATTGTTAAGGATTGAGCTGTTCTTGAAGGAGAAGGAGGCGCTTCGATTGGAGCGTGATGTCATTGCTGAAGAGCGGGATGCTGGCATACTACATCCCAAGGCAGCTGGCAAACGCATGGGTGACTTGAACCAGCGCTATCTATCTGCCGGAGACGGCCTATGGAGGTATCAAAGAAAGGAGATACGCTCCGACGACACCGGAATGATATGGTTGCTAGACCCACGTTTGAATATTGTTTCTGAACGTCTTTGGGAGTTGTATAGGAAGTACGATGGGTCCGACGAGCCAGCAAAACGGACCGGAACTTGGGGCAGGGATGCTAAGAACTGGTACGCAGCCACTGGCGACCACCATGGGATGCAAGGGCGAGATGCCGTTTGGTGTCATGTAAGCGGCAAATGGTATCACAAAGAAGACGTCAAAGCTGCACACATCGTACCCTTTTTCCTCGATGGCACGGAAATCGGCGAGATACTGTTTGGCAGTATGGGGGGGTTGCTTGGGCGAGAAGGGAATGCACTTCTCATGTTGAAGCATATTAAGATCTGGTTCGACACCTATCACCTTGTCATCGTCCCTGTCGATGCCAACGAAACGCCCATCACACGATGGCGCATAGAGCTGCTGTCCCCCAACCTCAGAAAATGCGTTTATCACCGCGGACATACTCTTGGTGAGCTCGATGGAAAGGAACTAGTGTTTCTCAACGGCAAGCGTCCGGTCTTACGCTTTGTCTACTTCCATTTCATTATGGCGCTGATCTGCATCAAGGATCTCAAACGGGAAGGTTGGGAGGATGTCTGGGCTCGATACTACACGCGATGTCCTTTCCCAACACCAGGACCTTGCATGCGGAAGAGCGTGCTCCTTGCCCTTGCTATCCATTTCGGGGCCGCCGATTTGCGAGTGGTGGAATCCTGGGTCGGAGACAACGGCTTGGAATCACCATTGAAGCTGGCCGAGGAGGAGACTACGAAAGCGGCCCACAGAGTGCATTCGGCAGTCAAAGCCGCCTATGATCGCGCGGAACATCCGGAAGCCTCAGATCAAGAGAACTCTGAGGGCAGATCGGAGGACGACCCTGAAGAATAACTCAGATGAGAGCTGTGAGAAGCTGGGAGGAATCGAACGAGCTTCTAATGTGAGAATACGTGTACGCTTATTAGTAGAATAGTAAAAGGACAACAGCAGGTCTAGCCAAACCAGCCAAGCAGTGTCGAGTCCAGGGGCTGTGTTGCAGGGGGGTCGTTTGTGCCCCCCTTCTGAATAGAAGGCCAAGGGGGCCCAAAAAGGCTCCCTTGGTTATAGGTACTTAACGCTATTCACACATCGCTGGGGCACAGTGGGTTAGTGCCAGTGTAGGGTGCTTAGCGCCTGTGTCAGGGCGTGTAGCGCCGGGGCAGTCTCTACTAAAGTAGGTAATCTGAGATCACGTGCGCCCCTGCAGGGGCATAATGACTAGATTCGTCTTCTATCACAGATGTACGAGCCCGTAATAAATCTGACCGTCGTCTTTGTCTCGAAAGCCACTTGCCGGAGCTCCGATACTAGACTCGCTGCCAGCACCCAATCACTTGCTTGCCCTATATTGGGGACTTTCCATGCTCGCACGTGGCTTATATCCGGCGGTTTCTATTGGATTTAACAATCGACGTTTTGAGGGCATTGCCGGGAACTTCCATAACATCTCCTCTGAAGCGAGTATTTCCGGCGAGCCGTGTACTACCTAGGAAGGGATCCAGGGTCTATGAATCGTGGTGCGGGATGCACGGGCGGTAGAATGTAAGCATCATCGACGGATATCTATCTACTATATATAGATATATATAGGTATATATATAGGTATAGCCATACGTTGCCTTTCAGAAAATTACACGGCCGAGATTCCATCCGACATGTCTAAGATGCGCCAAAAGAAAAGAGCGTAAACTAAATCGCGTTGAAAAATAAAATGAAACAAAAACAAAAACGGAAGTCCGGGAAATCGTCTGAATTCTGGTAGGTACATCGAACTTAGCTAGGTAGGATCAAACGAATATGGCGCCGAGCGCGTATTACCGTTCAGACATAATACGTGGTGACTTGCCAACTTGTGATCTCAGTCCGGGGCCTAAAAAAAGGGAAACAACTGGAACTAGGTTTCCATTTGCTCATCGCTTATTAGGTACACAAACGCTTCTGGTAGACTGAAGCAACAGGGGCGAGACTAGATGAGGCGCGATATTCCGTCCGAGGTACCAACCATCAACTACATGGACACCTCGAATAAACCAGGAAAGGAGGCAGAGAGAGAGGGAGGGAGGGGGAGAGAGGAGACATGGACGAATTACTTGTGATCTTTGCTATTATCGTATATTGGCAACACCAGCTAGCATAGTGGATACTACCTATTATTTTGATGATTGGCTGTGACCGGGCAACTCGGATTCCTAGGTCCTCGTCGACAACACAAAGCCGGCCAAGCTAAGTCAGTCCAGGCCCGGGCCGACGCACTCGAAAAGCCTGCGACAGCGTGTGCTGACACGTTGGCACATGGGGCGGTCCCGACACATCGTAGCCGTTAAACCCGCCGTGCTGACGCCGACACCTCTCCAGCCAGCCCTTATAGACTTTCCACCTCATCTAAGCAAGTCCCCCCCCCCCGGCCGCCCCCTCCCTTTCTTCGAACTCTACCGAAGCACCCTAGGATTTCCCCGAGCAGCCGCACCGGCCGCGTCTCGTCTTTCTCTTGACTCGATACGGCCTCTCTCTCGTCCTTTTCGTCTCTCTCGAACCAGCGCTGTGCCGCAGTTTGAGACGCACCTACGCCCCCCCATCGACGTCTATACGCGCACCCGGACCCCAACACAGGCGCACAGGTGCATATCGTACCTACACCACAGGAAGCCATGGTCTTGAAAGGGGCGCTCGTAAGTGGACGGACAATCCCTCCCCCCCCCCGGTCGCTAGCCGCCGGAGAATATAAATGTGTCACTTTCCGCTTTCGGCAGCTGATCTCCTCGGGTGCAGTTCGCGCTGGCCTTTGCCGCACTTGTGCCCGTCCTCTACGATTGGGCCCGTCTGCTGGTGCTGTTCTACAAGAACGCACCCGGGCGCATGGCGCCGGTCAACAATCTCGGCGAGTACGAGGTCAAGTTCACAGAGATCATCCGCAGCTGCGAGGATGCCCTCCTCGTCGAGAGCGCCGGCTTGGCTATTCTCGCCTGCGACCCGGGGCGAGAGAAGTGGAATACGGTGATGGTGAGACGCTTACTCGTTTATATTTCCCTCATCCTTCGTCGTGTCTCGGTGCAATCGTTGGCTTGTATACCCCGCTCCCTCTCCCCCGCCCTCTGTCTCCGTGGGGACTGAGATGTAATTCCTCGCACGAAGTCGGGTGGGGATCGTACCCCGCCGCTGTCGCACGAGAGAGAGAGAGAGGCGCGGACGTGCTTGACTCAGCTCACCTTGTCCAGGGCATCTTCCTGCCGGGGCCCGTCGCCGACGCGGGGCTCTACGCCTACGACTACGCGAACGCGAGCGCGGTGGACGCGGACGCGCTCCGGCAGATCGAGATCCGGGGCTTCGAGCGCGGCGCCGACTTCCACACGCTGGGCATCGCGTACGACGAGGCGACGGGGACGCTGTTCGCGGCGAACCACCGGCGGGGCGGCGGGGGCGGCGCCGCGGTCGAGGCGTTCGCGCTCGACCTGGGCGCGCTAACGGCCACGCACGCGCGCACGATCCGGCACCCGCTGCTGCACGCGCCCAACGCGATCGCCGTGGCCGGCGGCGGCGAGCTGCTCGTCACCAACGACCACGGCTTCGCGGCGCGGCGCTGGCCGCGGCTCGCCGCGCTCGAGACGTACCTCGGCCTGCCGCTCGGCACCGTGGTGCACGTGGACCTGGGGGCGCCGGGCGGCGGCGTGCGCGCGCGCGTGCTCGCGCGGCTCGCCTTCGCCAACGGCGTCGCGCTGCTCGACGCGCGCACCGTCGCCGTCGCCTCCACCAGCGCCGCCGCCGTCCAGCTCTACGACTTCGCCCCGCGCCCGCCCGCCCTCGCCCCCCGCGCCCGCCTCCGCCTCCCCTTCCTCCCCGACAACCTGCACGTCGCGCGCGACGGCGCGCTGCTCGTCGCCGGCCACCCGCACCCGCCGGCCCTGAGCCGGTTCGCGCGCAGCCGCGACGCGTGCAACGGCGGCGGCGACGGCGGGCGCTGCGACGCCGACGCCGCGCCCGCGCCGTCGTGGGTCTCGCGCTGGACCGAGGCCCGCGGCCTCGAGCACGTCTACGCCGGCTCCGAGTACCCGACCAGCTCCACCGCCCTGTTCGACGCGGAGCGCCGTGTGGGCATAGTCACGGGCCTGTACGCGAAGGGGATCTTGGTGTGGAGGGAGGGACCGGAGGAGGGGGAGAAACAGGGAGAGGGAGGGGTTGGGCGAGCGGAGTAGCGGGTTGGTGAATGTGTATTAATGGCAGGACTGGAAAGGCGCGCGGCGACGATTGCGGGTGGTGATTTCGCGTCGAAGGATGGCTATAGAAGGCGATGGGATAGCTCGAATAACGAATAACTCTTTGGTCGATGGGCAACAGGGAAATTGGAAATGGGCACATTGGCATAATACGCTCTATTTACCTACCTATCTATCTACCCCAGGTAATATCTCCTGGCCTCCTGTAGCGGGAATATCTTCACCTATATGTTTAGACATCAATTTCTACGTATTGTTACCCACAATCCGCTTAGAGATTCCGCATCACAGTCAGGCCTCCGTACTTTCGGGTTAGTTCTTTGTGTCTAATATTCTGTACCGACGCATAACTAAAATATCCTGCCAAGAATTACGTACCTACCTATCTGCATTAAGTAATAACCCGGCTTTTTCTATTCAGGACCCCTGAACGCCTGCTTATGTAACCCAGGCAACTACACATAGAACGCACTCGAGGGTCAGGCCAAAGGCCAAGGAGGAGAATACTAGTGGCAATCTCGCATGAACCCAGAATGGAGCAGTTTTGACCTCTCTGGGAAGAGGAAAAGAGCGTAGGTATTAGTTGGCCAGGATTTCTCTGTCGCTCTTACAACAGGAGGGGCAAGATTTTACGAGAGGGACGGTTAGATGCTCTAGTTTAGGTGGACGTCACTGTCACATAACAGGCAAGACTTTTTAGCTTTTCCGTAAAGCATAGGAAATCGCCGTGCAGATATCGGTATTAAGGGAGAGTTATAGGGCGGCGGTATACATGGGGGGTGATGCCTAATCTGTATGTGAAACCCTCAGATACAGAAGACCAACCCTAAACTATGTCCCTGAGCATCGTGTGTCTCGTGTCTCGTCTTGTCATGTGTCTTGTCGCGTCATTCGCAATCAAAGAGCTAAATAATTCCTCCCCAGTGTCCACCGACCCCTGTAGAAATCACGACCTTCTCCTCAAGCCATATTTCCCACATTCTCCTTCTCTTCCTCGTTAAACACGTGTTTATCGATGTCCGTATCGGCAGCAGGTCCGTCGTTGTGCTCCTGGTCCTCGTCTGATTCGACATCTAGGTCGTCAAGGTGAAATACTATCTTTTCAGGAGCCTGTTGCTGGGAGACCAGATCTTCGAGGCTGAATATCAGCTCCTGGGGACCCTGTTGCTGGGGGATATGCGTAAAAGGCTCTGGGGCTGGGTGGTAGCGGGCAGAAGCTCGTGACTCAAAGTAGGTGTTCAGCTGGCCGAAGAAGCCCAACTGCTCGGTGTAGGGGCGATGAGCCATGTAATCCCAGAAGACATTGCGACCGATAACCTGCTTCTGGTAAACGAAATAGAAATACTTGCAGGTTTGCGCAAGGCGGAGTCGATGAATACATGGGCCCATGTAATCCATGACGAATTTGATGGCCTCATATGGGATAGAATCACCATGCTTGGTCGTAACGTTTTGGGAAGGCATCATAGTGGCACCTCCGGTAGTGTATCTTGAGTTGTCTGGCTGCCTGCTGTTAGATATGATCCCGAGGGTAATTGACAGCAGGAAAAACTTATGTTAAGGAGAGGCCAGAAAAGGTTATACCATACCTCTGTAGGGGTTTGGATGTCTCAAGAACCTTTGTCTCCTTACTGACAGAACTGAAGTCTGAGTCGCTAAGGGCAAGGGGAAAGTGGGCAAGGTAGGCCGAGATGGACCGTAGGTTGAGGACCGGAAGGGAAGTTGGGAAGGTTTCTTTGGAGGTTGCACAGGAGTTCGAACATCGTAATATATGCTGACAGAAATGGTAGCCTGTCTGGTCAATGATAATCAGTATTATCGTCACTAGGTTAACGAAATGAATCACACAGTACACGAATACACACACTGGGCCATTGTTCATAGAAAGGTACTAGTACATGTGTGCTGGTTGCCTGTAAAATATTCACTTGATTCGGTTGACTGAGGCAGGTGATTAGATCAAACGAACATCAATTCAGATGACAATATAGGCAGACCAAGCCAGGTACCGGGTGAATATATTTCACCCTCAACTCTACCTTTAGGTCCATATGTGTACACTTGATGTTTATAAGAATGAGTACATGACCTGATGGTGAGGATTGATTCATCATTACCATGTGCTGGGTGATCTGCCCTTCTGGAATTTACCCATTCCTATTGCCTTTAGTAGTATAGGCACCCGTTTTCTGTTTCATGATAAGCCTAGATCCTGTCTCTTGCTCAACAAAGGCTTTCATTTTTTATTTATATCCCTCCTACGCTACCTTTCCATGTCCTGTTGAAACAATCCATATATTCGACATTATCGTTGCAATTTTACACACAAGATCCCGCACAGCCCTACTATGTTCTCGTGTAATAGGTAAAGGGGGTACCCAAGCCCAAATCACAAGGCAATGCGGTGATAAAATGAGGCTCTTAACTCCACGGTGAAAGTGATGCTATATATGCAGAGAGAATATTACATAAGTCAATAGCTGGCTAATCATTATTCATACATGTCACACTTATCTCTTTCGTTCCTGCCCCGTACCTACTTCTGCCTATATAGTCCTTACTCCTACGCCTCCAATGATAACTTCATCATGGAAGCAGAGCTCCAGGTAGGCAAGGCACACTGGCAAGGTTAGCGGGGCACTTGCGATGTAAATGTCAGCCTTAATCCTTGTGATGCTCTTGGGATTGCTACACATCTACCTTTCCGGGCGAAAGGCGTCCGTGTCTTCGTCGAAGGTGCTCTTGCCCTGGCCGGCGACCCGGGAGTCTACCTGATGATAGAGTTATTAGCGATGTGTTTACCTTCCAGCGTCACACCGCCCTTAGGCTGGCAGCTCTCGAGGATTAGGTCCGGTAATGGGGTGGGTTCAAAGTGCCTCGTTCGTGACACCGAGCCTGGGATCCCGTGAACTGGTTTAGCCTTTGCGTTTAACGGTCTAGAGCTACCATCGAGGAGAGTTTGGGATTGCATTCCCCTGACACATATTTCAGTACAGTTTCGGAATGCTCGGCCAGCTTCGAGAGTGCTCCCCCGCCACTTGCGTTGTAGATCTCATTCTACCATTTTCCATGGATCGCTAGGCTTTTAGCGAGGCGATACGCCTCTGCCCTCAACGTCATGATGGCGATGTCATTAGCGGTAACCCTGCCAGCTAGTCGAAGCTGTCAGAATCCGTGACCGGGTTTGTTCCTATCTCCGAACTTGTTATTCATGCTGCCGCGATCATGTATGGGATCCTGAACCTCTCCCCGGCAGCTTCTTATAGATCCGGGACTGGTAGATTCAACGTGTCTGTCCCTTTACCTCGGCTTTATTGGGGGTCCAGGACATGTTCGATCATGGATTTCTCAGATTCACCATGATTGCTAGCTTTAAACTTAAAACAAGAACACCTCGTACTAGGCGAACTTAGTCTATCGAGGGAAAAGAAGAAGAGAAGATGAAAGCAGCGCGAGACGATCGAGACTCTGCTCGAGCAACCCCTTTAGCTCGATCGATGACATAGGTATAATATCGATCCGGCGCTTAAGGAAGAGACGTGAGTAGGGCCAATGATAATACCCGCCAGTGTACCAGGCTTTCGTGCAATCTTATGTTCGCGTACGGGATCCGTTCGTGGTAAACTAGAGTACGGGCTTGGAGTTTAATACCACAGGAGAACGAGACGAGGAAAACGTTTGTTGGATTGTTTCCATAATGTTTGCTCTTGTTAGGTGTTTGGAACAGGTTGATACTAGGGTAATCTGTGCCTCTGATTTAGAGGAAATCAGGGTGCCCGTGTTCTCATGCAATTACGACCTCCGTTTTCGTTCCGAGATACTAGCAGCAGCTTAGTGGTTCGTATACTATTTTCTTTGGGCGCCTTAGGATTACGTTTAACCTAATATGTCGCCCTACACTAAGATAAAGATGGCTCAAATCCCTAACTGTAGCATACAATTTTTGTTCTGGGTGTCGGGGTATTGTGTCAGTATGCCTAAGATGTGAGTTTATATTTATGGATTGAATAGTGCTACAAGCCTATCCGCCAGGAATTCCTGACACCCCTGGGGTCCCCATTAGACGTGCCTAGATCCTCCGTAGCGCGACAACCACAGATAGGTATTTACCAACACCCTAACCTGCGGTATCACGAAATTTCGTTGCTATTATATGTCGGAAAGATTCAGTACGTAAAAGGTTTCATAGCTTAAATTATCTAATAGCTGCTGCTGCTTTGCTCGTGAGAGGTTGGTAGCGAATGTTAACCATAAAAACACGCGTGATCACATCTAGGCTGGATTGCTCGATAATACCGCCGCAAATTTAATCCTCGTATGTAAGCCAATATCACACAGCATTGTATTACAGGCCACCAAACAGAGACCTACTGAGAGGGTTGCAGTATTATGTTTCTGTTACGTGAGTCAGCTTACTGTGTATCTTCAGTGAAAGGAGGGGATCGTTCATCCTAGCGTTGTCGAGCCGCTCACCTGATTGAATGTGGTATCACATGATGTAGTCGAAAGCTTGGTTGTGCTATTATGTTTCTAGTGTGCCGGGAAGTCCCATGTATAATCCCAATATTCAGCCGGTTTCGGTAATAAACAGTAATGTCCGTGGACCCTGGAGCTGGTTAGGAGAACCGGGCATAACTGTGCGGCAAACAAGCCAGTACTATGGGTAGTATTCAGCGAGAAAATATCAAGACTGGCCAGGAAAGCGGACTTGAAATCCCAACAGATGGTGTGGTGATTCAATTTCCTAACTGTTTGTGACAAGACGCAGGCATCGAAGCTACCCTACCTACTAGTATTCGGACTAGAGCGATAATTACGTCTATAAAAGCGTACTGGAGATAGTAAACATACGAGGTGATCGTCACCGCAGAGACGCCCCGATGATCAAAATGCTGTACCCTTTTCCAGCGTGACAGGATTGATGCTATAACGAGCTGGATTAGCGGTTCGTGACCCGTAGGTTGGTGTCTAGCAATACCCGGAAAGTACAGAGAGGCTTATGTAGAGTGGCGTGATGACTTCTTTTGTTTAAAGCGCGATATGCAGCTCGGCGTCACGGAGTTTGGCAAAGTTATAAAAGCATGATTGGTGGTTTTAAGAAGGGAAGATGTACACTGGGTAGATAGTATTTAGAATCCCTCAGTACCTACCAGCGGCATGTGTACTAACCATGGAGACCGGGGCGGCCTTCTTCATCCCTGGATGGTCTCCATTCTTAATTGCATAGGCTGAAGGACATGGGCTAGTCTACAACACTACTCCTTTGTATTAGACGTGGGGGTCTGAAAGAAGGGCATCATACCATATTCCCAGCCTAGTCCTGATGATTAGTTTGCCTGATCCTTTTACCATCTTCTTTATGTTTTGATCACCTTCTAAAGCCTAGAACCTCACGGCGACACCAGTTTTACACAAGTTGGGGGTCGAACCAGCCCCTAGGAGAGCTTCACCGTAGGGCCGGGATGCTTACAAGGTCAAGGCAAGGCCTGGGGGTTTGTTTCTCGTTGTTAAGATGTATATACTACTAGTCCGGAACTACGCAAGTGGCAATGAGACAGTCATTCAAGGGAAGCGGAAGTAGTTTGCGTGCCCCAAAGGGGAAAATATGTGGCTGATTATTACACTACAGTTATGCAAACGATCCTGTAGGCTATTTCTATTCCCATTATGATACAGACTATAGAGACTGTATAAAAATAGGAGGATGCTGTTGTAAAACAGTTTCTAATAGCAGACTCTATTCAGCCACCCGCACCCAGGACCAGAAACGTGAAACGATGGGCGTGGAGTGCATAGGGTGCATGAGAACGGACACTGCTTCCAAATATACCTCAGAATTCGCCGCATCTTCATAAGATGCTCTGATAGTAGGAGGGGGATGATAGAAAGATAACGCTCGCTGAGCACCTCTAACCTCCAGAGCTCCCTAACGGAGGAGTTCTTTGATGCCAGTTTGAAATGTTGCAGGGATTACGGGTACGCCGTGCAGAACCCCTGCTTTTGTTCTAAAGCCGTGAGTAGCGCCAGAAAGGCTTAGGCCCTGGATGCCACGCCACGTGGATTTGCAGATGGCTAAAACATGGGCTTGGTTGTATACTACAGGTACATTTTATTAGACCCCTAGATATATCCACACCTTTTCGTATTTCCATTATACTCCCACATCCCTCCATACCTTGTATATTTGTAAGCGTGTTCGTGGGAGTAGTTATTGGTAAGGAAGGGTCGTACGCTGGTGCTCATTCCTTAGAACCCTTTGTACCACCCTTTGATGTCGCGACGTCAAGCCATCCATGAAAGCTGAAAGTAACACGCCCGAGGGTCACCATCTCACAGCAGTTTAAAGGCCACTTTGCACTCTTACTTCGCAGTTTATGGCACATCTCTTTATTTCACGGAGTTGTTTCCTAGTTCGGGATGGGTTCATTCAAGTGCTGACCACATATCCCTCAAACTGGCATCAAGCTGCGTATTTCGATCCAGCGCCGAGGACATGATGGCTAATCGCCTGTATGTCTATCTCCGGTTCCTCTACTGATGTATTACGAGTAATGTTTTCCTGTTGTTATTCACCTTTGTCTCGGCGCCGGTAACAGCTGCTGGCTGTTCGAATATGGCAACCTGCGCCGCCCGTTCCTTTCACAGCCAAGGCTCGAGAGGACATATAATACGATTTCCCAACCCTCTTGATGAGTTCGTGATCAGTGCGTCTCCGTCTGGCATATCCGTCTACCATATACTATAGCACGTCGACAGATCGGTGGCCCACCAATTCCATCATGAATCATACCGAAATAGTTCTGGAAGAGTGGAGACTCTTAGAATCTCTGATCGATGGGAAGGGCGCGAGCCCCATCACACTCAGCGGTCGAACATTGTCGATTGCGGAGATTATATCGGTATCACGGTACGGCGTCCCTACAATTACCCTGATATAATGCTTCTGACCAAGCCTTTATAGCCACAATGCGTCCGTAGACATTAGTCCGTCTGCAATCGCATCTATGGGACGCAGCGTTGATGCTCTTGGGAAAAGGCTACAGGATGGAGAGGTCATATACGGTATGATTCTACCGGAAGCAACGTCTGATAGTATGAATTGACAAGTTGCTATAGGTGTCAATACCGGCTTCGGGGGAGATGCAAGCGTACGCACTAAGAAGTTCGTTGCACTTCAGCGGGCACTCATCAGAGAGTTTCACTACGGCGTCCTCCCCGTTGGAGAAAGAGACCATAGTACGGGATCACTAGATGGTTCAGTAGGCAAGCACCGCCATGACTTGACGATCGACAGTTGCGACGACACTTCCTACTTGCCTTGGTCTTGGGCTCGTGCTGCAATCCTTGTCCGGATCAACTCTTTGATTTCTGGATGCTCCGCCATCAGACCAGTGATCGTAGAGAGAATGCAGGACCTCTTGAAGCACGAAATCATACCGCTCATACCTCTACGCGGTAGCATCTCTGCCTCTGGCGACTTGAGCCCCCTGTCTTACATCTGTGGCGCGGTCCAAGGGAAACCCACCATCCGGGTCTTCTCCAAGGGTGGGGGACAGCTTTATGCGGACACAGCTTTCCGAAACGCCAATCTGGAGCCGGTAGCACTGGGGGCAAAGGAGGGACTGGCCGTAATAAATGGAACGGCTGTTTCAACTGCCGCAGCCGCCCTAGCTCTGCATGACACGCATAGCTTAGCCGTGATGGGCCAGATTCTTACAGCCATGAGCGTTGAAGCATTGAACGGCACCGAAGAGAGCTTCAGTCCATTCTTCTCCAAGGTCCGACCTCATCCAGGCCAGGTAAGCTACTACAAAACATCATGTTATGATGTATTATCAAAAAGCTAACATCTGTGAAGACCGAAGCGGCCCGCAATATCCTAGCCTTCCTCGAGGGTTCCAAGCTCACCAAAGTCAACGATGGTGCTGGGAGTACACTGCGCCAGGACAGATACTCCCTCCGAACCGTACCACAGTGGATCGGTCCCATCTTGGAAGATCTGGTCTTAGCCCATAAGCAGATCTCCGTGGAGTGCAACTCTACCACTGACAACCCGCTCGCGACTCAGGAGGGAGAATTCCTACACGGGGGGAATTTCCAGGCCAAGTCCGTGACCTCAGCTATGGAGAAGGCCAGGCAGGGCATTCAAGGCATCGGACGTATGATTTTCTGCCAGTGTACCGAGATCATCAACCCCGTGACCAACAGGGGCCTCCCTCCGAACCTGGTCGCCGAGGACCCTAGCAGCTCGCTCATTTTCAAGGGCACCGACCTGAACATCGCCGCCTTGACGGCTGAACTCGGCTTCCTGGCCAGTCCCGTCAACCACGTGCAGACGGCGGAGATGGCGAACCAGTCCCTCAACTCCCTGGCTCTCATCTCGACTCGGTATACGCACACCGCCAACGAGGTCCTCTCCCAGCTGATGGCCGCCCACCTGATCGCCGTCTGCCAGGCCTTGGACCTCCGCGCCATGCACGTCCAGTTCATCGAGCTCTACCGACCTCGATTCTTCGAACTCGTCGCCGAGCATTACGGGGACTTGGAGCGGTCGAACCTCCGGCCGTCTAAGCCAGCGGCGGCTGACGAACTCTCGGAATTGATGTGGTCTGAGCTCCTGAAGTCATTCGACACCACGGCGAACATGGACGCCGATGAAAGATTCGTCTCCATCGCGAAGTCGTTGCGCACAATTGTTCTGGACCATCGGAACTTCAATCGAGACGCCGAGTTCGTCTCCCGGCAGGAGCGCTTCACAGACGCTCTCAGCTCTTCGTTGCACGATGCCTGGTGCGCGCAGAGGGACGCTTACCTCGTACACGGCGACGCAAGCCCTCTGCTTGGCAAGGCGTCGAAGGCGGTCTACACGTTTCTGCGTCGTACACTCAACGTGCCTCTTCTAGCGACCAGGCACTTAATGACCCCTAAGCTGGACGTATCCGAGGGCGGACTTGGAGCGCGCGGGGCACAGGCCCCGACCGTGGGATCTTATACCGGAGCTGTCAGTCGCGCGCTTAGAGACGGCACGCTGGCAAAGGTGGCGGCTGATGTTCTAGCGGGTGTCGTGTAGGTTATAAATTTTATGCTGGCGGATCGGCCGAAGAGAAGTTGAGGGGATGAGCAGTCGTTACTCTGTCAGTTAGTTGCCTTCGCGCGTAGGGAGCCTGTGTTTATGGTGCCCTGGCTCGGCTGTATTATTATTACGCATCTAGTATTCACTACGAAGTCGTATGGCTATACTGAAGTGAGTCTACTGGTATTATAGTGCTACATGAGGTTGTGGCTGTGTCCCAAACCCTACGCGACGAATGTTATTAGAACCTACCTAGTGTTGGTCGGGTAATAGTTCCAACATTGTCATGTAGAAAAAAAATAGTTTCACACAGGAAGCGTGTCTGTATTAGGGAGTGATATCATGCTGTACTCATTATTACAAAAGCCTTTTCTGACGAACACATCCTGTCTCAGGGGCAAATTCATAACAGGTGCTCTTATGAATGAAACGCGCCATTTCTCGCGTGAAACCTTTCACCGTCTTTGTATAATAAAACCCCGGAAACGCCACTCTGTTGATTTGTTATCCCGAAACCTTCCGGCCTTTGTAATGATCGCTCTAATTTTATTTTTAGCAACACAATAAATACCGGGGCCGTGGCTACGGTCGATACGCCAATTTATTTCCAGAAACTTCCATACAGTAGAGCCTAAACCAGCGTTAGCAAGCAACGAGCCCTGTATTGGATAGCGGCGTGTGTATGCTCGCAAGCTAAGTCCTCTGTGTCGGTGGTGAAGTATGGCGCAACCCTAATGATACTCGCAACGTAAACGGTGCGATATTAGCCGACTGTCTGGGCTCATACTGCAGCAAAAAGGGATGGCCTGGTGGCCAATAATCTTCTTTAGTCCCCGTGTCTCTCAGTCATTGAATGCTCATCAGCTAAAGGTCGCCTTAGCTGTGTCAACAACCAAACATTAATAGAAGTACACAGTATTGATATGTGTGGCGGTGTATAAGCACTGGTAATAGGAGGTCTCGCTGGACGTTTATCATGGTCGGAAACTATTACTCACACTATCCCCCTTCGCGTTATATTGCCTACACAATCGGAACTACATTGGACGATACGTTATACACCGTTGTGGAAACACAGCAAGCTTGGTGTTATATCACCCCATATTTGCCTACTGTGAGTGGCAATAAGGGATATCTGTTCGCATAATTCGACAGAAGAGGTTAATTCCCAGCTGGTGGATTTCTATGTCCTCTCATAGAAATTTCTGGCTCGAGTACCCGGCGTTTCTTTCACGTTTGTCTCGTGTACTCTACAACTCTCCCCACGGCTCGCAATGACTTGGACCAAGGGCGTCTAGGCCGAGGACCCTCTCTCTCGGGGCTGCGCGGCTTTCAACAGGCGTATGTGGCTAACTGCGGTCGGCCCGTCCGCAGGGAAACAAAGCTAATAGCTCGAGAAACGAAGGCCTTACCTCCACCCCCATGTCTGAAAAGACGTAATACTCGGGTAATACCATTTGCATCCCAACGCCCCGCAGCATCAAGGAGGGCTGGAGATTCCAGATGTCAGTGCTGGTGCCGGCCATGGAGATGCACCCCGGTTTTTATATGGGGTACAATGGTTAACAGGTCTTCAGCACATGGCTCCTGGATTCGTCATTAAAGCTTCATCCATCTACGGGCATTGCAGTTTCAATACCGACATAAAATGGCTTTTCGGCAGCGTTTCGCTTAGGGAGCGATGCGTATTTGCCAGTGCAATCGCCGGATGACCGGATCTCCAAGTTCGATATCGTGAGCTCTCGTCTGTCCAATTTCTTTAGCTAAGAGAATCTAAGACCAGCACTTGGGAGTCTTGTCAAATCCATGCATAATATTAAGCCTCCCCAACACCTTCTATTTCATAGCATGTGGTTACCAAAACCTGCGTGCTGGGTCCAGATCCTGGAGGACGCTTCCAGTGGAGCGAGACTGATGTCGAATCCATGCGAGTCAACCCCAGCGGGCGCTATGTGCCTACTGACTCTCTAGTAGCGCTTTGATGAGGAACCATACCACAAGGTAGCCGGGCGTTGCCAACTGGGCGAAACTGTCGTCTCGAGTATTCGATTCGGAGGGATAGGTAGGTAAAATTGCCGGATAAGGTGAATTTGGTTAGTTAAAATTAGAGCCTGTGTAATAGGTAGTTCTGGAACTTGCTGCAAGGACTCACTCGCATCAGGGGATTTGGACCAAAATGGCGCCCAGAATATGCTGCTGATCCGTTAATTAGCTCCCTTGCAAAGATACATTCAAGTTGCCTTGCACGCAAACCTGCTCTCTCATGCGTTACGTAGGTGATGTTTCGTGTTCCCGCGTCACAATGTAGCTGTGGTATCGGATTGACTACGGGAGTAGGGAACGGCTAGTTAACTACGTTATTACCTACGAGATTCCATGCCCTTACGACGTTTTCCTCCAACAATGGAAGGTCTCCCCGTTCTCTACCTGCAACGACTAGCTTGAACCATCGAACTCAGAATCTCGCTTAGCATTGTTCAGATTGAAAACGATTGAAACCCGTTGGGAAGACGACAGTTTGAGAATAAATTCAAAGTTGTCCTCGTTGCTCTACTTTCCACCTGTGCAGGAGAAGCTGCAACTCTTAGTTTCGACCGCTGGCCTCGGCTTGGTTTCGACTTATCCTAGTTGAGTTTTAATTCAAGCTCAAGTCAGTGCCCGAATGAGTACGGGTTTTGATCCTCTAGTGGCAGCCGATCCAGGTCGATGTGTCCCATTTATATCGGCAGGTAAAGTGACTGCGCGTATCAGTGGGTCGTAACGGGCAGTATTGAGCTCCGCAGGGGGGATCGACGAGAGGCTATGGCTTGCGCCGGCGCCGGTATTCTCGACTCCGTTGTTCTCTTTCGGCTCGTTGTTCTCTTTCGGCTCGTCGTTCTTTGTCTTTTTCGATTCCCATTTTTCCTTCAATTGCGAACCGAGATTTTTCATTGGCCGTAAACCCCCGAAGGGTAGTATAAGCCACCTCATGTAGCTCTTCCCTCCCGCTTCGTCATTTGATAGGGCTGAAATAAGCCATCCACCCAGGTCTTGATGGGTTATAATGTTAGTTGAGTGTAAGTCGAATAGCACACAATAACACTTACCAAATACAAGCCTGATCACGTCCATTGCATTGTAAACGGCTAGTAGAGCTAGCCAAGCAAGGGCGAAAAGGGGGAAACAAAACACTCCTAGGACCAGGTTTCTACATTCGGGCAACGAAAAGGTGCCTCGACTTAAAACACCGCAAGCAATGTCCACTCTCCGAGCTGGCAGCTCGAGAACAACATATACCACAAGGAACCAGAATCTTGAGAGACGGACAATTCCGAGGCCCTTGTCGTAGTACTTCGCATAGACGCCTCGGTGTCTAATAGGTGACGAATTTCTTGGTTGGGGTTGGGTTTCCTCGTCGTCTTTCGACTCCTTCTTGGCTCCTACGATAAGCACACTTTGTCTCATTTTCGATTCCGAATACCGTTGGACGAGATCCACCACACTCCGCACAACGCCCGCCAGTGTCTTTGCGTTGAATAGGATAGAGACCGTGATGGAAAATGCAGTGACGGCATATATTACCAGACTTTTGACTAGGTCTGGTGCCGGAACCGCGTTCATGCTCAAGATGCTCGAAGCGAAGCCAAGGGGTAGGAAGACCACCGTAACATAGGTAAAAAATCGAATGTTCTCCGACCCACGAAGCGACAAGTCGTCCCGTATTCGACTTCCTCCCTTTTCCAGAGTTTCCTTCTGTGACTTGACTTTAGCGTGGAGAGTACGTAGATCCCTAATTTTCTGGCTTGTCGAGCGTTGACACTTCTTGAGGATCCCTCCGTACCGACGCTCGTCGTTCCGAGTCCACCGGGGCTTTTCGTTTCCACGGTCCTTCTCACGAGCTTCCCACTTCAACACCTCTGACTCCACACCTTCTAACTCTTCATAGACAATTCTCAAAATACTCTCGTACCTCTGCCATTGTGCGCCGAAGTAGAAATAATCTCCACTGCTCCAAGTAGCAAATGGAAACGCATTTTGCTCCTGCCGCACTTCAAGCCCTGTTGTGATTTCAGTGAGAATCTCTTGCGTGCGTTGGATTGCTGTATTCAGTATATGTTCAAACCAGTAGAGTTCGAGAATTTTTCTTTGTCTCCAGCCTGGTTCACGTTCGCTGCATGGGAAGGGAGGAATCCATTCCCAACTGTCTCGGTCTTCTATGAAATGACAGGTCCAGTAGCGATCGAAGAAATCTCCAGTGAACCGAAATCCCATAGAGGTCTTCTTGATTTTCTTCTCTCCACTTGGGAAGACAGTTTCATTTAGGTGTCGTATACTAGTAAGAGAATCTCCCTCCTGCTCTGCTAGGAAATAGAAGCTCAGGTGGAGTTCTGTTTCCCACATATTCGTTATAATTGTTGGGTCGTCAAAAAAGTATTGCACGTGATTGTGATGCCGATGGAAAAAAAGAGATATTGCATGCTGTTCTGCCTCCGTGCTGCCAATTGTGCATATCAATGCCGTCTGGGGGTCAGCCATCTGAAGCCAAATGAGGCGCTTCTTCGCACTCTTCGCATTTCGAGGTTCGCAGAGCTTCTCTAATAGACCTTGGTTGGTGAAAGTAGCGAAAGGGCTGAAAGAGCTCTCGATTTGGTTCTCTCTTCTGGGTCCCTCCGACCCCTGAACGTCGACCCCTTGTGATCTCCGGACCAGGTTGTTCGCAGTCCAATCCCGATCTTGATTAAGATTCTGTATAACATAGTTGGCTTCTTTCGCCACAATATGTCTGTTGATATCGGCATCTGTGTACCCTCCAGTTTGGCCTTTTATAATTGCATATATGTCATCCTTTGTTTTTCCATCATTCATCAGGAAGGATGGATAGTTATATAACCATTCCTCTTCCATCTCAATGATATTGCTCCAATCCAAAAGGCGACCAAAAGGGATTGTCTTTTTCATGAAGACGGAGTTTTGAGCTGTGCCCTCATCTAATACTTTCTGGCGTTTTGGCTGGGTATCAGATCCCTCCGGAAGTCCGTTTAGGCGGCCTCCTTGTCTTTCTGTTTTTGGGCTCCCAGTGTTAGCAGTTGAGGATGCCGGCTTTGCCTTGTGTGCTTCGGCGATGGAAACGGCATCAAAGAGGAGGATGAACAGGACTTCGAAATTAGCATGGAAGAAGTAATCTCGATCTTCTTTCCTGGTATAAATCTCCGGTTCTTGCGTATTATCATCCAGAATCCCGGGGCAAAACCCGCTCAAACTCATACTTCGGAAGATGACCTGGAGGCAGGACCTTATCACATCAGGGGCAGGTTTCTTGTTGATGCTCACTCCCCGTAAACCCATCATGATACCTAAGGCGTATCGAAGTATATTGCCCCAGGACATATCCTGGTTGAATTCATATAGCCCTTGTGATTTGAGCGTGTTGTCCCATAAAGCTTCTTGATCTGGAGTCGAAATCCAGTCATATTTGCCGTCTTGGCCATAGAACAGTGCTGTATCCCGCGAGTGTAACAAGAACCGGGTCTCCCTAGAGGAACGAGTAACAGCGAGCATTCGCTTCTTCAAGGTTTCATTCTCAGTTGTGAATCGTCGAAGTATATCCTGTTGAATACCCCCTGGACGCTTCGATTTCTTCTTTCTCTCATCTCCTTTTGACCATGAGTCATAATCTTCTATGGTCTTGAGAGCCCTCCAAACCCATATGTTGTCGTCTAATCGGAACACATTAGTGCCTTCTTGTTGGTCGTGGGGCCAGGCGTAACACGCATGTTTATCCAACTGTTTCAAGTAATCGAACCATCGGTTGCCGACATTTTGAATGACCCTCTCCTTGAGATTCGAAACGGTGAGAGCCAAATCCGGATCGTTGCGGTAGAAATCTGCCCATTCTCCCACCTTCAGGAGTTGGAACGCCGAATTCGTAAAGAAATCATCCGGCTGCCACGAATATTCACTACGGTGCATATGTTTCCCAGTAACCCAATAGTTAGCGGTGAAATACCCGGGTTTCTTTTCTGCCGTTTCTAGCCACTTCATATGGCCCACACAGACTTTGGATATTCTGTCTCTTAGAGACATCACGTATTCATCCTCACTATCAAGCCGTTGTAATCTACGTGCGACTTCAATGAGGAACCGGAATGCAAAGCTGAAAACACTTAGTTAGCTTGTGTTTTCTGAGTAGAAAATGGAGAATAGGGCCTATTACAAGGAGGCAGGAGTACAGACACGGTGACCTGACATATCTCCGCATGTCAAGGCCGTCGGATACGTAAGGTTCTTGCCCTGCACTGGTGCCGTCGATAAGGGGATGGAACACACAGATAATACATGCTCAAGATGTCGTCGAATCGCAAACTCGATATGATCCATAGGTGATGATGTAATTGACGGTACCCCTACAGGATCGGTGACAGGCCTTTTGGAAGCCTCTGCAATGCAAAGGTCGGAAAATTGAGTGTCTTGTATAAGCTGGTTCACATCGACTGATCCCGCTGGGATTAAACCATCTTTCCAGCTATACCCCGACTCTGGAACGGATATCATACGGTATGCGGTAACGATTTCAATGGTGTTCCTGTCAGATTCCTTCCCTCCTACCTTCGCTTCCCAGTCTGGATTGTGTTCAGGTGGCCATTTCAATGCGTTACCGTCACGGAATACGGAAACAACAACCGCAACGGCCACTGTCGGTTCCGCGTTCTGTGCACTATTCTGAGTTAGCGAATGGGGCCCCTTTCGGGGATAGTCGTCGACTTACCCTGCTTCAACTTCAGGCTTGTCGAGTTTGTGATGTAGCACCCAAGAGGAGCCATGTGTACGTGGTTCTGACTCCCAATAGCCTACATATTCAGAATTAAACAAACTCCAATCGAGATAGTTTGAATCCCGAATGTACATGCATTCTTTCTTGGCTCGAAAGCGAAACTTGACTTCCACCTCAGCTTCCTTCGGGTTAGTTAGGACGCATTGTTGCAAAACTATGCCGTTGTGCACCATCCACTGAATGGCGAGCTCGATTTCCTCGGTTTTATACTCGTATCTCGGCCAGCGATAGTATAGGTATGTCAGCTTAGGACGTTTCCTGAGATCCAAATCTGGGAATTGGAGTCCATAGCACCGCTCAGATTCGTCTGCGTCGTTTAGGCCCTGCTTAGACAATGCCTCTAGGTCCATCGCTCTCTCTACCACATAATAGGGGCTTGGTATCTTTCCGTGGTCTGCCGAGAACAAACCAGAACATCCTATGCCGAGGTATGTGCTAAACTGCATAATGTCCCCATACATGTTAACACTTGCTATTGTGCCATTATCGCCGAACGAGGAATAGGTCTCCTGGTTCGGTGCATCGTCCCAAGACCTATAGGGATTGAGGGGGGGTTCCGTGTCGGGATGGGGGTCCCGTTGAGATTTCATTCCCCCATTGACGGGCAGGTCGCTCCCCCCTACATATAATTGTGAATAAACAAACACGGAGGCTGAAAATGAGGATACACACGTTTATTAAGTTTTTCGAATTCCTTGTTGACCTCTGCCGGGAGTCTGTCATTGGCCATAGGTGAAGGTCCTACTCAGCGGAGGTGAACCAACGAGTGTTCAAGTGGAGGGCAAGCTCAATTGGGTCGAAGATAAGTGATGGCGTAACGTTGTGGGTTGAAGAGTCCAGCCTAGTCTTATATAGCGTCAGCTATTTCACTACACAGATGCAAATCATCGACCCCTGTACTGTACTGCAACAGAGCATAATACCTACAAAGTGACATAATGGAGTCCCATTCTGCCTCCACCCACAAGTTCAACGTGGCAGCTGCGAGGATCTCTATATGGGTGTCGGGTATCCGAATCGAGAGGGGATCACGGCTGGGCGTTCGGTGGTGACAGAGTAATTCTTAGTATAACAACCTTTACCGCCAGGTGAGAGTCATATGAGGCAGGTGGTTATTGAATGTGCAAAAACATAAGCCGGAATTTCCATGGGTTCCATGCATCTAATCGCCGACTGATACGAAACACGCCCTATTAATTGTGATGATCAACGACTCGTCATCTAGGAGTAGTTATTGGTGGCCTTGTGTGGAATATGAGTCGTCGACGCAGCTACTACATTGAAAAGAAATTAAAAACTTGCTTTTACTCTTATTAATTCTCGTCGATTTTAAAGGAACTCCTCTCTACTAATTGCGTTTTAGTATCATTAAAAACGTCGCTCGAACACTACCTAGGTATTAGTCGTGCCGGGTTGTGTATGGGGACAACAGTAAGAGAAGCAGCGAAAACAGATTTGGGGTGACACAACAAGTAGGTACAACCGGAGAGTCTTTAAGAATAACTCTTATTAACCCGTCATCTTCTCACTAATCTACTTATTATAGTATCCCAACCGAGGAGATTTGCTGCCATGCCTCACCCCCCTGTTGCCGTTTCCGATCATTGTCCCGCCCCTCCGACACACACGGCACCATCACAGATCCGACATCCCACGTGCCTTTCGGGCAGCCTGCCATAGCTCCTTTATTTTATTTTATTTTAAATTTTTTTTGGGGGGGGGGGGGGGGTTGGCTCTGTGATGGTGGACAGTCCGGCCTCCTGCCTTAGTAGGGAATTGCCTCCGTGGTCCGGCTAGTCCATGTGGCGTCCGAAGACAAGGAAATCCTTGAGCATGCGCGGAACTTTCAGCAGCTAAGATGCCACAGCCTGCTGCTGCGCGAAGCCGAACAGGCGAAGCGAGGAGCTGAGGGATAGGATGTCGGAATAGGGTCAAGAAACCATCACTAAAGCCGTCTTGCACGTAGGAATGGGCTTTCAGCTTCTCGCAGATGTCGAAACGCTCGCATCCAAGCTCAAGAAACCCGGCGTTTCTGTCAACCCCTACGATGCTTTCGGATGGTGCCCCGTCGCGGACGAGCTTGCGGATGTCCCGCGCGAAGTAGCAGCCTGAGGACTTTTCGCCGGGTGGCACACGACGCAGAGCCTCGGGCTAGACGAGGCATAAGGCAGGCTGGGAAGTCAAGGGATTGGAAAAGTCCCATGCATGGGCACAGAAAAGCCTGGGGGTAGTTGGAGTCAACATGGTAACTGCACATTTCCGCCAAGACTTACCTACGTGTTCGAAGCCGCATCTCGCACTTGGAGGATGTGCCCGCAGATTTGTCTTCTGGGATCCCTGAGTAGCCTCGAAGAGCCTCCTTTGAAATCGCAGGAATTCCATTCCATTTGGCCTGGTACCGGTCGGCGTTTTACGACGCCTTGGTTCAGCTGTTCGCCTCGCTTCTGTACTTCGGTCACCAGCTGAGAGACAGTAGGGCCCGTCACTAGTTGGGGGCTTTTTGGGGGGAAGGGAGGGGGAGGGGGGTTCATTATGTTGCGTAAAACGTAGACGCCTACTTTTATAACTTTCGTATGTAGGCTTACATGGTCCGGTTCAACTGCTACGTGACAAATTATGATATGGATGGAATTTAAGGATCAACCGACTTCCTCGATGGTTGGATAAAATGGTCCCATGACTTGCATGTTATCTAAGGATGGAGTATATGCCGATCTTTTCTAGTTATATGTTACGTGGCAATTGAACCAGCCCTTATATGCCTACCTACCGCAAAGCGTAAATATAGGCGTCTACGTTTTACGCGACATTATATATTAATACTGTCACATAGAGAGCCACTTGTACATGGCTCCCTACTCCTTCTCGAGTTGCTCGCTTACCTAACATAGCTCCCAGCTCGCTTATGTAACATAGCTCGCAGCTCCCTATCGTCTATATATAGGTAGCTCGCATCTCCTTTGTTGATCTCCTTCCTTCTTAGATAGTCAGTCAATTCACCTTCTTCTTCCCACCTTCCGTTGCTCCCAAGAAGCAACCTCAGTGCCCACGTAGCTCTCCCGATCTACGTATCAAATACCTAGTAGAGTCTCTGTCCCTCTTTGCTTCTTTCATATCCTGATCCCTCCCACATTTAATGATACCTACCTTTGCGATAAGGGGTTGCATAAACGGACGTGAATCAGCCGCAACGGCATGTAGTAGTTGGCGTCTGCGATATTGCCGATTAGGCTCTTAGCGACGGTGGTTGCATGGAGATAACGGGCGGCATAATATCGAAGGGTTAACTCCATAAATTGCTCAACGACGGGCATATTCGGTACGCGTGGGAGTTTTATATGGATGTTACTTACAACATAAATGTATTCTCCCGTTATTTGAATCGGGAACGCGGTCTGTGTTTAGTTATCAATCTAACCTCTCAGACCTAACCAGTTCACGAAGGAAGCGAGATAGATTGGTGGAGAGTAACTGTTCACCTAGTCATTTAGGGAGTTAGCAGCCATTTTCTTTCCATAGCGCCCTAATCGACATGTCAGCGCGCGACGCTCTCGGTGACACTTTTTAGCGCTTACATCAGAATAATTATAATATGATCTGTCGCGTAAAACGTAGACACCTATATTTATGCTTTGCGGTAGGTAGGCATATAAGGGCTGGTTCAATTGCTACGTGACATGATCTCCATAGTGTGATCATTGACTTCGCGTCGACACCACTGAGGCCGTTTTTTTCTTTCTCGGTAGTCTTGATTCTCGGTGGTTAGGATCATTCCGCAGGTTCAAATTTATCGTCGCGTAAGAGTCTGTATCTGCATACACCTTACGATGTGCATCTCATGAGCTAGAACCACGCCCATTATCTCTTCTAGAGCCTTATAAGTTCAACAGGCTCTAATCCGAACCAACTGGTACACCCCTAATGATCCCAACACGATAGGGGATTACATAGAGTAGGTTGAGTTGAGTTGTGAAGGTGTCGACCTCACTAGCGGTAATATTCACTGGGTGCACCCCTTAGACTTTAGTGCGTACGATTTTACGTCAACCCCTAAACAACTCCCACCGTAAGCCGAAAACGCGCTACGCTTTGCCAGGCATCCTCTATCATTCACCCTAACTCATCCTCGTCGACATCCTCCTAGCTTTAATTTCAATGAGGAGGCGTCAGCATTCCACCATTGTCGCTGTTGTAATCTGAGATTATCCAAGCTCGCCCTATCGGCGAATCCCTTCAAGCATTTCGCAACAGGTTCCATTCTGCCCATCCAGAATGGAGCCCGGACACCCGTGATTCGGACACCATAACGAATCCGTAGCCCGCTTGCGGTGACTGGCAGACTGGCCAAAACCCTACCTCCAGAGTGCGAGGCCGGCGCAGCGTCAGCGCGATGTCGGCGTCATAAGCTACCCTGCTACCCTAGGGATATAAGGCGCTGATCCCAGAGCCTCGTTCCTAGGGGGCTGAATAGCAACCCGGAGCAAGACAAAGCCTCCGGGGATTGATCAGATCTTGCGAAATACGTCGGGGATGTATTCGCTGCCCGAGATACCCGCCACTTCGTCCTAGCCTTCACCCTCTGCGAATCCGTTATGCGCCTATGGGAAATCGACCGCCTCGGCGCCATCGCATCGACCAATATCTATGAAGAAGGGCTCCAATTCCTATCCGTCTTGCTCAGCTTCCTATAGGTGGACGAAGTAACGCTCGGGTTTGATCCTACCGTCGTTACGCCTGACGGTAAGCGGAACGTTACGATCCAGCGTGACGGTGTCTCGGAGCGCATTATATTAATTGACGGAGTCGTGAGGCGGACATTGTGCATTGCGGGACGGGCCACGACGTGTTGGAAGGCCCATCCGGAAAGAGACCGGCCGACTATACTCGTAGGTATTTCGGGGAGCTTTCTCGGCTTTCCGCTGAATCTGAACACGAACTGCTCGTGGGGCGCGCGATGTCGATTCTCGGCTCTGTTGGACAGTCCCTGCGGATTGCGTAGAGGGCTCCCTAAGCCCAGTATGGCCTTCGCTAAATGATACTACTGTGCGTTTTGGTGGCGGTTCCTTTCGTGGCCTCGCTGCCTTAATCTTAAGGCACGCAAGACGAGTTAAAAGGTAAACCTAGTTGATCAATTGAAGGTGTAAAAACTAAACTGCTAAAAGGGTTTAAATACAGCGTTTTACGAACAGTTAGCTGTTGCGTGTTTTTCTTCAATTCCACCAATCACAGGCCTCCATTCTGGATGCCTGAGGATCCACACTACTTTATACGTACATGTACATACACGTTGTATACATAGGGGCAGGTGATTAGTACGGTAGGCCAGGTAAGGTTAGTGCAACATGCAGGTACCCGCCTGGTGACAGATGTACATAGGTACATCGGGTTCGGTACCGTGTGCAACTCTCGCTCTTGGGGACATCAGCGATAGGCGCCACTGTGTGGTCTCTTAGGTATATGTACATATGTATGGATGTATTGGACCTAGCTGTGTACCGAAGACCTGCCGAAAAAGCCATTGACCAATGGTTTCGCTATAATTCGTGCCCCGGTATCCACCTGAGGCTGCAGCACACACAGTATGTATACAGTATTCGCACCTGGCTCCCAAACTAAGGCAGGTACGTAGATGTATTGATGCGACAACGCGAATGAGTGACATGTTTACCGTGCCGTGCATGTCCCGTTCCCATCTCTGGGTCAACCTCCTATTCCCTCCTCTTCCCCATCTTGCCCGGGCTTTGCTGTTGCTCATCTGGTTGTGCTTGGCCGATCTCCGTGGTGCTCTGCATTGGTGGTGGTAAGTCTGGTCCGATCTACCTCGACGCCAATCCTCCGTGTTAATCTGTCTCCCCAGCCTATCACGCGTCGGGTCCTAATACTCCATCTCTGGCCCTTTTTTTATCTCCTTTGGGGTATTCCGAGTCTTCCGCGTCCGCCCTCGCCCTTCGTATCGCCGGTGTAGAGAGACGGGACCACGACCATGTACGCGTCTCGTTCAGCCGTCGCCACGGCGTTGCTATTCTCGCTAGCCACCGCCGTACCCAACCTTCGTCCGAGACAGACCGACGCCGCCCTGCAGCCGTGGGTCACCATCGGTGAAGATGGCAGCCCGAGCACCGTCACGCCCGTTCTAAGCACTGTTGATGGGACGCCCACGGTTATATCTGGCGCGCCGCACGACCTAACCGCCACTGTCTTCACCACCACCAACTATGGCAAGGTTTCCACCAGCACCGGCACCGCCCCTCTGGCCACGCCCACCGGCGGCCAAGCTGGCGCTTTTCCCGTCTGCCACAACAAGGACGGCGAGTTCGCTCCGTGGTGCCAGCCGACCGACGGCACCGAGCTATTCCCGGGCACCACCTATTACTGTAGGTCTTCCGCCGCCCTGCTTTCGGCGCTATCCCCGGCATTCTTACTGACTTGCTTCCTACCTAGTTTTGTGGGATGCCACGTACTTCAAGATCCCGAACACAACCATCCTCGTACAGGGGAACTACCTGAATGAGACTACGGGCGAAGTCACCGATCAGGCCTTCGAATCGCCGAAGACCGCCGCGTCCTGGGGGTTCTGGAGCTACCGAATTGAAGAAAGCCTCATGAAGTTCCAGTCTAGCAAGAACATCACCTTACAGCTCGCCACTCTGACCTTGGACGGAACGCAGAGCGAGATCATCCCGGGTCCCCGGGTCCTGGTAACTCATTACCCCGGCCCGAAACCTGACCTCGGCAAGCCCGCAGACCAGTTGGCGCTCATGATCGCCCTACCCACCGTCTTCGGGTTCATCCTCCTCTGCGTCGTAGGCACCTGCATCTGGAACAAGAAGACCCGCCGGATCGACATCGGCAACATCATGTCGCGCAACCGGAACGGCTACGGCGTCGGGAAGAGCGCGGGCACCCGGATGGGCCTGGGCAAGAAGCAGAAGGCCCACGAGCGCATCCAGCTGATGGAGCGCGAGGTTCGGGCGGACGGCGGCGAAGTTTACCGCGACATGCCCGAACTCGAGAGGCGGGACAGCGACGCGCTCGGCAGCCTGGCCGGCACCCCGATCGAGGACCGGCGCATGGACTTCCACAGGCCCGGGAGGCGATAGGGCTGATCCTGCGGTCGACGGCGTGGTCAAGGCTTAATAACGAGAGAATCTAGCAGAGACAAGGGGTGAACTTTACTTTTGGAAAGCCGTACTCGGAAAGCCACATTTGGAAAGCCGCGCACGACAACGGACGGTGGAACTGTTCGCGAACGAAAGGTACGCATGGGAATAGAAACGCTAACGATGAAGATAATCTTACTGTACGCGCTATGTACGCTTATCAGGATTTACAAGACCCTGTACGTATGATGTTTTTCACGTCACTAGAATGAGGCCAAGGGCACGGGGAGGCCCAGACTCTGGTCTGCTTTAAGAAGCAAGCAAGCAGGCGATCTCGAAATATACGGCATTGATGCATCGACCTACCCGCCTACCCCAGGCTACCTTTACCCTTGGGATCTGCCTGGATAGGTCGTCCCTCTGGGCATTCTAGACCTAAATGCCAGTGTCTCGTGGCAGAGCAGAGCGTGACAGCGATTTTTCTAGTGATGGAGCAGTTGGGAACTTGGCACGTAGGTTATATTCTGGTTCGGGCAATCCTGATCAATGCTGTTGCGGGGTCTTCAATAACGATTCTTAATTGTGCCATCACTGGCAATCTCTTATGGCCAAAAAAGGAAACATTCGATATCCCCAGACCTGCCAGCTTTGGTATTTCAAAGGCTCGCTCCCTGATATTTTTGCACGGCCCGCGGTATCGGACGAGCAGACGTCATTCCGTCGCAGGCGATGAGCGAGTCCCCGTCGACTGCGGCGAATGTGTCTCCTTTGCTCAGCCGCAGGCAGTTCTTCCCTTTCTCTTTCTTCCCTCCCCCCACCTCTCCCTCACCCCCTCACTGGATATCGGGGTACGCATTCAGTGCGAGCTGGCCGCCGAGGTGGGCGTAGAGGACGTTGCTGCCGTCGGGGATCTCGCGGTTGCGGACGAGGTCCATGAGGCCGGCGAGGCTCTTGCCCTCGTAGACGGGGTCGGTGATGAAGGCCTCGGTGCGGGCGCCGAAGCGGATGGCGTCGAGGGTGCGGGCGTCGGCGACGCCGTAGCGGCCGCCGTGGTAGCGCTCGTCGAGCTCGACGTCGGCGTCGCGCACGTCGGCGGGCGCGAGCCCGATGCGCGCCGCCGTCGCCCGCGCGATCCGCAGCACCTGCGCCCGCGTCGCCTCCGGCGCCGCCGACGCGTCGATCCCGATCACCCGCCGCGCTCGCGACCCCAGCCGCTCCTGCGCCAGCCGGAACCCGGCCACCGCCCCCGCCAGCGTCGACCCCGTCACCGCGCAGATGACGATCGTGTCGAAGAAGAAGTCGTCCACGCCCCGCCGCCGCTGCAGGTCGCGCTCCTGCGCCTCCACCTCCAGCGCCCACCGCGCGAACCCCAGCCCCCCCAGCGGGTGATCCGACGCCCCCGCCGGGATGTAGTAGGGCTCGCGGCCGGCGGCGGCGAGCTCGCGCTCGAGCTGCGCCAGCGTCGGCTTGTGCTCGATGCCGAAGCTGGTCTGCGGCTCGAGCCGCGGCGCCGCGCCCATCAGCCGCGACAGCTGGATGTTGCCGACGGTCTCGTAGTGGCGCTCGGCCGCAGCGTCGGCGGGCGCGTCGCCGCCGTCGGCCGCCGGCAGGTCGACCCAGTGCTCCTGGACCAGCGCGCACTGCAGCCCCAGCGCGGCGGCCACGGCGGCCACGGCCCGCGTGTGGTTCGACTGCACGCCGCCGATCGAGACCAGCGTGTCGCTGCCCTGGGCCAGGGCGTCCGCGGCGAGGTATCTGTTGTTTTGCCCCGCCCAGGTTATTTGATCGCTCCACGCACACGCATCTGGTGCGGCACAGCTGCCGCGGCCTACGCTAGGAGAGGGAGGAGGGCAGGCACTTACTCGAGCTTGCGCACCTTGTTCCCACCGAACGCTAGGCCCGAGTTGCAGTCCTCGCGCTTGGCGTAGACCTGGACACGACCGCCCAGAGCGGCGCTGATGCGCGGGAGGTGCTGGATGGGCGAGGGCCCGAATAGTAGCGGCGTCCGGGGGATGCTGGCGAAGGGCTCGGGGAGCCGGAGGTCGAGCTCGACGTCAGTCATGTTGGAGGCGTGTGTAGGGCCTCGAAGGGGAGAGATAGTGGTGTGGTGGTTTGCGGACTGGGTTGAAGAGACAAGCGGTTCGGTCGGCGCGTTATGGGGGATCGAAAATTTGCAACACGAGACTCGCTGCCATTTCGGGGGTCCTCGTCATGGCCGAGCAGAATCTGTCACGAGTAATCCGCTATCCCGACCTCGGTCTACGCCTAACTCCACCATCGAGCCAAGACCGGGCCCCGAAGTCGGATGGCGACGATAACGCGTGGACTAGTACGTGAGACGGCGCCGAGAGCGGGAGCCGACACCACCCACCGGCCAGCAGCGGAATAGGGGAACGTAATACTCCACCAATAGTATCCAACAGCAATCTTGCCTTGTTTCCGGCGTAGACTGCTACTTAAGACGGCTATAATATCTTCTACAAATATGCCTCATATGACAGGTGTGGATTGCCTACGTACTTCTAATCGTACACCTAATACTGATTGACCTAAAATTGGTAAAGATGGGGGCCAAAGCTGGGAGGTTCAACAGGTTGTGTTATAATAGTATAATTAGCAAAGCAAAGAAACAGCCCAAATCAGCAACAGGTGTATATATACATCAACCTCTTCCGGAAATGGGAGTTCTAGAAGTATCGAATCTCAATAGCTGATCTAGCCTAATGAATAAGATATCTATTCGGTACTTGGCTGCAGGCTGGACTAGATGGTACAAGGGCAAAACGATCATGAGAAATTTGGCATATCTTTATAGTTGCTATTACTGCGGCCTTATATAACCATGTTTTTCCACCCCTGGCACATGTCTCAGATACCCCCATATGAATGTACGTACCTTATAACCTTTATACTACACCTTAGAATCGGTTCTGGATCAATATTCACTTGTACTTATTTGTCGATCCTGTGACTCTCCTGTCTCTATGTATTTCGACTTACTTGCCTATGTCTTCCCGTCCTCCTTGAGGCAGGTAGGTATCGACTCATCCCCTTTTTCATATTGATCTTTGTAGAACCCTCTCTCTCCTTTCTTTCTCTCTCTCTCTCCTAGCACAAGTATCCTGTACTGGTACCTGTTACAGTGACCCGTCCTTAATACCTATCTAGGCAGTATACCACGCCCCTGGCTCACGGTGTTTATAAAGAGGGACTGGATGGCTCCGAAGTACCTTTAGCAGCCTCAGAGAGCTACATGAGTGGAAGGAGCGATATACTGCCCAGAGAGTATGTCTAGGTGTTATTTCGTGATTCAGCGTCCCCCTTGTGAGTATATAAGACTACATCCACATCGAAAATTCCACAGACTAGATTTCTTTCCTAGTTATGTTAACTTCTGCAAGAACCTGCCTTTGTCACTAGTACCTCTAGAGTCCGTTGGAATGTTTTCCTGAGGCAGTAGACACTGCCAAAGCGAGTGATTGGAACATATACTCCCTGGCCAAAGCCGGGGCAGAGAATCCCCCCTCCCTCCTTCTTTCGTCTTCCTTTCTCTTTGCGGCGGTTCCACTTCCACTTCTTCATCACAAAACACCACCGCCCTCTTCCATTCCAGTCGCAACTGTTGCGTTGGCCTGTGGTTTCGATCACCTTGGTCAACGCTGGAACCTTTGAGCCACCGCAAACGAGCCCCCTTACGGTGGGTTTAAATTTACAGCATTCAAATCCCCCCACCCACCCTCAAGAAACCCCCAGTCTCAGTATATCTCAAGACCTGCCTGTCGACTGCAAGACGCCGCCGTGACGTACCAGAAGATATCCAAGCATCTTTGACACCGAAAAAACCAGTACCATCAGTCTGAGACGTCCTTATAGATGGACTCAATGGGCGATTGATATCCCTCGAGTTATCTTATTACCGCCTAGCACAACCTCTTAACGTCTATTCTATTACGACAGTCTGTTATTCGGTCACCTAGCCCTCCCATTTAAACCGTGCGTTTACCAATCCCCATCTCCCTCCGCCACCTCCATCCCTCTCGATCCTCTTATCTAACCTTGCTGTATTCTCGTGCTCACCCGTGAGATAGATATCGCCTACTAACGGATACTAGGACGATCTAAACTTCAACTCAACAGAAAGGCACCATGTCTGACAACAATGACAAGAAAACGGAGGAGGTGGTAGACGATTTCTCGCAACTAGAGTTGTGGGAAATTTTCGCCACTAAAAGCTACACTGCTGCCTCGGGCGAGGAAGACCAAGGTTCGTTGCGAGCCGAGGGGGGAGGGAGAACCCCTTAGTGAGCACCAACAATCACTACCCAACCGAATCCACTCCTCTTAAATCTAACCCGCTTCGCTTAACTAACGCTCGCTCCTCTCAACACACAGGCCAGGCTGAAGGATCCGCCCCGAAGCTCACCTCTATCCCATCGCAAACGGGCGTTGACAACAACAACAACGCAGGGGAAGAAGATTTAATCAGCTTCAACGACTCCCCAGCTGCCGCCCAGCCAGCCAACGCCATCCACTTGCCGGCTGATCTTACGCCTCCTTCGGGCAACCCCCCTCACACAACGCCGCCGGCACCGTCTCCTCCCCTCGGCGTGTCTTTGCTGTCGCACTTCTTCCCACAGCACACCCCCGCACCCCGCGTACCCCCCGACCTCTCCGCCCTAACCTCGCTCGCCGACGAGGAGGACGACGCCGGCCCCAGGCCGCCCATGACGCCCGAGGAAGCCGCAGCCTTCTACCACCTGCCGAGCGCGGCGGCGCAGCGCGTCGCGGCCTCGGAAGCGGGCGACGCGGAGGCGCTGTTCGCGGCGCAGGCGCGGCTGGACCTGGTGCTGTGGCGGGTGGCGGGGGCGCTGGGCCCGGGGCACCCGGCGGCGCTGGCGGCGCAGCGCGAGGTCGTGGCGGGCGCGTACGCGGGCGGCGGGCGCTAGCAGGGCCGCGCCCGCGACGCGTGGACCGCCGACGACGCGCGGCAGATGGACGCGGCCGCCGTGGGCGCGTGGCTCGCGCTGCGGGCCGCGTGGGGCGCGCGCTGGGCCGCGCTGCTGCCGCCCGCGCACCGCGCCGCCCTCGCCGCCGCCGACCCCGCCGCCCCCGCCCGCGCCGGCGCCCTCCACCCCGACGCCCTCGACGCCCTCGTCTGCCTCCTCGAGGGCCGCGCCCGCCTGCTCGCCGCCCCCGGCGGCGCCGCCGTCGCCGGCCCCCCCGCCCTCGACCACGTCCTCGCCGTCCTCGCCCGCACCCTCGGCGCCCCCGCCGCCCGCGCCCCCGATCGCCGCCACCACACCCTCTGGCTCTGGCGCCGCGTCGCCGTCGCCCTGGCCCGCGTGGAGCCGCCCCCCGCGGCCGATGTCGATGTTGCCGCGGTGTTGGCCGTGCGGGAGCGCGGGCTCGCCCTCGCGCGCGCCGGCTTCGCTGCCGAGGGTCTTGGTTACGATGGCCCAGCTGGTGCTGACGCTGACGCTGACGCCGACGCCGACGCCGACGCCAACGCCAACGTTGACGGCAAGCAGAAGGGCAAAGAGGCCGGTATAACGGACTAGACGGTGGGACCAGTGCGAGGCTCACACGCATCGCCTGCCCATGTCGTGCTGCGGAGATGAGCGGGGGGATCAAGGGAGGGAATGAAACGCATATTAGAAAAGGGGGGGGGAGGGGGGGATCAGAATGGGGGAATTTTCACTAGGCGCAGACGACTTCCCCCATCTTCCCCTTTCTATCAGACTGGCTACCCATAACGTTTACAGCTACACATCTCCTGTTCTCGTCGCTGTTGCTCCGACTGGGGATTCTATGGCATGTCCGGTTCAGGGCAGGAATCTCATACTCTTTCACCCGCAGACGGATTGACGACGTCTACTTGGCTACCATCGTTAGTGTCTTCACTGTTGCTGTCAAGGTACCTTAGAATATATAGCGCTTTCACACACATATATCGCTATGATACGTAATCCCGCGTTATGGCTTTGTGACATCGCCCTAGGTAGGTAATATTGACGACAGTAATAATACAGCCCTAGGTGTACGTTGTCTTACCTTTGCATATACTCGTACTGCTGGGGGAGTTTGGGGGTTTTTTGCAAGTGGCAGATCTGTAGTAATATCACACTCCCAAGGTATCTCTTCCACCACGGAATGGACGTCTTCTAACGCAAACACCGTGGCCCGTTGCTGTGGTATTTAAATCACCATTGGGGCCACCATGTCGCTGGCAGCGGCAGGAGGTAGAGGCGATCTCGAGCTTCGCATGTCAAGGCCATATTGCCGTCCGCGATGGTGAAAGACGCGTAGTTATCACATGAATAGCACAATAATACTGTTATATTACCCTAGCACCTGCAACAGCCTTTCAGGCTGTTTAGAATAGTGTGGGCGAAAACTCTCCTAATCACAGCATGGATAACCGCCCACTGGGGAACTGGTTTATTCCAACCTCCTGCGTCAGCAACTTTGCGGCGGTCATCCCCGCCACTGGCGACTCAGTGGACTATTTCTTGCCACCACTGCCACCGCTGCTGCCACCGTAGCCGGAGCTATGGGAGCCCCCCGACGGCGAGGTGTAGGTAGAGCCACCCTGGCCGTTATTATAGTAGGTGCTTCCATCCGGGTTGGAATAGTAGTAGGAGCCGTCACTAGCCAGTGTTCAGCATACGTGTACACCAGAAGGGGGGGGTTGTTTGGCTGACGTGTTAGAGTAGTGGTAAGAGTTTGAGTTGGGCGCATCGCTGCCGTAATCGCGGGAGCAATAGTGGTTGCCCTAGGATTCAAGTGCCGGTTAGTGTGAAGCATCCAACAGGTATGTTGTCCCGAGATACTCGGCGGGTAGTGTCGTCATGGACCGGGGGGGGGCGCCTAGCTGTCACGAGTTTTACGGAGCAAGGGTAGAGGGCGTCGACAGAGAGCTCTAGAGGGTTACGAAGAGAATTTACCTGGGAGTTGGTGCCCGAGCTGTTGTACGAATAGCCTTGGCCGCTCGGCATGGTGACAGCGAGGTAGCTGGATAGATCGGAGAGGCGTTGTGTCGTGACTGTTGTGTTGGTATAGGGCACCGAAGGCCAGACGGTCACAGTATCTGAATGACAATGGCGAAGGAGGTGGTGGGTAGTGGTGATGGCGGTGAGAGAGGGGGAGACGGAGGGGGGAAGAGAAGCTCAGAGGGAAAAGATGGTGAGGGGGAACTCGGAGGACGTGGCCGGCCTTTTAACCTTTCTCCTCCACCGCGAAGCAACTACCGCCAGACCAGCCTGCCGATAAGCCGGCGTGGGAAAGACCGAATAGTTTCATAATATCAAACGTGGAATCGATTATACGGTACTTCTCAAGGCCGTGCCCAATACGGTCCCCAATCTGCCTGTGGATCCTATAGGAGGTATCCTTATTGGCTCGTCTTTGTTGACTGCCCAACCATTGCCTATTCACGGTTCACAGCTCCTTGGAAGCTAATCGAATATGCACTGTAAAGGGAGCTGTATTTGAGCTCGTCAATTAGCAGTTCCAGTTCCTAGTTAACCTCCTAATTTATCAGCAGTTCAGGTTCAGCTTCTTACGTTTCGTATGTTTAGACGACTACCTAAGTGATTACGAGGCAACAGGAAGCGACCCGGCCAACGCGTACATGTCCGCCTACCCATGTAGTCTATACCTACCTGCTGCAGGAACGGGTTATTACTTTGGATCAGGGGTCAGGCAAGAGGAGGTCGGCACCTATGTAGGTAAGACGGGGTAGTAGCATCCGGAAAGCGATCCGAGAGGAGACCCGGCGGGGGAAATCGGTGTGCCAAAGACACAAGAGTGACAGTACGAACATAAGTGGGTGTAGAGAGCGCTCCGTGTACGGATACACTCTAGATATACAGACTTGTCGACTTTGGACAGAACCGTATAGCTTGACCGTGGCATGATGTTGTTGTCGAACGATAGGCGGGGTTATGCGAGGATAACAAGCTTATGTTGCGGTATAGTCCGGTTGCGCTGCGTCGCGCATGAAGAGAGGCGGGGTTATCTACTTGTGCTTGAGGCGACAGAATGCAATCGCTAGTCGCGGCATCATGCGTGTGTCTCGACGCCGCGGTCTGCTTTGCTAAATAAAGAGGCGTAATACTGCAATTAACAACACACTTAGAGTGTCCGGCGAGCAAGGTGGCATCCTAGATGGCAGGGTATTATTCCCTGCTGCGCTTGGACCGAAACGGACGCCAGGCCGATGGCGGGGATAGGATAAGGCGGTATGATGTTGTTGGACGATGAGTCCAGACCATCGCTTCCTCCGTCGATGCGCTAGTTAAGATGACGCGATACGGATTAAGGCCAGTGTTCCGTTGCGGTGAGAACTGAGTCGAAGCTGTTGTCGCGAACCGCAGCTTATCGTTGGGGCGGGTCCAAGAGGATCATCGGCCGTGAATCGGCGGATTACGCGGCCCCGACGTCTTCAGGAAATAAGAATGAGGAAGAAGCGCAGGAGAAAGTTGAGACGAAATGTGCCCGGAGGCCGCGATCGACTGCGTTCGATTCTCTTGATTCTGTCTATTTGGTATCTGTCTAATGCGAGCAGGTATGAAGGTAGGTAGATCTCTCTATCGCTGGGCAACACCCCTTTAAAGCTGGGCGGACAACAGTCATTCCGGCTTTCCTGCCTCGGTCCCCTCTCGCTCATCCGCCTCGTGCTCGGCCAAGAACTTCTCCGCGTCCAGGGCCGCCTGGCAGCCGGAGCCTGTGATCCCCTCCTCGTTAGCATGGTGTATGCGGTGCGGGGACTTGTGTTCAAGGGGTATATAGACGTACCTGCGCTGGTGATGGCCTGCCTATATCTCTTGTCTTGTACGTCACCGGCCGCAAACACGCCCTCGATGCTGGTATACGGCGTGCCGGGCTTGGTGACGATATACCCCTCGGCGTCGGTTTCTAGCTGCCCTTTGACTAGGGCCGTAGCTGGGTCGTGGCCGATGGCGTAGAACAGCCCATTGGCATCGATGAGCTGCCTCTTCCCGCTGGCGGTGTCCTCGATGACGAGGTGTGTCATCACCCTGTCGTCGCCCCTGATCTCCACTGCCCGCGTGTTGAATCGGACCGTAATCTTCGGGTTCTTCAGGAGTCGTTGTGACATGATGCTGCTGGCCCGCAACTTGTCCCTGCGCACTAGCACCGTCACATGGCTGCCGTACTTGGTCAGGAACGTGGCCTCTTCGGCGGCGCTGTCTCCACCGCCGATCACCACGAGCGGCTTATTCCGGAATATGGGGACGGCCCCGTCGCAAACGGCACAGGCGCTCACGCCGCTCTGCCAATATTTCTCCTCTCCCGGAAGGTTCATCCTCTTCGCCGAAGCCCCGGTAGCGATAATGACGGCGTCCGCGGTGTGCTCCTCGCCGGGCGCCCATTCCGTCTCATACTTGAACGGCCGAGAGGAGAGGTCGAGCTTGGAGACGGTTTCGGTGATGATCTTGGTGCCGAATCGCTCCGACTGCAGCCTCATGGCATCCTATAAGAAGCACCCCACAAGTTAGACAGGCTTGCAAGAGATGGTGGACTCTTCGGATATCGCAGCTGGCTCACCATCAACTCGCCGCCCATGATACCCTTGGGAAAGCCCGGGAAGTTTTCGATGTCGGTGGTGGTGGTCAACTGGCCACCGGCGGCGATGCCGTTGGCCATGAACCCCTCGTAGAGGACGGGCTTCAGCTCGGCGCGAGCGAGGTAGATGGCGGCGGTGTGGGCGGCGGGCCCAGAGCCGATGACGACAACCTTGCTATGCATGCCTCTGGTTGTTGCCTTGGGGATCTCGTTGTACTGTCGCGTGTATTTCTGGAGGCCGGCGGAGGCGAGGGCTGCAGTGGTGATGCCCGATGTGCCTGCGCGGAGTGACCTAGCGGCTTTGGAGGAGAACACTTTGACGGGTTTTCGACGCTCTATCAACTAGTGATAGAACACGGATCGGAGAAGAGATGGGCGACGAGCGCGAGGGCTACGGTGGCCTTCAAATAAGGGAAGTCTGCGATCGGCAACGTACGACGGAGCCCGGCAGTGCTACGGAGTAAGACTCGACCAAAAACCCCGCGGAATTAGGAAGACAGGGATGGAATCAGGTAGACTTAGTAAGGCTTAGGGGAGATGGGAGGGTATGGAATGTATGGAACTGTCACAGGAGAGCGGCTCTACATGTGGTTCCGAAAATAGACATCAATTTGGAATTATTCCCTAGCGGCGGTATGTCGTGTGTCGTTGTTCAGCGCCTGCTCATTTCTGTAGGTGAGGGGTGAGGGGGAGAAGGTGAGCGCCGGTGACGGGAGGAGAAAATCCCCGCATTATTCAGCAGCGCCATTCCGACGTCTCGTGTACGTAGGTACCTGAAATGTACCGATACTTCCTGCGCTGTACATACAGGCGGGGAGCAAGGCCAGAAGGTACACACCCTCAATGTACTCCCAGCTCCTTTCCCCACCCGACCTCTATACATGGCCCCACCGTCGAAGATCTGAGGTCCGAATCGGAGCTGACTTCCCCCCCCCCCTAACGTGATGTCTACCTGGTAAGACCGGCCGGGCAGGTACTCGAATATGTGGTTACCAGATCGACCAGAGGTAACGGGGACATATGACAGGACACGCAACAATGTCACCCAAGACACGCAGGCAATCCGCAAATTCCGCGGGCTATTCGTAGATGCAAGTCGATAAAACAACCCAGAAAGACTACGGATACCTAGATCCTGAATGAGCGTGAGCAAGTATTAGGTAGGTAGTAAGATAGGATTGTGGCAGATTGTCTTGTCCCATTCTCTTGCTGGAGATTCGTCCCGCTTATCGAAACGCCCTCGCCGGGTCGAAGCCGAGCGATATTTCCTCGAGGGTGCCGGCTTTCAAGCAATCGATGCCTTAACGAACCTGCCTACCTACCTAGGATAGTCTCGATACAGACACGGGATCTATCGAGCTGCTTTCAACTACACCTAGGTAAATAAAAGCATTCTTAGGCAATCTTTCGGACTCACGCGCCTGCTCAGCTACTCGTCCGGTCAGTACATATAAGGCACTTACAACGATATTTGCACGGTAGGTAATAGTTCTGCAGCTCTTTGACAAAGCGGCCGGTCTTCTCATATATTTCCCGTCATCGTCTCTCATCATCTACTGTCTGCAGGCTCCCTGTTTACATCTCTCTTCGTGACGTTCGCTAGCAGCAGCATTTTATTCGGGATTTGGAATACCCCCCCGCCACTGCGATCGTGTACCCTCAGGCCCACCACTCAACCCTGTACTAATGACCCGGTATCGCGGCTCTCTTCATTACGCGCGAAGCACTCCGCCTTCTACCGCCCACCGCTCGGGAACTACCGCCAGCCTCCAGTCTCCCCGAAAGATATGGCGCCGCAGCAGAATATCCCGCTCGCAGCCAACGTCCTCGGTGTAAGCCTCCTCTCCAAGCAGGACGCCCAAGACTACCTACCGAGATCACGGCAGCTCATATAGAGAGGCGATAATCAGACACTCGGCACCGTTTTCTGGTGCATCCAGTTGATACCTCAGATAGTGAGTGTGTTTCCCAACGATCACATCGACGGACGTAGGGCAGGCATTACTAGCTTTCCTGCCGTGTTCCTCGCGAATGGCTTATTCGTAATCATTGCCACGACCACTTTTAGCTAACCTAGCATGTTAATACCGCAGTGGACAAATTGGCGGACCAAGAAGACGGACGGTCTTCCCGGCGCCATGATGTATTTATGGTCCATATGTGAGGCCCCCCCGTGAGCCGCCGTCTCTGGACCCGGTCGATTGGGCAAGCAGAGATGGAAGCAAAGGTCTCGCTAACCGTACCCGACCAGGCGGCGTCCCGTTCGGGGTATACAACATCGTCCAGGGGTTTAACTACCCCCTGCAGCTGCAGCCGCAGATCTTTATGAGTCTCTGCCTCGTAAACTGGTGTCAGATATTATTGTACTCCAGGTAATCTAGCTGAGGCCTCTGCCCGCCGTGCTGCCACGGTGATTTCCTCAAACCTGGTACATACCGCTAACGATTGCTTCCCGAGCCGTAGTAAATTTGTCCTCTGGAAGGTCATCGCGATAGGATTAGCGAATGCGGTAGCTTTTGCTGCCATCGAGACGGTCTTGATAGTAAAGTTACGAGTAAGCCCAAATCGAAAGTGCATATATATCTATGAGACGGACATAAACTGACACCGCCGGTAGCCACAATACGATGCCGGGGACGGAACGGGCGTTTTGGCCATCGGTGTCGTCGCCAATGTCCTGTTGGCGGCTGGCCTGCTGCCGCCGTACGGCGAGCTCTGGAAGCGGAAGGGAAGGGTTGTCGGGATCAACTTCCTCTTCCTCACGATGGACTGGCTAGGCGCGTTCTTCTCTCTCATATCGCTAGGTACGGTACGCTCGGCTTCCCCGTGAGCCCGTTGCTACGTGCACATCGCTCACCAAATCCAGTGGCTCAGAACACTTTCGACATCCTCGGCGGGGTGCTCTACATCGTGTGGTAAGCGGCGATACGCGCGTCGCGCGGAATGGTATCAATATTCTCTGTGATTTCTCTACTGAACTGGGATGTAGCATGTTTCTCGAGTCGGGCATCTTCATCTCCCACATCATATGGCTCATCCGCACGCGGAACATCCGGAACGAAGCGGCTGCGAAAGGAAAGACCTTTGACGACGTCGCAGCTGAGTATAAGAAGCAGGGCATACCGTTCAAGTTCGCGGAGCGGGAGTATGTGAGGCAGAAGAAGCCCAAATTGAATGGCATAGAAATGGGCGGTGGTGATCGGAAGGCTCGCGGGATTACCTCTCTGGGAGTTGGCAGCCATGTGGAGCAAGAGGATGCCTGCGGGCAGAGCACGCCGACGTCTAGCGTGGGAGTGTGGGAGAGACCAGAAGACTTCTCAGACACAACCGCGAAAAGGGGACGAGGGACGAGCAGATTAGGGACAGGGTTAAAGGTAGAGATAGGGTGAAGATAAAGCTAAGGAATAGATATCTCGAAGCCTAACAGGAGCCTAGAATAATCAACGCAATCCGTTCGTGTCTCATTACCGTCATTAAGTATACCAACCGAGAAGCCCAAAACCAATCCGTCATACCTAATTACCCCCAATCGCCACACATGCATGGACGCGCATCCCGTCGGCTATGTCACTCCCTTTGTTCCACTCCCTTACTCGACGGACGGCTCGGTGCCCTGGGTCTTGAGATCCTTGCCCTTACCACCGTACTCGACCGGCAAGCGCTCGCCGAGGGCGGGGACCTTGCTGTCGGGGAACTCGAGGGCGAGACCTGCGCCGTTGGACATGGGATGGAACTTCTTGATGGTCTTGGGGGCGACGAAGAGCTTGATGAGGCCGTACATGAAGCCCATAATGGCAGGCACGTTGACGAAGAACTTTTCCTTGAGCAGCTCCGGGTAGGCCGTCGCGAACACGCGGATCGTCTCCGTGCTCGCCGCCTTCACCACCGGCGATGGCCGCAGGAAGCTGATGCTCCGGTAGTCGTGCACCTGGAAGATCTTGTACGGGTCCCACGACGCCGTGATCGGCTTCGTCGCGCTCGCCAGCGACAGCTCCTGCACCGCGAGCTCCATCAGCGCGACGCGCCACCGCATGAACCTAGTGTGGAGGCCTCGTTAGTAGAGAAGACGACGTCTTGTCTGCGACGTATGTGTAGGTTTATTGTAGATAGGCTAGTAGTGTCTCGCCGTTGGAAAGAGGGTGGTAAGAAGAAGAAGAAGAAGAAGAAGAAGAAGAAGAAGAAGAAGAAGAAGAAGAAGAAGAAGAAGAAGCACAACGACTCACTCTTCGAGGTCCCCAAAGGTCTCCTCCATCGACTTGACGCCGCCGTAGATGTTCCAGGTGAAGACCTCGCGGGCCTCGGGGTCTGCGTTCGCGTCCTGGCCGGTCTCGCCGTAGGTCGTGACGTAGCCGAGACCGCCGAACTTGGCGCTGGAGAAGCTCCTCTTGACGAGCTCGAGGGGCTGCATCTTGGCGCGCCAGGCGAGCGTCGCGGTCAGTTGCTCGCGCGCCTTGACGATGTCGCCGTCGTTGGCGTTGAGGTACTTCTGCAGCACGATCTGGCTCGGCACGTGGGTCTCGGGGTCGGCCAGCGTCACGCCCCAGATCTCGGCGTGGGCGTGGGCCTTCGCCGTCGCCCACAGCTGCTGGATCGGCGTCGTGGCTTCGTCCGGCTTCGGTGCGGGTGCCTCGGGTTTAGGCGCAGCGGCATCGGCTGCGACTGGGGGTTTGGCTTCCTCACTCATGGCGGTGGCGTGTGTGCAGACGCGAGTATCGAGAGATCAAGAGAGTGCCTAGATAAGGTCCTTTCTAGTACGGGTTACGCGAAATGCAAAAGGATCGACGCGGGTTTCGGTCTTTTGTTATTGTTTTTCCAGTATTTTCTCATAACCCCGAGCGATTCGGCGGTGGGAAACGGTAAAGTGACGAAGCCGCTCAGCTTTCTGCAGAGGCTCGGGGACAAGAGCTGGTTGGCAAGGGCAGGCAGGCCGTGCCATTTGTACCTGCCTCGTTGCGGCGCAGTTGCATCGCAGCTTCCCCGATCGGGACACCGTGACGTAATTCGACTGCATGGTGACTAAGCCGACCCTGATCCCTCTCGCTGCCGACTGATTGCAGGTGGTTTCAGGTGATCCGGTCCCCGTAGCAGCCTGTATGAACCTGAGTCGGCCTGTCACCTCCGTCTTTCTCCCTCTACCGCCTCTCTCGTCTTGTCTGTCTGCCAAGTCCAAGTCCACGATAGGTGCAGACACCCACCGACCAGCCCCCGACCATCCCACCAACCACATCCTCCCTTTCGACAACATGGCTTCCTAGAAGCGGCGTTACCGTCCCCAGGCTTACTGTCCGCCATCGAGAACACCTGCCCATCCATACGCCGCGCCCGTCGTTTCGCGACTAAAGCCAAGATCAGACCATCGACCCCCCGGTTGCGCCGCCCAGCACGGCGGTGGGTACTACCCGGAATAGCTTCAATTCGAGTGCGCGTCCGCCGCGATTGAATGGATGGACAGGCGACGAGTGAGCGAATGCCAAAATGATCCAGGGCATCTTCTATGCTAGATTCCTACCACAGGAGGGTAAGTCTGCCGAGCCGTTTTCCTGTCCCGCCCAATATGCGTCACGCCTATCTTCATTTTCCTGTGGTATTGTCCTTCTTATACCTATCTTCGTATGAACTGCATCGTTACTTGAGAGTGTGCCCCTCATATAGAAACCAGCTCACTCCAGGCCCTCGTACACACGTCCTAAATCCCCCTCTATGGAAGCATCCTCTCACATCCATGCCAGGAACCAAGATTGTCGCGCAGTCACCACCGGGATGCATCGTGGCAACCACCTACACGCCGCATATGAAGCCGCCGCTGGTGGACTTCGACATAATCCAGGAGTATATCATCCCGCGCAAGGCTTTCTTCAATCGATTCATCACCGTGAACTCCCCAGATACCAAATATAGCATTCTCGGGTTTCCCGTCTCCATCCCCCATGAGCGGTACCACCGCAACGAGTTCATCTTCAACTTCGGGCTCGTCGTCGAGGCCGACGCCGACCAAATTCCGTACGAGAGGCTTGTGAGGCGTCTCGCCGTCACCTTCGCCGAGATGGAGCGCCAGTACGGGTACTTGAGCTCCGACGGTAAACTCACCGACGGCGAGAGGCGGCCCATCGAGAGCCTGCTGGAGATTATCAAAGAGGACCTCAACAATTATGGCGAGTGCATGATACCCGTCGGTACGTCTTCCATCCCTCGCATAATCCTTCCCTTCCCGTCCCTATCTTGCGCGTCGGGAACGTCTCCGGACTACCTACTTACACAGCCCTAAGACGAGGTAAACATCCTCAACATGAAGCTCTTCCCTTTCCACCCCCCGCCCCCGCCCGTGCGCGGGTGGCATGTCCCGGTCCCTAAGATGAAGCTCGCCGACATCGTAGACTCGACATGGGACCTGACGTTGCAGAAGATCATCCCCCACACCGACGGCGTTAACGACGTGCGTCGCATCGCCTGGCTTGCCGACGTGTCCCTGCCGCTCGCCCAGATCGCCCTGCAGCACCTCCTCTACTATGATACCATCCTGCTGCTCGACATGTTCTTCTTCGGCAGCTGTTACGCGCCGAGACCCGGTATCCACGACTTTATCGCCAACCGCGGCGGCCTTGTGGACGAGTGTTCTGCCTATGTATGCATTAGCAACCCCGTTGCCGTCCCCGGGTCGGGGGCAAGAGAGGGGGGAAGCAGTGGCGATAACCCAGGATCTAATGCTGCTACCTCCCTAGCGCCCCCTAGCGAGGTTTCCATCAGTAGGAGCAGCAGCAGGGATGCGTTGCATGACGCCATCGGCCAACAACGACAGCACCATCACCACCAGACACCTCGGCAAGCAGTCTCGAACTACCAACTAATTAAGCTGATGACGACGTTCTGCATGGGGCGCAGCGTGATGGAGTGGATCAAGCTGCACCAGGACGCCGGGTTCGATGTGCTACGGCACGTGGACGTGCGGCGACTGGTACAGTTCGGCGTGATCAAGGGTCTTCTGTACCGCGTGCACAAGTACGTCGTGTCGAAGCAGTACCTTGAAAGCCTGGCAACGGGGCGGCGCACTCGGGCGCCGACGGGGGCGGGGCCCGGTGGAGCGGACGCGAACGGCGACGACGATCCACTTCTACGGTACGCCGACGGCTGCCACTCCTTTGACCAAATCATCACCGAGCAGAACCTCACCGACGGCGAGATCATGCGCAAGCTCAAGAGCCTTGGGGCCGGCGACCGGACCGTATTCTACAGGTAGACCAGTGGTCGGTTCAGCGGGCATCGTTCGGTTAACACACGCAATGCCGTGCGATAGCACCGGCGGGGGACGGCCGTAACCGTTGAAATCGCCGCGACAAAAAAGCCGCGATACCATTCTTATGACTCTATGTTAGGAAGTGCAAGGGCCTCGGCCGGTCAGGAGAGTATAACAAGAGATACTTCCTATACGCTTTCCGCAGCACTTCCCCCGGATGAGAAGGCGGGCCACGGCAAAGCAAGACTCCCAAAGCGCCGATCCCTGCGCCTAGCCGGAAGTTGTCGAAGACATGCATTTCATCCCAGAGGACCTCGAAAAAGCGAGTCGGGCAGACCCTGAGGTGTAAGGACCGTGCACTATCAACAGCCGCGTTTCGGGGGTCGGGGTTACACGTATGCGTCGTACGGCATATCTGCCCTGGGTACTGCCCAGAAACAGAAAAGAGAGGAAGTTCAAGCAGCCTTTGCTATAGAGCATATACAAGCCCCAGCAGAGACGTGTACATATGTATACCATATGCTACCTATCAAGATAGGAGGATTCCGAGAGAAGGTCTCAGACGCGGGACGAGTAGAGAATATAGCGTCTGCAAGTAGCCCGGCGGAGAAAGAAGAGGCTTAAATAGTCGGGTGGATCCAAAGCAGGTAGCTAGTTCGGGCTTAAGACCGATAAGCAAAGACAACCGCGCCCGACCTTGAAACGTATCTCGCGGAGGGAGCTGGCGATAGGCGAGTAGTTTACATGACGGCAAACTAGAGGATAGAAACGCGGGCAAGGGGACGAGGGAGTGGCGCGCGACGGGGGATAGGCCGTGACTTGAGAGCGATATCTATTATACAACGGATCGCCGTGGTACTATAACATGTCATACACAAGCGTACGTGGGTGCCTTACCTGCCCTGCGCCCCCTCCCCTAACCGTCCACCCGCCCAGCCAGTTTTTCCTCTCCTCCCCTGGCGATCGCATCTACGTCTCTCACTATATTATTTTTCTCGCGCGCCGTCCGCTCCATGTCCCCTTCCTCCCCTAACAAGCAGCTACCCCACGACACCCGCGTGGCAGCAGCACCACCACCACCACCACCACCACCACCATAGCCGGGAAGCAAGGCAAAAAAGCTATATACTACCGCCGCTTCACTTCTTCGTACATCAAGAGCTTCTCCGTCGCAAAATTCTTCATCCGCGTGTGCGCCTGGTCTATGATCCTGTTGATGGCCTCGGTCTTGGCCTTTTCGGTCTTGGCCTCTTCGGTCTGCGGCTCCGCGTCGGGGCTGACCTTGAAGGCGCTCGAGATCATCCCCCGCGCGCGTTCCAGCGTCATGGAGTGCGTGTTCTCCAGCGGGGCCCCTTTCTGGTGGCGTAGGAAGCTTTGCTCGACGCGCTCCATCAGCGTCTTGATGTTCTTGTGGGTCAGCTGGAGCCCCTCCTGGTCGGCCAGCTCCTTCAGCACCTTGCGCAGGACCCGCACCCGTCCCGTCCCCGGCTCCCCCGGGTACATCTTCCCGGTCCGAGCCCACTCCTCGTCGCTCACCATCTCCACCACCCGGATGAAGTGCTTCCCCCGCCGCAGGATCAGCAGCTTTCCGTCTATCAGGAAGTTGCGCGTGTCTGTCGGGAACCAGTTCTTCACCGGCGTGAACATCAGCTCGCCGTACGACATGCCCTTGTTGGTCGCCGCCGGCTGCCCCGGCGCGCCCCCGACGTAGGCGGCCTGCTGCTTCGTCAGGCGGTGGCCTTCGGTAATGCTTTCGGCGAGGCCGGCGGCGTGCAGGATACGACTGATGGATTTGCCTAGAATGAGAGACTCGGGGAGCTGGATGTGGGCCTGGAAGGACGCCGCCTTTTCAGCCGAGGCCGGGCCTTCTGTCGGGTAGGATTCGGTATTGGGTTTTGTTACCGAGAATATCCCACGGTGCTCCAGTTGGGTTGACTGGGCGATTTCGGCGCTGTGAACCAGGCTAATTACGTCGAACGCGACAGCGTGATGGGCGACGCGCGCGGGGGGGTCCTTGACCTGTTTCTCCATTATCTCGGCGATCTGCTCCGAGGACTTGAAGGTAAACAGCTTCAGCAGACTCTCGATCTCGTCGTCCGGTTGCCGCATAAAATAGCCGTACAAGTCAAACGGGTTTGTCATGTAGGGGTCAAACCAAAGGGCGTTGCCGGCGGTCTTCCCAAACTTGTTGCCGGCAGCGTCGGTGAGGAGAGGTACGGTAAAGCCGACAGGATCGTGTAGGGCGTCTTTGGGGAACCGCTCATGTGGATCCGGCTCGTGGTCGCGGATGTACTTGAAGCACTCGATGCCAGTCACGATGTTCCCGTACTGGTCGGAGCCGCCGATCTGCATTTGTACGCCAGTCGATTTGAACATGTGCCACCAATCCCAGGCCTGCATCGTGGGGTATATGAACTCGGCCAGGGACATGCCGTCGCCCGATGCCAGCCTCTTCTTGACGGTATCACGCGACAACAGGGTGCTGACTCTCACCCCTCTAAACAAGTCGGCCACAATCTCGATGAGAGAAAGGGTGTTGTACCACTGGCTGTTGTTCAGCAGGGCGCGACTCCAAATCTTAGACTCCTTTTTGTAACCGTGAAGGTTGGCTAATACATCGATGTTTTGCCATATTCGCTTCAGCTGGTAGTGGATCTTGGTGATATTCATCGTAATGTCCGCTTTCGCCATCCTCGGGCGAGCCTTCAGAAGACCGGTAGGGTCGCCGATCTTGACGGTGGCGCCGCCGATGACAGAAACGGCGCGGTGGCCGTGCATGTACATCCAGAACAGGGGCATCAGCGGGAGGAGGTGGCCGATGTGAAGAGAGGGCGCGGTAGGGTCGATTCCGACGTAGGCGCCTATCCTCTTCAGTCTCATGAGCTCGCTGATCTGTTCTTCGGTGCCAGCGATTTGCTTGACATATCCACGCTCCTTAAGTAGGTTCCAGAGATGAGGCACTTCGCCCTTACGGATCAATTGGGCCTTGGCCGTCCAATCCTCCTCCATCTTCTTCCGGCGCGCCAGGACGGCCAACGTTATCGGTCTGGACTGCTGTCGCACCCTAGTTAGAGATCGCAGGCGGCACTGCCGGCAGAGAGCGACCGGCGTGCCATAGCCGCTAGGGACGGATGCTGACAGCATTTTCTTATTCGATTTGGGAGGAGGGAGAGGGCGAGGATGAGGGCGAGGGGTGACGGAGGAGGACGAGGTATCAACGCATCACCAGCCCCCAAGTAGGGAATCAGTAAGCTGCTCTATGTGATGCTTTCGTAGAAAGCGGTAAAAGCAGGCCGCGTATCTTCTCTGGTGGTCAGGCAGATAGAAGGACCGTGTGGCATGTCGAGGCGACACGGCAGGACGTAAGAAGCCCGAAGGCGAATAGAGAGAGACACACAGACCACGAGAGAGGGAGAGTGAGTGAGTGAGAAGTAGAGAGAGGAGATGTCGAGTGAGCAAGTAGAACGGCCTCCCTCTTTTCTCGATTTGACGATGTCTGGTTTGGACCCCTCCACCAAGAAAAAAAACCAGAGCGAAAAAGTTTCAGTGGAGCCCCCCGCCGTCTCCCTCCGTCATTATTCAATTGAGCGGAGCGAAGCCGATGCCTCGTAGATGCATACAGGACGGCAAAGGGAGATATGCATGTATCGAATATACATCGAGTAATGTACCCACGGACCCCACTCGCCTTACCTAAGCCGGCAACGACCTCAGGTACGTACCTCAAGCAGAAGCACAGGCTTTTTCCGGCCGGCCCAGCCAATCAGAACCGCCTTATTTCCTTCGCTCCCTCGGCAATGCCATTCGGTCCATCGATCGAATTTCATCATCCATCATTCCTCACTCATTCATCGCCAGCGCTCCCAATTCTTCTCTCTCCCTCTCCCTCTCCCTCTCTCTCTCCCTCTCCGAGTCCTACTCCCACCCCCGTCTCACTTCCCATCGACGAGCCTACACCAGGGACGCGATACGCGAACACTACCTCAGCGAAGCCCACGCCCCCGCCCCCGCCCCAATGGCCTCCATAATGCGCCCGACCCTCATCCGGCATACCCTCGCCGCATCAACCCGGCGAGCCGCCACCGCCCCCACGCTCTCGAGACACCAGCTGATCCGGCCAGCCCTTGCCAGCGAAAAGGCCCGCGTCGCGGCTTTCCACGCTTCCAGCCGGAGGAGCCTCCTGCCTCCGGGCCCACGTACGTCGCCGCAGATCGCCGCCAACTCCGCTACGCTTCCTCCTACTCCAATTGTCGAGGGTTGGCATGCTAACGCATCTCTTCGCGCTCCACACACACAGAGGTCATCAAGGGAACAGGTATGCACAACCCCCGAATCTGTGGATATGTGCGGTCCACCATACGGCGGGGGAAATAGCGGCGGAGACGGCTCCCCCGGGGCCGCTAGACGGATATATGAGAGACGGGATTCGGCATGTGGGAGGGAGAAAGAGACGGGAAAGGGAGGAGGCCGCGCGTAAAATGAGGCGGCAACGGTGGAGACCAAAAAGGAAAAGAAACCCAGCCCGCTAACCCCCGCGATCTGCACAGTCAACGACCCGGCACCGGTCCCCGAGACGAGCCCGAGCCACGGGTCCTACCACTGGACCTTCGAGCGCGTCGTGGCCGCGGGGATCATCCCGCTGACGGTCGCGCCCTTCGCGGGCGGCTCGCTGAACCCGGGCCTCGATGCGGTGCTGTGCTCGCTGCTGCTCGTGCACAGCCACCTCGGCTTCCAGGCCTTCGTCGTCGACTACGTCCCCAAGAAGCGCTACCCGGCCGCCCGCCGCTACACCATGTGGCTGCTCAACGCCGCCACCGCCCTCGTCGGCGTCGGCCTCTACGAGTTCGAGACCAACGACGTCGGCCTCACCGAGGCCGTCAAGCGCGTCTGGACCGCCAAGCCGTAAAGCCCCCCCTCGGGAGATGCCGAGACGGCCGCGGGGGTGTGAGGGGGGGACGGCCTGCGAGTTGATAAAAGCTAGAGGTGCTGCGGAGGCGCGCTGCGGGAGGACGCGAGTGGAGGGAGCGGGAAAGAGACTACGGAGACGGAACTGTTTGAGTACATGCCCTACGACGACGAAGTGACGCGGGTGGAGCACAACGACGAGCAGGTGTTGTGGCAGGTGGGGCGGGGAGGGAGGAGAGAAGAAGAAAAAAAGGGACGCGCACGCAGCACGACGAAGCTGCGTGGGAATAACATTCTCATCGCGCAGATGAGGCTCCCTCGCGTCGAGCCGTGTTGGGCCGACCGAGGCATACCAGCCGAGCGGCACCTCTCCGTCCGTGTATCTATCTACAATAAAGCTCCAATAAATCACCCCATGCAAAGATTACCTGTACATCGCTCCTCGCGGAGCGGGGGGCGGGGGAGGGATGATCCGCGTCCTCCGTTTCAGCAGACAAAACGCTTCCGGCGCCTGCTGCACCGAGACCCGAGCCGCCGGGATCAAAAAGGGGTTCGTCCCTTTCTCGGAGGCTTCTGCCGTCCGGAGATACGCCGTGGTACATACACGCGCGCATTCCTAGCCAGGGGGGGCAGACAGTGCGGTCGGCAGAGGCGCGCGGGCACACACATCTATTCCCTACACAACTCTCTCTATTACCGCTCTCTACTGCGCTCCGCCCCGCTCCCTCCCTCACTAGGTAGGTATAGAAAGGAGAGAGGGAGAGAGAGCTCCCCTCTCCTCCCCTCCCCTCACCGCCCCGCCTGCCCTTCGTCCGCAGCGTCCCTCTTGCCGAACCGGACGCCGAGCCCGCCGATGTCGCGGCGGAAGAACTTGCCGAAGTTCTTCAGGTTCTCGTTGATGGTGGCGGCGCTCTGGGCCGCGCCGCTGGTCCCGGCCCCAGCTCCGCCGGGTCCCCCCGCGCCGCCGCCGCCTTGCCCCGCCTCCTGCGCCTGCTGCAGCACGCCCGGCGTGCCCATGCGCTCGACGCCGTCGCGCGCCGCGTTGAGCAGCTTCTCGCCGAGCGCGGCGGCGTCGAAGCGGGCGGCCGCGCCCTGCGCCGCGGTCGACAGCGCCGCGCCGGGGTTCGCGGCGAGGCGGTCGAGCGCGACGAGGTTGAGGTTGAGGTTGTTGCCGGCGCCGGCGCCGCTGGCAGCGCCGCCGCCGCCGCCGAGCCCCGTCGCGTTCATGAGCGGCGTCAGCAGCGGGCTCTGCGCCGCGAGCCGCCCGCCGCCCGCCGACGCGCCCTCGCGGTGGATCGCGAACAGCTCCATCAGGTGCGCCTGGTCCTGCTTGCGCACGCCCTTGAGGTCGAGGATCTTGCGGAAGTTGGTGTCGGACCGGTCGCCGACGTGGATCAGGTACGCCTGCACGAGGCCCTCCGGCGGCGACGGCCGCACCTGCAGCGTCTTCAGCAGCGGGTCGATTCGCGTCATCGTCGCGTTGACCCGCTTGACGAAGCCGGCCGACGGCACGTGCGGCGTCGTCGCCGCCGTCGTCGTCGTCGCAGGGTTGTGGTGTGACAGCAGGTTCTCGAGAGACTTGGTGAGGACGTACTTGTCCAGCAGCATCTGCTCGGCGCCGACTTCGGATATGGGCCTGCACTGGACGATGTTAAGGATGTACGCGTTCGCGAGGTGTTCTACTAATTTATCGGCGAAGGCCCGAGCATACTGCTGCTTGGCGATGACCTCGAGAATCTCTTTTGCTTTCGCGTTGATGTGGCTAACTAGCTCGCCGACGTAGGAGCTCTGGTCGCCGACGCTCTCCATCCTGCTCCAGTTCGTATTCTTCATCTCCCTCCAGGCGCTTTCGCAATCCGCCTCGACCTTGTTCACAAGTGCGATGATCGCGGCGCTGGCAACACCCAGGAACGAGTCGGCTTGCGAGGATAGATCTACCTTGGCAACGAGCTCGCTATCGATGCGCTTCTTAATATTCTCCTCGAGCTGCTCCGTGTTGGCATGCCAGAAGTCTGCCGTGTTCAACACGAGCACGATGTCTTGCAGAGACACCCCCGTGTGCCCGGACCTTTGCAGGATCGTGAGCAGCACCTGTTGCGCGTACTCGTCCAAATACTTGGCCAACGTCTTCGCCAAGTCTAGCAGGCGGTCGCTCGTAGAGAGTTTCGCGCATTGGGATAGGGTAAGTTTATAAAAATGGAAGAGTTCGATAGCGGAGCTGATGACGGCCTGCGGCGAAAACTCCTCGTCGGCCGGAATTAATGGTTGGGTTTTGTATCTGGGCATCATAGCCGCCAACGCCCTGTCCTGGGATTCTACCCACAGGCTGAGGTAGGGTTCGAATGCGACCGAGATGGACCCGTTGAAGCTTTGTGTCCTCTCATCCGAGGAGCTCAGCGTATCGATGCTGGCTCTGGGCTCGTTTGCAAACCTGCGCTCGAGGGTTTGTTCAAAGTCCATCGTCTCTTGCAAACATCTCAGCAGGAGGTTAACATCAATCTTGGTGCCGTCCACCTTTCTCATGCTCTTTTCTAAGATGCCCTTGTAGTCATCTCTCGTGCCGTCGCAGAAGGCCATAGCCAGCGTCTCGCCAACCCTCCAGTGCGGTGGGAAAAGACCGGCATGCTCCTCCTCGTATCCCTTCACCGTCCGTTTAAACCAGGCGTACCGCCTGCCGATGTTATCTAGGCTTCCGGCCTCGTCGTTGCCCCTGAAAACCTGACGGTATTCCCTCAGTTCCGTATTGACATACCAAGTCACCAGCCTCGATCTCGCTGTTTCCCCGAGCGCATCCATGACGCCGCAAGCCTCTACCAGCGTTGCCTTCCTCGGCGCGACCTCCCCTTTTGCAAAGGCGATCTCGAAATCTTCGCACACCTGCTCCAGCAGCTCCCGCTGCAGCTCCCCGACGCCCCGGCTCAGCGTAGCAATCTGGTCGATACTCCGGTAGCTATTAAAGTGGCGCATGAGCTGCAACACTGCCTGGAGTAGGCTCGCACATTCCCTATACTGTCTCGTCTTGGCCAGGCCCCTGAGTTGCTCATATGCCGTAGTCAGCATCTGCAAGCGCTTCAGGGCGGTCATGGAGAGCGTCAGGTTCCGCTTCGTGCCATCTAGCCTCTTGATATCGGCGGTCATGGAGGTTATGTTCTGCTCAGTCTGGATAGCGCGGGAGCGCACCGTCTCGATCTTGCGGAAGAGACCGGCCAGCTCGGCCTGGGCGGATTGCATTCGTTCGAGGGAAGAATCGGGTCCATACGCCTGGGTCGTCTGCAGGCTCGAAATTTCGGCCGAGAGGTCATCGTGCCGGGACTGGAGGATAGAGGATACGTCGCTAATAGAGGACACGGTGGAAGGGTGGGAGAAGAGGAGGTTGAGGTGCTGGACAGGGTCGTAGTCGGCTGGTCCTCGTGTATTAGCTCACCGAACGTCTTCTCTTGGCCGGCAGCCTCGTATCGACGCGGACAGAGTTGGAGAGAGGGGGGAGGTAACTAACCCGCGTCCAAAGACGGTGGTTCGGCCATAAAACCGTTCATGGCGGGCAGCAAGGACGGATTCTATGCCGACGCATCCGGCTTTTCCAGGTTAGATTCCCAAACTTGTTCCCAAGCCTGCAAAGGCCCTTGTCATTGCGCCATCCGCCGCGTATTCTGCAGGTATGGATGGGTATGGCTTCGCGATGTCAAGCTAGTAGCTGGAGAGATACTGGATTTGTGTGTCGTGTGTTGTGGTATGGTACGGGTAGTATGGTGGTAAAAGGCAGAAGAGAGGGATAGGAATGCCCTGCCCGAGTACATACTCATAGGTAGGTAGGCATGTCGCTGCGCTGCCGCACGGTAAATCAATCACGTGTCTTTAATGCGCGTCCTTATCGATAGAGCTCACCTGGGGCTCTCACCTTCGCGACCATACCGATATTGCCCGGGTCTGCTACCTTTCCCCACCAGGAAGGAATCGGCAGCATCCGAACCAATAAACGACGGCAGCATCCCCTGCATTCCGGATACTACGTACGTAGTACGTACTGAGCCCACCTCACTTACCTAGGTGACTGAGTCTCTTCACCGGTTACGGTCAGTGGAATATAGGCATACCTATAGTATCTGCTAGGTGCTACGTAGGTAGGTAGGCTAGGTACCTAAGGTAGGAGGTAGGTATATATGGACGACGTTCCCTGTTACCTTTCCACCATAATCGACCCAAACCACGTATCTGTTTCGACTCCTCGTGCCCTCTCAGATTATCGAGATAGTGCGAAGTATCCGCATTCATATTCATGTTGCCTTCAGATATATAAACCGATTCCCCCGTCATTTCTCCCGTTCCGTTCAGCTTCGACAAAGTCCAACTACGACCACAACAACGGAGGCAGCCCAGAATCCCTTCCTCTCCCCTCTCCCCTAAACCAACCCGTAATCATGCAATCCGCACCACCGTATGAATGCATATATGCTCCTATCTATCCAACGGAATCCCCTGGCCCCCCATCGCGACGATGTTTCTGGTATCTTGGTATCAAAGAGCCTTGTGCCTGTTTATGATGATGGTATGATGATAAATGGGAAAGATGACCCCACCCTCCCAAAACCGATTCCAGGGAAAAGAAATGCGAGGATATAATCCAGACGAGAGGAGAATCGATGACATCTCAGCCTAACAACTCCCCGAGCGAGCGATGCAGATGCGTAGGTATAAAGAATGCCGCGTGAAGAAGATAAGGGAATGCTGAAAATAGATTGAACGACGCCAATAAATGCCACAAAGAAAAGACCACGCAATCTCAACTCCGTCCGTCCGTTCGTCGAGTGGTGAGAGTAGGTATGTAGTTTCGGAGGTGTTGGGAGCACGGCGTCACGAGCTGTGTAGCGCCCGGAACCCGGCCGCGATCAGACTACGAGACTTGTCCCGGGAGTCGGCGGGTCCGGTCCAGTAGAATAAACCCTAGGTTGGTCCGAACGGTGTCAGATAGATCACAGGCACGGAGGGCGTATCGGAAGCGGGAGCAGAGGGGCGCAAAAGAGGGGGCGAGTAGGTTCCGACGGCAGACATAACGGCAACGGCAAGAAGACGGGAGAAGGAGGAGAAGAAGCAGATGTGACAGAGAAGCGTGTTGCAGGGAGAGGGATGTAGGGAAGACTTACACCGAGCCCTTTCTGCTTGCAGAAGGTGGCCTTCATCTTGACGGTGTCGGGGTTGTCGTAGGTGACGAAGCCGCCGTCGCCGCCGACGCAGAACGCGGCGCCGACGCGGCGGTCGACGCCCTCCTTGGCGTTCTTGCGCGGCAGCGTGTTGTACTCGAAGGCGCCGTCCTCGCCGCCGGCGCCCTTGTGGCGGTGGCCGGGGCCGGTGACGCCGAGGAAGCTCCGGCCGTAGAGCGGGATGCCGAGCAGGATCTTGCGCGCGGGACAGCCGTGGCCGACGAGGTACGCGACGCCCGCCCCGCCCGACGCCTCTTCCTTGTGCATCGCGTACAGCTGCGCCTGGTGCCCGCTGCGGTGCGTCCACGGCCCGCAGAAGTCGTACGCCACCAGGTTCACGAAGTCGAGGTACGCCGCCGCCTGCGCCACGTCGATGTTCTGCAGCACCGCCCGCCCCGCCGGCAGCGCCGCCGTCACGAAGAACTGCTCCTCCGGCAGGTGGAGCCGCACGCTGGCCAGGAGCGCGACAAAGTCGGCGCCCTGCTGCGGATCCATCGGGTATTCCCAGTTGACTTTTGGCGGGGAGGGGACAAATTCACTCGTTAGCCAGAGGTGCTCTGGTAGATTCGCGGAAGCGCGGAACAGACGGGGACGTACACGGGTGTGGCAGGAGGAAGAGCGAGCAGGGGAGGAAGGGGGAGGCAAGGGGACGGGAGAGAGGAGGGAGAAGGGACGTCGTACTATCAATGCCATCGAGGCCGGATGCCTCCACCAGGCCTCGTGCCGATCGCGCGAAGTTATCTCGCAACAGGGTGTCGGAGGCGACTATCGGGAACGTCTCGCTCGACGTCCCGCCGCCGATGGACAGGGTGACCTGCAAATGCGGGTGCTTCTGCTTCAGGTGCATCAAGGACCCGAGGCCGCCCTGAACTCCGTCGCAGGGAGCTTGGGTATCTGCCCACTCGTCGCTTAGCTTTGGCCTAAACATCAGCATATTTTTTTTCTCTCCTCTTCGCTCTCCCGCGCACGCTGGATCCTTCAGGATGAAACTGTGTATCATGCAGCTGCGAGCAGCTAGCAGCAGAACACTAGCAGTCTAAGGCAAGCAGGCAACAACGAGAAGGATGGAAAGGGGAGAGACAGGGAGAGAAGGAGAATCTCCGAGACTCACAAACACGGATCCGTCCGCTGCCACATTGGCGAAGGCGTAGTAGACATGGTTCACGCAGGCGTAGTTCATCATCCCAGGCGTCGCGCCGGCGTATATCTTGTAGTTCGGGAAGTACACGGCGTTCGTAAACATGACGTTCGACGTGCTCGCGGTCTTGCGCCTTCGCGACGATGAAGCGATCATGTTGGCGGAGATAGGACCTAGACCTCGAACAACTAAGGCGAGGACGAAGGGGGGTAGTGGAAAGGCGAAGACGGAGAGGGAGCGGCGGTTACGATCGGCTGCGAGGGGGGCCCGGCACGGGAAGAAGATTAAAATACCGTCGAAGGGGAGGAGAGTATATAGGTGCGTGCGTGCGTGCGTGAGTATATGAGAGAATGCGGTCCGCCACAGTTCAAGGAGAGCAGGATAAGCCAATATATCTGACGGAGGAGTGCGAGTGCCCAAGATAGTACATGATGGAATCGCCTCCACGGTGTTATGGAGACGGCTCTCGGGAAGAGCGATGAAGTATTCTGGGCTCGAATTCGTTGTCTCAAGGACCACTATTGAAGCCCAACAAGACGACCAACCTTGTGTGCGAGATTCTTATATGGGAGTTGTCTCTTGGGGGGTTTTTTTTTTTTCCTTGGACGAGCTCCCAGACGCGGGAGCGGTGGAGAAGGGCGCAACATAGCCAAAAATTTTACCTCGAGGGACCATCCAGGTAGATATGTATTCGGATACCCTCACGGAGATCGTCCCCTAAACTAACCCTGCATGACATAATTGCGACGAGGGGGTGTGGTTGGTCTCGCGGAATACAGGGTCTGTCTATGGCCGGTTCGAGCGGAGATGGGCAAGACGGCACTGGACATTTGGCATGCTAGCAAGGCAGAGCGGGATTGGAAGGGGGGAAGGAAATTGGGTTTCTATCCTAGTCAGCTCGTGAGAGATCGCTCGCGAGGCAGACGAGGAGGGAGAGAGAGTTACATACGGCACAGCAAAAAGTTGCTAAGCCTAGTAGTAGCCGGCCGGCCAACGGACCCAGCCAGAGAGGAGAAAGAGGAGAGACAGGAAGAAGCGGTAGGGAGGGGTGGGAGCAGACGATAGGCATGGACCTGCGTGTTGCGGGCTGCCGCGTGGGGAGAAGGGGGTTAGCCTATCTTTGCCAGACTAACAACGGCGCAGGGTATAGTAATAAGGCCGTTTGGGTTTGGTGACCTGCCTCGATAGGGAGTCACCAGCCGCTCTCCGTCTGGAGCCTCTCGGGTTGGTGATGCCAGCGGGCCATCTGACAGAGGGCGGGGCTCTGGAAGATCGTGGTCGACAACGAGGGCAAGAAAGCTCCGGGGGCCACCCCCCTAGCTATTGTACGGTATATAGCCTGTCACACGTTCAACAGACAGTTGTACGTACGGCATCAAAATCAGACAAGCAACAAACGCGGTGCTCTCTCCTTGGTCCAAGTGAGCCGATCTTGACCTCTCTCGGCCATGGGAATGCTATCGGCCATCGTGCTGGAAAATGTGCCACGACATGCTAATTTGGGCTACGGGCAAGCCAATCTTTTACGAGCCAGATCCCGTTCTCGTCACTTTTCGCCTCCTGGCGGCTTTGAGTCGTCCGCTTAGAAATACTCCCACCCAATAAATCTGGCGGTCCATTCGGGAGGTGAGGGGGTGGAGGGAATCATCTCGCCCATTGGAGCGCGGGATGGATATGTACGGAAGGCTCTACAACGTAGTATGCAACGTTTAGGCGGCCTGGACGAGGATCGCTCAAGTACCGAGGTAAGAGGCTGGTCGATATATGGAGAAGAGTAGAGATGCTGTACATAGTGCGAAATCTGGCGAGACGGCCTGGCCGCCAAGGAGGCGAGAAAAAAAAAGAGAGCGTGGTTATGGAAGCGGATACGTAACCGTATAATACCAAGCCTGCCGCTGCATCGACTTGACCTGGTTTTCTTCTCTCGATCGTCAGTCGAGCAGAGACCGACAGGACCTGGGCGGACCGGGATGCCGAGATTTCACCAAACCCTGTCCCGGGTGGAAAAGACGTCCCAGTCACGGAGAAGAGCGGAAAAACGTATCATTTCAGGCGACGCTGCCCGAAGAGGGGGCGGGAAGAGAGAGGAGGGAACGAGACGGCTCGCCCTCGTGAGCTCATTTGCAGAGGTGAAACCTAGGAGCACTCTCCCCACGTCATCAATTGGGTCCAAGTCAGTCTGGCGAGAGGGGGACGGCTCTAATAAGTGGTGTTTTTAGTTCGTAGCCAGGGCCGCGCAGTGCATAATAGCCCGGGCTTGGAAGATGAAGACAAGGATGCTAATATGGTGTCAAGGACCCTCTCCCCCGTTCAGCCTCGTCGCGATCTCACCTCGCTAGACGTGCTGCAAGAAAACTTAGGCCCCGAGATTCGGATGGTGCAGAGGACACCACGAGAGAGAGGAAAAGAGGGGAGGGAGGGGGCCGAAGGGATCGTGAGTGAGAACTGCAGATATGTAGGACTTCCTCCCGCGCCACCCTCACAGGTAAGCAAGCAAGCTACATCGGTTGGCTTGGCTGATGGGGGGGAATGGGCCTGCTGCGAAGCTGGCGGCGACAAGTGCTAACGGCCCGGACACCTACAATCAAGGCTCGCTCCTATGCGAAGGGGGGTGTGAGGGCCCTTTGGACTTGCCTATTCCAGGTCGGTGCTCGCATTGGGTCGTGATGCTTGATGGCGACCCGATCGTGAGATGCCTTCCCTGTTTCCTCCGCTCGAAAACTTCGAGAAGGCCGCCCCGCTTCCTTCTAGGCTAGATGGCTAGCGAGACGGCTCGGGGTATCGGGCCCAGTTGGACTAGGTCGAGGAGCAACGTTGGTCCCCTGTCTTGGGCCTCATGAGATTATGGGAAGGGCCCTAATTGGCAACGACTAATATGCAGCAGCCCTCGTCTGCGGGAGGGGAGCTAGGTCGACTGTAAGTGATGGCAATGACGCATCTGGGGTACATAGGTAGATCCAGCTCGGCGCGACCGAGACGGCGACGAAGGTGTGCGTAGGTCGGTGCGTAGGCTGGTGCGTATATAGGCGCGTGTATAGGTAGGTATACTACGGAGATATAGATCACGCATCTGAAAGACTGCTGCGTGGCTCCCCGTCGATCTCGGCCGAGCGACGAGGGTTAGATTGGCTGCGGTAGAGGCGAGTGGATATCGAGTGGTCCTCGAGGGGAATAGTATAGCACCACACAGATCCTGTTAGTCAATGTTTTCCTGCGGAGTTTCATCTCAATTGCAAGGAGCACTCGAGATGCGCCTAAGAGGGCAAGCATCGGCGGGCACATGGAGCAATCCCTGGTCTGACCCGGGGGTAAGGAGAAAGGCTAGGCTATAGAAAGAAAAGAGAAGTAATAACGAGCCGGATAGGAATAAAAAGTGAGAATAATACCAGACGAAAAAGTGCCGTGGGGAAACTGGACTATGGGTCTCATGCCCTCGATGTCATCCGGCGGAAGAACATTACACCACGGTAGATCACCACCAGCCTCCCGTGGGTCCCTTCTGACTTCGGCGAGCAGGTTCCGAATCCACTTGGCAAATCGCAAATCCCTTGGCCGTATTCCCAGAACACCGGGATGTCTCAGCGCCACGCTAACTCACGAAAGCACCTGATGAATTGATGTGACAGGTCAGGTTCGTGGTCGAATCAAGCTTACCGCTAGCTCCATCGACGCTCACCGAGACGTCAGATGGGTGGTCAGTTCGCCGACGAGATGGATGTGCGGAGGGTGAGAGAGGAAGAGAGAAAATCAGGAGGGGAGGGAGGGAGGGAGAGTAACTCCAGTAGGCCGCCCTTTCAAGTCCAGTCAGTCCCTCGTCTCTCTTCATTTCCTTCGTCCTTCCCAAGCGGACAAACACGTGGATCCACTTGGATCGTCACCGCCGCGATAATTCGCTCGCCCGGACGAGACAAGCTTGACCTGGGCTGCGAGGTCGAGAATGGCCGAAGGATAGTGTTGGGAAGTCGGGAGCGAAGCCTAATCTCTTCCATGGCGGATTGTCCTCTCTCTCTCTGTCTCTCTCTCTGTCTCTCTCGCTCTCGCTCTCTCGCCCGCTACTCCCCCCCTCTGCCTCCGCTAACTCGAGACAGGATCATAATCATACTTGACGACCTTTTTGTAGACAGCCCAGACCGTAGTTAATGGGACATCGCAGTAGACGCCCGTGACATACCTACGGTGCAGCACGAACTATGCTACGTTGTGCACCTGGCCGATGTTCGCGTAGGCTCTGCAGCCTGCCTGTCAGTTGGGCTCGTTTCTTCTTTGGCTCCGTCTCTCCCTGGTTCGGCTTCTGCACATGGTGCTGCTGCGTGGCGTTAGTGTGTGACCACACGATATCCTACCCTACCCCTATTTAGATAGGTACAGAAAGTCTTGGCGGGGACGGCCCAGATGGGCCCTTGAGCACCACCCAAACTCGTGCTGTTGTGCGCCAGTATCTGCCTATTACCACATGGCAAGATGGATGTCCGGATAGATTGAGGAACAGGGTCATTCAGGTAGGCGAAGCCGCAACTGGCAACGGGGACGCCTTTGGCCCGAGGGCGACACCCTTGAGGGACACCATTGGCGCGACGACGACGACGGGTCGGCCGCCACTAGAAACAAGACGCACTAACCCAAGCGGCGACATGGCCACTGTTCCGGGCTCCCGTTCCTCCGTTGAGCCTCCACCCCCAAGTGCAGGATGTAACATTGGTCGAGCAGGAAAAAAAAGAGATGACTTAATAGTACCTAGGTGCCACGGTAATATGTGGCCTGTTGCCAGCACCTCTCTCTTTCGTCTCCAATATTCGTAGCCGAGTCCTCTCTTCCCGCGGATACGAGAATGAGCATAGGCGCAGAGCGATTCGACTCATACATACATATCGCGTGAACCTGGCCTATCCGCCGGGTTCCGCCAGCTGCAGCTGTACACAGCTCTTGTTCCAGATACAGGCAGGTTCGCATCACGCCGCATCGGCGGGTCTGGCAAGGCCTGGGTATTGTGAGTAGCATTGCAGATGAAGGGAGAGGGGAGGGGGGGGGGGCGAACGAAAAGCAGAGCATGGGAATTGGAGAAGCGTCGAGGTTCCAGGAAGAAGATATGTTCGCCTGCACCGGAACCTAGGTACGGTGCATGGCACCCCTTGTCTCATGCGCTGGATCGGAGTGGTTCCAACCACAATGTCTACCATGGGAAGCCGGAAAAAGAGAGAGAAAAAAAGAGATTCATCTGACTTCCCACCCCCGCTACCGTACTCATATCGGTGTACGTACACACATATCGAAATATCGTCGCGCTGTCTCCTTCTCGTTCACCTCTCCGTTTCTCCTCTCCTTGAGACGTGCGCGCGTGTGCGCGTATCTACAGATTGTACTCACAATAGCGTTCGCAGGGCCCCCCCTGTTAGCTGAGCCGCCACGCGCTGAGTGAGGCGGGTTAAGTGAGGTGACAACGGCCTACGGCTATCTGGGAGGGGTCGAACAAAATGTGATATGTGACGATCGTCGGGCAACCCACTCGAGACAATGTCGTCACCGCTGCCGAGGACCACCGAAGATCGACGCCCGGGCGTGAAGCCTCGACCGTCAGGTGCACCGCGTCGACGGGGGGGGGGGGGGCCTAGATGACGAGGGGCCTGGACGAGCAAGGACCCAGAGGCAGGCTGCCGGCGGAGCTGGTGTCGTGAATGCGCACGGCAAAATCAGAGCCTTGCTGGAATTGTCTGCCCACAATGACAACGGATTTGGGGAAAAGCAGGGCGCGCGCAGGCCGACTGTTCCGCCGTCCCACGCGGGCGACATCAGGTCGAGAAGTACGGGGCTCGCGGGATCGCTTCGAGGACCGGCTCCGCGCATTTAAGCGAGACTCACGCCAATCACGGCTTCAGCACGACAATGAACACGACCGAAATGGTGGTGTTTCGAACCCAGCCACGTTAACGCCCGAAACGACTTCTGACGGCCTCGACCTGTGTGGCGTCCTGCTGCCGATTCTCAATGGCAACTCGCGCGCTCGGCCGAAGGAGAACCGCCCAAAAATAGACAGATAGGTACGTCGAGTCTCGCTCCAGTAGGAAAGCCGGCGGGCCGGGGAACGGGGTTGCTGTCTACGTAGGTACCTAATTGTTAAGGCCTTGCTGCGATAGGGGAGACGGCCAACATTACTGGGCGAAGATTACGGCACTCGGCTGACCATCCTCGACAGCCATTCGTGCTTCTATTATAGGTATATCTCGCGAGCGCCGACCCGATGTATGAGACGATTGCTCGCCGCTCGGAGACACCTCGACCACACGGAGAGGGTCTGCAGGTTGTCATCGCAACCCTGTGGGACCCTTCTGGCAGGAATAGAGCGGCGCCAGCACGCCTCTCGGCTGGCATTCGCCGGCAGTTCTCCGAGACGCGGCGAATCACGACGGCGCGGCCGCTCCAGCCAAACGCCGCAATCTATTTAAATACAGGCGCCGTCGTGGCGTTCGGCCAACGGACGCCAGAACCCCTTGGGCGCAGCCGCGCAGCCCAACCCCGATCACGTACCTATAAGACGCGATAGGATCCCGACGCAGCGGGCCGCGGAGCCCACGCGAGGCCGGAGACATACCAACGAACGACAGCGGAAGGGGAGCATCCGGGATAATATTAGAAATCAGCTGCAGCAGCAAATACGTCGATACACATGGCTGGACGTCTTATAATACGGACCGAACGAACGAGACGCGCCACACGTGTGTGTGGACAGACACCCGATCGGACGATCTGAGGCGCGGCGCGCTCAGTCGGCGGCTCGGCCCCTCGGGACGCAATGTAGGTATGAACAGCGATGAAGTGATACGTTGCACGATCCTTGGTGACATATACCGACGTGTATTGACTCGAGGGTCTACCCCCCTCCTCATTGTAGTTGGTCGTATGACGAAGGAAGTCATCCCCATCTTTGACGACACGTCCGACGACCACCTTGTCTCGCGCCGTGCCTGGCGGCTACCGGCATGGCTACGACGGCGACAGCCTGGCCATTGCTGTCACCATCACCACAACCATGCTCGTCGGACTGAAGTGAACCAAACAACGGAGCTGCTTGGAGAGGGTGCCGAGGTGCCGAATGTAGCTTTTTAATATCCCCAAGAGGTCCATGTTGCTTACATGCCAGCGTTAGCGATAAAGAGGCACCGTCTCGTACCAACTAGTACTATGCACTGTTACGGACCGTAGGTATCAACCAGTCTACTAGAGCTCGCAGTATAATGCGATCCGTATAGCAAGCCGGGATGCGATACGACGTATCGTCTTAGGGCCACCTAATTTTCCCCTCCGTTTTCTTCTTCGCTCGACGAAGGGCGGCCCCAGAGGCGTGGGAGCGTGGAGATCGGATCGCCGATGGGCGCACGGGAGTAATTATAATCGTGGCCGAGATGAGCAGCCGGATTTGCGTAGGAGAGGCAAGGCAGCCAAGGGAACACGCGAGACACTGGCTCGGAGGTATTGGAGTAAACTGTCAGCTTCGAGGAAAATCCAACTTGCCTGTATCTTGAATATGGCTACTTCTTTTTCAACAGCACTGTGCTGTTCCCTCGGGAACCGCCCGTGCTAGACGATCCCTAACCTATCTACATGCCTATGACTCTGGTGTGAAAATACCGACTGCAGGTATTGACGTAGACGCAACCCCCGCATGAGAGAACTAGGAGGCCGAATGGACAGGGCAGCCTTACTTCATCCACGCTTCTAAGTCGCTATCGTCAAGAGAGAGGAGGCCTCGTAGGGCAAGCCTACAGCCCCTAATCCGGCTTGATCAATTTACACGCTCCAAAAGACATTCAGTCGCTGCTGGTGACAACATATGGAAAGAGCCCGCGGGTTCAGTTTCATTCCGGCGATTATCGGCCTACGATGGCGTGAAAAAAGAATAAAGCAACCGCGCGAGTCGCCGTCAATGCGGCGAGTTTTCAGATAAGTACGGACGAAGCCGCCAAATATCTCGTTGGCTTCGCGCGGCGGATAGTAACCGTAATCATCAACTCGTGGATGTTCATTGGTATAGCCAGTCCTAAAAACACGCACGCACTTCTACGATCCACCTCTCTCTCCTCTTCTCTTCTCTTCAGCGACGTCACCAAGAATTCCCCGTCGCTCGGCTCTCGTTATGTAGAGTGTCCGACGTAAGCAATCATCTACTTCGGGTGACATTGCGCCGTCGGATCAAAAGGCAAGAGAGTGCCGAGTCTAGGCGTGTAAGAGCTCTCCTGAGTTACGAGTTCAGGAGGTGCTCGATAGCGCCTTGTACGCTCCCACCGCTTCGTCGCAAGGCGGCGACGTTCCTATCGAAGTCGTAGAAGCCCATCTCGTTGAGTTGTCTCAACTGCTCCGCGTATCGCTCCTCCGGAGGTCGGTTGTCTGGCGGAGCGGAGGGGTTAACTCCCGATCCCATACCCAGCGCCTGCATCATCTGCTGTAGAACCTCGGGCGACATGGGCGGTACGCCGAAGGGATTCGCGCCGGCTCCTGCGCCGGCGCCAGGAATGCCGCCGGGGACCGCACCACCGAAAAGGCTGGCAAATGGGTTAGGTGGCTGACTTGACGGGCTCTGCGGGTTGGAACCCTGGCCTGCACCAGCATTAGCGCCACCGCTTCCTGTCTGCGTGCCGCTTGCGGTGTTTGCGCCGGGACTAGCAGGTCCTTGGCCAGCCTGACCCGTAGCTGGGTGCGGGTTCCATATTCCAAACGGGAACGGAAGCGCGGCATTATCGCCTGCGGCGCCGGGGGAGGGGAAGTTTCCCCAAGCCGCCGGGCTGAACGGGTTGACGTTGGCGTTCGGCTGATTCGGGCTGGCGCTGCGGGCGTTGGCGCCCGTCGCACTATCGCCCGCGGGCGCATCTCCAGGGGTGTTGTCGGTGACACCGGGCATAGGAAATGCGTTCTGGGCCGCCTGTCGCCCTCCGAACATGCGCTGGAGCCTAGCCGCGTTCCGTAATGCGTCGGGGTTCGTAATCATCTGGCGAAAGAGGGGGGATCGCACGATTTCGCGGGCGTTCGGGTTATTCCGCAGCATAGGATTCGATTGGATCATCATATCGATGAAGGCGTCATTATTCATCATCTCGTTCATCTGCTGAGCCACCTGAGGGTTGCTGAGCATGTTGGCCAATTGCTCCTCGTCCATCATAGAGCCCACCATCTGCGAGGAGGGAATTGGAGTCAGCGAGAAGAGGATCGCACGGGGGTCGAGGACATAAAGGGGCGAAACTCACACCACCGTCTGGGCCAAACATGTCGGCGGACGGGAGGTTCGTCAAGCCAGCGTATCGCGCGCCCGTCAAGCCGGCCAAGGGGTTGTTAGCAGTACCGGCAGCCATGTTGGTGGGAATCTGGGGAACGGCGGGTGTCGACGACGACGTGGACGAGGAGGCGGGAGCTGGCGTCGGGTTGCTCGCGGCGCTCTTGACCAGGTGGATCGAGTTTCCGGACTTGATCTTATACGTGCTCAAGGGCTCCTCGTTCTTCATGACACGTCCCGAGTAGATCAAGCGCTGCCTCTCGACGGGGATGTTCTCGTAGTCCGGGCCGGCAAGCCTCTGCTTGAGGTCGGAGACGGTGGCGCTCTCGGCAATGGTGATGGTGTACTGAGCCTCGCCCGAAGTTCTCACCTTGAAGGTGATCTGAGGGTCAGAGCCGCCCTCGGCTGATTCGGCCATGGCTGGTGGCGGCAGACGGGCGGTACCGGGATGAGAAGACGGGAAGTTGTGCTGACCAGGATGACGGGGGTCGCGGAACGGGTGCGGGAGGGGGTTATTATTAGATAAAGAGGCCTGGCTTGAGGAGGTTGAGGAGAAGGGGAGGGAAGTCAGAGCGACAGGAGATGCACAATATGTTTTGTTTTCCACCAGCGCCAGATGCCGGAGGAGGGGCGTTGGCCGATTGATCGGGGGAGTACCAGGTACCTTTCCGGCCGCCAATGTGCAGCTTGGCCCGTCAGGTACTGGGTACGTCAGCCTAGGTCCTTCTCGAACGGTAGATTACTAAGATCTGATGTTGGACCGTCGCTCTATCGATAGGGGACTTGCCTATTGTCTGTTATGTACTTACGACGTGTGGTATGCGTATAGCGGAGTATCCACGATTCGCAGTTCTGGGTAGGCCGATACCTACGTTCCGTTATGCACATTATGTACGTGCAATGCATGTATATGTAGGTACCTGATGGGTGGTATCAGCCTCACGGAGCAGGAGCCCCGCTTCCACCTTGCCGACCCCGATAAGCGGCCGCCTCTGCGATTGCCAATGCGTGGAGGCGTCTGACATCAGCGGATCCCCCTCCAGCCACCTCCATCACGCCGCCCACCGTGTACATCCTCAGGTCAGGTACCCGGGTAGAGGTACCTGCTGGCGACCTCCAGGAGAACGAACCTAGGTACCTAAGGTAAGAGATGCACTCCACTGTCCGCCTTAAGAGGTACCTACCTCTATAGCCTGACCTGCCTATACTGGCATAGGAATTACTAATGCGCTCTCAAGTACCTCCCTACCTCCTCCCAGATCGATGGGTTACTTAGTGGAGGATAGGTTCGATTCCTAACAGCGTTACTCGGCAGTCTTCGTTATTTAGCTCATCTCTCCCTACGGCGCCTGCTCTCCGACGGTACCTCCTATACGCCTGCCTTAGGTACCGTGTACGTGTCTCGATCCCTCCAGCCCCCTCTCCCGAGTACCTAATCCTATCCCGAGGATAATTACAAGGACACAGCGCTTGATCTTAGGTAATTATTGGACTTCCCGCGAGGCGCATCGACGTATATCAACTAGGACCCACACACATGCCGAGGTTCCCCATGGGCAGCCGCCGCGGGTCCTATCAATTAATTACCTACTGGCCCAGCAACTTATTGCTGACTCCGTCCAGTCCGGGGCTCCTCGTCCGGTGCTGTCTCTCTCCTACACACGCGACAAAGCAAAGCATCTCTCTATCCATATGTGCTGGCTCGTAGGCTGTCATTAACGAACGCGCATTTCTACCCACCGGAGAATACTACCCTCTGGTCCTTAGCGAACGATCCCAGCCAGGGCAACACTACCAACTATTGTGCTTGAACTCCCTTACCTCTTACACACCCGCTCCCGAGTGTCCGTCTGCTATCACTGACAAGCCTCTTACTAAAAGGCGCAGACCGCAGCGATGCGGGGTATCCAAGTTAACCAATATGTCAAGGTGAGAGGCCGCCGGTGGACGGACCCTGGTGAATGAGAGAGAAACGAAGAGAGTGAGGGAGAGGAGGGAAGCGAACGGATGAAAGCTACGGATTCTCGAGATATGCAGCCAATTGGGAACCCACTAACGCCAACCGCAGGGTCCGAAAGAGCTTCAGGTGACAGAGTTGCCGGACCCGGTGCCGCGGCCGGACCAGTACCTCATTGAGGTGCACGCCGCGGCGACCAACTTCTTCGACATCCTGCAGATCCAGGGCAAATACCAGAACCAACCCCGTACGCATATCCACCCCCCCCCCGGCCCCAGCCCGGTTCCCCCCCCTCTGGGTGTGACATTAGCGTAGCGCGGCCATTTGCTTACGAGACGGATGAAAAACAGCCTTCCCCTGGGTCGCCGGCGCCGAGTTCTCCGGCGTCGTGCTCGCCGTGCCGTCCGCGTCCTCGGCCGCGAACCCGCCGCGCTTCCCCGTCGGCAGCCGCGTCTTCGGCGCGTCGCAGGGTGCGTACGCGACGCGCGTGTGCGTCGCCGAGCCCGAGCTGCTCGCCGTGCCCGCGGGCTGGTCCTTCGCCGACGCGGCGGGGCTCTTCGTCACGGCGCCGACGAGCTACGGCGCGCTCGCGCTGCGCGCCCGCCTGCGCGCCGGCGAGTGGGTCCTGGTGCACGCGGCCGCCGGCGGCGTCGGGCTCGCCGCCGTCCAGGTCGCCAAGGCCCTCGGCGCCACCGTCATCGCCACCGCCGGCACCCCGCGCAAGCTCGAGGTCGCGCGCGCCTTCGGCGCCGACCACGTCGTCGACTACGGCGATCCGGCCTGGCCCGAGCGCGTCCGCGCGCTGACCCCCGGCGGCCGCGGCGTCGACGTCGTCTACGACCCCGTCGGGCTCGTCGATCGCAGCACCAAGTGCGTCGCGTGGAACGGCCGGATCCTCGTCGTCGGCTTCGCCGCCGGCAGCATCGAGAAAGTGGCCATGAACAAGGTATTGCTGAAGAACATCAGCATCGTCGGCATCCACTGGGGCGCGTACGCGCGCTTCGAGCGCGAGACGATCCCCGTCGTCTGGGAGGGCATTGGCCAGCTCATCGCGCAGGGCAAGTTCCGCGGCACGGTGTTCACGGACCGCGAGTTCGTAGGCCTTGAGAGTGTCGCCGACGCGCTGCTCGCGCTCGGCGGCCGGGAGACGTGGGGGAAGGTCGTGGTCAAGATCCCGCAGTCCGGGGAAAGCAGATTGTAGTAGGTAGAACAAGCACGCCAGGATAGAAACGGCGCTCATAACGTACACTGGCCAGCTCGGCCCGAATTTTCCTTCTCACATGCCCACTCACCCCCCTTTTGCGTCACTCGATCGCGTTTAGTTCGCCGCCTCCTTCAGGAGCGCGTGAGTGCTGTACCCCATCGACCTGACCTGGATCTGCATGCTGTCGAGGACCCTGCGCCGCATCTCGGAGGGAGTCTTGGCAATGTCCATGCCCGGAAAGGCTCCGTGCGTGCTGCCGAACTCGTACTTCCTCAGGATTCCCCACATACGGCTAAGCTCGTCGGGGGCCAGCGGGATCATGTTTGGGATGCTCCACATGAAGGCGTAAGTGTTAAGCCCGGCCGGCCGCCCCGCGCGCGCGGCCCCCGTCGCGTCCGCGTCCCAACTGCCGAGCCCCGCCGGCGTCGTCAACAGCGTATCGGCGATCAGCAGCCGCCCGTCGTACAGTGCCACCAGAGACCCCGGGAAGTGCCCGCCGAGCTTGAGCACGGTGAACCCCGACGGTGACGCTTCCGCGCCGAGCAGCAGGCTTAGCTCCGTTTCAGCCACGAAGACCTGGTACGCCGACTCCTGCGTCGTCCACTGCCGGTCCTCGGCGGCGAGGTATACAGGACAGCCGAAGGCGCGCGCCCACTCGACGTGGGTGCTGTAGTAATGGGGGTGCGAGATGACGATGGCCGCGAGGCCGCCGATGCGCCGTATAGCGGTGATGGTGTCGTCGTCGAGGAGAGTGAGACAGTCCCAGAGCACATTCCCGTACGGTGTCTTGACGAGGATGGCGCGCTGGCCGATGGCGACCTTGGGTTCGGTCCGGACGGAGACGAACCGGCCGTCGTCCGGGAAGGGCGTCCAGACGTTGCGGTGACCCGATGCGCGGAGCTCGTCAAGAGAGGTGAAGGCCTGGCCGGTCGGCGGCGTGAATTGGCGCGGGTCGTCGCAGATGAAGCACGTCGTCACCTCCCGCCGATCTGCAGTGGGGAACTGGGTGCCGCACGCGGTGCAGACGAGCCAGGAACCAGTCCTACCCGGGTCGTACGCGGCCTCATCAGGTGCCATGATGGGGAGGATGTCTATCCGATATCTGGGCTTCGCTCTGGCGACTACCTAGCGAGTTCGAAGCGGCGACGTCGGGCCTATGCGCTCGTACGCTCGGATGCAGATATGGCTTAAACAAAGGCAAGCGAATTGTGCCTAGAGGTCGAGTGGGCTCTTCTCGGATAACAGTATCGCTTTCCGGCATGGACCGACCTTCTGAGAGATCTAAAACAGATACCCCCACGACACGCCGGAGGATAGTAGGTAGGCATAGACAGCTTACCTGGGCCAGCTGTATGGACTAAGTGCATCTCGGCGCCGCTGGATGCGAGTGCATCGCCAAGAGTGGAGGAGCCCTGGAGAAGTGGAGGGGGGTTGACGGTCGGGATCCACGGATGTATTACCTAGTAAGAACTGCCGAAATAGAGGGATTGTGCATATTCACCTATCCGCCGAAGCCGTTCACCTCAGATATTTGCATACGTGCTCCCTAGGTGCATACAAATACCTACGTACCTGAGGTAGGTACCTATTGTAAGCAGATAACTCAAGGAGGTACCTCCTATCCATCCGTCTCCTGCCCGCACGCCGAGGACGACCTAGGTGAGACTGGATGCCAGCCCGAGCGACTCCGTACCCGATAAGCAATGCGGGGAGGGCGGGTACTTACTTGCCCCTCCCCTCGACCCCTCCACTCCACCCCTCTATCTCTTCCTCCGTCCGGAGCACAGGTGGGCAACGCAGCTTAGGTAATAGCTCGAGCGGCTGGACCTCCCTATCTCGCACATCCAACACCTTCCCTGTGTCTCCCTATCTGCGAGGTAGAGCAGCCCAGCGTTGCTACCTCATGGGTCCCCTACCTATCTATCTATATAGTAGCAGCTCGTCCCCTTCTCTTATTCCCTAAACTTCCTCTCTTCTCTTCCACGTTTCCCCTTTTCCTTTACTATACCCTCGTGGTTTCTACCCCAGATCTTTGTAGCCCAACAATGGTGTTCTTCCTCGATTATATCCAGCACAAACGGGACTGGTAAGTGGCCGATCCCTCTCCCCCCCCCCCCCCCCCATCCGCAAGTCTACCCCGGATTCTACCCGCCCGACCTCGGGTATACCAACGTGCCATCGTGTATGCCTTATCTCACATGATAACAGCAAGTTCAAGCAGGATGAACGCGCCGAGAGGATCCGGGCCTTAGCCCAATATCACGGCCCCTTCACCGCGCAGGACCGCGACATTATCAACAAGCCCATCGAGCAGCTCGTGCAAGGCGTACATAAGGGCGAGCTACAGCCCATCGACCTCTTACAAACCTACGGCAAGGTAGCGCTAAAGGCACATGAGAAGACAAACTGCCTTACTGAAGTTATGATCTCTGCAGCCGAGGGTTGGGTCCAAGACGGTTCCATCAACTTTAGCGGTCCGCTGGCCGGCATTCCGGTGAGCTTGAAGGACACTATCAATGTCGGCGGCTTCGACTCGACTGTCGGATACAGCAGTTTTGTGGGGAACAAACCAGATCAGGACGGTGCCACCGTCCGGCTGCTCAAGGATGCTGGCGCTGTGCCCTACGTCAAGACTAACCTGCCCATCACGCTGCTCAGCTTCGAGTCCACGAACGACGTCTGGGGGCGATGCACCAATCCCCATAACAGCAAGTACTCTCCGGGCGGGTCAACGGGGGGTGAGGCCGCACTCCTAGCGCTGGGCGGAAGGATCGGCATCGGGAGTGATGTCGCTGGGAGCGTCCGAGCTCCGGCCCACTTCTCCGGCATCTACAGCCTCCGGTGCTCGACCGGGCGGTGGCCCAAGGCCGGCTTCGCGACGAGCATGCCCGGCCAAGAGGGTATCCCGAGCGTCTACAGCCCCATGGCCAGAACCCTCAACGACCTGACCTACTTCACCGGCGCTCTGATCGGCATGCAACCTTGGAAGTACGACGGGTCCGTGCATCCTCTTCCCTGGAGGTTGGAGGTGGAGCAGGAGTACCTGACAAAGAGCAAGTTCCGCGTGGGTGTGATGAGGACAGACGGGGTGGTGGACCCGAGCCCGGCATGCGTGCGGGCGTTAGAAATAACGGAAGCCGCCTTGAAGCAGGCCGGGCACGAGATCGTCGAGATCGACCCCCCGTCACCGTACGAAGCGCTTTATCTTGGCGCACACCTACTCAACGCTGACGGCTGCCAAATGTTCAAGTCCTTTTTCCGGTACGGAGAATGGGACGATCCGGGAGCTGATCAGATGGACTGGCTCATGCGGCTCCCACGGCCGTTCAAGTTCCTCTACTATCTGTGGGTCAAGTACGTCCGGAAGGACGACGTCTGGGCCGGCCTCGTCAAGGACTGGCACCCGAAGTCGGCGTTCGAGAACTGGAAGCTGGTAGCGAGGCGAGAAGCCTACAAGGTCAAGTGGTTCGACTGGTGGAATAGCGTCGACGTCGACTTCCTCATCACGCCCCCCAACGCGACCCCGGCGGTTCCTCACGACGGCATGAAGGACGCCGTCAGCAGCTGTGGCTACACATTCCTCTTCAATCTTGTAAGTCGATCCGATCCGCCCCAACACGCAGTTATATCGTTGGAAATGCTAAGTGACGCCCAGCTCGACTACGCATGCGGTATCATCCCAGTGACCCACGTCGACAAGAACCTTGATAAGCTACCGTCCACGTTCAACATCAAGAAGCTGAACGGGGTTGCCCAGGGCGCGTACAAGCTGTACGACGCCGAGGCCATGCACGGACTGCCGGTCGCGATCCAGGTCGTCGGTAGGAGGCTCGAGGAGGAAAAGGTGCTCGCTATCATGAAGAGAGTCGAGGATGCACTCGGAGATGACAAATACGACCTACTTGACATCGACTGATTCATCGACGGATACGTATATAGTCCCCGTCTGGGGTTGTAAGAACTACACGGAGTAGCGTTATATACCGGTGCCGTGAGATGCCTACCTACCTAGGTACCCATCCCCTTTCGGTATCTGCCCCTATTCGTAGAAGTTCAAAGGGGGTTGGCTCAGCAGGCAGGGCAGCTCAGCACCCTGCTGGGAATAAACCAAGAGAGCTACACAAAGCACAAGAAACCAAAAAAGAGAAAATAATTGGTAACTACCTAATCTCCATTCCATTTCCCATGCCACCATGCGTCAAAACACTCGCGACTGGGGTACTCTGCCGCCCAGGCATGTAAGTGGGCGAGGAGAAGAACTCCGATCTCGGGCGGCTATCCAACCGCACGTCGCGCCCTGGGTTCGGCGCCGAGACACCCCTCTGTTCTCTACACGAAGCGGAACAGCGCAATAAGATCGTGTATATATATGTATATACGTACCTACGAAGTGAGCATCCCGCGTGTAAGTCAATCTCGGATACAATTACTAGCCGCCTACCTATATCTATTCTCCTCGGGCGCGCACACACTGGGAACGGCGGCGCATCACGATAAGCGCTTCTCTGCTTCGCTCTTCGGGTAGTCTCGGCACATTATTCTCTTCCTACGATCCGTGCCGCGCCGCTATGGCGGAGGAAAAGGAGGACCACTGGTCTTCCGAGGTGCGACTCCGCCGCGCGCACCGCGATGCCGCGACGCTGACCCGCCGCAGGCATACCAGCACTCGGCATCGTTCGTGCCGAAGCTCGCCACCAAGATCGTGCAGTGGCTCGACCCGCAGAAGGACGACGTGATACTGGATATCGGGTGCGGCGGTGAGTCCTCTCCCCCTCCCCTTTCCGGGCGCAATCTCTCGTGAGCATGCGCGCCGTGTGCAGGTGGTGCGCCTACGCGCCGCAGCTGTCCTCATACGCGGCCTGCCCCGGAAACGCAGTAGGCACTTGCCTGACTCGCCTGCCACTCGGCCTCCGCTAGACGGCGTCCTCGATATCCAGATGCACGAGATCCTCGCCCAGGGCAGCGGCAGCATCCACGGCATCGACTCCTCACCAGCCATGATCGCCGCCGCGACGCAGGCGGCCCAGGCGGCGGGCGCTTCCAAATGCACGTTTGAAGGTACATATCCCGCTACAGGGCCCCCTTTCGTCGCCCCCCTCCCATTCCTTCATCTACACCTCACCTTCAGCGGCGTCCGCGCCTCCCCAACCCCTACCAATTGTCCTCCCTCAGGCCGCTCCCCAGCAGCGCAGCTAACACCACCGCCACCCCAGTCTTAGACGCGCTCGACCTCGCGCGCACGCCGCACCTGCAGCGCGGGCAGTACACGAAGGTGTTCAGCAACGCGGCGCTGCACTGGATCCTGGGGGGCGCGGGCGCGGGGCAGCAGGCGGGGTTCTTCGCGGCGGCGGGGGCGGCGCTGGCGGCGGGCGGGCGGTTCGCGTTCGAGATGGGCGGGCTGGGCAACGTGGCGGAGGTGCGGGCGGCGCTGATCGGGGCGGTGGCGCGGCGGCTGGCGGCGGCCGAGGGCGTCGCGCACGCCGACGCCGTGCGCCGCGTCGCCGCGCGCCACGACCCCTGGTTCTTCCCGGACGAGGCGTGGGCGCGGCGCGCGCTCGGCGGCGCGTGGCGCGTCGAGCGTGTCGAGCGCGAGTACCGCCCCACCACCGCCGACCCCGGCGGCGTCGAGGGCTGGATCCGCCTCTTCGGCGCCCGCTTCTTCGACGCCCTGCCCGACCCCGCTGACCGCGAGGCCTGCCTCCGCGAGGTCGCCGACGTCCTCGAGGTCGTGTGTCGCCGCCCCGACGGCCGGTTCCAGCTCGGGTACGTGCGACTGCGAGTGCTGGCGAGGAAGCTGTAGGTAGTCTGTGAGGGGGGTCACGCTAGGTCGCGGAAAGGGGCTCGTGTCTGTAGGTGCGCGCTATCTACCTAGTGAGGGAGGTAGAGAGAAGAGAGGCGAGATGGGTAGAGGTTCTAGGGGAGGAGCCTGATAAGGTGGCATCCCGTACACGTATTGTCAACTTGAGCGTTAGTCGCCCCTTTCTTAATATCGGCAGTGTCCCTATATAAAGCTGTCAATTCATATTGCCCCACGAACACGCACGTAGGTACATCTTGACAGATGGATAAGCTGCCCGGCGCCGCGATGAAATAAAAGCCTGCTCTTCCAGTGCTCCCATTGTTTACCCTCCAAATGCGACCCCATGCATCACATGCACATGTCTGCCGAATGGCCTCCACGGAGCTTCAGTCTTCCGGGTGGCTGCTACGCCGCCGGTCCAGTAAATGGACGTAAGCATGGAGGAGCAGGGTGGGATATGGCCTCGCAGCCCAGCAATGCAATGGCACCCTTCGAGAGACCTGCCAGGCTTCTCCCCAAGGGAAAGATAGAAAAGGTAGGTATTTCAACAATAAAATAGGTCGGATGGGGTGAGATGCCCGACAAACCCGATTTCCCTCGCTGCTCGGCCATTTCCGGATCCGTATACCTACCTCTCTGCTATCACGGCTTCGGTAGTCACTAGATGAAATGTCCGACGCAAACAGCATCCTTCGGTGGTTTCACCTTGGAGCTGAAGAAGATAGCTCTAACATCTTTTACGGCTGCCTCACGACGATTCTGGCCAGCACTTATTTGGCGCTGCATCTCAACATACCCCCTCCATATCCAGCGGTTCGATCTTCTCGTACGTTCCTGCAGCGATGGTACCGATCGCGGATGCTGTGGGAGTTAAGGCGACAGCTCTCGTGGATTTTGGCACTCGTCATAGCCCCCGAGCTGCTCGTTAGTTTCGCTTTCGGCGATTGGCGCGCCGCTCGACTTGGGTTGAGTATCCTGCACGAAAAGGGACGAGGAAACGTCAGAGACTGGACGATGGCACATGCTCACTTCGCCAACATGGGAGGTCTCGTGTTCTCAGTCCAGCACCGTGGCAGCGAGGTCCCGGATGCTGCCCCCTTCAAGTCCAGTGGTGGAATTGTGGTACTCCAAGAGATTACCGACGCCGTAAACCTCTCGACGGTCAAACAGCTTCAGAACTACCTGGGAGCGATGGGCTCGAAAATCGCAAAATGGATAAAGCGTGTACTCACGAGGTATGCGAGTTGGCCCTGGTCTTTTGGTTTATCGCGCTCTTCTCGAGCGCCTCATCAAGAGGAGATAGAATTGGATAACCTTGCCGCTCGGGATGCCTCTGTTCGGAATTCCCCCCCCGAACGTACTGGAATCAGTATGCAACCGAACCCTACCAATTCGGGCGAGACTCACGCCGAGACCGCCGTCGATCTTAGTTATGTTGATCTTACTACGACGAACTATGAAACGGCCGAATCAGCTGAAACTTTTGAAACCATAACGTCTAACACCGAGCAAGATACGGGCCAAGTAGATGTGAGATCTTCAGGCCCAGCAGCAGGATCCAGACATAGTCCCGACTCCGCCAGCCCAGTCGGTGCGACTGAAGCACTACCAGAGGCCAGGATCCAGCTCCACCTCAACGTGGTGCAAGTCGTCGCAGCGCAAGTCCTCGGTGTCCTGGGAGAGGTTCCGCAGATTGACATGGACGGGATCGAGGCAAGGAGTAAAGTCAATCCCCTGATTAAAGCAATTGCGGCTGTGAGATTGCTCTGGGTGTTCGCTACAGTAATCATCCAGGGATCGATCAACTCCTCGCTGACCCAAATAGAACTTTCGACCTTCACGTACGTCCTTTGTGCGTTGGTCTCCTATGTGCTATACTGGTCAAAACCGCAAGGCGTTGAGGAGCCTGACAAACACATTGTCGCCATCTCTGACGGCGTCAGGCCCGTCACAGATCAGGATATAAAGTATATCCAAGCGTTTGGTGGTAGCCCGTTTCTCCTTCGGAATTTCGTGCCGCCTTTCGGCATGGATAACCTACAACGCCACCCCACGGAGTGTATCCCTACGGATATATCGCTTACAAGCTTCGCCTTCTTTGGGCCTTCGGGTCACAAAGTCTTCTTCGGCGACTCGGACGTGGCGGGTGTCCTGGTCGGAATGATCTTCGGGGGGCTGTACTGCCTGGGGTGGAACCACTCTTTCCCGTCGCTTTGGGAAGTCTGGCTTTGGCGTGCCAGCGCTATTGTTATCACGGGATCCCTGATCCCTTTCTCCCTCGCCAACGCGGCGTGCACTATTGCGTTTTCCGACTTGACCGACCGGAGCAAGCCATTGAAAACACACAATATCCACGTGCTCGTGCTATATTTTCTGTTGGCACTTTACGTCTTCTGCCGATTTTTCATGCTATTCGAGATGTTTAGGACGTTGTTTATTTGAGGTAAAAGGCGTAGATATCAGCGATTGTGGGGATATCGTGGTGATGATACACCCTGGATCGTCTTTCGCCGTAGAACGGTTGCAAAAGACGCTTCAGGATGTACACGTAGGTACGGAATAACCCCTCCTTGCATAATTTCGCAGAGTAAAATAAAGAGGTTTGCGGATATCGGTAGAGAATGGGGGAAGAAACAGGTTATACGGGGCTGGCCTACGCATCAGTATTGGCCCTGTTCTAGCTGGCGCGTCTTAGCAATATCTCCGATAGCCGATGATGGAGTGAGTTTTCGTGTGAGACACTGGTTTCGGCGTGCAGGCCCCAGGTCACGATGGTCTTGGCTCGATGGGACTCGCTAGATGATATTGCCCTTTAGGTAAACTTCGGTTTCGGTAACCGGGCCGCCGCCTTGTTCTCCCAGGATGGATATAGGGAAGCGCTATTCCCTCTTTCGTACACGGCACAGAACCCGCTGGTTTCCTGTAAGGTGGGAATCACGAGCCCACTCTGCGGGGCTGGCGATCTAATACAGATGCTTTCTACACGTAGATCGACGGGCGATAGAAGCAAGGACTAAGGTTATAGCTCGAGCGTCCAGGTCGTGATGCTCCGGCTCGGCCGAGGTCGATGTCGTGAAGGCTCGAGTTCATTATCGAGGCGAGGCGTTTTCGCATCTAACCTAAATACTAGCATATCGAGCTGCAGGAGGATTGTTATGTCTGAGCGAAGGATTACCATCCTCTTCTCTCCCTTTATCTCTTAGTCTTACGACGCGACGGAGAGAACGATAGACGTGGAGAAGGCGGTGAAGCGAGGATGGGTTTGGTGGCTGATTCGATTCGTGAATGAAATATCCAATCAAATTCAAGCTCCGCCTGGCTTCAGCTGGCAAGCCCCGCCAGGCCCTATTTTGGCCAGTGCGCACTTAGGTTAGATACCTAGATACCTAAGCCTGTAACAGATACCTAACCGTAACAGGTAGCCGTAACAGGTACGCCAAAGCACATGATGATGTGGGAACCTTGTGGATCCTCAGGAATCCAGAATGGAGGCCTGTGATTGGTGGAATTGAGGAAAAACACGCAACAGCTAACTGTTCGTAAAACGCTGTATTTAAGCCCTTTTAGCAGTTTAGTTTTTACACCTTCAATTGATCAACTAGGTTTACCTTTCAACTCGTCTTGCGTGCCTTACGATTAAGGCAGCGAGGCCACGAAAGGAACCGCCACCAAAACGCACAACCTAAGCTTCCGCAACTGGATTGTGCAGTTGTGTGATATTCCCGTAGATGAGCTCTTGTCCGTATAAGTGAATATGTGTATGTAAGGACTGTTACCTCCTGTGGAGTACCTAGGTACCTAGGTTAGAGGTAGGTAAGGTAGGTACATATCTGGGTAGGTGAATAAGTGCTGTTACGCGTGCTAGAATAATATCTCAGTGCTACGCAATCTGGGAAATCCATTCCGCCGGGTTCAATGAATTTTCACCTTAGGTAATCAGCTACATCGGTACCTCTAGTCCCTACTTGACGGTGTTGCGCACGCCCGTCCTTCCCATTCCCCTCCAACCCACTGTCGATAGAGCCCATCGAGTTCGCTCGCTCGAGACCATATCGGTACTATCTCTCCCGTGTTCGAATCACCACTCCACGTATCCGGAGGGGCTTGACATCCGGCCATGTCCGCTGACGACCAGCAATTCCTGGACTTGGTCAGTTTCGTTTTTCTTCCCTTGCCGTGCCAAGCTTGAGGCCAGCTCGCCCTACGATTTTAATCGGGGGCTGGAGGAGCGCCGTAGACGGACAGGGGAAGAAAAAGAATGCGTAGCTAACGGCGGAGGCATGTGACACAGCTTTCGTCCATCCCCAACCAGATTCGACGATATTCTGGTGAGGTCGCCGAGTATATCGACAAGGCCGTCGACCAGGCCGCTGACAATATTCGCGATGCTCTGTCCTCGGCCGAGTGGGTGCCCGACTACCTGAGACCCATACCCCCGGCCCGTCCGCCTCCTGTCGAGATCGTGCCAGCTTCTACCTATGAGCGACTGCAGAATTGGTTCGCCCGCAACAAAGTCCTCGCTGGCATCGTAGTGGTGGGCGTGGGATATGTCACCTATAGGACAGTGCGCCACGGCAGGTTAACTCGCAAACCCCGCCGGGCGAAGCGTGCTCGGAATGGCGGAAGACTCGAGGTCGTCGTCATCGCCGGCTCGCCGTCCCTGCCGTTAACTAAATCACTATCTCTGGATATGGAGAGGAAGGGCTTTATCGTCTATGTTATGTGCAACACCATCGATGAAGAAGTGATCGTGCAGGGTCTATCTCGGCCTGACATCAAGCCGCTGGGCATCGATATCACCGATGTAAGTACCCATCTCCGCGACCACGTGGTGCACGCATTTGAGGGTTGCTGGTTGCTCCAGTGCACCATGAGACGAGCCCGTAACTGACCGAGCAATCCCAAATCTAGCCTCCCAGCGCCGGCTCATCCATCGAACGATTTGCTACTTACCTACAGACTCCACATGCCTCGGTTCCCCGTGCCAAAACTGGTTATCTATCCTTGAAGGCCGTTATCCTCATCCCCTCGTTAAACTACCAAACGTCGCCCATCGCTACCATCCCCCCTTCGAGCTTTGCCGACCTATTCAACACCCACCTCCTACATCCGATCCTCACCATCCAATCCTTCCTACCACTGCTCACGTCCAGACTAACGCCCCATGGCGAGACACCGGCGACACCCAAGGTGCTTGTCTTCACTCCATCCATCATCTCCTCTATCAACCCACCGTTCCACGCCCCAGAAGCTACCGTGTGCTCAGCCCTGTCCGCATTTACGGAAGTGCTGACGGCCGAGCTGCGACCGCTTGGTATCCCTGTCACGCACATCCAACTCGGAACCTTCGACTTCACAAGCTTTACTCCATCTCGGAACTTGTCGGCCCCCGAACTGCTCCCCGCCGCCGAGGCTCGCCAATGGCCCGAGTCGGCGCGTCAGGCATACGCTAAGAACTACGTCAACCAGTCCGCGTCGGTCATTTCGGGAGGGCGCATCCGCGGCTTGCGCGGGAGCTCGCTCCGCGACTTGCACAACACCGTATTCGATGTCATCGACAGGTCTGAGCAGAGCGACGTTGTGCGCATCGGCCTCGGCGCCGGCCTGTACGGTTTCGTCGGCCGCTGGGCTCCCCGGGGCCTCGTCTCCTGGATGATGGGCATCAGGAAGGTCGACGAGCTCAGCGCCTGGGAGAGCTCCTACACCGGGAGTGGCAGCGAGAACGGCGGGAGCGAAAACGGCGAGGCCAGCCAGAACGGCGAGGCCAGCGAGTTCATCCCCGTAACTAAGGAAGACGAAGTCGTGCACGGCGCGCACAATGTCTGGAAATAATAGGAAGGGTTTTTTGCTTATACAAGTAAACTCGGTAGTATGCAGGCGCTTGTTCGCGGGGTATCTAGGGTGGTTACGAATTGTATATACGAAGACATGACACTCCCTGCTATGCTTGGGCACTCTTCACCTCTTTTCTTACACGGATAGGAGACTGCTAGGTCGAGGATAGACTTCCGGAACGATGAATTGAATGGTCTCTACACTAGCCGCTGAAAGATGGAGTAGTGAGGACTGAAGACTGTATAGGTGGTCGTCGAGGTCTGTATTTGAGGATACATCCCTCCCTGCGATGATGCTGAAACGCCCATCTAGAGTAGTCTATCATCACTTACCCGTAGTCCTGCTACCGTATCGTGCCCATCGATGCTATTCTACCACGGAGGTACCTTTCTAGGGCAGCTAGCTACATATCTATCCGCGAGCCATTTTCTTGGCTCGCTGTATTATACCGTGTATTGTGCCATACTTTTGGGAGAGCAAATCAGCTCAACGCGAGACGAATTTGGGCGTCATTTGCATGAGAGCGTTGGCGGCAAACGGGGGCCTGCGTCTTGTCGGGCCATGTTCGGCCCGAAAGCATCCCCCTCTGGCCGGGTATAGCATCGCAATCCTATCATCTATTTTTTTTCTCATTCCCCTGTCCACGTAGAACTTCACAGCCTTGATCATCTTGAGCCTCCCTTAGTGATGTCCCCTCCCCCGTCCGAATTTCCTGTCGCCCCTGCCCCTCCAGCGGCCGCCCCGCCCGCCGAACCTCTCGCCCCTGCCGCCCCTGTCGTCGCGGTCGCCGCGCCGGCCGCCGAAGTCCCTAGCGTCGTCGTCGGCGCCGTGGTCGTCGCGACGGCCGAAGCCGGGCGGCTGCTGGGGGTCGTCGGGCGGGAGCTCGGCCTTGGCGACGGGCTTCTCGAGGTTGGTGTCCCAGCGGGGGTGGGCGCCCTCGCGACAGGCGCGGCCGTCGGGGCAGAAGCCGGCGAGGTAGCAGGGGCAGAGCTTGCGGCGGACGTGCTTCTTGCTGCAGGTCGGGCCGAGGGGGCAGAAGCCGCGCTCGTAGTGGGGGCAGGGCGGCAGCTTGGACTGCGGGTCGATGTGCAGGTAGAGACACTCGTCGCCGTTGGAGCAGTAGCCGTTGCGCACGAAGAAATTGCACTCGGGCATCTTGCGCAGGTTGTACTCGTGCAGGAACTCGCAGCTGTCGCCCTTCTTGCACAACGCGCGCAACCAGTGCTTGCACACGAGCGAGTTGTAGCTCGTGTTGTTGACGCCGCCGCCGCCCCCGAGGTACCCGCCGCCCCCGCCGCCGCCCGGCTGCCCGTTGGCCGCCGACACGTGCCGGTCCGGGCACGCCGCCGCGCCCAGCGGGCAGTGCCCGGCGACGAACGCCTTGCAGATCGGCCGGTTCGGGGGGAATCCGTGCCCATAGGTGGCGCGTAGGAAGGGCGAGAAGCTGAACGTGTATCGGGGCGCCCGGTGGTCGAGGATCTGCTGGGCCAGCTGCGAGGGAGCGGCGGGAGGCGGCGGTGCGGATGTTTTCGTGGTGGTCGCCATGACGGGCGATTTGGTGTCGTGCGTTCGTATTATCGGTTATCGGTTGCCGGTGTCATTTACGGAACTAGTGCTAGACGGAATCCCTCTCTCTAGGTGGAATCGAGTCGTCGGGATGTGGACGCGTGTTTAGTTTGGTATCGACGAACGCGACACACGAATTCCTCGCAGATGGTAAGTAATGTGTAGGGAGTTAGGAGGTTGCGCAGAAGGTTAGAAGGAAGACCTGTCTGTGTTGCAGGCTTGAATCGAAGATGGAGACACGTACCTACGATAAATGCATTTCACGCGGATACCCACATATCATTTTACTAAGAGATTTATTCTACCATGGGAACTTTATACGAGATATTTGTCAAAGCCAAGATTGCATAAGCAGCGCGACACCCACGTCTATGAGTACTATCCCCTTGACGACAGACTTTCCAAGCTACGTACTCCAATGCCGCCCTCGGCCCTCCGCTCCCCCAGTCTCCTGCAGTCTTCCCCAGTTCAGCGGGACACGAAGCATCGAAATTCGTAAACCAAGCCTTCCAAGACTTGATCCGCGGACGGGATCGGCATTGCATGAAGGTGCGGGGATGGAGACGGACAGCTATTTCTTTGCTGGCTCCTCTCAGCGGCCGTCTTGCGCAATCCCCTTCCAACAACATTACCCTTCTCCACGAAGCCGCTGATCTCGAGTTACGAGCTGTCCCTATATCCTCTATTTCTCTAAGACATGATCAACTCAGTGAACCTTAGGCGGGTGTTTCAAAAACGGTTCACCTGAACACTCACTACCTAAGCCCCTAAGCCTTACCCATGAGCTAGGTACGCAGGACGTATGCTACTACCTTTAATCCGCCCGTCTTTGCTAGGCTCACTTAGGCAGGTATTCGGACGCGCACATGCCCAGCTTGCCATCTCGGTACTACATCACCTCCGGATAGAGGCCCTATAGGTTGGTGTGTGCCTGATCTCAGACTAGTCCCGCCTTACTGGCCGACGACCAGCCTCCAGCTCGACTCTCGCCGACTGTATTATACGCTTGCCTCTCTCTTGAGCTAAACCTCTTCATCCAGGTTGCATCGGGTTACTAAGTGTAACAAAACGCACAAGTGGTTTGTCTCTAACTCCTGATGGAGACGGTCAAATCAATAATAGGCCGAGGCCTGCTGCCGAGCGACGGGGACGGCCCGTTCCTCGCCGCCGAATATTTTACCGAGCCTTCTTGGATTGTTGCATCTGCCAGATCCTCTTCTAGTTGGGCCGCGGCCTGGTACCTTCAGTTGGGGTCCTCATCGCGGATTCTCTTATTTACGAGCGTCGTCTGCTCCCTCTCTCTCACCGTGGCATGGCGCCGTGGAGCATTGAATCGAAGCACGATGATTCGAGCTGTAATCATGATCTTCCTCACCCTGCTCCTCGTTTTCCTCTCGGAAGAAAATGCTCTGGTCACCGCCGAAGATGAATCGGACGTCGGCCAACCCGTGATTCCCAATGTCATCGACCCCGAGGCTGTGAACCCCCAGTCTGTGTGTCCAGGGTACACGGCTTCCAACGTGCGGACCACCAACAACGGATTAACGGCAGATCTTACACTGGCGGGGGATGCCTGCAATGTCTATGGGACTGATATTGAAGCTCTAAGCCTCACCGTTGAATATCAGGCGGCAGATAGGCTACATGTCGAAATCCTACCTCGCTATGTTGGTCCCGAGAATTACACATGGTTCATTCTACCCGAAGAGCTGATCCCCAAGCCACATGCCGAAGGGGACGACGACTACGCCTCGCGTAGCGATCTTGAATTCTCTTGGAACAACGAGCCAACCTTCTCTTTCAAAATTACTAGGAAGAGCAGCCAAGACGTATTGTTCTCCACCGAAGGCTCCGAGTTGGTGTACGAGGACCAGTTCATTGAATTTGGATCATCCTTGCCTGAGAGCTATAACCTCTACGGCCTTGGTGAGGTTATCCATGGCTTCCGGCTCGGCAACAACCTCACCCGTAGGACATCCATCTTCCCCTACTGCGCTAGTTGCTGTGTTGTCTAACCATTTCAGGGACCCTTTTCGCTGCGGACGTGGGTGATATCATAGACGCAAATATTTACGGGAATCATCCCATATATCTCGATACACGTTATTTTGAAGTAGATCAGGATACCGGAGCATTGAAGTACGCCCCTAACGCGACGGATAAGTCGGTTCAGTATAAATCATACACCCATGGTGTCTTCCAACGCAATGCACATGCGCAGGAGGTCTTGCTACGGGAATCCAACATTACTTGGAGAGCCCTCGGCGGCGACATTGATCTCTACTTCTACCAAGGCCCATCTCAAGACAAAGTCACCAAGTCGTACCAGAAGAGCGCCATCGGATTGCCGGCTATGCAACAGTATTGGACCTTCGGGTATCACCAGTGCAGATGGGGCTACGCAAATTGGAGCCACCTTCAAGACGTCATCAACAACTTCGCGAGGAACGAGATTCCCCTCGAAACCATATGGAGTAAGCACCCTTCGTGCCGCTATTTGCGCGGGCAGGTTGATTATCGTAGTCTCTACTGACTGGTTGGAAGGCGATATCGACTATATGAAATCCTACCGGGACTTCGAAAACGATCCGATCAACTTCCCGTACAGTGAGGGCGCCGACTTTATATCTCAGCTACACAAGAATAATCAGCACTACGTCCCTATTATTGATTCGGCTATCTATGCCCCCGACCTTGATAACGAGGACGACGCCTACCCGTCTTTCAATCGCGGTCTGAAGAATGACGCCTTCTTGCTGAACCCGGACGGATCCGTCTATATTGGGATGGTCTGGCCGGGCTACACTGGTATGTTCTCTTGTCTTTTGACTTGTGTGTCCGTTTGTGCTCATGATGCCTAGTCTTCCCAGACTGGATCGGCTCTCTCTTCAACGGCACTGGAGCGAATGAATGGTGGATCTCGGAAGTTGCCGAATACTTTAACAAGATAAGATTCGACGGGATATGGATCGATATGTCGGAGGTCGCATCGTTCTGCGTCGGTAGTTGTGGTAGTGACAACAGACATATCGACCCTGTCCACCCTCGTCTCCCATCACGAGACGACAAAAAAACCACGGAAACAATTCCTGCGAAAGCGTCAGCGTCCGCAAAAGATTCATATCTTCGCACGACCCCAACTCCAGGCATTCGTAACGTCAATTGGCCCCCGTATACCATAAACAATTTCCACGGTGATATGGCCGTTCACGCTGTCAGCCCTAACGCAACCCACCACGGTGGTATTCTGGAGTACGATGTTCATAACTTGTATGGACATCAGATCCTAAACGCTACTTACCATGCGCTCCTGAACATCTTTCCCACAAAGCGGCCATTCATAATCGGGAGGTCTCAATTCGCTGGCTCTGGAAAATGGGCTGGTCACTGGGGGTAAGGTAAACCGATATGTTGACGTCCGCAAGGTTGCTGACTATGTTTCATAGCGGTGATAATTACTCTCTCTGGGCGTACATGTTCTTTACCATCCCCCAAGCGCTCTCCTTCTCCCTTTTCGGTATTCCCATGTTTGGCCCTGACACGTGTGGGTTCTCAAACGACGCCGACGCGGAGCTGTGCTCTCGTTGGACACAGCTTTCTGCATTCTTCCCTTTCTACCGGAACCATAACGTGATCGGAGCCGCAAGCCAGGAGCCATACGTGTGGCCGGAGGTGGCGGAGGCCGCGCGAACAGCCATGAAGATCCGCTATGCGCTACTCCCGTACATATACACTACCTTCTACCTCAGCCATTCGACCGGCTCCACGACAATGCGTGCCCTAGCTTGGGAGTTCCCTAATGAGCCCTGGCTTGCGGATGCCGATCGACAGTTCCTTCTGGGCGATGCCATTTTGGTGACTCCCTGCTTGGTTCAGGGTGCCACCACCGTTGATGGCGTTTTCCCGGGGGTGGGATCAGGCACCGTCTGGTACGACTGGTACAACCAGACGGCCATCACGGGCGTCGCAGCTGGGCAAAATGTCACTATTGGCGCGCCGCTGGGTCACATCCCGGTCTATATTCGAGGTGGGAGTGTGATACCATTACAGGAACCGGGTCTTACTACCGCGGCAGTCAGAGCGAGCCCTTGGAGCCTGCTCATAGCTCTAGATGGTAACGGCCATGCTAGAGGGGGGCTCTATATTGACGACGGCGAGAGCCTCACCCCCAACTCTACCACGTGGGTTGATGTAAGTACTCCGCATCTCACACCGCTGTACCATTTATTGATTCTAGTTCAGTTCCTGGTCGAAGACTCGTTGTTGAAAGCATCCCCGCGGGGAGACTTCGTAGATACGAATGCGCTGAGCAACGTGACGATTATGGGAGCAGACAGCTCCATCTCTAGGGTTACATTGAACGGGAAGGAGATCGACGCCAGTGCGTGGGATCTCAAGAAGGCAGATGGTGCCCTGAGGATCACGGGCTTAAATGCGTTGACGGCGGGCGGCGCGTGGAGCCGGGAGTGGACTCTGAGCTGGTCCTAACCCCAACCAGAACGACGGCTTAGAAATAAGCCGAGACACTGTTCACACATTCCCGTCAGCAACAGATCGATGGATTATACGTAAGCATCCGTTGCCAGGAGCGCAACCAATCGGAGTGTCAACATACGGGCAGAGTCTTCCTAATCGGGCAATATACGTGGATGACGTTACCTGGGAGTTGTCAGTTGAAGACGGTGCCGACTCGGTATTCAGTCAAGTCTCGTCCTCGATTCGTGTTCGAATACTCGAGGTGGAGCGAGGGAGGTCTCAGTATGAGTATTTATGAGTTGTATTGATATTTAGGTATCTGAGTCCCAAATAGCCAGCGCCGCACAATTCACATTCTGCTAAAACAGCATACACCCGTTACCCAGGTCCGGTTACACCCAAATAGAACCACAACTCCGATCAAGACAAACCTTCAGCTAACCCTTTCTCTAGTCAACTACCACATTCTTACTAAGCCTTCTTAAGAGCGCTCTTCGCAACAACCAGGTCTCCGATAGTCGAGATTGGCACGTTGCCCATGATGTCGAAGACGGTGACGGCAGCCAGAAAGTCGCGACCGATCCAGTTGCGTAGCTCGACCGCCATCAGCGAGTCGACGCCGTAGCTAGATAGCGGCTTGTTGAGTTCGACATCGTCGGGCGAGATGCCCAGCGATCGCGCTAGCTTCAATGCGAGCGCCCGGATCACCACCTGGATCTGCTCGGCTGAGTCGCCAGCCGCGGCACGGAATGCCCCCGCAGGACCCTCGCCTGCGTCATGATGCGCGGCCTCGCGGCCGCCGAGGACGAACGAGAACGGCTCGAACAGCGGGCGCGCGAGCATGACGGGTGGCGAGATACCGCGCGAGATGAAGTCAGCCGGCTCGCGGAACCCGAACAGGCGCTGGCTGGAGGCGCGCTCGGAGGATGCTGAGGCCGGCGAGGCCGGCTGTGGCTCCGCGGGGTCGCAGCAGAGAGTGAGCAAGGCGAGCAGCTCGCTGTCGTCGAGCTTTTGCATGTCGTCCTGGTGCTTCCGCTGGCGCTGGTATGCCTGGTTCTCGGCGACGATACCTATGTTGCGCATCCAGCCAACGTCGATGGAGGTCGCGCGGCGGCCCCGTGCAACGCGATGCCGCGCGACTGCGTCCTGGCACGCGCACCCAGCGGCGTAGTTGGACTGGCCGAGGGCACCGATGACACCGTTGAGCGAAGACAGCAGGATGAAGAAATCGAGGTCCTCGGGCAGGAGGCGGTCGAGGTTGACGGAGGACCAGACCTTGGACTTGATGGTCAGGTCCCATTGGGCGTGCGTCATGTTCTCGAACACGGCATCCTGCAGCACCATCGCGCCGTTGATGCATCCCTTGACGGGCGGCATCGTGGCCGCGCAGTCCGCGAGGACCTTGGCGAGCGACTCGACCGACGACACGTCGCACTTGGGCGCGACGATGTTGACGCCACGCGCCGTCAGCTCAGCGATGACGTCGACGGCCGCCTTGCTGGATGCGCCCGATCGCGAGGGCGCGATGATGTGCTTCGCGCCTCTGTCTGCCATCCACTTCATGATGGCGCGACCTAGACCGCCTGACCCCCCCGCAATCACGTAGGACGCGTCCTCTTTGAATATCCACGGCCGTCGCTCCACGAGGAATTGCTAGATGAAATGAGTCAGTTTACTGCTACCGCCCTAAGAAATTTCGCGCGGAGATCGTCGTTACTTACCGGGACTACGTCTGAGGGCTCGATGTTGATGATAATACGCCCTATGTTCTTTCCATCTTGGAGAAGACGGAAGGCTTCTTCGGCCTTAGACACCGGGTAGGGATGTAGAGGGCCAGGGTGCTGCACCTCTCCCTTGGCCAGCAGGTCGATTGTGGCCTTTAGGAGCTCCGAGGTCAGATCGGGGTTCGTGATGACGACGTGGCGCAAGTCGACCGCCGAGTAGCTGACGTTCTTCGCGAAGCCGGCCATAGGAAGGGAGGAATTAGCCCTAATGTCCACAACGCCGATCTCCACAAAGCGACCAAAGGGTGCCATACACTCCCATGTCAGCCGCAAGCTATCTCCAGAGAGCGAGTTGAGCACGACATCAACGCCATACCCGTTCGTAACTCGCTTAACGCCCTGGGCGAAGGAGGTATTTCGACTGTTGAAGATGTGGTCGTCGGGGATGCCGAAAGTATCTTTAAGGAACTGTCTCTTATTCTCGGAGCCGACAGTAGCAAAGATCTCGGCGCCCCTCATCTTAGCCATCCAGACGGCCATCTGACCTGTGCTTCCCGCGGCTGAGTGGATGAGGACTTTATCCCCCTTCCGTACTCGGGCAATATCGATCATCGAGTAGTAGGCCGTCATGCCAGGCACCAAGATGGAGGCGGCCGCATCGAAGGATATGCCGTCAGGGATCTTGATGACGGCCTTATCGACGGCACGCGGATGCGTGCGCATGCAGTCTATCGAGAGCATGCAGACTCGGTCACCCGGCTTGATCTCGGGATCGCAATCGGGACCTACCCTCGTCACGACACCGGCACAGTCGACTCCCAGCTCGTTCTCCTCAAGGCGACCCAGCGCGCACAATACGTCGCGGAAGTTGAGGCCAAACGACTTGGCCTCGATCTCGACATCGTGAGAGCCAAGGTCGAGCTGAGTTCTGGGGTCTTCCACGAGCTGGAATGAGTCAAGGGTTCCGGGGGTGCCGACAACCAACTTCAACGCCGGTCCCTCGGAGAAGGGCCTCTGCCGCAGCTGCGGGACCAGGAGGGATCGCAGCTGTTCATTCCTGTCGACGTCTTCAGCAATGCGACCGGTTGTCAGCTGTCCCTTCTGCACGATATACTCGAGCTCGGGAGCCCCCGATTCGAAGCCTGCTCTGTATGCCTTGGCGATGTACTGCGCGTATTGCTCGGCGGTCTCGCCTTGGGATTCAATCGAGAGCGAGATGACGTGCTTGTCGCTTTCCTCGTTCCGAATGGATCTCAAGAATCCTTCCGAAACCCAGTACTGGGGGTACTCCTCGTCCTTATAGTCTGTCGAGGTAACCCAAAGTAGCTTATGCGTCCTCTTTAGCATGTCCTGGAGGAGCCGCATTGTCTCTTCGGTTAGCGTGGAAAGGAAGGGCTTGCTCATCTCGGCAATATAGATGACAGTATCATCCTTCTTCAGCTCAGTAGATCGAACCTGGCTCAACGGTACAATTCGGACTTCACTTTCCGGCGACTGGACTATGGTAGAGTGAATCAAGTTGGCCATCTCAGTCTGCGTGTCGGACTGGCCATCGACGACCAGGACAAGCTCCGGCTTAGTTTTCGAGTCCGGCACTTCTTCGACAGCCTTCGATACGATGACGCTAAACATGTGGCACGCCTCGCTCACGTAGTCTCTGAGGACAATATCATTCCCGGAGAAGCCTGTCCACTTCAAAACATCGTCCCATTTCTCGTCAGGGATCACAGGAGACATGCCTCGCCACTCTTCCCTACGGCCCCACCATCCAGGTACCAGGCCGAACGTGAAGTTCGTCGTGACGTCGTGAGGCTGGATAGCCTCGAGTAGGAGCAAGTGCCCGCCCGGCTTGAGAACTTTGCGCACGTTCTTCATCGTCGTGAGCAAGTCCTCGGTCGCGTGTAGGACGCTTCCAGCAATGACCAAATCATACGAAGCGTGGCCAATGCCCTGGCTGTCAGGACTGCGCTTCATATCGAACGTCTTGAAGGTCATCCGGTCCTTAAAGTCTCGCCACTTAGCAGTGGCCCTCTCGAAGAAGGCGGGCGAGACGTCAGTGTACGTGTATTCCGAGAACTTGACGGACCCGCTCCTTTTCTCGAGTTCATGTAGGGCAGCGATGACACGAGCCGTCATACCACCGGTTCCGGCTCCGACTTCGAGGATGCGCAGACCAGGGCGCTCGTGGCTGGCTAAGTCCAAGAAGTTCAACATCCGCTGGTCACAGACGTGCTCGAACATGTCCGCATAAAATCGGTCCGCCAAGTCCGAGCCGAAGATAACCTCGAGGGCTTCAACCTTACCAGTAAGAATATCAAACAGACGGCGGACGACAGTCGTGTATAGCTTCCAAGGCGGGCTGTCGGTTTCAATCTCTACCAAGAGGCGTTCCAGTTCTTCTTCGCTCAACTCCTCGGCAATTCGAGAGCTCGGGATCTTCTCAAGGTGATGTTCCAGCCAGTCCACGTGTCTTTTCTGGGACTCGGGAACTTTCTGTCGATTTTCACCAGACAGCTGCTTCACTGTTCTAGCGACGACCCTGTCCAGCGTGAGAGCCACCTTTTCGTAGTGGGCCAGCACGGCGTCTTCGTCTTTAACGACGGTGTGAACATTGATTGCGGCGGCCAGCTGCTCCGGCTCTAGCAAGCTTAGCTGAGGCTTCCACTCGAGGTTGTACATCAGCTTCTTAGCAGCCTGACTGCCTTCGCTAATTCCCGAAACCGTCGCAAATACCATCTTCCCCATAGTGCACAAGACAGTCCCATCGTCTGCTAGGGCATAGATGATACCGCCATCACTCTCCCGGTCACCCCTGACCTCTGACGCGGCCATGTAGCGAACGGAGGAGGTGTGAGGCCGCTGCCATCCGGTAGGCGAGAACCACGCGTCGTGGAGGCGGACGGGTATGGTTGTAGCAGACGACAGGGACAGTCCCAGGGTGGTGCTCACGCGCAGCACGTGAAAGGCGGTGTCAAGGACGATAGGGTGGAGAAGACTGGTCGTCTGCTTCACTCTGGAGAGGTCGACGCGTGCGATGGTGTTCTCTTTACCGTCCCATCGGATATCATCCAAGACTCGGAACGCATCCCCATACTCTAAGCCGTGCTGAGAAGCATCGTCGTAGAAGATCTGCGAGTCAACTGGCCTCGTGCACAGCGCTTCAGTTCGCTTGAACTCGCCGGCGACACGCACGTGGGCCTGCCTGCGCTCCTCCCGGAGATCGGCGTGCGTGGTGTCTTCATACTCGACTTGGATGCTCGCTTTGAAACACTCGGTCCATCGGTTCTCGTAGTATGAGTATATCGATATATCCGACCAGGTGGACTCTTTCTCGTACGGCCTCTTCACAGGCCGCAGGTGAAGCATCGTCTCAGTCCTATCTTCCCAGGCCTCCTTGACAATGATTGGACTCATGAAGTGAGCTTCTTTGACAAAGTAACCGGATATCACGCGGCCGGGAGGGCACAAGTGCTGGACCGCTTCCATCGCCATCACCAGCATACCAGCCGCAGGGTAGATGACGGTACCGCTAATTACGTGGTCGCCGATCCATGGCGTCGACTCGACGCTTAGGAAGTTCCGCCATCTTGGCTCCAGAGGGTTCCAGTCAAAGAACCGCGCGCCGAGCGTCTCCCCCACCACCGGCTCGCGTGTTCTGAAATCGCGACTCAATCGCGACTCGGCCCAGTACGTTTTCGAGTGGTCAAAGGGATATTCGGGGCAGTCGACTAAGAAACGACGCGGCAACTGACCAGACACGTCATGGTTGGCCGCTGGAATGGAGACCGAGTAGCCGAGCGAAAACAACAAGCCCAGAAGCTCTAAGGTGGTTTGCAATGCCGAGTGAGATCGATGTAGAACGTAAGTGTAGCGGACCTGCTGCTTCTTGTTTCCTGCCTTGGCCAGCGTATCCTGAACCGGCCTGCGCAGGGCTGGGTGAGGGCCGACCTCGATGAGATCCGTAATGCGCCCTATCCCGACTTTCAACGTAGAAGTCTTCTGTGTGAGAAGATGGACAGCGTCGGAGAATCGAACGGGAGATACCATATTATCGACCCAGTATTGAGCTGTCGCCAAAGTAGCTGGCCGAACTGGCTGGCCGGTTACCGATGAGACCATCGGAATTGACGTCTTGACATTCTTGGAGTTTCCGCCATCTAGAGAACCCATCTGGCGCGCATACTCATCCGCGATCTGAGACATGGATGGCGAGTGGTACGCAACCCCAGTCTTCAGTTTCTGAGCGAAGATGCCGTCCTTGTCAAGCTTCTTCTTCAATACGTCGATGGCCGCCTCGTTTCCAGAGAGCGTACAATTTAAGGGGCTGTTAACGCAAGCAATGCCGATCTTAGCCACCACATCGGCGTTTCCGGTGCTCTCCAGGTACCCCTTGACATCCTCCTCAGTCAGGTTTACAGATATCATGGCCTCGGGAGTGAAGCTGGTGGCCCTGAGCTTTCCAGCCAGCTGTCCACGGAAATAGGACACCTTGCATGCTGACACGAGTGATAGCGCGCCGCACGCGTAGCTATTGAACGAGTTATGTTAGAACAGTCAACGTCTCATTTGCGATAGGAAACTGGAAATGGCTTACGCAGCGGCGATTTCGCCAGATGAATGTCCAACGACAGCTTTAGGAACCACACTGAAGTCCTTCAGCAACTCGATCAGGCCTATCTGCACGGCAGTTGACAGGGGCTGGCTGTATTCGGGACGATCGATGTGGTCCTCGTTACGGAGCTCATCTATCGAAACATTAGCAGCTGCGTGTTTTTGCTCAGAAGCTAGGCATCCGCCTACCAAATATCGACCATGTACATCCCAGACCCCGGTATATTTCATCGATCCGGAGAATGGTCTCCTCGAAAAGAGGATACTGGAGCAGATCAAGACCCATGTCAACATACTGTGCCCCCTGGCCGGTAAAAACAAACGCTATGCCAGTTTCGGTCGGGCTTCGTGTTGGTTTGGAGGTCGCTAGACGCACGTCCTGACCCGCAGGCCCATCGTTGACAACAGCGAAGGCCTTCCAGAGCATATTACTTCTCCGGGTAGCCAGGGTGAACGCGAGATCGTCGAGCTTGCTTAGGCTACCCAAGATTTCGTCTTTGTAGAAGGTCTGGTATTGGTCGATCACGCGTCTAAGCGCCTTCTCGTCCGCAGCGGACCACACCAGGAGCCTGCTCGTAGGTCCACGGTGATGGAACCCATTCGTGCCATTCGTTCCACTCGTTCCATTTGTCCCGTTAGTACCGTTGGGCTTCCCATTGGTGGCGTGAGCTTCACCGTTGGTTTTAATAGCACCATTTGTATGCGAGGCTCCATTAGTCCCATTGAGATGAGGTGAGTATTTTGATCCCGAGGCTGACGCGATCGTGCAGTGGTTCCCGATCAGTCTCTTGTCCTGCAAGTAATGAAGGGCATCATCCAGAATAACATGGACGTTGGTTCCGCCAAACCCAAATGAGTTTACCGATATACGCCTCACGCCTTCACTCGGCCAGGGGATATTCTCGGTAGGGATCTTGGCTCCCGTCAGCGACACCCACCAAAAAAAAAACCCCCCTGATTGGAGTGGCCTACCTTGGTGTGGTAAAAGTCGGCGTCAATCTTGGGGTTGATTTTCTCGAAGTTAGCATTAGGAGGAATAATTCCCTTCTCAAGGATCACTACAGCACGATGCGTCAGTATCGACCGAAGACGACGGGAAACAGCGAAAGCAGCCAGAGGGATATTTACGAATAGACTTAAGCACGCCGGCTAAGCCACTACAGCCTTCAAGATGGCCAATATTCGCTTTAACAGAACCGCTGAAGAGGGCTGTCAGAAAATGCAACTTGTTAAGAGTTCCCGGGTTTGGACTTACACATAAAGAGGCTCCTCGTTAGACCGGCTTGTTCGGAAGACCTTGCCTATAGCTTTCATCTCAATGGGATCGCCAACAGGCGTTCCGGTTCCTTTGTTGAATCGCCATCATCAGCAGCGTGCACGAGGCCGAATTCGACCAGGGGTCGCCATCCTCACGACTTACCGTGCGCCTCGAAGTACCGAGTCACGTCAAAAGGTAAGTTAGCCTTCTTGTAAACGTGGCGAATCAAGTCCTCCTGTGCCTGGGGACTTGGCTGGGTTAGTGCTGGCGAATGGCCGTCTTGGTTGGAACCGGTGGATCTGATGACGGCCCGAATCATGTCCCCATCCCGCACGGCTTCCAGGAGTGGCTTGATGACGAGAGCGACGATTCCCTCGCCACGAGCGTACCCATTGGCACGATGGTCGAAGCTATAACATAGACTGTCTGGAGACAAGAAATTGAATGCAGACAGGAGCTGATAGATGGTGGGACCCAGAATCAGGTTCGACCCGGTGATAAGGGCCTTTTTTTTACAAGGACTATTAGCTGGCCTGTAGTAAGACGACGAGTCGGGTGGGGTCGCCTGGGTTCACTTACAGAAGAAGCCTCTCCATTCTGCACAGATTGGCATGCGAGATCGAGGGCCAGCAAGCTACTGGAGCAAGCCGTGTCTACGTGAGCACTCGGCCCGTGCAGGTCGAAGTACCAGCTCACCCGGTTGGGCGTAATCGAGCCAAAAGTTCCCGTTACCGCCGTCCGGGGTACGCTGTCGGGGTCCTGCGCCATCATACGTTTGTAGTCATCGGTCATGGAGGCAGAGAAAACTCCACATTGCGAGCCCCTGAGCCGTTCTACTGGGATTCCAGCTGTGGAGAGTCCATTAGCATCACGGCATATCACAGCCTTATTTAAATGTGCTTACCATTTTCAAAGGCGTGGTATGATGCCTCCAGAGTCCATCTTTGCATCGGATCCATGGCCGCCGCCTCTTTGGGGGTCACGGAAAAGAACGGAGCGTCGAAGGCCCCGGGGTCCTCCGTTATGAAGTGTCCTCCCCGACATTGGACCTAAATATGTATATAAGAAAGTGAGGACGAAGCCAGAGTGGTTCTCACATACTTTTGCATCATTCCCTCCGAGAGCACCGGCCTTGATACGGGAGTCGGGCCAGTCCGTCATAAGGTTCCTTCGTGTCCGAAGTACTTCCCAGAAGCTTGAGATGTCGTTGACATCTTGCGGGAGCATGAAGGAGAATCCCACGACTGCGATATCTTTTTCCATGGTTGGTATTGTCTCCTGTACAATCCGTTAGAAGGGTCTCTGCCTAACGCAACACAGGCCTGGTACGAGAAAGAGAGAGGAGAGGGGGTGGGAGAAAAGGAGGAGGAGCCTGGGAAGCTGGGACCGAAAGATGATAATGTGGGTGGGATGGTATATTGATTTCGCAATTGCGACGACCTTCACGCCACGACGCAGTCATTTATATGGGATTCCGAACTATTTAAACAAATATCGTTCAAGATTCCCACGACGAGCCGGAATCATCCGACGGGGCCCGCCATTGCTACGCGTACGTGGTCGAGAACATGGAGATTCACGATGGAATCATCATCCCGCAGGACCAGATAGCAAGGATAATCAAGAAAGGGAAGGGGGATACATGACGACACTGTGAGGTCCAAGGCACAGCGCTAATTCAGTCGAGAGAAGAGAGCCATGATACAGCCGCTCCATGGCAGTAGGCAACTAGGGTCTTAGCGAATCCGGCATTGCAGCCGAGTTGCAGAAAATTGAACTTGGACGACATCGATAGCAGCTAGTGGAGTTGTCAACATGTAAGTCTGTGTCATGTGGGCTACCGGTGACGCTGGCCTAACCGAGCACTCACCTCCAGGCTGTGTCGGCAGCACGGGTAAGCTACTACGAGGCTTCATCAGGAAGCCAGAGTTGAAGTTGTATTGCAGGCAGGTCAGCTAGGTTCGCTGCAAACCTCGCCTCCCCACGGTCCCGCTGGACAGGACCCCTCCTGAGTCTCCTCTATGTACGTCATGTAGTCTAGACCGGAGAGGACCCAACCCTTTAGCGGAAGGTCGATAGTTCGTGAGTCTCGACACTTATCGTCCGAGTGGCTGCGGTAGTTAGGGCAGGAGCTGGAATCCTAACCAGGGTAGCTTCTGAAGTACGCAAATCACGTAAGCATCGTTCAGCACCGGTATGGATATCCGCCTGTTTCCAGGATAGTGCGGAAAAGGACCTCACCTGGAGGCCGGGGCGAACCCCGTTTGCCTGATGCCATATACATATACATAGTACGGTCCCGGGAGGGAAGGGGGGTTAGGGGAGGGAGGGAGGGGCTACGGTAGACGAGAGATCCATCGAGGCCCATATGATCCTCAGCCGACGGGACAGAGACGTTACATCCCTCGCTGGCAGGAAGAGGAGGGCTGTTGAGGTCCTTTCCGCCGCAGAGGGCTCCTGACTATCTGCCCACGGCAATGGTAGAGAAAAAGACCATCCAGGGGTTCGATTTCGAGTCATCCGGCGGGATAAACATGTTGAGGGTATGTATTGTGGTACGTTCAGGATTTGCAATCTACGACACTTGGGCATGGTAAATCATTGTGGCGTGCGTATGCTCCGGTGGCCCAGGTGGATGATATACATGGATAGATACGAAGCGTATACATACGCGGCAAAGATCAAGGCGCTACCGGGGTCGGTGTGTGTGTTCTGTTCGCCGACTTGGAAATTATACGACTTTTGTGTAGTTCAACTTGCACATCAGTCAGTCCCCTCGACGGAACGAGAAAAGCGCGCCGAGCCATTTCTAGGAGCATTACCGGTTGCGGTAAAAGACAGGGTAGCTCTGGCCGCGGGGACGACATACGCACCCGAGAGCCAGGTTTACCGAGCTCGCAGCGGTTGTGATGGTCTTGAAACCGGACTGCGCATCCGACGACGAAGAATCTCCATGCAAGGTCCGACGCGACCGTCCCTGACGCAGAGGTCAGAATTCTTCAACGGTAACGCGGAATGACGAGAGGGGTGAGTCTGGAAGAATTGAGGCTGCCTGCAGGGACGACAGCGCCGCTTGTCGCCCTGACATAGTATACATAGTCGACATGGGCGTCGGTAGGGGAAGCAAATAGAGACTGTTACGTGCCGAGCTTGGCGCGAGCAGGGGGAGAGATCCCGCCTTCGTCCCAAAACACGGCGATGAAGAATTTCGCTTAGGGATTGACGTCCCGACGGTCTGTACCAGCCCTATCAGCTACATGACAAAGTGGCATAGAGCTTCGGGCCTGGAACCGCAGCAAAGACGATCTCGCTGCTGTCGCATATGTGTATATGGGGCCTCTCTCTGCATAACCCCCACAGGCGAACCTGGCTTGGGATCTACATACGTGTCTAGCTATCAGGAACACCAGCCAGGGAAGAAGGGGGGAGACGACCTACGTAGTCGGTGGAGATGTGGGTGGGTGGGTGAATGAAGCATGTACATGCAGACAGATGGGCGTATTACACACGGGTTTCGAGGGAGAGGACAAGGACGAGGACGAGGATGAAGACGAGGAGAGCAACGCCTAACAACAAGGATGGCTTTGTTTCTCTCCGCTTAGAAGCTCTCAGTAGGGTATAGACGGACGCAGGGAGCTATGTAGATGCTTGCACGTCATGCATACCTACCTACCTACATAGTCATAGTCATAGTGGTAGTCATAGCCACGGCGATATCCATCGGAACGTATTATAATACGACCCGGATGTGTAGTAAACAGCAGCAGCAACGGCTTGTCCGTTGCCCATACCGTATGATTGGCGTGCGTGCAGCCGGCTCGCTACAATGCTGGGCAGAGCCATCTAACTCATACGCACCTACACCCTCGCAATCATAGCCCTCACAGCCGGATCCCCTCGACGCGGGTTCCGCTCCTGGTACGTCGTGGGTTGGCCAGGGCCACGATGTGCGCAGCAGCAGCAGCAGGCCGCGTGTGCAACGCGCATCGTTAAACGAGGAATATCGTTATCGCGAACTCCGCGACAAGGAGGTTGCTCGCCTATATTCAATGAGGAAATGATTGGCTCCGCGAGCCGCACAACCAAGTTGCGAGCGTCGTTATGCTTGATCGGCTCTAGGGTCCAGGCGCCTGGGTGGGAGTTATGCCGCTTGTGTGCATTACTTGCATAGCCGTGCATTGTGGCTGGCGCCCGGCAGCACCGCGTATGCACATATGCGTATACGGATATGCGTGTATGCCGGTATAGGCAAGTAAATGAATGACGGAGAGCGAACGCGAACATAACCACCACGTACACATCATCACCACTATCTGTCTGCCTGTCTGTCTCGACCTGCCCTACTCGACGCACACGTACAGATTGGGCATCTTCGGCTCTTCTCGTACGCGCCAGCTCCGAAGATGCCCAAGCTGCCGCTGTCTCTCCCTAGCCCCGTGCCAGGGAGGGGAGCTATTCTTATTAAGGGGTAGCTGTCGGCGGGCGGGAGCGCTTCCTGCGCTACGCCTCGACTCAAACATAAGCCCGAGACCAGGGAGGGCCAAGTCGGACTGCCATATCCTCCTCGTCTCCGCCACCATACGATGGAATCCCCTGAAATCGCCTAAGCGTGCTGTCCGTGCGGCTACAAAGATCTGCACCAGGCTCTCTGCCAGGTCCGTAAGTCGCGCAACGGCTCCGTACTGTGTACAGACATACGTAGCTGCGTACGCGCACTAGTATGTGCTATGTGGGTATATGTACTATGTGGGTGGTGGCCCGCGTCTGGGGGGCTTGGGTCCGCCTTGGGGCTGCCGCTGTCTTCTTCCTCTCCCATAGCCAAGCCGCCTGTTGTGTTTTCGAGACCGGTCCTTAGCCTTAGCGGCATATGAGACGGGATAACTTCTACGCAAGGACGACCCGAAATCGATCTGAAGTCTGATCATATGTCGAGGCTGTAGTTTCTATAACCGCCTCTATCCTTACGCGCGCATATGCAGGGTTTTCTATGTATACTTATATTTGTGCCTTTTTACCTATGAGTACATATCAGGCGGAACAGGGGCGTGTAGAGAAGGTGATGACTTCGTTTTCCCTGCGGAGAGAAGAGGCTTTTTGCCATAGAGATGAATCACATCCACTTGCTGTATGTACGTAAACCGTTCACCCCCCCCCCCCTCTCCGCTATCACAATTAACTTCTGATTTGTGACGAAGCACTTTCGGCAGTTGGGTAGAGACCAAAGGCCGCGAGCTTCAACCAATAACTGCTTAGTGGGTATGCATACAGGAGCTCACCAGTCTGCTTCCTAGGCGATCTAATCGGCCGACTGGCGGTGCGTATGGAAATTAGCCATTCCCATACAGGCCCAGGCACGTAGACAGCAAAAAACCAGATTCACGTTATTGGCCAGCAGGTATGGAGGAGTGATCTCCGTGAAAAAGTGGGAGAGAGAAGGTTAGGATATGGGGTGGTAGGAAAGGTGAGTCCCGACGAACCATCCACCGTAACCTCGGTTTTCACCCCAGCTTACCCTGCCCCGAACGGGGAATTTGCTTCGATCACATCCAGGAGAATTCCAGAAGGGCTTCCCCCCCCGTCTCACGTACCCTGAGTGCCCCTGAAAAGCGCCGTCGGCCGGAATACGATCCGCCCTGTCACTTAGCTTATCGGTGCCTGAAGTGCCTCCTACGTGCATACGCAGCATACCCCCCCGGTTCTTCGACTAGGCCGTGTAAGATGGGTAATCTCTTTGGCACCATCCCTAGCGCACCCTTCACCTATGGGGTGTTCACAACGACGAAGGCTGGCGTTACCTGGGTACCTGCACACACACTATCACAACAAAATGGTCCCACAGGATGGTGGGATGGTGGATTCGGGGGCGGGCGATGCTACGGTGACAACGCTGACCTTGGCACAGGGTATCACGTGATCACCCCGAGCCTGGTGCGCTGCGTCCTGCGTATGTAGGTATGTTATTTGCCCCAGTCACCGGCCGGATGAGAAGCCGAAGTTGGTAAACGAGGGATAGAGCGTTTCCTTCGCGATGGATGGACTCATACGTGGGGGGGGACGTTCGTTACTTATCACACGGTGCAGAACAGGTGATGCCCACTACAAGCCGTGAACCCAGACCCGGTAATACCATGAAGAAACGTTGAAGAGAGCTACGATAAACTACCCAAGGACCCTCCCCCATTGCCCACGGGCCGTTCCGCCTCTAAACATCCAGTCTCTACGTAGTACGTAGAGCTCAGTCTGGTTTTCAAAATACCACTTCAAATCTGCCGTAATACCGGAAAGTTTGCACGCAACTTATAAGCGGAATTATTATCTGGTTAAGGATAATCCCAGCGGATAAAGAGACCGAGCCGTTGCCCCCTGGACACCGCCGCTCTTGTGTACATTCTTAGACTGATCCATATAGATTGCGCTATAATTGCTAAGACCCCAGTAGTCTAGCTTTTCCCTCGTAGTAGCTAGCACTCGGCGTCTGTGTGGAGCCGGAGTTTTTACCGCTCACTTCCACTTCCCTTACTATTGTCACGGTCACTTAATTCGCTCTTTTCCGAACTTCACTCCTCGGCACCAGTCGATATGCTAACTGCTTGTAGTGTCACTATTGTGTCCTAGTGTCGAGTATTGACGTGTTCTATGCACTCGTGGGGGAGAGGGGGCACGGAGGGGCGAAGGGGGATGGAGGGCTAGACGTTACGCAGTCCCGTTCGAACTGCTTGACCCGATCACAGCGGGAGATATGAGACCTCGAAGACGACTTTGCAGTGAACTCCATTATGAAACAAGAGCTACACGGACGAGCGGTTTCTAAACTGGCTTCTCGCTATAGATACACCGTCCACGTATGATGGTGGGTTAGGGGGGGGCCGCTGGGGGGACAGCATCGTGTAAGCTGCCAAACTTCATATTTCAACCTAGCGGAGCCGGACCGAATGGACTTTGGTGGATAGACCTAGAGAATATGCATACGATGCAGATCATAAACACGAAGACCAGTCCTAAGTATGCCAGCAACGTCAAACACCAGTATGGGTCAGCTGATCAAGAGGGGGAGGGGGACACGTAAGTCGTTGTCTCATCAATGTCAATATTAAATATTCAAGTTCTGTGATACACATTCCCGGCTACCTTGTCCCTATCGCATGGGTACCCCTAGCCTTTTAATTTTTTTTTTTTAAAGCGAAGACATCGCGCGGCCGAACGCGGGTATACCGGACCAAATAAATAGTTAAAAAGGATTCCTGAGCTATACGTAGGCGAGACAAATCCGTTACATCTCGCGTCGCGTTCGGACGAATTACACCCGATTCTGATCCCGCCAGTAGTCATTGTGACCCAGCACCTTGCCCTGGGCATCGCTGGCATATTCCTGCTCGACGGTAACGCGGGTAGTGCGGACGATCCCGGCCTCGTGCTTATCGTCGTCTCGAAGCTGTTCGGTCGACTCCGACGCCTGGAGATCCTTCATCGGAACCCCGAACTCGTCAATCTTCCGGTAAGTGCTGGTCGGGTTGGAGGATGCCGTGGTACCCTTGGTGTTGCTCTTCAGTGTCGTGTTTTTCAATCCCACCACTGACTTCAGTCCCTTCTTCATCGCGGCGAGAGCTCCCGTCTCCTTAAGAATCTTCGGCATCGAGGGCAGACACGCAACGATAAAGCCGCAAGTCAATTCTGCTGTGGCCCAGAAGAGCACGGATCCTCCGACATATGACACGTCCACGACACTGGTGTAAGACAACGTAACGGATAGTCGGAAAGCCGCCGAGATGCAAGCCCTGCATAGACCGTCAGTAACTGAGCCTCACTCCGGGGCAGTGGGCGGGGAAGGGCCAGACCACTCGAGATGACTTACAGCAGACCCAGAGAGAAGAAGACGGAAACACCGAATCTGTTCCTCAGCGACATCTGCAAGCTCCAGATGACCTTCTGAGGGAGGATCAACATTAGGACATCCGAGGTAAGATGAACCGCAGCCGCGGCAACCTCGACATCACCCTTCACAATGCATTTCCCCGGCAGCGTGAAATCCCAGATCTTCTCGTACGGGATGCAGACGAAGCATAGGGCGAACGGAAATGCGATAAGGACCATAGACTGCATGGCCATCAGGGCATAGCAGCACCACATGAAGGCGTTCCTCGTGCCGCGAGGGACCAGCAGCCGGACCCACTCCTTCAAGATGGCCATCTTGATAAGTGGCAGGCCAATCGAATAGAGGACGCCGGCATAATGGGCATACTACGCAGGGTTAGCTACCGCCGCCCAACCATGGCCCAAGTATAGGGGATCCTTACAAACGCAAGCGTAATCATGTCCCTCAGCCGGAGATCCCATTGATGAACAAAATACCCGATGTTCGCGGCGAACAGGTACGTAAATGTGATCCATCCCAGGAAGATTCCCTAACAGAGGTCAACGGCTGTTCGTGGGATGTAGGATAGCTAGATAGACAAACATATGTGACGAAAATCATGCCTAGGGTGAACACGCATTAGCCGAGGTCTCTAACCGACGTGGGAATGAGAGACACACAATCTTCAATGTTCACCTTGCCATAGAGAACTATCTTGGCATAGCCGCGAATGAGAAGACATATCGTGGCGATAGCCGTGCACAAGGTGAGAACGGCGTAACCTAGCCCGTTGTTGTTCGGGGGATTATCAAACTGGGGGGTGACGCCGTCGGGAGGCGCGAGGGCCGGCCCGTTCAGCAGCGCCTCTTGCTGTTCCTTGGGGAGTAAGGGGATCAGATCCATTATCGCTATACCGTCGTCGTCGTGACCGTCGTAAAAAGGAATGAATGACTCCGGGCCCCGTCCTGCGAGGGTAACTCTAGATCATTTATATAGAACAGACCGGAGTTGGTTTGGGTCGAGTAAGGGGCTGGCGATCAATACTCGCTGGTTTTGTTGTTCGATGCAGAGATATATAGAACCACAGGAAGAAACCATGGGTTGATGTGCTAGTGGCATGCCAGGGGGGTTTTGCACGCCATGGTAGAAACGGCTCTGTACATGGAAGAAGACAGCACCCCGCAGGATATTCTATATGTATACGACGTCGTGCAAAAATTTTCCCAACGTCTTGTCCTTTTCGCCATCGGTATGCTAGATTCGGAGGAGCACTGAGAGGCTCGTGCCAATGTGATCAATCCCCAAAAAGAGACAGGCCCCTTGTCTGATGCAAGCAGTTATAGCCTGAACTGAGAGGCATTTCCCCCTGGCAGTAGTGCGGTAGGGTTAAATCTCCTGAGCTATCATGTACATACATGCCATACATAGTATGTACTGCGAATACGGGGTCTGCTGGGCAAGCATCTGATCCTCTCCAAGCTGGTGGCGTCGAGTCCCCGATCAATGGGCCTCAGATGCCCCGGGCACTTCATTTCTCCACGGTACCTTGGCCCGGGTAGCGAGGTGGAAGGTAATCAAAGGGCATGAGACTCCCAATACCCAAAATGCGTTATGCGTACATAAGCGAACCACTGCATATAACAGCAGGGGTGTGGCTGCGTATGCCTTGTCTATGCAAGCCTGGGCCCTCATGGGTAATATTCCCGATTATCGTAACTGGAAGCCCAGTTGCGCCATGTCGGCCCTGCAAAGCTCTCTCCAAACGCATGATCATTGACAACTGTATCCCCCAAAGAGCAAGTCTTAACGGCACATCTTACCTGCCAAGCCAACAACAAAAGTCGGTCCGGGGGGCTGGCCTTCTTGAATACTTCTCAGGATTCGTTCTCGAATCGGGACCCTGAGCCCTCGTTACCAAACTCGCAGAAAGACCATACATGCACACGGCAGGGTTCTACACCATACCATACCAACATCAAGGAGAAGACCGAAAAACTCCAGGATGAGGTGGTTATGCTTGCATGGAAGGGGGACGAGCGCAAAGGTATACCGTTTCCCCCCCCCCTCTCTCTATCTCTCTCTCTCTCTCTCTTTTTCGGAGGGGATGACTAATAAATGTCGAAAGATCTTCGAGATGCAAACCGGTATCCCGCCACCCTCCCTCGGGCCGTTGATACAACCTCGCGTCTTTGATTAACCGCTACGCATATAGCAAGGATTCGAGAAGCCCTGGGTCGAGATCACGAGTTTGTCTTTGTAGATGGCACTGTGTCGACGGAGCCAGACACCGGTATGCGTCTGCGTCGTAAAATCATCGCACACACGATCGAGTTCAAAGCTAATCAGATATTTGTATAGGGGCCGAAGCCATCGCCGATGAGTTCTTCGGGTACGTTGCACATAACGTGGACCAGGACCGAGAACTATGCGATAGCATGATAAACCTCGTGGAGAGCCAGGGACCGTTCGATGGTCTCATGGGGTTCTCTGAGGGCGGTACCGTTGCGGCCATGATGCTTGTCGAAAACACAAGACACGGCTCGTTTAGCGGTATCAAGTGCGCAGTCTTGTTCTGCGCTGCACCGCCGTTCGACCCTGACCTTGCCAGAACGGGCGAAATTAGGTCTGTTGATCTGGACACAGACGGGGTTCTGGTAAACCTCCCGACTGCCCATGTCTGGTCCCAGACAGCTGGAGAGGATGAGATTAGAGCCCACCAGGCCTTGACCCAGATTTGCGATGCGAGTGTCAGGGAGGTGTTTCTTCATAATTTGGGCCACGATGTGCCTGGGGCAAAGTCGGAGGAGGGACTGGCCGGGACGCTCCGAGTAATTGAGCATGTCATCGAGCTTGCGATGGGGGACGCCTAGCAGCCACGCATATGACAGAGCACACGTACATACATACCGTACACCTCAGTCTGTATCTGCGTTTCTGCGTCTCGAAAGGGGCCTGTGGTCTTGTTGGTGAATTCTCCTCCATCCTGGACCATGACCTGGCTTATCGTCACCGCCGGGCCCGGTGGATGTATTGAGATTTGAAACTGCAGGGCCATCAGTCAGTAATACTACGTCTCCGGTCGACCACGAGAGAAAAAACGGATTTCTGTCCCAAGAAAAGAAAAAACCCGGGTGTGGTTCTAGTCATACCTGACCAACCCGGCACGGAGCCCCTGTCCGTGGTCGTATGCAGCTAAACAAGATGGGAAGAGGGATTCTATATACTAGCTGGGGTACCGTCATCAACATAGTTACGCAGCATGTGAGAGAAATGAAGGAAAGATGACAGACTTCTGTCCCAAATGAGAAGCAAGCGAGGATATATCGATTCTCAACATGCAGCAAGTGGGAATAGTGTAGTCTACTAGATGTCTTGCCTTACCTGACGGAAAATAGGGGACGATAGTCGATTTAGCGAACTGGCGGGAGTGGAGTGGGGGGGGAGGGGGGTGAATATTAGGCTGAGCCTGCATCCTACGCCCTTGAGATGATATTACCTATATCGCCAAGGAACCCCCAGATGTCGAAACAACGAAATCTTTATCACGTCAACAAACCCAGAGCTAGAGACTTGCCAGTGAGCGAAGAGATGATGCTCAGATCGAGTGGAAGCCCCCGGGAAACCATAAGAAACGTCTCAGCTCCTATCTATAGCCTGACTATGCCTTGACATATCACCACAGGGGTGAAAAGGATAAAGCGGCCAGCGGCCAGCAGCCCCCCGCGCAGCCAATGAAGGTAGTTGAACCGAGGTCAGGTTGCAATGCAGCATCGAGCATGCGTGCGTATGTAGGTAGAGAGCCCCTGAGCGGTATACTTGTCGTACCTGGGCTTCGGGCTCACATGGTTAGGATTCGCATAGTTTCTCTAGCTTCACCAAACTCGCTGCCTGCTGTTTTCGGAGCTCCCTTGAGGGTTCTCACCGCATCCAGGTTACCAAAATTCAAGCACCCCTACACACCACTTGCCCCCTTACCAAACTACTACGATATTAAAGATTACATTCATTAGATAATATGATTTTATAACTTAAATACCAGCTTATAAACATTTACATAAACTTTTATTATCAGTGTGGAAATACATTATTATACTTACCAAAGTATATAAAAATATTAAAAAAATATTTTATGTTAGTATTCTATTTTATAAATAGAAATTAGCTATCTTTCTAAAATATCTCATTATTTAGGGTATTTATTCGTTATTGATTTTAAAAATAGTCCTATATAAATATATTTAAGCATACTAATTCACCCTTACTTTACCGTTATGTGGTCCTAGAAATCCAAGTTACATTCGTCCTTGTACACGATACCTGTTCGTGATGTAGTGTCTGCTATAGGAAGTGAAGGGGGTAAACGGTGAGGGGTGTTTGGACTTGTCGCCCTTGGTGGCACCCGGTCGAAAACTCGCTGCTGGCCTTTACTGTATGTGTATATATTTCTGTCTGATATCTAGTTGTTAGCTCCCTCGGCTCGCCATTCTCCTCAGTGAGCTCCCTCAAGACTACCTCAATATCGCTGTCGCCATCCATCCTACTTGTCAACCTAGTAACTATGCCGAAGGTCGAGGAATACAACCTCCATCCCTGGGGCTACGAAAATGGCCCCGAGGAGAGGACGGCGAGGCTGTCCACGCTTGACTACCTAGCTGCCTGCACGTACAATAACTATACCCTTTTCTTCAAATTGGATGACGGGGCGGACAGGGCCAAGATTGCTTCTATATTGAAGGAAGGCCTTGAGCGGACTCTCGCCCAAGCTTGGCATCTTGTTGGGACGATCGAGAAGAACGAAGACGGTGGCCACTCGTTCGTCAACAAGAAGGACAGCACTGTTGGCTTCGTCGTCCAGTATCTCGACACGCCAGAAGACGACTACCCCTCTTTCTCGGACCTCGAGAAGGGACACTTCACTACGGCCAGCCTGGGAGACAAGATCCAGACCTTTAGCTGGCATGGGCTCACCTACGGGGAGAGGCCTGAGTGCCACCCGAATACAAGTCCATTCCTCTCCGCCTTCCAGGCGAACTTCATCCGTGGCGGTCTGGTTTTCAACATGCATTCCCACCACTATGCGAATGATGCCATGGGCTGGTCCCATTTCACCCACCAGCTCGCTGATAACTGTGCTGCTATCGCCAAGGGGACCCCGGCCCCGGCCTGGGATCCAGAGGCTGTTGAGCACACCCGATTCATCGCACCGGACGTCCCCGAAGAATCCAAGGTCGACGGCCCGGTCGCTGCCGAGCGGTACCCCCACCCACCGTTCTCTTCGCTTCTGTTCCACTTGCCCAAGAGCAAGGCTGAGGAGCTGAAGAACAGCGCCGCCCCTAGCGACGGCTCCTGGATCTCAACCTACGACGCCTTCTCTGCCTTCCTGTGGCGGCACTTGTCGAAACATCGCGCCGCCTACCACAAGTCGGACCTTTCTTCATCGACCTTATGGGGCGAGGCTGTTAACATGCGGCCCCGACTCACCAACCCCAGTGCGCCGACGAGGATGCAAAGGAACGTCTTCTTCGCGGCCACAACGGCCACGGCGCCGCAAAAGTTCACCACTAGCGAGGTGATCTCAGAGGCTCCACTAACCAAGCTCGCAACCTATATCCGCGGTCTCACCAACGGCGTAACTGACGCCGTCTTGGCCGCAACCTTGGCGGCGGTGGCACCGATTCGTGACAAGTCGTCGCTCTTCATTCGCGTCGACTCCTTCCCGCCCTTAAGCGTCCTTATGACCGACTGGCGTGATGCTAAGGTTGTCGAGGACGACTTCGGATTCGGACAGCCGGTGGCCTTCCGCCATCTCTTCGCCGGCAAGATAGACGAGGGGCTGGTCATCATCTATCCGCCTCGCAGGACCGGCAACCCCGATGAGGGATTCGAGTTCATGATCCCCTTCGAGAAGGAGATTGCCGACAATTTGATCAAGGATCCGGAGTTCGGGGAGTTCTTCGAATTCAGGGGTTACGAGACCAAGGTGGCAGCATAGATTCCCTGATCCTTGGATAAGGACGATATAGGAGGTTGTGGCAGGCCCATAGAGTCTTTAGATCAATATTACAAGAAGTTAAGAATACTCGTTGTGTGAACTTTTACGTGAAATGTGTGTTATGGGATCAGGGCCGTCACCAAGGCCCAGAATCCTCTCTGTCGAGCAAGGTCCCTATTACCCCGGGTCCCGATCTGGGAGTTGATTCCTCGATCCCTCGGATCGTAGTCTCGATAGTACCAAGACGTCTGCCATCCCTCTGACTTTCCAATTTCAGCCGTGCCGACAGCACATACAGCACCAAGCATCGGCCAATCCGGCTATATGTTACCAGACCGCGTGAAACGTCCCGTACTCCAACAGTGCCATTTTCTCCTCTCACTTTCCTCTTTGTCCCATGTTCTCCGAATATTTCTCCTCCGAACGCCTCAATACTACGCTCTACGGGTGACAGGAGAGCCTACTGGTGCTCGCGAAGACGGACAGCGCCTCCATCCCCGCCGTAGATAGACATCGATTCATCATGTACGCGGGACATCGAGATACGGGCATACATAGGTACTCGAATACAGACGTACGTGTGTACGTCGGTAGAGAATATCCACGATGGGAATGATCCGTCCCCGAATTCTGTACTTACACTGTGGACCCAGCGGGTCCGAGATATAGACATGGGTTAGGATTAGCACTGCTACGATACTAATACCAACAACCAAGGACAGTTGCGTGATGTGGACCCAGCCTATCCCTCCTGTCTTCCACCCCCCCTCACCTCCCCTTTTCCCTACCCGAACGGCTGGGGTTGGGGTTGGGTGCCATATCGGGGCATTGGCTTACGCCACCGCCAGTTCGTAGAGAGCAACACCTCAGACGAGTATCTCTCTTCCCATGGATTCTGGCGCCAAAAGCCCACTCGAACACCCTGATGCCGAGCGCAAGTAGCGATCCCACCCGGGATGTCACCCTATATGTTCCCTATAATATCCAGTCATATCCAATAACCATCCTCGCAGCTTGCCGACCGGACCATCCGTCCCGTTCCGGTTCCCAAGAGTCTTGAGAGGTAGCAACTGTTCCGATTATACGAACTCGGCGAGAGATGCATAAGGGTGAAAATAAGCGAACGCGCGATTCCGAAAGGGGTTGTTTATGTAGGTATGCTTGTGGTAGTTGTCTTATACTCCAGCGGCCATACCGTGTACTTGGGCCCAAATATTCGTGGACAACCCTACCCCGACGCATCGAATGTCTCGAGAAGCCTGCGCACGCGAGTGGAAGGGAGCGACACGACAATCGAGGACCCTAGCCGCTCCTCCGCGATGATCATTCAATGCATACTCTGTAGGCATGTATGCAGGATCGATGTGATAGTCGTGGTTCCAAAAATCAGGGGTCTGCTCGCCGACGATGGGGAAATGAATCGTGGTCAGGATAGAGTGGTGCCGGCCTGATGGGTCTGCTGGGGAATTCACACAGCAAAAGGCAGCGCCTTGACTGCTAGACGGCCTTAGACACGACATCATTCTGCAAGACTGCCCATCAGGCGCTCAGGACGTTTGGCCCCGTCTTCGTACCTCGCATCGCAGTCAGACCCGTCTGACCAAGTACCGTCTCCTCTACGATTGGGTCTAACGCACCGGATCAGCACCTTATCGAAACGGCGGGTTTAAAAAAAGAAGGGGACACGCGCTGTCAAGAAAGGAGAACACACACACAGACACACACACAGACAATATCGGCATATACCCCAGAGGGAAAGGGAGAATATAGGTACCACGTACGCACGCACGTACTATGGCAAGACTCTGGGGCCCGACACTATGTGAGCTACGACACTTCCGGCACTTCCGGCGGGCTTGCTAAGGGAAGCTATTCCTCAAGTATCCTAGGCGGCTCGAAGCCCCTAGGGATGACTTTATCGCGAAGCCTAGTTGCAAATATGAATACGGTGGCGGGAATCTTGCTGTGAGGACTTCGCGAATGAAGAAGAAAACTGGACGGATGGGCGACCTCACGTCCACTAGTTGCTGGCCGACGACGCGAAGTCCTGGTTCGCCGAATCCGAACTAAAGCATTGATTCATGCCCATTGCAGTATACGAATGGAAGATCCGAAGGCTAAGCCCAAGCGAGATCTTGTCAGGGGAACGGAACCCTCCTCTCCCTCCCCCCCTGGCAATTGGTGACAAGCATGCAATGTGTGTCGAATTCCCCGGTCGGTTGTGGCACAGAGGCGTTCTGCTGGCGGCGGAGATAATTCATACGCATACCTACCTGCGTCCCTAGATACATATGTGTGGGTGAAGAGCTGCATCGGAGATTGTCTCCATACCGCAGAGAGAGGAGTGCTCGGAATCGACACACACACACAGACGGATAGATATTAGATACACGGCATGCATATGTGCATATTGAATCAACCCCTGCCCTCACACCACACCGTACCGTCAGCCGTCTTTCTGTGTTTATGCCATTATGTCTGCTGGTACAGCCTTCATTCGGGATGCCTTCTATGAGTATAAGACTCATCGGTCGCCCTAGCCTGCCGTTTGAGCACTTTGCCATGCCTGCGACGACCCCCCACGCAGTGGTGGGAGCGGCCGCCGCTGCGCCCTAGGGGCCGTATCGGACGCGCTGATTAAGGATCTAGGGCGGAATGGTTTCATTTTAATTGCTCGTCGTTGAGTGAATAACGGATGCCGAACACTTGCCTGCCCGTCCGAACGCCTATCCTCCAAGCGGCTTGGTTGCTGCCTATCACATTCTCACCGCTGGGCTGGGCTCAGTTGAGGTCTCGACGTCTGCCAGGGATCGGATCTCGGGGGGGTTAGGATAGACGAGGACGAGAGGCGGGTTACGGTGCCGAAACCTTGGTCGTGTCACAATCCGCTATCGAGTCGTCGATCACGTTTGGGGCGGGAGGCAGTCCCGAAGGCTAGCTGCTCATTCTTTGGGAATAAATAAACGAGGCATTTTTTTTTTTGCCTGCTTTCTGGAAGGCTGAGTGCTGTAAAGAAGCAGGTCCATGGCCGAAGGAACACGAGTCCCCAGGCAGCCGCTCTAGCTAGAGAGATTACGGCGGCGAGACCGAACCGCTGGGCTGGATAATCATGTGTTAGTAAATGTCCACGGCATAGCGTGCGGCACAGCCTTTATTGAGCCATAAGGATGGAACGTTGTCGAGAAACTAGTAAGTAGCCGGCCTGGGCGACTTCAGTCACTATGGTCGATTCCCCAGCCAACTTGCTTCTAAACGCGTTGTCCAGAGCAAAAGACAGCTCAATCTGCGAGGGCGATAGGACCAGTAACTGCGAGCCACAATGAGCATGACTTGTTTTCCTACTTCACTCACACTTACTTACACCTACCTTAACGCCTAATCTCAGAGTAGGCGGCACAAATCGCGACGATCGAGTCCAGGGGCAAAGGCACCGGTTTATGTACGTTCAACTCGCCAGCATAGTGACAGAATGGGTTGACATTTGAATTGAAGAATAGATAATACAACATAAGTACTTTTACTTATCGAACACGTCATGAACACGTTATAACCCCCATCCTCCCGAGCAGCCCGTTGCCGCAAGGTTCCCTATATCCACGAGCCGACGAGCCCAGGGGGTGGCCCTGGGGCCAGGCCGAGCTGCCTGCGTGCACGTTAACGCGCGGGCGCGCGGCGGCGTCTATGTGTGGCCGATGAGGCCGGCCTTGGGGGCGTTGTCGGGGTTGAGGTCGGTGCCGGCGAAGCCGAGGGCGGCGTTCCAGGCGTCAGCGGTGGTGGCGTCCCTGGTGGCGGTGCCGAGCTGGGCCTGGGCGTCGCGGCAGGCGGCGACGGCGTCGTCGGCGGCGTCGCACACGTTGCCGAGCTGGTCGCAGATCCGGTTGAAGATGATGTTAGGGTTCAGCGCCTCCTGCTGGCCCCGGTTCACCACCGGGTCCTGCGCCTGGAACGTAAACTCGCCCGCCTTGCGCCCGTTCAGCGACTCCTCGAACTTCACCGTCGGCGTGCAGGTCCCGAAGTCGAGACCGAGCGACGACGCCTGGAAGCCCGCAAAGGTACCGGTCACCGGGTCATCGACCGCGCCGACGCCGTTGCCGACGCTGGCATTTCCGCCATTGTTGTTGTTGTTGTTCCCGTTGTTGTTGTTGCCATTGTTGTTTCCGTTGCCGGTAGCGGCAGTAGTGGTAGCGGCAGGGGCGGCGGTAGTGCTCGTGGTCCTCGATCCACACCCGTTGTTGTTATTGTTGTTGTTGTTACCGGCGTTGTTATTTCCGTTATTGTTGTTTCCGTTACCATTGTTGTTGTTGTTGTTGCCGTTCCCTCCAGCAGCAGCGCCGTTCACAGTGAAGTTCGAGAAGCCTTGGGCGATCATGACATCGGCAACGCTGAGCCCGTTGGCATCAAACGGATTTTGGAGAGAAGTCGCCGAGTTGGCGTTCTCGATGTCGGAGCCGCCGACAGCAGGATCAACTAGAGGAACAATACCGCGGAGCTCGGCGGTGGCAGGGAGACTGGCATCGCCGCAGATGTTGGGAATGCTGACGGCAAAGGGGTTGAAGTTCTGCTCGGCAGCAACAAGCTTCTGCGCCGCAGCAATGACCTGGGGATCGTTACCGAGAGTTTCAACAATCGTGTCGGCAAGGGTGAGCTTGTTGCACGGGTTGGCGGCGGCGAGCAGAACACCCGGGACCTGGCCGGCGAGAGTCGGGGCTTCGCCGGCGTTGCCGAAGTTGCCCAGGGCCTGGATATCGGCAACGGGGAGCTGCTCTTGGCCGAAACGGGCCTCAGCCACGGCCAGGATGGCCGAGATCAGAGTGGCCTTGGTATACATGACGAAGAAAAAGTACGAAGTTGGAGTCAAGCGACGGGTTGAAATTCTCTGAAAGAAGGTAAGTGCCGTTGACGAGTACTGTCTAGGGCAAAAAAGGACCGGCCGAGCGGTGCGTAAGGAATTAGAAGCAAAAAAAAATGAGGGATCTAGAACGAAAAAGTTCACAGAACTGGAAAGAAGTGGATATCAAAGAATGAACCGAAGCTTGATGGGAGGGAAGGGAGAAGAGACATCATGATGCGAGGCCTGGGGCAAAGCGATTATATAGATGGCATCGCAGGCGAGCTCGAAGACCAAAAGGGCGCGACAAGCCAGGATAGCTGATCCCGAGAGACTCACAACGTGGTTGACGAGCCCCTTCCGTGGGTCAGACTAAATCTTAGCATTGAGATCAGATGGCAGGCTAAGATGGTGTGGCATGGGCTTGACGTATTCGAAGCAGCCCAACCGCGATATCTTACTACCACGGATGCCGTGCTAAGTCCCCTCTAGTAGGGCATCCCTCTCATGCCAGTTGCCCTACGAAGCAACCGAACGATGGATGAACGGGCCGGTGATGAGCTTTCCCCCATCACCATCCCCTAGCAAGTTGATCCTCTCCCGCTCTCAGGTAGCAAGACAGCAGGGGTGGGGGGGAAGGAAATCTGGTAAACTCGTCACAGAAGCGCTGAAATGCTACTGCAGCCAGTGCGCTCAAACGCCCTCGATTGTTTCGCGTTGCCCGGTACCGTCAAGGAGAACTCTTTGGGCGGTTAGCAAGACGGTAAGTGTAATGACAGGAGAGACTCTTGAGGCACTTGGCACACGTCTGTGTCCGCACCTAAACGGTCCTGGGGAATGGGGTCGACAGGGGTCCGCAAGAGGTGTGGTGTTTTGCTGTGAGGCCTTTGCTTGATTGATGACGGCTTGTTGCCGTAGTCTCCCACGGATGCAGTCCAGTCCATGTAGTCAAGCTTAAAATATTCCAGCTGAGGCGCGATCGAGGCTACCCAGAGATCAGCTACCAGCTGGGGGGAGTTTTTTTTTTTTTTTTCCTTTCAAATCAACCCCATCACGATTCTCGCAGTCTCGGGTCACGATGCGCGCATGGGTCCGCGGATGGGTAATATGCGAGTTACTTAACCTAGGTGCGCCCGCAATATGGTCATTCTACTCCTTTGCCAAATCTCTTTCGCGGACGGAGGCGCGTATTCGGAAATTCGCAGACGGATTCCGCCCGAAGGGCTGCTACTTGGTAGGCGGCCTTGGACAGAGACGGCATGGCATCATGCCCGAACGAAGGAATGGGATACGGCCTCGGGCCACCAGTAGGCCGAGCGCACCCGCGGCGGTAACTGCGTTACTGCGTAGAACAGATGATGAAGGCTAGTCCTCCTTCGATATTGGCGCTGGCTTTGGATGGCAGCTTGGCCTCCCCTGACGGCGAGAAGAGCGAGAATGGCCATCGCCAGGCCCACTAACTTCCTCAAGTGATCCTCTCCAACCTCTTCTAGACCGCCGACAACCCCTGCGCCTGTCGCTTAGTCCATCCCGTGCTAGCGGACGATCAAACGGCTTCGTGAGGAGCCCCTGAGACGGGTTCAATACTCTCCGGGTTTGATCTACCAAGCTCTGGCCTTCGAGCGGGCTTCCGCCAGCACCGTAATTGGCGCACGAAGAGCGCAACGAACACAATGATATTACACCGTAAATATGTTCTCTCGCAGCCTTTCCACTCGCCTCCTATGCTTTCCGGTTCCAAGCTGGCGGTTCCAACACAATCAAGCGTCGAGCCAAGCCTGCCTCCAAGCTTGTCTCGAGCCCCCCTAGCAGATGTACATACCCCGGCGGCGGCAGTGGGCCTCGCATCATTGAGATTATTCGTTGCAAGGACCGGAATCCGGATGGACGACTACGCAGTAAGCTGGCTCGGAGGGATGATAGGGGAAATAACCAGATGAGAAATGTAACCTGGGGATAGGGGTCGCTAGATTGTCGATGCGACTTTAGATGACAAGCACGCGTTACGTATGTGTGTACCTAGGTAGGTATGGCAGTCCAAAACTTGCGCTGGGTATAATACCAAACCTACCGCGATCCTCGTGAAGAACTCTACAACCACGCCGTCGATCCTACAGGTATTATGTAGTCGAGGCATATTGACTCGATTTCCCTCGAAGGTGAGTTGATGCTCACATGGATCCGCGACGAACAGCCTCATGCGTTGATCATTGACGTGACGAGGTGACTCCGGCTTTCGTTTCATCCCATCTCGTCCCATCTCATCGATCACGCGTCTCCCCATACCGACAGGATCTTCGGGCACTGCCTGACGACGCCCTGGTGAGCGTTGCGTCGTCCGGCCCAGCGAAAGATCATACCGGATGATCATATTAGCCTCTCTGGAAGGGCTTCGGATTCTCAATGGGCGAAACCTTCCCCCCCCCTTCCTCTTTCCGCCCCTGTTTTTTTCTTTTCGTTCTTCGGTCCCGCATGGGATCGCGCGCCGACGAGATCGAATAATAAGATCAAAAATATAGCAATACAGCATCATCGTCATCTCTGGATTCATTGCAACTAATTACCAGGGCCAACTCGTCGAGCAATTCATCGTGCACCGGCCCCCACCCACCTCGACGATCCCCGTATTAGCCCTCTCTGGATGACTTGCAGATATGCAAAGCGAGCTAAGGCGTATGGGCGGTTTCAATGCCACATTACCATTACCATAACCGCCGTCGAGGCCGAATACATGGAAAATTGATTGCGTGCAGGCAAGCAGAGAAAGAAGAACAGCCGACATCGTTAAGGGAGAAGCATGTATCCATAAATCATCAAGATGCATCAGCCGCCCCTCGAAGCCTCGAGAATGCGGCCGCGTCTTCTACCGCCTGACAAAACCGTTCAATCTGCGCCATGTAGGTGAGAATACGAGGTGGAGATACTTTTGCGACACCATGACAGAAGAAAAAGAGGAAGGGAAAAGAGGGAAAAGAACAATCCATACAGGAAAGAAAAAACGTCGTGCCAACAGCTCAGTTCTTATACATAGGTAGGTAACATGCGCCCGCCTCTTACCCGACTGCAAACGGCGTATCAGACGGCGCCCTCGATCGGCTCGTAGCTGTCCCTCACGACCGGCGGCGGGGGGTTGAAGATGGGCACGGTCTCGATGGCGCGGGGCCCGCTGACGGGGCGCCTCTTGATCTGGGCCTCGGGCTCGCCGGCGCGGAGGCGGCGGACGAGGTGGTCGGGGTCGAAGTCGACACCCCAGGGGTTGGCGGCGTAGTCGGGGCCGAGCATGAAGGCGGTGGCGGCGGCGGGGTCGTCGAAGTTGTCGACCTGGGTCTCGAGCAGGTTGCCGTCGGGGTCCTGGTAGTAGAGGCTCGTGGTCGGGCCGTGGTTCGTGCTCCACACCGGCACCATGCCGCGCGCCCGCCGCTGCACGTACGCCGCCGCCAGCTCCGCCAGCCCCCCGAACCCGAACGCGATGTGCTCCAGCCCCGCGCTCCCGCGCACCTTCTCCCCGCACCCCGGCACCGCCGCGATTGCGATCCGGTGGTGCTCCGAGTCGTACGTCAGGAACGCGATCACCGGCGTCCGCACCACCACGTGCGCCCCCAGGAACGCCGTGTAGAACGCTACCATCGCCTCGTAGCGCGGCGTCCGCAGCACCACGTGCGCCATCCGCGACGGCGAGATGACCTTGCCGGTCACGTTCACTTCGGCCATCTTTGGGGTCATCCTCGCGGTCCCGAGGTGTTTTCTGTTTTATTTATTTTCCGATGGAGATGAGAATGCGTTTACTAGAAGGTAGATATGCCCAGGCAGAAATTCCAAGCTCGTAATGGATGAATAAACGCCGTCAGGTCGCCAGCAATGAGCATAGGTATTGTATTCCTATCTCGTCCTTACGAAGTTGTAATCGTTGTAATCGCGAATCGCGTGATCCTGTAGCCACGTCGACGCCCCCAAGTCTCGACCTGTCCCCAACAATCTCCAAGCACAATCCCAGGCGCACCTCGGACATGCCCTCACCAGCTGGTTGGTCGAAATCAGACCTCACACGGATTTACGACGCATCTACGCCTGTCTCGACACCCTTTCGACAGGCCGTGGCTTGCAGGGCTCTAGGCGTAGATAGGCTACGCTCGTTGTTTTTGAGCCAGTCGGCAATCAGGCCGCACCGTCGCCTCCAAATTGGTCGTCGAACAAGTGCGACCACATCTTCCTTGCTGGCCGTCTGTCACGGCCAAGTATCAGTGACATTCGTTCTTGGTACCCGATAACTCTTGGTGAAGCGATGTCGGTGATGCTGTGGCTACCCCCTTCACTTTGCCTACCCCGCCTCTGTCTAACCCTATGCGTTCTGTTGTCAAGAGCGCCGACGAACCACGTATTACCGCGTCGTTGAGACAGGCAAAGCGTCTCGCGAGTGAAATGCCGCAGGCTCTGACATTCGGGCCCGAGGGCGACGGTTGGGTTTACGACAGGAACACCAAGTCCTACGACTTGGCGCGCGGGGCGTCCTCGGCGCGATTCACGATCCGCACCACGGCGGGTCCCCCGGACACGTCCATCACTATAGCCCCAAGCCGAAGTGCGCTGGTCGTAGTCGACATGCAAAACTACTTCCTCCATCCACGATGTAGCGCTCATCCTAGCGGCCTCGCTGCCGTAGAACGAACCCTGGAAGTCATTGAGAGATGTAGGGACATCGGCGTTAAGGTAGGTAGGCAGGTGGGTTAAGGAGGGGCATTATCAAGCTACGTAGATCCTATCAATAGCGCGTTTCTACTCTTCCCAATGCCTGGAATCTACTAGCAGCGTGGTTGGGACAGTAGCATGGGCGAGTAGGCTGCTAACGAGGCCTTTTTACACCGCGTCTCACAGATCATCTGGTTGAACTGGGGGCTGGCCGAGGAGGACCTCGGTGCCATGCCCGCGGCGGCTCAGCGCAGCTTCGCCAGCAACCTCATCCTGCCGCCCTCGGGCGCGAGCACGCCGGCCAGGAACGGCTTCGGGTCCGACATGGGCGAGGGCAGGGGCCGGCTCCTGATGGCGGGCTCGTGGAACGCGCGCCTGTACGACCCATTGCAAGTCGCTAGCCGGGCAGACGCGGACCTCTTCTGCGACAAGGACCGCGTCTCGGGCCTTTGGCACGGCGAGACGCCGCTGGCGCGGGCGCTGGCCGCCGGCGGGTTCCGCACCCTCCTGTTTGCCGGCGTCAATACCGACCAGTGCGTGCTGGGAACGCTGGCCGACGCCTACTACCAAGGGTGGGACTGCGTCATGGTAGACGACTGCTGCGCGACGACGACCCCGGGGGGGCAGGAAGTCAGTGTTTACAATGCCGCGGTGAGTCGGTGATTTCATTTGTATCTTTCGTCCAGGGTGTGACATCTAAGGCCTCTACGTAGTCGGCGGAACGTGGTTGCTGTTCCCTATTTAGTCGACATGCTAACACTGTCTGTTCGTAATAGAAGGTATACGGCTTCGTGGTGAATAGCAAGAGTATTCTCGAGGGGTCTATCGCGTGAAAGGACATATCCGTTACGACAAGAGATACATAAACGAGAAATGGCATTCTCGAATTACCATGGAATGGCCCCCTTTCCAGTCTACATTTAGGGACTTGTATGAGCCTTTGGAGCTGGTTAACTTGTTAACAGCTGTGTATAATGAGCTGTAATCGCTCGGCCGCCTTCTCACTGTCTCCTATTGATATTAACAGCATATATCAAGCTATGTATTTTAAATACGCATTTACTTTACTGTCCACGCTTACACATCCCAAGATGACGATACATTGGGAGACTATAAGAGTATAATAATGCCCATACCTAAGAAAAACTAGCAATTTACCTACATCCGTAACAAATTCTCGCTGTCGAACCTTTAAGCTGCCGATTTCACCCAAACCTTCATGACGGGAACTCTTATCTCGTCCATACGGAGGTGGAAGCCGTCTCCAGCGCGACATCTTTGTATTCTATTCTCGGCGTGCCCTGTTCGGTAGTACATGCTGACGAAGTGTCCGAGAAGCACGACGTCGCCGTATGGGGCATCTACGGCCTAACATCGCCGGATTTGATGTGCTGGGCTTATCAATCCGGTTCTTGAAGACCACCCTTCACACTACATCCCCTATTGGCCATCCACATTCCTTGTAATGAGGTGTAATATACAATGGCCCCTCTCTGGCTTGCATCCGGAAATATCAGGATTGCCCCTATGCGGTTCACCGTCTCAACTGCAGTGAAGAACGGCCCAGGCTCGGTATTGATATAGGCCGAGGCCGCCTCAACATTATTTCATATTAAGGGGCACGTCGGCTACGTTAGGCTAATATTAGATCCCGTGTACATCCCTCTACTGCTTATCATGCACGCGTACGACATCTATCGGGGGTGAATCTGTCTCAGATATACATGCCATACATATCTATTGTCTTGCTATCTAAGATGTGAAGTTCATTAGGATGAGATTATCCGAGTAGCCTACTAATTGCTCTCTCGCCATAGGAGCCTGGGCTGAACCATTGTTACCAACATTCCGGATCAGTGAAGGGGTGGGAATGTCTTTCATACGAGCCGTCCAACCCAACTATGGTAGCGATCAGTATCCCGGAGGATGCGGGACGCCACTCCGCGCCCACCCGGGAGGGGGTGACCCACGGGTCTACGGTAAAAGTCATGGGACTATTGCGTAGGGACGTGGTGTTGAGTAGAATTTCATAATAAGGGAGACGGCGGTTAGGCTAGGGTTTTCCCTGTCATACAGCCCATGAGACGCCATCTCCTCCTCGACCCACCTTCTCCCCTAGTGATCGCGATCATGCTGCTATTATACCTCTGTTTCTGGATTGCAGCAATAGCGCTGGCTGGGGACGCGGCAGGGCGCGGAATCGCGCCGCCAAACGAGTGCCCGCCGTTCCGAAACGGGTCGATCGTGATAGAATCGTACCAACTATACCCCGAGAATGCCGACTTTGATCTAAACGAGTGCCTCCTGTATTTCGGGTTAGTTTCTCCCGCCCCATTAAGAACTGTGCGACTGGGGGTCATAGCTGAATATGATACCCTGGTCTGGTAGCTCACTTTTCAACGCCTCGGTGGTCGTGTACGACCCGTACAAGGCCGAGACGGTGCTCACTCTCGAGTTCGGGGGCATCACGCGCACGAGGCCCTTCCACGTCGGCGGCGTCGCGTGGGATCCGTACACGAATCTGATCTCGATCCTCGTGGATTCCGCGACCCCCCACGAGACCCCCGATCACCAGATCGCGGGTGACGACTACCTTATCCGCTACGACCCGGCGAAGCGGGAGATCGTGTGGTCTCTCAACATCACGGAGGTGACCCGGGGTGAGTATGGCGGGCAACAGGACGTGGAGCACGATGCCCGCGGCCACGTCTACGTCCTGGGGAGCTATCCCGGTACGATCCTGCGCGTCGAGCCCGACGGCAAGAGCATCAAGCCGTGGTATCTACCCCCCGAGATCGACCATACGGTGTACGGGCTTACCGGGTTTGCCGCGGCCGGGGACATCCTCCTTGCCAGCGACATCAAGAACAATAGCGCTAGTGGCGGCTCGATCTACCGGTTCGACCTGGCGGCGGAAGAGGGTGTGCCCGTAGTCGTCCCCAGGACGCCGGAGGACCCGATCCTGTCGTTCGACGCCATCTACCTACCGCCCAAGTATGGCGGGACAGTCCTGCTGATCTCGGAGCACGAACGGGGGGTGTCGGTGCTCCGATCCGCAGACGGCAGATGGGAGGCAGCCGAGTATCTCGGGTTGATCCCGAATGACCTGTCTTTGGTAGACGATGGCGGCGCTAATACTGCTACCGTCGAGATCGCCGGGAGCATATACACGGTGAATGAGTGGTTCTCGGACCCGATCGTCCCGGGGACGTCCGCGGGGAGCAGGACCAAGTTCCCGCTCGTGGATATCTCGGCGCGTGTTGAGGAGCTGTTGGTAGCTGCTAAATAGAAGATGTAGTAATGAATACCGTGCCCGGCCCCCTACTGATTTATATCCTATGTGTTGGTTGTTTCGAATATTGCTACATCCTCGAGGATGATATAGAGTCATCGCATACCATATTTGTTCTCCTTTACCGTGAAAGCAGATATGAGCAGATAGTCTATCCTGTTTTTTCTTCTTGTAACAACGCTATCTTATCGGAAACCGCAATTAATATAGCTACCGTGCACTCATTTTCGAGATATTCGAAGGGCGCAGCTAAGACTGTGCGAGGGTCTTCCCGAGCTCCTCTCCTCGGCTGGTAGCCGCCTTCACAGCCTTGTCGACGGTCTCCTTCAAACCAGAGGTATCGAAGCTCTTCAGCGCGGCCTCCGTCGTCCCCTTGGGACTAGTCACGTTGATCCGCAGCTGCGCGGGCTCCTCGGACGACTCGACGAGCATCTTGCCGGCGCCGTAGCACGTCTGCTTCGCTAGGCGCGTGGCCTGCTCGCGCGTGAGCCCCAGGCTTATTCCGCTTTCGATGAGGTGTTCCACCAGGAGGAAGAAGTAGGCAGGTCCGGACCCTAGAAGTCATTATTATCCGTGGACAGGCTTCGAGGGTCGAGTTCCGATTCAGGTGGAGGGTATGCAAGTCTTACCGGACAGCCCCGTGACGACATCGATCAACTCTTCGCGGTCCAGCAGCTCGGTTACCTTGCTGACGCTGCCGAGGAGCGCCGCAGCCAGATCCTTCTCGGCCGGGGACACGTCGTCGCCGGCGAAGAGGCCCGACGCACCCTCGCCCAGCAGGGCCGGGGTGTTGGGCATGACGCGGATGATGTGAGGCGAGCGTCCGTCGGGCAGGCGGAACCACTCCTTCAGGCTCTGCAGGGTGATGCCGGCGGCGATGGAGACGATCAACGGCAGGGACGTGCGGGCGGCCCAGCCGGCACCGAGCTCCTGGCCCACGCCCTTGGCGACCTGGGGCTTGACGGCGAGGACAAGCAGGTCGGCGTCGGTCGAGGCGTCGACGTTAGAGGCGGTGGTGCGCACGCCGAGGGCAGCCATCTTGTCGCGGTTGACCTCCCACGGCTCGGCGACGGAGACGTTCTGCTTGTCGATGCCCTTGGCGATAAGACCGCCGATGATGGCGCCGGCCATGTTGCCGCCGCCGATGAAGCACAGCTTGCTCTTGTGCAGCTGAGAGGTCATTTTGGCGGGTGCTTCGAGTTTCCGGAACGCCGTCGGGGGTTGGGGTTCAGAGCGAGTTTGACGAGGGCGAGTCTACTTAGGTATCACTTGGTCTCTTCCGGTTCGGCGCGGCCTAATTTTCTATAGGTAGGTAGGTAGGTAGGTAGCTATGGTCTTCGCTAAGGCGAGGGGAGGTCGATAGCTTCCTCCATCCCAGCATTGAGTAGCATAGATGCATATCGCTACCGGAATACTACTGTTTGGGGCTTATCTTGGATTCTATTCCTTTATCCCTTGATGATGTGCATCTATGAGGTAGGTAGGTAGGCAGGTATCTTCTGGGAATAGGAGCAGTGTAGTGTACCTCTTGGGGGTAGATACACTGGGTTGGCTGGCCACGCCGGGCATTAGACAGGCAGTTAAGGTACTCCTAGCAAATAAGTACCTGCCCAAGGTGCCTGGCTGCCGCTGGTAACCGCACCGCCTAGTCCCGGTGTTTATTCACTGAAATCTAAGACCTGACTATTAAAACGCACTCCCAGGACAAAGATATATAGGCAAGCAAGTATCAATTGCATAAATAATACCCTACTAGTCTTTATCTACTACGTCACCCTCACCCCAGCGCGTACCCGATCTGGGCGAGGTTCGCGATCCCCGCGAGCCCATACAGCGCGACGTCGTTCGTCGTCACCCAGGCTGCCTCGTCGACGGGGAGCAGGACGTCGCTGCCGGCGATGCGCTCGCTCGCCCACGGCGCCGTCGGCGCGAACCCGTCCGTGCTCAGGAACTCCTTCCACGCGCGGGCCGCCAGCTGCGCGTCCCCGCGCCGCGCCGCCGCGTACGCCGTCAGCCGCGAGTGGCCCTGCTTGAGGTTCAGTTTGCCGAAGGTCACGCCGTAGCGCGCCGTCTGCTCCGCCGCCCCCGCGCCGTAGTAGTAGCAGTAGTCGAGCCACGCGTCCTCGAACCCCGCCGGGAGGCCGTCCGCCCCCAGGTGCTCCGTCAGCTGCGCGACGATCTCGGGCAGCCCGAAGCTCGCCGACAGGTGCGACAGGTCGACCTGGCCGAGGTTCTGCGGGTCCGTCGCCGGCGGCGCGATTTCCCCCGTCTCTAGGTTGTACAGCCCGAGCCCCGTGACGAAGCCGTTGGTCAGGTTCGCGATGCTGCGCATGGTAACGTCGAGCTTGGTACGGGCGCGTTCCGCGAGCGGGCCGCGGCGCTCCCACTCGATGAGCCATGCCGACGCTAGACCGGACCAGTCGAGCCCGACCGAGAGGTCGAGCGCGGTCGGGTCGATCACGTAGGTGCCGTTGTCGCGGCGTACCTTGCGGCGCGGGTCAACCGCGAGGAAGGCCCGGTCCGCGTCGGCGAGCTCGTGCAGGAGTTCGCCGACGCGCTCGTCGCCCCCTGTAAGGTAAAAGAAGGCCTGCCGGTACAGCGGTGTCGATATGCGCACCTGCTTCGAGCTATCGCTCCAGTGCAGCACCCCGTGCCGCGTGCCGAACCCGGCGAATTTGCCGGCGTGGTACACGTCGACCTCGCCCGTGTGTCGCGCGTGCGCCTCCGCAAACCGGTACGCGTCCGCCCGACCCGTCCGCAGGAAGTGGTTCCAGAAGAAGAGGTTCGGCGACAGCTCCGAGTTGTCCCAGGCGTAGCCGCCGACGTCGTACCGCCACGTGTGCCGGTCCACATCGTACGTGTGCATGATGTCGCCGTAGTCCCAGAACCCGTACCACCGCCGCTGCTCGATCTGACTCTTGGAGAAATCGATCAGGAAGTCGAGGTGCGCCTCGATGGCCCGCGCCGTCTCCGAAGATGTGTTGCTGCTTTCTGGGGTCGCCCAGTACGTTCCGATCGCCTTCGTCTGCTGAATATGCTCCGGGGCCGCGGCGAGCGCCGGCGGCTCGTCAACGTAGGTGGTGAGGGCGGCAAGGGTATCCGAGGGCGGCGTCTTGTCAAACGCAAACAGGAATATCTCGTTGGTCTGGGCCACGCCGTACGCCGTGTCGTAGCCGCCTTCCCAGTCCTCGTAGGTGATCTCGAGCGCATCCAGCTGGTCTTCGTATGTGTCCTGCCCTAGGCCGTCGTGGAACGGTCGAAGGTCCATCGGTTCAGCAGTTGGGCTATAGAGCCATAGCGTTATCTGGCCCACGTCCGTCGCCGCGTTGGAAATATCGAGGCCCGTGGGGTACTTCTTCCAGAAGTCCCGCTGCGCGATGGCGAGACCGCCTTGCGTCGCGCCGCCCAGGTATGCGAGGCCACCGGCGCGTGTGCCGCCGGGGATCTTGACCCAGCTATACCCCGCCTTGGTCCGCTTCTTGAGCGTGAAACCGTCAGGAGAGAGTTGTGCCAGGCTGTAGTCATTCCACGCGGGAATCCATTTCAACCTAGAAGAGACCCGGGTATCCCAGGTGGAAATGTCGGGCGTCTCCTCGCCCTTGAATTGGGCGGTGCGAACGTTCTGACCGGGGTCCCGTCTCAATCCCGTGATGCCCTGCACGGCCTCGTTCAACAGGCCGCCGTCGGGGCCGGCGAGACGGATGTGACGATTGTACAACTCTTCACCGGCGAGCGGGACGTCGAATCGGAGCCCGATGCCGGTAACAAAGTCTGCGCCAGGTTCGCCGTCGAAAATGAGGGTGTGGACAATGCGAATGGCATCCGAGTCGGCATATAGGTAGAAGCGGAGGATGAATGGCAGCCACTCGGGATGTGCGTCCGACGCGTCCCGATGCTTGCCCCGGACGGTCACCAAGGCGCGCACCGGACCGTCGGCGTTGACGGTTGCCTCCTCGACATTACTTTCGAGCCGAAACTGGTTTATTGATGGTTGGTCGCTGTCGCCATCGTCCGTGACTCCAGACTGGGAGCGAAGGACTAGTCGTCCGTTTTGCCCGATGATCTTGCCGCTCGATGTTCTGATCGCGCTCACAAGCACGTTTCCCGACTTGGCAAACGTTGCGGTGAGCTTCCCCGTGTCGACGGTGATCGCGTCTGCGGAGTCGGTCACGTTCAAAGACGACTGGGGTGCTGCTAGGGTGGATCGCTTCGTCGAGTTTGTCCTAGTCGTCGACGCGGTGACTTTGTACTGGGAAAACACCGTGTCGGAGGCCCCCAGAGCGTGCCCGGTCCACTTAAAAGAGCCGTCAGGCCAGTATGCCGTCACCCAGGATTCAAGTTCGACTCCCTGGTCGTCGCCGGCACCCTTGAATGTAGTCGTATCGGCCGGGTATTTCCCCTTTGGCCAGGGCAGCCCGAACGTCACACCTTTGTTAAGAGCTGGTGCGTCGCCGATCCATCTCACCGCGACGTCTTCCGAGCTGGTCCCGTAGCGGGAATCCTGAGCGACGGCGATGCTGGGGAGGCCGAGGAGGGCCCAGGGGCCAATGGCGCGTAGATGCATAGCCGCACGAGTGGTCTCAACCGCTTCTCTGACCAAGTTTCGTGCTCTTGCCTCTTTGTAGACTGAATGAACGTTGGCTGGCCGTCCCGTGCATGGTATTTATCCCCTACTCAATGCGGCCACCTCGTCGGCCCTGCGGAGGTTGTTCTCCAACTCGCGGCCCATAGATCCGGGACGATATCACCCAAAGCTCGACGATATATCCAAGCTATGGTACTCGACCCGCGTCGTCCGTTGGTACCTCGGTAGGATGTTGTACCGGGCATGCAGCCAGCACTGTGCCCGGCCGCGGCCCCATGACTTTATATCGGGACTGGATGATGCAAGCAGGCTCGTCAGGGGAAGATTCCACGAATGGTATAACGCCGTGGGGGGTTGACCCTCATACCTTAACGACGGCCCTAGTATGGGCATACCTACCGTGCGGAGAATGCGGAGATGGGCCGGGCTCGACGTGGTGCCGAAGGGGTTATGATTGCCAATGAGGCTATTCCTAAGAGAACATAACAGGACGGAATGTTGGGGGTCAACTGCCACACAGACGAGGCGGAAGAGGTTCCCCGCAGGCCGTCCCTCTTCCCCCGAAGCCCGAGAGGCTGTCTCCGAACGACGGCTGGAGAGGCACGTATTCGACATCTTGGTGATAGGTATGTTGTTTATATTGGATCTTATTTTCACAGGTCTGTTTCTGCCTTCCCCGATTCGCCACCACATTGTACCGAACCCGTGTACCTAGTGTTAGTGTTATTATTATTATTATTATTATTATCATCATCACGGTAGTCTTTAGTAGGCACGGCGTGAACGGAAGACGGTCTCCTTCCAGTTAGGCCTCCCCGGCGAGACCTACATAGCGCCGCCGAGAAGCTCACCTGTGCGATGCCTCTAACTTAGCTAGCAAGTCGTCATTTCCTCGATACCTGCCGTTTTCTTACTAGGTGCCTCGTTGCGCGACGGCATCTGCCGTTTGTTGCTCGCGCACGAAGAGGGTGTGCGCAGGGGTGTCGTAACAGGTACCGATATGTGTTCCTGGCTGGACACAGGCACATGGCTGTCACGGAAGCTCGGTGAGAATTTATTTGCTCCGATCCAAATTTTGGCCAGGCTCGGCTCGGAGGCGTCGCTTGAAAATGGCGTGGAGGTACTGCCTCGTGTCCTCATGTCCTCATCGGCAGCAACATTCACGTAATAGATAACCTGCCTAGGTAGGTCGATAAATGCGTATGCTCGGTAGCGGTATATCCTGCTAGAACGATGCGTGCAATATCGTATAATGCAGCATGTTACTGGGTGGGAGTCGGCACTTGGGTACGTAGGTAGATAAGTACCTACGTAAACATTGGAAGTATTTCGTGCGTCATAGCTGCCTAAGAGGTAGGTACCGGCTGTCACCGTTCAGCCTGGTCGCTTCTCGCGACGCGTTTCCCGAACGCGACGGCAGCTGTGGCTTGGCGGGTTTTTATGAGGTCGCAGACCAGCCTAACTCATCCCCCGTACCTGACCCCAACGTAGGTACAAGGGTCATGAAAATTTCCCCTCAGACGCATTTCTAGCCACCGCACGGAAGTGCATTCAATTGATTCTTTTTCGCAATCCAAAGTTGTCTGAGAACTGGAAGCATGTTTTGAAGCATTTAATTAAGTGGTGGTAGTGGTGGCGGTGGTGGCGGTGGTGGCAGCTTACAAGTGCCTATAGGTAGACAGTAGTAATTGAGGAAACCTCATCGCAACTACTATACCTAGTCAATGGAGTGCGGTTATTTTGGAACGAGTCAGTAGAATCTCTAGGAAGCCGTAATCTGCTTGGGGGTAAGGTGCGGGGGACTAATTGGGCTGGTCTGTATATATGAGACGACGCCTTTTTCATGGCGTTTTTTCCCCTCACCTTTTTCGTTCTGGGTGTGTTCAAGATCCATCACTTTTCTCCCGCATAACTACATTCCCGGAGCGGAGGCATTCCCGTATTTTCTATTTTCAACCCGGCGTTCGTCAGACCCCGGAGCCGAAAAGAAGAGACTCGTCCTCTGCTCGCCCGATTATAACACCGACCCAGGCCTTCCCTCTCGTCGCCCCGGGTACGGACGGCCCGCCATGCTTCGCCCCGTGTCGGCGCGCGCGAGGTGCGCCCTCTCCCTCTCCCGGCCGTCGCCATCGCTCCCCTGCCGCCGCCACTACCCTCGGCTCGGGGGCTGCGGCCCGCGGCGAGGGCACTCCAACTCCGGCGGCCCGGGCGACTAGGACCCGCCGCCGCCGCCGCCGCCGCCACCGCCGCCACCACCGCTGCCGTCGTCGTGCGTGCACCTGCGCGACATGGCGCTGGGGTGGGCGCTCACCGTGGGCGCGGCCTGGCTGGCGTACCGGAGCGTGCAGCTGCGGGCGGGGCAGCGCGAGCGCGAGGCCGAGGCCGAGCGCGGGAAGCAGGTGCATAGCAAGTTCGCGGCGCTGCTGGACGAGGCGCGGCGGCGCGAGGACGCGGCGCGGCTGCGCGCGCTGACGTTGGAGTACGCGCGGGAGGCGCACGCGGATCCAAACGGCACCTGGGCCGAGCTGGGTGCGCTGCCGGGGCTCCCGCCGGGCGACCGCGACTTCGGCAAGGAGACGATCCCCGCCGAGGACACGCTCGTCTTCGTCCGCACCGACGCCCAGCCCGGCCGGTTCCCCGTCCACATCGCCGTCAACGTCGAGGCCCGCCGCGTGTGCCGCGTGCCGCCGACCCCGAAACACCCCGCCGACCCCTGGGAGGGCGCCCTCGCCGAGCTGTTCGCCCGCGTCAACTTCCAGGCCGCCCATTGGCGCGACGAGGGCTTCTTACCAGACGGCACCGAACTCGCCGTCAGCTTCATCTTGCAAGATCGCATCCTCTCCATCTCGTACATCTGCGACTCGTATTTGCTGGAGACACGCGACGGCCAGAAACCTTGAAGGCTGCGAATCAGACAACCGCGCCACCTCACACGCCGGTCGCGTTTGCGGGTGTCGGGTCGGAATTCAACCCGACCGACCCTGGTGGGGATGGCCCGCTTTGTTGTTGTCGGCGCATGGTTTGGCTTCGCTATCACGGTTCAGGCCGGGAACGGGGGCGCTTGCATATGCATTTAGGTGGTGTTAGAAGAGGCGTACTTTGCATTGGGATCATGGAGCGCTCCTGATGGGATGCTCATGTCGAAGTAGTCAGAAGGATAGACATCCCGTCCTAACTACGGATGACACAGCGATGTAGTGCTAGAAACGGGGCAGGCTTCACTGATTACATATCAGCGTTAGGGATGGAAGATTCCAAAACAATGAATAGCGAAGTATGGATTAAACAGGAGAGAGCAGTATACGCTTTCTACGCATGTGAGTAATCTGTCCTAAGGTTCCTATCATACGGCCTCGTTATACCTACGTCAATTGAAACCGAGGATAAGGAGAACTGGTGCCATATCCAGGGCATGGACTTTAGACTTCCGGGCGGGCGGTACAAGCTATATGAGTCAAGCTCACGATGTCATTTGCTGGGGACCGTGGGCCTGGTGCAGAGATAAAACTACCATTCACACTGCGGAGGCTACGCGTGTACCACGGCCAAGGGACGGCTCCGTCCACTTCTCTCTCCTCTCTACATGGCATACGAGGACGAGGTGGCGGTGCTCTAGCACATACCTGCCGTCTATTCCCGGCAGCCATGTTCTCTCCGGCAGACATGCACACTATGCCGTATTACAACCCGGCACGAATGGCCGGTGTGGATTTCGAATGGTGCTAGGGTACGGAGAATAGCGCCGTTCAATCTTGATTCCGATCCATCGCTGTACTCTGCGGGTATAAGCTGGAAAGCGGCAAAAAACGCAATAACGAGAAACTAGCTCTCTCCATCCTGGGCATCGCTCCCCCTTTCCCCCCCCTCTCTCTTCCCCTTCTTCGGTCCAGCGCCGCTGCATTCTGGATATCTGCGGGCGACGGACGGACCAAAACGGCAACCGATATCAAGGGCACATAATCGAAAGCACACCGCACGCGCACGCCCTTTCCCCCTCCCGCTGCATCCCTACACCACCCCTTTCTCCTCCTTCCGGTCCCCAGCCCGGCTCGCTCGCTCGCTCGCTCAAGACGAAGAGGAGCCTCTGCCTGCCCTTCTGGGCTTCTTGCCGACGATATCCACGACCTCGGGCTCGACAAGCTCGGAGTCGTGCTGGGCGTCGGCAGCGGCGCCCAAGCCGCCAGCCGCCTCGGGGTCGTCGCGGTAGGGTGCTGCGGCCGCGGCCCTCGCCGCGACCTCCTCGTCGTTGTCGTCGTAGCGGCCGTCGCCGTCGCCGTCGTGCCGCGCCTCGGCGCCGGCGAAGAGACGCGCGTCCTCCGCGTCGTCGTCCGCGGCACCGCCGCGCCGCCGCGCCCACCACGCCGGCGTCTTCCACGCGGGCGCGCGCCACGCGGGCCGCCTCCACGTCGGCCGCTTCCAGGCCGGCACCGCGCTCGCCCAGCGCGGCCGCGGCACCGCCGGCAGCGCCGGCAGCACCGGCGCCTCGCGGTACCACGGGAGCGCCGGCAGCGCCGTGGGCCGCAGCCGCCGCCCGCAGTCCGGGCAGTCCGGGTCCACCACCTGCCACGCGAGCCACGCTGTCAGCTCCCGGATCGCGAGGCCGCGGGAGAATTCGCGTACCGCCAGGTAGAGATGGATGAGGCTGTTGTTCGATCGAGCGCGCGGCGCGCGCGGAGGGGGGGTAGGAAGAGGAGGCGACGGTGGGGTTGCGCCCCCCCTTTCTCCCCTCCGAGCACCGGGCAGCGAGCGTTAGCCAATCTTTCTTTTCTTCATTTTTTCCTTTATCGAAGCCTCTCGTTCCCATGCACGCTTCCCGGCTCGCAACCCGCCCTTTGGGGCAGGCGGGAGCGAGAGGGGTGAAGGATTGGCGAAGGGGGGGGGAGGGGATGAGAGGGCGGACGAAGCAGACGGACGCTAACTTACAAATTGACAAACAGCGGGATGGTCGCGTACGCGGCGAGCATAGCCGTCTCGGCGGTGGCGCCGTCGCGCCCCGCGCGGAGCCACGTGAAGACGAGCACGACCATCAGCGCGGTGGCGAGGGTGGTGTCGGTGGCGAACACGAGGACCGGGTAGCGATACAAGGCCTGCGTCGGCGGCGGCGGCGGCGGCGGCAGCGTCACTGACACCTCTGGTGCCGCGGCTGGCTGGGGCTGCGGCGCCGGCGTGGCGGGAGGCTCCTCAATGCCCTCGAGTAGGGCTCGCCGCTGCGTGTCCTCCTGCGCCCACTCGCGCGCCTCCTGCGCGCGCGCGTGCTCCTCACTCGGCTCGGCGTACTCGCTCTCGAGGCCGCCTAACTCTTGCGCGAGGTGGTGGTGGTGTTGGTGGCGCGGATGGCTGCCCTCTGGCACCGGTAGCCGTCCCACCTCGCTGCGGAACTGCTCTTCGACGACGACGGCGGAGGCGTCGGACCCTCGCTCGGGGTCGTCCTGTAGTAACTGCTGCGGCTGCGGCTGCGGCTGCTGCTGGTCCTCCTGCTGGTTTGCGGCGGTGGCAGATCGCTGCTGTCGCGCGAGTAGGAATACGCCGGCGGCGGCGGAGAAGGCGAGCGGTACGAGGCCGACGGCGGGCGTCGGGCTGCCGGAGACGACGCCGTGCGCGATGCACAGCGGGAACGCGGGTATGAAGGTCGCGGCGGTGACGACGCGCAGCGTCCGTTGGTCGGCCATTGGGCGCGTGCGGGTACGAGTTCGGGCCTCGATGCCTGCGCTAGGTCGGGAGATAGATAGGCAGATTCTGAGAGCTCCCGCAATCGGTGCGAGGAGACAGGTGTTGAGGCCTAGATATGGCTAGGCAAGGGAGGCCGTCGACCAGGACGGAGATGAGTACTGATTCGTGAATGCAACGAAAAGAAAAACAAAAACTGAGATGAGATGGAGAAGGGATAAGGGGGAAGTTGAAGGAGGGGAAAACGGGGATCGGCCAGTTGAACCACCCACTATTATTTTTATTACTACCTACTACGTACCCAGGTAGAACAGACCTCTTCTCTTTTTTTCCGGCCTACACGAGGAAGACGAAAAGAGGCGAAGGCGGGCATCCCTAACCTGTGCTACCCGTCCGCTACCATCCATCCTTTCGCGCCGCCAGGGGTCGTGATTCGCCAGCCAATGGGGTTACATGGTTGCATCACGGCCAGTCAGGGCCAGCATTGAGCACGAGCTCGTAGCCGAGTCCCATCCACGTATGCCCAGTCCGTACTTACCAAGAGGCCATTCGCGGCGGGCGTTGAAGGGCACTGGCTGGAGACCCGCAGTGGGGAGCACCTAACGATGCCGGCCAGCTTCACGAGCTCGCAGCTAGGGAAATCCCTTTCGTTGGTTACCGCGCTTGGCGATGTTGCGTGCCGGAGGCGAGCTGTTGAAGAACGGTTTACGTATGTGCCGACACCATGTGCGTCGTTAGATAGTTGGGCGTGTCGGCGAGCGAGCGTCATCGGCAGGCGAGATGAAAGTGCTATGAGAACATCGTGGAGGCATCCACATTCCGGGACCGCGTCGTATTATAGGCGAAATCACATGCTTAGAGGGCCAGAGGCAAGCCTTGCTTATCTACCTCCCTGTCCCCCCCGCTAGCTCACCTCTGGAATTTACGAGAGGTAAAGAGGGCTGACGCCTCCGAATGTGAGCATAAGAAAAAAGGAAAGAAGAGAAAAGAAAAGAAAAATTATTATCAGCATTCTAAACAGAGGCTCGATAGTAGAAATCTTATCGACGTTCACCAACCCGGATATCCTCCTCTCGTCTTGCACATCGCTTTCTTAACCTAAGCTTATAATCGGCTGCCACTGCGGCTGTGCAAAGCCATTCGTCTATAGTAGATGTGTCTCGTCTGCATATACTGCGCGTGCGAAATCGCGTTCAATCTACGTGCTTATCCAGTATTCAACTCGTGGGGCCCATCAGAGGGCGTGTGGAAATCGTCCGGGAGCGGAAAAGAGCATAGAATGCTGAAAACCCAAGTCTCCGTAACCGTTCAGTTGCACCTCGCGCCCTCAGCTACGGTGAACCCGTTGGCTCCTTGTTGATTATGATTATTTTCTAACCCCTCTGCGGCTTCCCTGCTATACTTCCGTCTGTCCATGAAGCTAGGGCTTTGGTCATCACCATATATTTGGCCTTAGGCCCTAGCAAAAGCCCCGGCCCTTCGCTCGCGTCCTCTCGAGTCTCCTTCGGTGGCTATCATGAGATGTCGGCACTGCGGCCATCGTTGATGACTACGGCGACATTGGGTATGTGGCCGCATAGCGTTGTGCCGGCAAGCATTCTATGGCAGTGAAGAAAGAAGGATGTGAGAAGGGGAGGACATAATCCCGTGAGCGTGCCGGCTTTGCAACATATCGAGTAAGATGGCGTGTGGCCGAAGCTGGTTCGGGTCGTTATGTACTGCGCTGGTTATCCGTAGATGCGTGTCGACAATTTCCCCAGACTGGGGGGAACAGCTTGGTGATAAGTAATAGCTGCTAAATCCTTGCGAAGTTGTATTATCGGGAGGGAAAAACATAAAAACATAGTAAGATCGAAAAAAGGCGACTTTTCAAATATTCCTTCCTAAGTTAGACTCTGGTATCGAGAATGCCCTCTGTCCGCGCTTGTCCACCCCTTTTCCCCGAAACGCCGTGTTAATGCAGATCGAGCCGTCCGGCCAGCCATCTCGTCCTTCTTTCCCCCTCCGCTTCTTCGCTTCCGTTCCCTAATCCCAATACCGAATGATGCCGTCCAAGCCGGCGGCGACGACCTTGCTCGTCTCCTGCGGATGCCACTGCACGCATGTGATGGCCTGGTCGCCCGCCTGCAGCTTATGGTACATCTTGCACGTCTTCCAGTCCCAGAAGCAGACGAACCCGGCGCTGTCACCGCTCGCGAGGAACTGGCCGTCGGGACTGCACGCCACGTCGATAGCCGTGCCCGCGTTGTTGTGGCCTCGGTAGCTCTTCTTTCGGTTCTGGCGGAATTTGTCATTCGCTCCGTATACCACGATCTGGTTGTCCGACGACTGGTACGCCACGTACTTGCCCGACGGGTGCAGACACGCCCTCGTCATCGGGTACATGTACGGCTCGGCGATGTACTTGATAGGAACCGGGATGTTGTAGTCCCACGCTCGCAGCGACTTGTCGTCGGATGTCGTCATGAATCGGCGGTTGTCGTCGACGAAGGTGATGGTGTTGATGGCGTTGAGATGGTGGTCGTACTCCTGGACGAGCTCCCGCGTCCGCGTATCGAACTGGACAATCTTCTTGTCCGACATACCGGCAAGGAACTCGTGCGAATGCTCGGGAGATGGGTTGAATTTTATAACGTGAGGCGTCTTTCCAGTAGTGAACTTGTTGATGCAGGTGCCGGTTTCCGTGTCCCACAGCTTCATCTGGCGATCGTACGAGGCCGAGAGGAACTGGGTGCCAGAGGTATTGAAGCATATATCGGATACGGCCTTGGAATGGCCCAGATAGCTGCGCAGGAGCTCCCTCTTGTGGTACACATCCCAGATCTTTATTGTCGAATCCGCACCGGCTGAGAGGAGTAGGTGTCCCGAATGTGGGAAGAATCGCAGACCCGTGACAGCCTTGTTGTCGTGGTTCTTCCACGTGTGGAATAGCTTCTTGGGGATGTAATTGGTGACGCTGCCGACTTCCTTCCGCAGGTCGACCTCGAGATCCTGCGGTACGTGCATGTAGCTTCTTCCTTGGTAGTCGTATTGCTGCTCGCCGTGGAATACGGTCTGTTCGTCTCCCAACTCTTCGACCTCTTTCCGTCTCGCGATGGCACCAACCGGCGCAGAAATAACGGTGCCGCTTGCCACCACGTCGTCCTCGTCCTCGTAGACGTACTCGACCTCTTCGTCGCTTGCCAGCTCCTCGTCTTCCGCGACCTCCTCGTATTCGTCCTTCTTGTACTTGGCCCACGGTCCGACGTAGGCGCCATCGCCGTCGGCGATCGTCGCGTCACCCTTCCTTTGCCTCGATGCCCTCAACTTGGCAGCTTCCTCCTTGGCCTCAGCGCCCGATTGGTACTCTCGTTCGGGACCGCCCTTGCGCTCGATTGCGCGGTGCTTGCTGCGGAATGTGTGTTCGCTAACAAAAGTCTCCTCGGCATGGCCGGTAAGCACATTCTTTCGCTTCAGCAGGTTTGTTTCGTCCTTATATGGGTTGAGCGGGCCCAGCCGAGGCCGCGCGAGATCCTCGCCGGTATATGGCACGACAGCGTGGTCGGGTTCGGCCTGTTCGCGCACGACGAGCGCGTCTTGGGGCGCCATATTTGGCGGGTATTCCCCGAAACCCGACATGGTGGTGGGCTTCGCGCTGTGTTGGGGCCGCGGGTCAAAAGGGAGGTAGGTTGTGGGCGGAGTGTTGGAGGTAAAGCGATGAAAAAGAGAGGATCCAAGTTTGGGAGTTCAAGTCTAGAAAACAACGGTTCAGCTGAGCTCTTCAGCAGGTACATTGGAAGCGATTAATATGGGGCGAATTCGCTCCACGCATAATAATTGATAACAAATAAAGTATGTAATTAAACAGCATAGGCGACCATTATTAGCGATAGGGGCATACCTTAGATACTTGTCTATCTGGGCACATTACTCACCTAGGTGAACTTGTCCTGCCTGCTCCGCATATATGATTTCGGGTTGGACCTCTGGGCGCGTCCGCACCACTAGACGGGAAGGCTTATGCAAGACAAGAGGGCAGAGATAGCGGAGTTCTTGTACAAACTATCGGCACCGTTTCGCGCCGAGTAACTATATAGAAATCCGTGAAATCATTCCCACCTCCGCAAGGGTATTATTCCGGGGTCTCGTTACGTCAGGTCAAATCTTCTGACTGGAAGAGAGGGGAAGCGCGCGTGTTGCCCACCGAGCCCGGTGCGTGTGGGAGCTCGTCTAGGCGCTCGCATACACTCTCTCCCCTCTCCTTCTCGCCTCAGCCGCCTGTCTCTATTGTATTAGGTACGCAACTCCGAAAACGAAACCGACACAAGCGCGCCCTTCCGGTCCCAAATCAATATAGACGTCCCCCCTCTTAAGTCTCATCGATTCGTTTAAGTATTCGTCCTCGTTCCACAAATCCACCCACGGTCACTCTCAGGCTGCGTAAATAGACATCATCCCCATCGACACATCTGGTACGATCCGAATCGTCGTGTCTCGTGAGAAGAGTGGCGTCAAACCTGTCGCGTGCGCACCAAAATATTGCCGTCGTGCTCGTTCCACCGCGTGATAGAGGAGGCCATCTATTTTGTCTCGTCCTTGATCAAGGCGACTATCATGCTGTACAGGTAGAAGAAAAACATGACCAGATGGAAACCCAGTTTGATGAACGACTCCTATGTCTCGCGTTAGACGGCGCTCTCCATCGACGCATCGTGTGGACTCTTACCTTCTTGTGCACGTTAAGCTTCCTAAATATCTCCGTCGCGTCCAAGAGGTGGGTGTTTTCGACGATCCTATACTTGGGGGTTAGCGGGGCGTCCCAATAGATTCTCCAGCGAGACACCAGTCAGGGATCGGTGGGACGTACTTCTTAATGTTCCAGACGAGGAGAGGCAGGTTGAGCGTGAGCGCGAGCCAGTATCCATTGACGAGGAACAGGACTGTCAGGAACCCGTGCACAGCAGCCTCAGGGATGATGTAGGTATTCAGGCGGTTGCAGAGATCGATAGGATTGATGTAATCACTGGAGAAGAGGTGTTAGCTCGTCAATACCACCGGGAGAAGCAAGAAATTTGGGGTGTAGAAACATGATTGGTGAACGCGATTCCCGTGGTTTGAGAACAGGGCGGCAGAAATGGTAAGTGTGCCGATCTTGCTCGTCCGAGACGCCGGGTTACGTACCATTCTAGATCGCTGTACATGATGGTGAAGAAGACCTGGAGGAATAGGTTGACGGCATTTATGAGCACGGCGAAGAGGTATAACCACGCTTCGCCCGACATCTTGGCGGCTGGGTGCTGGCGAGCTTGGCTAGAGGGAGGAGACAGGCCTGCGTGGTTGCGCTACGAGATTTTCGAGGGAGTAGAGCCGACGCTCGACTGGAGAGTTCCGTATGCAGTGTCGACACTAGCAGCGATGAGTGCACGAGAGGAGACGGCGTTGTCTGAGTGGACGAGCGTTGGGCGCAGGGCGAGAAGAGGAGGGAGGGAGAGATATGGAGAGAGAGGTCTCGACAGGTGGGTGACGGGACGGTATGCCGAGATAAGGCTGCAGAGGATTCCGAGGTGGAAAGGGAGAGCAGGCGAGGCGGAGAACGACAGGGCAGGGTATTATACAATACGTGTCGTTGTCGCCGGGATGGGAGGCGACAGGCGACGAATAGAGATGTGGTGTCGGGCGGTGGGGGAATTAATTAGGCTGACCAGGCGACGACGCTGTGCTGTCGGCGGATGGGTAGAATTTGAGTGGCGGTGGTGGGTTGGCCGGGTTTTGTGTGGGATGATGAAAGCGGCTCGGGCAATGAGAAAGGAGGAGGGAGAGGGAAAAAGGGTGCTATCGAATTTTTTTCCGCCTCTGGGATTGGCGAGGAGATCCGGTGCGGAAGGATGGGACGGGATTACGTGTAGAAGGGGGGGGAAGAGGTCTAGAGGCCACGGTAGCGGTGGTTTAGTGGGAGGGATAGCAGAAACCGTGGCGGAGAGGGAGAGTATTAGCAATGCTGGCATGTCAGGTACATGGCATGCTAGGGCTGTCTCACGTTACTTAAGGGACCTACCTAGGTAGGTCTATTCCTCTACAGAAGAGAAGTATACGTCTCTGGGGGGGTTAGATAGGTGCCTTAGGTGCCTAGACAGGCTTGCGTCATGTACCTAACCTTAGCTAACCTCGGAATCGGAGCTTCAATCGAAGCTGCGCGAGAGCTCCCCCTACCATTATCGCGGTCACGGCTACCGTAATCAGGAGGGTACTTAGTCTGCTGCCCTTGCGGTTCGGAGCGAGGTATGCAGGACCTCGTTCGATGCGGGCACGGTACCTTGACATTCCTATGCACGTCCGCCCCGGCGGCATACGAGCGTCCATGTAGCACTAGCCTGGTGGTTATTGTACCCAGCACTTCCTGATATCCCACATTGACTGTGTTGCATGTACCTCGCTGATGCGTATTGTCATCCCCCACATTGAGGGGCAGTCATACCTGCCCCGTTGAGAAAAGAGCTCTGTCCTTCCTCCCCCCATCCCCCGATACTGCAAGACCTCGTTACGCAACTAGCCCGCGAAGCAGCCGTGTCGCATTAGATGCTGCAAGTGTGCGTTCTGGCGGTTCACTCTCGGCCTCGCTGCCTTAATTATCAGGCATGCAAGACGTGTTGAAAGCTGAACCTAGTTGATCAATTGAAGGTATGGCCATCTAAGGAAAGGGTAAACAGTTGATTGAATTACAGTTATCTACGTGGCCTTTTAGAGCCGTTTTACGTGCCTTTTATATCCCGATTAGCCCTCGTTAGGGCAGGGCTTACCCTATGGCTATACGTAACCGATTACGTACTTACGCGCCTATACGCCTTCTTAGCCTAGGTAAGGCTATCGTTAGGCTCTTAAATAGCGTAAGGCCCTAATTCCGTAGTATTTTCCTCCTTTATCGCTTTATTTATATAATTATTTCGTTTAAGGAGTAAGGCTATTACGGGTTCTCTAGATATAGTAACTTAATAAACCTCTAGTATTCCTTCGCTTCTAAGGGCTTCGTAAGCTTATTAGCCGCGTTCTTAACTAATGGTACGTATCTTAGCTTAACGTACCCTTTTTCTACCTCTTACCTTACGTAATAATAGTCCTTTCGGATATACCGCTTTTATTTATTTATCGCGGTTTCCTTTACTTACGTATTCGCCGTCGTATTATCGTATCGTAGGGTAATAAGGCCTACGGGTATTACGCTTAATTCCGTAAGGAAATTACGTATCTACGCGGCATTTACTACCGCCGTCGATAAGGCTATATATTTAGCCTTTCCCGAGCTTCGCGCGACTACCGATTAAAGCTTCGATATCCATACGATCGGGACTCTTATTATAAAGAATACGTAATTATTCGTTAACTTAATTATAAAGATATTTCCCGCGTAGTTCGAGTTTACGTAACCGTAAAGACTTATTTCGTTATATTCTTTATAAGGATAATTCTCGTTTAATTACCGATACCGGATCCCTCGGCTTACCGTTTCCTTAAGATATCGCATTACGCGCTTAATTCCCGTTTAATGCTCCTATAAGGGATTATTTATAAAACGCGCCTAGGTCGAGGCTACTATAGTAGTGCGGTAAGACATGCCCTCTTGATGCATTACGTAATACGCTACGATAGGCCTTATGCCTATATAGAGTAACCATAGCTCCCGTAAGTACGGGATATACCATGCTTATTATTTAGTTTATTACCTAGCTAAATTACTATCTTTATTATTTTTACCTTAATTAAAGATTCGTTTTTATTATTAGATTCGTCGTTCTTCGATTAATATATTTATTTTAGTTATAGGCGCTTAAGTTACTTCGTCGTACCGCTATAGCCGAATAAGTAACTTTTACGTTTTACCTCTTTTCTCCCCTTACTTCTTATACCTTCGGGCTAGCGACTACTATATCTCTACGACTAAAAGGAATAGCTAAGATATAATAACTATATTAAATTCTTTGCCTCTCGATTAATATAGCGATACTAGTTTTATTTATCCTAGATTATCGTACGTATTATAATCTTCGATAAAGTATACTTTCGAATAAACCTATCCGGGTCTTTAATATCGCGTACGCTCTACTCCTCCTTAATAGCGACTACCTTATAACTTTTCGACCCCTTAACCTTTAGTTTACGGAGTTTTTATTACGCTATTAGGATTTAGAGGATACTAAGGAGGAGTAGAGCGTACGCGATGCTAGAGACCCGGATATATTTACTCGAAAGTGCACTCTATCGAAGACTATAGGACGTACGATGGTCCAAGATAAATAAAACTAGTATCGCTATACTAATCGAAAGGCAAGGAATCTAATATAGTTATCGTATCTCGGCTATGCCCTTTAGTCGTAGAGATATAGTAGTCGCTAGCCCGAAGGCATAAAAGGTAAAGAAAGAAAAGGGGTAAAACGTAAAAGTCATTTATTCGGCTATAGCGGTACGACGAAGTAACTTAAGCGCCTATAACTAAAATAAATATATTAATCGGAAAACGACGAATCTAATAATAAAAACGAATCTTTAATTAAGGTAAAAATAATAAAGATAGTAATCTAACTAGGTAATTAACTAGATAATAAGTATAGTATATCCCGTACTTACGGGAGCTATGGTTACTCTATATAGGCATAAGGCCTATCGTAACGTATTACGTAATATATTAAAAGGATATATTTTACCGTATTATTATAGCCTCCTTAGTTTAATTATACCGTAAGGGATCATTAAATTAAAAAGGGTAGTACGGTAAGTCCCGATTAATATCTCCCCTTAAAAACTACCGCGAAACTTTATTCCTCCGGCTACTATCTAATTATTACGGCCGCGCCTTTAACTTCTCGTTTAATATTATAAGGAAGCCCCTTTATTACTTTACGATTAACTTAGCCCGGTTTACCTTCGCCGATCTAACCCGATCGGCGTTCTCCTTCTCCATTTCGGCTACCTTCTTCTTAGTCTCGTCCTAGCCTTCCTAATTAAGGGAATAATAAGGAAACGGGCGCGTCTTAAGGGTTAATTAGATATCTCTTCTTTACCTATACGGTATAGAGGTTTCCCCCGACTAGAAAGCCCTAATCCTTTCTAGTCCGGGGGAAGGAAAGGGACGCGTTATAACCTTAACGAGGTTATTATAACGGAGGTTTATATCCGCTAATACGAAGAAATAAGGGGGATTAAGTACTAAGGCTATAGAAGAACGACGGACTTCGGCTTATGCGATAAACCGAACGGAGGATTTACGGCTAAAGGACTCGCCGATCGGCGTACTTTAAGCGGATACTATAGCGTTAATAAGGTTAATTCGCTTCTAATGATTTACGGCTTACCGAAAACGCTTAACGATACCTACCCCCCCCTTTAAAACTCGAACGCTATAAAATTACTCTACTACTTCGGCGTATTTTCTTATAATATTAAAGAAATTAAGGCCCTTATTTTCTTAGGCCTAACGCGCGACTTCGATCGGTCGTTTAAAGATAAGATACGGTAAAATACCGCTTTAAAACCCGTAACTAAAACTATTTTATTAATTTATTAATACGATATAATAAATAAACTAAAAGGTTATACCGGGCTCGAGGCTACCGTTTCCTTAGGCTCGTTATAACTAACCGAACGCGTACGCCGCCCGATCGAAGGCGCCGTCCCTAACTATATTAAAACTATATAATCTCCGAAGCTTAGGAAGATATAGCGCTACGGCGAAGTAGGCCTAGGAGAACTTCGTAAGGTCGGTAATAACTCGTTCGGGGTCTACTAGGTCCGTATAAATCGTAAAGATTAAAGTAAAGGCGGGATTATCGAGGAGGTATTAGCGGATAAGGAAATTAAACGATCCTATCGATCGGTAGTTTATCGTTTAATACGGGTCTACTTTAAAGGCCGCCTTCCTATTTTCGAAGTCGTAATTAGTTATAATATAAAGGGCGCGGATATCCTCGTTAGTAAGGTAATCGTAATAAACGACGTAAACGAAAGAATTAGCTAGGGCTACCTTCGTTTACTTCTATAACTATTAGTCTATAGTTCGGAATCGATTAGCGGATAGCCGGAGGACCTAGGCTATATCGGATCTTAACTCGATCGAATCCTTTCCCGAATCGTAGTTATTTAGAATATTAAGTTAATACTTCTCTATATTATTTTAGTTATTTTTACTACCGTAAATCTCCCGTAGGAGTTTAATTAAGTCGGCTAAATCGGCGCGACGTACGTCTTTATAAACGAAGGAAAGGAAGAAGGAGAGGGGGATTCCGGCGGAACG